GTAACGACAAGAATTTTAGAATGAGGTAGACCTCCCTCTATTCTCAAAAGGCGAGCAATCATAGCGGTTCTCTTAGCGAAGATAACATCATGAAAAATTGTACATATATGCTTAATTAACATTATCATTCCAATAATTACTAGAATTGTTACCTTTTCACATTCAGCATTTATTGTAATTAAGTATAAATGTTTTTAAGGATATTTTAAAAGAAGCCATCCCTTGAATTACAGTTATATTTATATGTGAATATCAAATCTTAATTTATTTAGTATATCTATTTAAAATTAGGAAAGGATGATATAATTAATATCTTTCTGAGCGTATTTCATTAGGTTATATAGGAAGTGTTTTCTAGTAACAGACAACTTTACAATTTTGTATTAATAAGAACAGCAGCTAGATCATTTTAAACATAATGTTTAATGTCTTTGGCTGCTTCCAAATGTATTTTTTCATAAAATGATACTTCAGTTCCATATCAATCTTGTAAATATTTCATAAAAAAATTATTTTCTTATTCGATATTTTTGATTTACATTTATTATAAAACTATTCATTGCCATAAATACATTGTATATTAATAGAATTTGATTTCATTAACAACTACAAAAAGAAACAAATAATTATTTATTTTATTATTTAAAATAACAAAAAATGAATATTATAACATCATAAATACATCAATCAAAGTCAGAAGTCCAAGAAATTGTTTGTCAAATTCATAAACAAGAAATAGTTGCCATAGATCTAGATATATAAGAAAAAGGTAATTATTAATATTTGTGTTGCAATTGCTTAGTTGAAAAAATGAATAATAACAAAATCTCAACAATTGAATAGACAAAAGATAGAATAAAAGCCTTACAGAAATAAAGATAAGAAAATAAAATTAAGGAAATACAAATAAGGCTGGATAACTTCAAAATAATACAAGAATAAATAATGGAATTTAAATGTAATGTAGAGAATACTTTGGAAAAGATATATAGTCAGATAAAAGCACAAATATTTACCATTTAAAAAGAAAAATAATCTTTATTAGACAATTTTTAAATTTAACATAATTTCTAAGAGGAAGTTAAATCTCTTTCTGAATTTCTTTCAACAGAGACTTAAGAAAAATAATTAGAGTCGATTTATGATAGTTAATTTATAGATGAAATTGTTAAACAATTTGACCTTATATTTAATAGTGCATCATATTTCTAAACAATTGACACTTTTAAGGATTGTAAATAGAAAATTAATGAAATTAATTAAAATAACTAGATTGAATTAATGTCATTACAAAATAAAAATAGTTAAGTAAATATTCTCGCTATTTAAGAAAACTCCTAGTTTAAATAAGATTTGTTCTGCTCATAATAAAGAAATTATTATGATTGACATAGATAGTAAACTTAAAAATATAGAAGAGAGATTTGCCTGTGTTGATTGCATTAGTGATCATCCCAATTGCTAATATAGAACTATTGAAAAAATTAATTAGTAGTGGAATAATGCCAAGAAGTAGCAGGATAGAATATTTTCTGATTTAAAGATAAAGAGATAAGAAAAATAGGAAAAATTGAATTAATAGATTTCTATAATGAGAAAAAATTACAACTAGTAACTGAATGAAATCAGTGAGAAATTAATAACAGAATTTTCTATGCCAAAAAGTAAGTCTATTGAGATTAATAAAATAAAATAAACTTCTCTATAACAATTAAGTAATGAAGAATTACTTTAAAATATTAATGAAATAATACTAAACGAAAAAGAAAATTTAGTTTAAGATTCAAAAGTAGAGTATTTGAAATCTAAAGATACTTTATTTTTAAAAGAGATTGAAAGCAAATTAGAAAATTTAAAATAACATGATCAATTAGATATTTAAGAATCTATAAATATTTTGAAGGATGTGCAGAGTATTTAAAATTATTTTATTTTTAGATGATAGCCAAATCTAAAGAATTTTCCAATTATCATAATAAATTTAGGAGACTACATAAGTAAATTAAGAATAACTAATCTTAAAATAAGATTTAGATGAACTCATAAATTCTTCAAAATATATTTATTGTTAAAAGAGTTTACTGAATGAATCAATTCAGAAATTTTAAGAACACCTTACAAAAATATAAACTTTGGGTAGGAAATTGCAATAAATCCCAGATAATTTGCTTATGGCAAACTTAAATACTTAAACCAATGATTATAAGAATACATTTGAAAAAGATTTTCAATAGTTTATGAAATTTTGTGAAATAGAAAATCTTGAGAAAAATTTTGAAACACTACAATAAGACCATAAGAGATTAGAATTAGAGAGTATAAATATTTTCAATAAATTAGGAAACCAATATTAAGAATCCATTGAGAAAGACTACAAGTTGGAGATATAAAGATAGAATGACATTATTGAAGAGCTAAAATAACTTGTAAATGATACTGAATTTAAACTTAAATAGAAAGTAGAATAAGAGTAATTGTTAAATGAAAAGCTGAAAGTGGAAAATGCTAATAATACTAAATTGCAATTACAATTAAATGACTAGTAAGATAAGCATGAAAATGAAATAAAATCACTAAACGAAAAAATAAATTAATCAGAGATATAAATAAATAAAATTCAAAATAATTTAGATATTAGAATTTAAGCATCTATTTTTTTGGATATATACTAGATTGAAATTTAATTGAAAATAATTTTGATTAAGAGTTTTTTATAAGAAATTCAAATCAAAAAATTATTTAAAACTGTTTTTCATCGAAAACATATTTAAACCAAAAATTTAGCAAATATATGCTAAATTAAAAAGGGTGGAAATAATGAATTATAACTAAAAATTTTTTTCCCATTTATTGATCATAAATATAGCTAGAAAATTCGAGAATTAAAATGTCAATCAATTATTAAAGATTTTTTGCTATTCAATTATTATTTGAGCCTTTTGGCATTAGGAAAGACTAAGAATTTCCTTTTTAAATAAAATCAATATGAGTTTTACCGGCTATGTATCTTTCTAATTGATAAATGAGGATGTTTCAAATTTGTTATTAATTATTATTCTTTAGCCTCCACAGTTACTATGCTATATTTTTCAATTATTTTACTCCTTAATTGATCAAGCAATGTAATATATAGCCTATTTGTCTATCTGTAATAATTTTTTCTTAAATCTGTTATTTCATAACGTGCATTGACTAATTAAATACCGTATATCTAAGATTTATACAAAAGCCCCTGACCCATTTCATATTCATAACATTTTTCTTGTTAATTTATCTACAAGTTTTTATTTTGATGCATCATTGTTATACTCCCAATTTTACGTTTTGGATTTAATGGACTAAACTCTTTCATTTTATAAAAGAAAATTTCATCAATATCTATATACCCTAGCTTTTGAAGTTCAATTTGTTCCTTCTTATATGGATAAAGCCTAAATTATTGATTTGTATGAAATACTTTTATATCTTTCAGGAGATAGAGAATGGCAAGTAAAGCTAATTTTACCCTAATAGCAATGTATTTAATGAATATTAAAAATATAACTATATTTAAGAAAATTGTGTTTGGAATAACATTTCTCTTAGATGATTCAACTATTATATCTTTTACCTTCTTCATCCTCCTTCTGATATAGAGATCATTTTTGTTATGAGCTCAATCAAAATTTATTATAATCCATTACATTTCTTAACAATTAAAAATTTAGACAAATCTTTAGTGTCCTCCTCCGAAGAATGATGATGCTAATAAGTAGTATTTAAGATTTCCATTTCGACCAATTCTACTATTAAATATTCAGCAAGCATTATTCTTTGGACATCTCTTAAAATGCTATTGTTCAGCAATTACCCCAAAAAGAATTGGCAAAGCAAGGGGTTATTGATATCCTCTGTTTTCTGTTTTTGGATTGAAATTCTATATTATTAATGATTTCGCTCTTAAATAATCAAGTCGATCTCTGCGTAGAACTGGTATGATCATTTATGGAAACTTTCTAAAATATCTTCTAATTCAACCATCCTTTCTTCTAGCTAATTGTGTTTAATGAATCTTCTATTCATTAAAATATAGTTGAATCAAAATGGCTACTCTAATAAAGCGCATCCTATTATAGATTAATCAAAAGTAAATCACACCAAATAAATATAAAACTACTCATGAATGAAAAAGAGGAGAGCTGTTTTTTAAAAAAATAGAATTTCAGAACATGATTTTCAATCAAAAATTACACAAGCTAATTAATTGAATTAAAAAAAAATACATGGTCAAAATATGAATTTTTTGTTAATTTGAAAATTCCAAGGTTGCTCAATCTCAAAGATGAGTAAAATTACTGCTACTTGATATCAGTATATTAATTTACTTTTTTGTATAATTTGAATTATTAGCCATCAACAAGATTCTTCCTCAAAAATTCACATTAATACACATTATTAATGTTATTGAGAAAGAACCTAATATAAACCCATAATAGACTCTATTTTAAACATATTTTTCCTTTTTTCGATTGAATTATCATTCATATTTGTGTCAATTTATCCACATTTGAAAAAAATAATGGATCTTGCAAAAACAATCTCCTTCAAGCAACTCGCTGTAGTCTACCAGTTTCATTTTATCAAGATGACTCTAGATCATATTAAGTCTTATGAAATCTGCAACAATAATCATTTGGTTGAGGTATATTGATTCATTATCTAATTATAATGCCATTGTGTGTTAAATTCAATTACATTGCTATCATCATTATTAATTCCAACTATCTTCATATGAAGTTGATAAGATTAGCGACAAAGGTTTGAAAGGATGATCCAAATAAAATAAATACTTTTTTATCTTTCAAATAAACTGTCTTAATACTTATAGGCCCTTCTATTTATTATTCTTAAATAATTCCTGCACTTATAAGAATTACCTATTCAATAGATAAATCTCTCCAAAGATACTATCTAACAAATTTTCGAATCAGAAATTATGAGGCAGCTTTTATCCATAATTGATGTAGAATACAATCCCTTCTTAAAATATTTATAAACCACATTTCCCAATTATTAATGCTATAATTTTATAAGGTGTTAAATTTGCATCCTTTGATTATTGAAAATTTCTCAATTAAACTTACTAATTAATAAATATTTTATTTTTTAAATTCCATCTTAAGGGATATTTAAACCATTCTTTTTTAACTCATCTCGGTTTGTCATCTAATACTCCAAATACATGCTAAGTTAATAATATAAACTATTAGCAAAAATAGGGGTTAATGTTAAGTGTATTTAAATCACTACATAACTTCGCCAATTATCTCTTCGAAATTAACTGAAGTTGACAACTATAAATAAAAGGCTGATTAATTAATTATTAAATCTTGCAAGAAGTGCTTGGACTAGATCTATAAATGGATTCCTTCCGTAGAAGAAATAGCATATCCATAGTCAGTACTCCCATTATTGGTTTAGCTCATGGAAAGCTATTAATCCTAGTTTAATTAAGGTGCTCTTCTAATGCTTTCAATAATATCGAACCGAAGTATCTTATTAAATCTGTTTTATTTGAGCTAAAAGCATTTAAACTCATTAAATTAGCTTTTCAACTTTTTGATGTTCAGCTCCAAACGCTTCTTAGGGTCTAATTATAACCTAAGCCTTTCGTTATAAGTATGATTTCATACAACTGATTATATTTAGCTGAACGAAATAGTTCCATTATAATTGCCCTTTGTTTGCCTACTACAAATAAAACTTTTGGTATTTCTATCCAAAAATCAAATAGATATTTTCTTGTAGTCTTAGGACAATCTTAAAAAAACCTGAAGTCAATAAATGACTTGCCCTAAGCTAGAAGTTCTCCACTACAATATAAACTTTGATTGCAGTTATTTATACCTCTTAGGCAGGTGATTTTGAATTAATATTGGCCTCCTAAGAGTAGTTGTGTTATTTGCCAGAAATGTATCTTTTTCTTGACATCTCAAATTTTAAAAATATTATTATTAAAAAGTATTACAAGGAGGGATATGCTTGACTCTTAGCGGTTTGAAGTCCATAACGTATCAAACTATAAATCAAAATAAGTAAAATAATCAATTTCTTTTATTTAATTATTTGAGAATAAACAATTCTGCAAGTATAAGACCTTCTTTAGTAAATGATGAATTTTGGTTGACGCTATTCTCCTAAATACAATCTAAAAGTAAAAAAATAATCAAAGGCTCAAACTTAATTTATTTAGGAACAAGGGATGGGTTAAATGCAAATACATTTTGGAGTAAAGTAAATGAAAAAGCAAATTTATTTATGATATTTAAATCAAGTAGTGGATTTATTTTTGGTGGTTACACTCCTTGTAAGCACATAAAAAATGATGGTGGATAATATATCGCAGATGATACATTAATTTCATTCATCTTTTCATAAACAAAAAACTAAATTTATCATCTAAAATCAGATAGGAAACAATATGCCATGTGGCACTAAACTAAATATGGGCCTGTATTTGGTACATAGAATGACAATGATATTCGAATTGATTCAAATTTTTAAAGTGGAGGTTCTTCTTTGGGATCGAATTATGATTGTTCTCACTTTGAAATAGAAAACAAATCAATTCATCTATTTGGTTAATCAACACCAAATATTGTGGAGTGTGAAATTTATGAATTATAATTTGTTTGAATTGAGAAAATTATATAATTAATTTGTATAATTGACTAACTTTTGAAAAGTACAACTTCAGTTTAATGGATAACAATTAATTTTTAGGTTTTCCTTTATCATAACTATACTTATTTCTTCATACATTTTTCCAAATATACTCATTTAGGCTTGAATAAAATGATAAATATTTATAATTTCGATCCAATCAAAAAAGGTTAAATTATTGATAATATTTTAAGATTAGAATGCATATTTAAAATCTTGGTTTAATTTATATTAATTATCTTTACTATTAATTGAGTGAATTCACTTTTCACAAGCATCCTATTAAATTGCAAAATAATGTGAAAATACTAAAATTATTTTTTTTTTAAATTAAATGATTAATCTATAAATTATTTATGTTCGTTATTACAAAATTCTAAAATAATCATTTTAAATCAAAGTCTAATCAAATTCAAACGGAAATAGAATTTTTTTCGTTTTTAAATATCTAAGCAAATATTAAAATCCTTAAAAAAGTAGTAGTTATAATTAGTTTTGAGGACATAATTTTTCAAATCATCCATTCCAATGAATTCTAACATACATGAAAGTCGAGAATAATAGAGTCTCCTTAAAAAATTTACTATCAAAATATGGGCTTTCTAAATGTTTTAATGGCTTTAATATATTTTTTATAAATTTAGTTAACCACTTACTATAATTTGCCTAATGGTTTAGAAATAGAATTTTTACCATTCTTAAAATATAAATTTGGGCTTTAATGACTTTATTTATTATAGCACAATAGAGGCTTGAAATATTGATTCATTTTGCAAACCAAAAAAAAAGAGTTCTAATAAACCACATCCCTATTAGCTTGTTAAGGCTTTAATTTAATTCATTTTCCATGAAACTTTATAAAGTTTTAGCTTTATTTAATTGCAAAAGTTTTCCATTACTCTTTTAATCTAAATGTTTATCGACCTAATTTCTTTAATCTTATTCTCACATTTTGTATACTATCATTAAAGAATATAAGAGTATCTTGATAGAGGGAATATCAATTTTATTTTTTCTTTTTACTAAGCTCTTTCCATAGTCCAACATAATTCTTGTGTTTGAATATAGGTTATTTTACTTTTTAAATCTAATTCCCTATAGAATTATTCTTTCATTAATAGATTTAGATGATTATTCAATATTTTGGGAGGAAGGTAACTCCTAGATTATCTAAAATGGATAAATTATTATCAATTTGTTGGTTATCTTCTTATTAATCCTTAAATAACTAATACTTATTTTATATTCATATTAATTATTTACTTGTTTTGCACATCATCCCTAGTTTAGCATTCGCCAGATTCATATTTCCTAATTAATTGAATTGTTTATTTCCAATTCTCTTATAAGATTTCTGTTTTAATTAAAACACATAAATTTATCTGTATTTTTTCCATCATACATCCAAATAAATTCATTCTCTTTAATAAATTTACTTTTTTTCTTTTATTCTTAGATTGAGTATTTATAGATGAAATAATAAATAACTATAATTGAATTAATCAATTAAATATTTAATTATTCTAATTACTCTCTATGTGATAAATTTCATAAATAATAACAAAATACTAAATTCAAACATATTTGCTTTTATTCTTCTCAAATAATTATTTAAGAAAATCCTCTACACTTATAAATTTTTGATTAATTTAAACTTAATGACATAATTTTCTTATTCTGTTTATCCAATAAATATTCTTTCAATTTTATATTGTTTTTCCTACCAATCATTATTGCTCTTCTGTATTTTTCAATAATGATGCATTAAAAAATGAAATGATATGGACAAGTTAAATCACAAAAATGAAACGTCCACTGCATTCTAATATAATATGATGAATTTATAATTTTAATTCTAGTTTGAAACTTCGACACATCCAAACCAAATCATAAGTTTTAAGACAATGCTAGAAAGGTAGGTATCAAATATCATAAATACTCCAGATTATATTTTTCTAGAGCTAATATCTTCTTAACTCAAATTGCTTCTTACGAAATTAAAAAATTTATTTTTGAATTCATATTGAGTGAGATCAAAGAGCATAAACAAAATTTAGATAGAATGATTCTATATATACTTTGCAACTCTAGAATAATCTCTAAGGGTTTAACGCAATGTTAAATTGGCATCTGTTGATGATATTTTTACTAAATTACTAGTTTAAGTATTATTTGAATATTCGCTGTACTTGTTGGCAGAGTTATATAATACCCAGAACTTAGTAGTATTTAGGTTATGGGGAATTCAATTCTGGCTATGGATCATTTTTAAAGGATTCAAATTTCAATCAACCTTAAGGGACTTTTAGTTTTAAGTCAGCAATTGATAGCCCAATTAATCAACCTGAAATTTTAATTGCAACAAGACATCAATTCCAAAAAGTATAAACCAATTCTAGTAATTCATCCAGTTTTACTCAGATCTTGAACAAAATTTGTTAAGGATTTTGCCCAAATTCTTGGCGATTTATTCCATCAATGCTCCACTATTCCCGGAAATTACAATATATATAGTATTTCTTGCTTTTTTTCAAATACAAAGAATGTCAGCTGCTTGATAAGGATTTAGATATTTACATTTAAAGATTTATCATATTTGAATATATCAACAAAGTTGATTTCAATACAAATTAAATTAAAATGTTTCCTTATAAATATATACGTCACTAAAGAATGAGCTGATCTTTTAAAAAGGTTTCCAATTATTTAATCAATTAAAATTGATTAGTTTGATAAAAACTTATGATGATAAACCATAAGAATGAAACAAAGTCATTCCAAGTTTAATATTTTTGGTGGATGTCTCAATTTACCCTACCTAAAAACTTCATTACATTTTCAGAGTTTAAACAAATACTATCTAATATCTTATTAGGAGACAGAACATTCTAGTAGCAATTTTAATGTTTGGAAGAATTCATCATCATAATATATTTCTATATCTTAATAAGTATAAATAATTATTACCCATAATTTCACTGAAAATTGAAGTGATTTCAATGTTAGAAGGTGTGCTCTGAGTCAACCAACTGATTATCCACAAGAAGAAGATTTTAGGCATCAAGAGTAGAATCAAGTTAAAGAAGCCAGCTGTTGATAAAATTTTATCAATACCTAAAATTCATTTGAATGATATAATACATCACCCTGGTTTCAGTACAAGGTTCGCATCTAAATATTCGCAATAATTTACAAAACAGAAAGAACAACACACTCTAATTTGTGCTAGATTGAGTAAAAGAATTATTATTAATGTTTTCGAATGGGAGATGAAACATTGGTGACGGCAGGAATATAAATATTGATGAAAAATTATGAATATTCTTATTTAATCTAAATTATTGATTATCCAGGTAAAATTGAAGATTTTTGGACATAAATCAATTTTTGTCCAGTCATAATAAATCAAAAGCTATTGGTTTCATCAAATATCAAGCTGAATTGCAATCAAAATATTCAGGTAAGTTGTAACTCATTTTAAGAGGTACTCATACTATTAGATCTCTTGGCTTCTAAATATCTTCATTTAAGTCACATTCGCCAACCAAAATTTAGAATAATGTGATGATAGTGTTGATCTATTAAGGTTGTTTGATTTAGAATGTATGCAAAAATATTTAACAGTTGTTTGCACGAGTATCTCTATTGTCATAAAGAGATTATGAATATAGATCAAGATTGCCAGGTATTGCTGCAAGAGGCAGTAACGCTTTGACATTTAGTAGCCAACAACATTAATGTGAGAAGTGCTTGAATGGTAACACATATATCACTTCATCGAATTCATTTCTTATACATCAGTAAAATGAAGTTACAAAATAGATTCTTGACAGGAGGTTTAACATAGTTTACAAACATTTGAAATACATATAGAATTCTTGATGTCTTACCTGCTGTGTAAGTAATAAAAACATTGATTCCCTTTTATAATATCAATACCTAATGCTCAAAGATCTAAAGTTGAAATAATCACAACCAGTATTAGGGGAGGTATATCTGGAGTTTACATCAAAGTAGTAGGTAGATCTTCAGTAAGTTGTCTTAAATGCCAGCATATTTATTACAGGTTGCAAAAAATGATTGTAGTAATATAAGTCGTAGCAATTCAATTATGCATTGATTCAAGCATCTCCTATATTTAGGATTATCTATGAGATGACAAAAGCACTTGAGGAGCTATAGTGTTAATTACTATAGTTTTGCTCAAGAAAGAGCAAAGGTCTATATACATTTACAATATTCCATCATATAAATTATGAACTTATAATTGTTTTTAGGGACTTGAATTCTAATTAGAGTTAGCAGTTACACAAACTTCCTAGTTATATGAGTCTGTAAGTAAGATTTTCATTTAGCTAATCTGATTTTATACAATATCCAAGCTTTACACAAGTAAGCAACAAGATGGGTATACTTCCTGGAAATAAACAAGAATTGATAAAACTGCATGATGCTATATTTAAATCCTAGCAAAGATACATTAGTCTGAAGATATTGTTGTTGATTCGTTACAGAATGGATCAGATATTAATGATCAGTCTGCCTAAACATAGTCATCAGCAAAGAAAGGAAATATGGCAACATTTTTTTTATACTTCTTAAAAGAAGAAATTTATTTCTTCAGGGCAATAAGAAGGTCGACATCTAAGAAGGTTTATAAGATTATAATTTTAGAAAGAATTCATACACTATCCATCTCCAAATAAACATGGTCAGTAATAAATGATATCCAATAAACATCATATGCTCAGAAGCTTATTTACTACTAAACTAATAGTTGTGGATGTTTTCTTAGGACAAAAAAAGTTAAACCTTGCAATCAATTGGATATCGTAGAAGTATTCAGTATTTTTACTACTTCTTCTAATATATATATTGGGCTTAAGCATTAATTTTTTGAATTTACAGTAATTAAAGACAAATTTAGAATTGCTTGAGTGTTTAACATTTACCTCGCCCAATTCAAATTAAAGGTGTTTGTGTCACTCGATATTGGAGATTTAAGCCTTAGTGGTCATGTCTATATCATCACATTCAATATTCATCTAATATTAAGCTGAGTTTACTGATCTCTCTTGTTAATATTAGTAATTAATTTAGCATTTTCAATCTAAATTGTATCTGCTGTCTAGAATCTTCACAGTAATGGAGTAGAGAATTAAGAGAAAATAGATAGCTATGAATTTGCTGATAAGAGTTATAAAGATTGCGGAAGTCACATTTATCTCATCAGCCTGACATAATCAAAAAGTAATAGGTTTGAATCGAAAAATGAGCCATCAGAACCACACAATAATGAGTTCATTCCCTTGCTTATTTTATAAGAGTACAAAGTTTGGTGGGATGCTTAATATATTAGCTCATCGTTTATAAGATTAATAATTATGCCTCAAAGATATCATGAACTTTGATTATGATTGGAGGACATTCTTAAAAAAATGGCAGCTATCTCTGGAAAAACCAGCAATACATTTATTAGATTTAACTGCAAAAAGCAAATGTAAGATTAAGAGTTTAACATAGTATATGTATGTGCTTTGATTGTAACAATCAATATAAGGAGTAAAAGCTGAATAATCAAAATCAACATAAGATTAAGTAGTAGTCAGATTTACAGTTGTTGCTTACTACTCTGCCACTCTGAATCAAGAGTATGAAAAAACTAATGAAAATTTTCTGATCTCCATCTTCCTGTTTCCTTGAACAATGTGCTTGAAATACTAAAAACGAGATTAATTAAATTAGATTCTTACAAAAATCACAAAATTCTATTTAATAAAGGTTTCGAATAATCATTTTCAATTAATACTATCGCTAGTATAAATCTTCATTTCAAACATCTTAGAATCATTTTAAATACTGAAAATTCACATATTTTAAAACAACAACCATTAGTGAGAACAGCGCCCAAATATGTAGGTAATTTCAGCAGGGTATCCTGATTTTGTGCTATTTATTAATAAAAAATATTTTCCCTTTATAGTTGTTGTTGTTTAAGTCGGAGACACATATTTTACCTAATTTAATTGACAGCTCACCTCTTCTGTTTTTCAGTATCAATTATTTTGCTCTCTTGCGCCATACCTCATTTTCTGTTAAGTAATACTAAAAAAATGTCTTAACCTCTATTATTTTTGCCTAAATTGCAATCCTGACTCCATAATATGAAAACAACTAAGGATTTTTTTGTTGTTTTCATGGTAGATGTGATATACTATGCTTGCAATTAGGTTATACTGTTATTTATTGGGTGGTAAGAACCAGATCCTTCCTTTACAGATTAATCCTGCATCGGCATATCAAGCTTGTTTAAGTTTTATATTAATACTTTTGGCCTCATGTTTTGAGGATTTACAAATATTTATATAAGTTAAGAACGTACTGAGAAGAATTTTTGCCTACTTTTTTGATCCAGTCCAAGTATATTAGGACTGAAAGTATTTATTCTATTAAGAAGACAGATGATGGATAATATGGCTGCAATCACTGTTTTCATCTATTTTAATATATTTTTAATTTGATCTTCGATTTGAAAACAAAATTGTCATAATCCAGCTGAAATTTTCATTATTTTTATTTCCCTGTTCGATACTTATTTTATGCATTGGGTTATTCCTTTAATGGAGAATGTTATTTTATTTAAATTTTTACATTTTATTAAGTAAATTTCATGCTTCTATCAGATTATTTATCTCCTCTTTATATTTAAATCACTTATGCTTAAAAGCCGTATTCTTTTAATTATTAGGTTAGATTTTGTTAATCTAAATTTAAAGATTAATCTAGTGTTTAGTTACCAAATTAACTATTTCAAAAAAGAATAAAATTCAAAGTTGTAATAAGGGATTAAAGAAAAAAGGAGGAAATGATGCTGAGGAGTCTATATTTTTATAGGAATATATTTTATTTTTGATGGTCTCTTTAAACTGGTAACAACGTTTATCACTGAAAACTCAGATACAGAAATGTTTTGTTAGTTCTATTAATCATTTAGTTTTGAATTTTCTTCTCTTATTCTCATAAAAAATAGCATAACACTACAATTTATTACTAAATTTCATAATTCTAGACAGGAAATTCACTCTTCATACGTGATGAAATATTGATTCAACCTAAAAATATAACATAATACTGTTGAAGATAATAATAATCCTAGAACGACTAGAAACAACGGATAACAGCTTTCGTTTTGTTTATTTTTATCAGCATTTTTATTGTATAGTTTTGCAATATTTTTATTTCTAATGGTGGTTTATTACGCGAATCTTTGTTATTAGTTAATGAAATGAATCGATGTAATAAATAGTTTTTTTGAAGTTTTAGCTTATATAATATAATATACAGTCACTTTTCCAATATATATTTGAAATTTATAAGATATAATTGCAAATTTAAATGAAATCTTCAGAAATTGAAAAAAAACAAATAATTTCAGATTAATCACAAGAACTGAATTAAAAGTAATAAACTATTTCTTACCTTATAATGCTATAACAATTATATAAAGTAGTAGACTTCTAATAAATCAGTTAAGAATTATGTTGCAAAAAAATATGTTTATAGATTCTTCAAATCCAGAGATCAATATGTTAATTTTATATTCGAAAAAATGTTTTATAAAAACATTTTAAGTCCTAAATAATATTTTTGTCAATTTTTCTATAATTTTCATTAAAATATTAAATACGATGAACTAAAAGTTTAAGTTTGACCAGATGTATAAATTATGATTATTAAAAATATTCTATTCTAATTAAAATACTCTTCTCTTTATCCATATAAAGCAAATTCTTTTATTTATGACATTATTATTTTGTAAATATTATTAAAAAAAATTAAACAAATGGCAATTTAAAATCAAGATTTTGATTTCATACTCATTATTTTTATACAAATTATTGAAGCCTATTTAATAGATTTTGAATCATATAACCAGCGCACTTTGATTTGTGAATCGATATTTTTAATGAAAGCTCTCTGACTTTTTTTAGTGTTAATCTGAAACCAATGTTAATATCTTTAGAATGTTAGAGTAGAAAGAATTATTAATAATTTTCTATTCTATAATCAATTAAATGATAATTATTTTTATTCGACTTTTCCACAAATAACATTATAATAATAGAATTCAAAATTTATTGGGGTTTAAAAGCAGATGAAAGAAAATATAAAAATTGTATAATAAAACAAATAAAAAAATGAGTTCATCTACTTCATAATAGGATGAGATTCGTGAAAAAATGTGTCAAATTCATAACCTCAAGATAATTGCAATAGATCTAAACTCAACAGAAAATGGATTAATTAAATACCTTTGTTGTAACTGTGTAGTTGAGAAGTTGAATAACAATAGGATATCAACAATTGAACAAACATAAGCAAGAATTCAAGAATATAAGGCTCTAAGACAGAAAAAAACGGCTGGGGAAATCGAGATAAAGCTCCATTAATATTAAATAGTGCTTGAAAAATATATAGTGTTTAAAAATAATGCTTGTAGTGCTTTGGTTAAGATTAAAGATTAAATAGAAACATAAATTAATATTCTAAAAGAAAAGAAATCTTTATTATAAAATTTTTAACCTGTGTCTAATTTTTAAGAGGATGTTAAATCATTATCTGAATTTCTTTCATTAACTGAAAAATAAATGGAATTTCAATAAGATACCTAATCTTTTGATGATTTAATTAGAGAACTTGATTTCATTTTTAATAAGGCAGAATATTTATAAATAATTTTAACTTTTAAGGAAGCCAAATAGAAAATTGAGGAGTTCAATGAAAACAATTAAATTGAATTAATCCCCCTGCAATTTAAAGATGATAAAGTAATTATTTAGATTATCCAGAAAGCAATAAGTTTAAGTAGACTTTGTCCAACCCATAATAAAGAAATACTTCTGATTGACCTAGAATCAAATAATAAATCAATAGAAGAAAGATTTGCTTGCTTAGAATGCCTTAGTAGTGAAGGTTTCAATTGCAAATCAAAATCGATTGAAAAAATTAATTTGTTATGGAATCAAAAGAAAAATAATTAAATTAAAATTGTTGAAGAATTAAAGTCAAAGAGGTAGTTAAAATAAGAGAAATTAAATTAAAAAATTTAGTAAATGAGAGAGAATTACAATTCAAAAGTAAATTCCATCATCGAACAATTAATAACAAAATTTCCCTTACGAATAACCAATACAAGTGAAAATAGTAAGTTTAAATAGATATCTATACAATAATTAAGTAATGAAGAACTGATTTAAAATATTAATTACCTGATTCAATAAGATAATGATAATCTTATTTTTGATGAGTATACGATAACTAAGGACATTTAATTTTCAAAATCAATAGAAAGTTAATTAGAACAACTATAATAAAATGATCTATTAGACATTTAAGAGTCAATCAATATTTTGCATGATTAATCAAGTATCAAGAATTGTTAATTATTAGCTGACAACAAATTGTAGGGAATTATTTAACTATCAAAACTAATTTAAGAGAGTGCAATTGTGGATTTATAAAAATATATAAGAAAACAAGAGTTGGATGAATTCATAAGTTCATCTAAGTAAATATATTGTTAGGTGGATTTGTTGAATTAGGCAATTTATAAATATTAATAGCATATTAAAAAAGTTAATTCTATTAAAAATAACCTATAATCAATTCCAGATCATGAAAATTTTTCAAACATACAACAACAACTTACTTATTATTTGAATAATTTCGAAAAGGATTTTAACGATCTGAAGAAATTTTGTGAAATAGAACAATTGGAAAGGGCTAAATTGAATTTACAATAAAATTATACTAAATTGCAATTAGAAAGTAAAAAAAATTATTCAATAAATTAGGCTAGGAGTTAGAATTAAAGTTAAAAAAAGTTGCAGAAGAGCAAAATATAAATGCTTAATGTTAGAAACTATAACAAGAATAATCAATAATCAATTAAAAAGAAATCAAATTACTAGGTTAAAAGATTAAAGATTAGGAAGTTTTAATAAAAACACATGAATCACTTTTAGATAAATTAGGATTAAATTTAAAACCAAATTTGCTTAAAGATGATTAGTGGATCAAAATATTTTTAATTTTGCGAGAGAAGACGAAGAAAATAATGAAATAATCAGTTTTGATTTATTAGGGCACAAAAGATGGATTAAATATTTAATAATATTGGAATAAAGTGAATGGTAAAGCTAACTTACTTATGGTATTTTAATCAAAAAGTGATTATATCTTTGGAGCATACTCTCCTTGTAAATGGGAATCAAATAAAAACAACTATGTAGAAGATAATACATTATCATCTTTTATATTTTCATAAACTCATAATTAAGTTTATCCTTTGAAGTAAGATTCTAAATAATATGCTATTTATTGCCATTCAAGTTATGGACCTACATTTGGAGGTGGAACCGATATTTATATTGGTAGAGACTTTACTGAAGGTCATTGCAAACTAGGTGATTCATATGAATTTAATAATTACAAGAATCAAAGTAATGATCCCTATTTGTTTGGATAGAATAAACCAGAAATAAAAGAATGTGAGATTTATGAACTTTAATTTTTTTGAATTGCAATATTTATCTAAAATATTTCTTATATTTCTCTAACTATTTTCTATTGAGCTGTTAAATAAGATCATAGCAAATGAGAGGAATAAATTATAATTGATTTTAATACTTTATATTTGAACCTAATAACTAATAGATCAAAAAGATAAAGAGATAGAATAGTTACAATCTTAGCTATCTACTTGTTTTAGAAGCATTACCTTATGGTTGATTGTTTAGTGAAACAATTTATTTTATGGCTTAATCCTTTTACTATTTTTTTTTTTGGTATAATAAACATATCTAGTAATTTTGTTATTCATTTTAATAAAATTTTATGTTTTCATACAATTATTTTTTTGTTTTAATTTATTATATACTTCTTAAACAGTAAATATTTGGTGTATATTAATTGGCGGGTTCTCTTTGCTTTTTTTTCATTTATACTTTCAAGCCTCTTCTATATTATTGATTAAAGCTTCTTCTCTATACTCTCAGTATATTCATTGCCTTTCCTATCTTCTCCACTAAGTTGTCCTGTAATCTCCATAGATGATACATTATGTGTAGAATATTATCAGGCATTTGTGTTGTTTTGAATATCTCCATCAATGTTAGCTGAATAGAACATGTAGGGTTAATTAAGAGAAAGGATATCCTATAAAACGTATACAAAAAGAGATTTACATAAAATAATTATTTAAAAAAATAACGAATAGATCAATTAGAGGGATCATATTTGAGTTTCAAATACCTCTACGAATATATATTGATATCATGCCTTAAGATCAATAACATCTTATTCTAAATAACTTCAGTATTTTGAAGTATTTTATCAAGAATTATTGGATAAGAATGATTAAATTATTGGGAACTGAGAGACGACACTGTAGCTTTAAATAATCAATTAATGAGAGCGCTCTAAGAAAAACCAACTAATACCAGATTAGAGAGTGCTAACATCATACTAATATGAGCCTTCTAACATCTCAGGAAAACTTTTGTTAAGTCCTAAAACTCTTGTAAAAGGGTTACTTTATTATCTACCAATAAGGTATTGTAATTTTACATTGTACATGGAACACTAGATTATAATACCTTATCTATGAATAATATTATAGAAACAAAAACTTCTTGATAAATCTAAGGGAAGTATTTTCTGATAATTGCAAGTTAAGCAGACTTTTAAGTTATCATTTTTATAATCGGCTACATTTAATGTTTAAACCTTACCTGCCAATGCCCACATTTTTTGCAATTTTTCATTTATGATATTTGATTGTATTTTTTTTCTTGAAGGTGAATGTTCCTAGCTTATTGAATGAATAATAGTGTACACAGTTCAATCACAACTTGAAGTGATATATTTTTGCAATTATCATAATTGCGCCAATTTCAAGATGTTTTTTTTCAAAGGGATTTTGAGAGTTAAACTTCTTTGTTGACTCCTTTTTGAAGTTGCCAAATTAAGTGCTACTTAGTAAGTTTCCCTAAATTCATCATATTATATTGTACTTCTCTTTTGATTGGTATTATGTAAGGAAGGTTCAAAAAATGTAAAATTTTATTGTTGCCTTTTCTTTTAGAGACAAAAACATGTTTCTATAATAAATTTTATAACAAGTTCGTTTTAAGAAACCACCTAATTATGGGAGTATAATTCCTTATAATATCATAAACAATAGGCAGAAATCTCCCAAATATAAACTTAATCATATGGCTTTAGATCATAATTGGTCTAGTATAGAATATCTAGGCTATTTTTGAAATTATTTTATTCAGAGGAATTAGTTAGCTCTAGGCTTGAAAGTATTAATTTCCGTTTTCAATATCAAATAGTATCCTATAAACCTCATAGATTTCTGTGAGTTCTCCTTTTTTATTGAATTGATGTCAGGCGAATCAAATCGATTGATATAGCCTTGTTTGGACCTTTTGACATATTTATCGTCCTTCTAGACACTTCTCTAATTAGAGTAAGATCGATTCTTCATATACTGCTTCTTGTTCAAGTTGATAAAATAGCTTCTAGGTCATATATTATTCCTCTTCTGTTAATGCTCCAGATGATATCTTCATCTTCTCTATAAACTCAAAAATTATTTTCTTGAAGAATATTATTCCTCGTCTTTCATTATGAAAGATAAATAATGTCCCTTTGAATTTAGTAACGTGTTCATATTGAGAAATCTTTACTTTAGTGCACGTTATAGTTGAAGTTTTTTGCTTAATTGGATCATTGATAACACTTAAGTCTTCAACCATGATTTCTCTTTCAAGGAGAAATAAGCTGAAACACAATGATTTAGTATCTTCCAAATACTTGTATTTACTTTAAACATGTGTTATGCTTAATTAAGCTAACAACTCATTTTTAATTTATCAGAAATCAAATCTGATTGTAGTGTTAATATAAGGCTCGATTGATAATGTTTATGTTATACAATTCTTTAGTTGCTTTAATTAATCAATAATAATTTCAGCAAATAATTCATGATTCCTGTAATCCCTTATACTATTAGTGATAAAGTTGAGGTAAAAATTAGCATACTGCTGTTGATATAAAAATCCCATTCCAGATATATAAATAATTTCACTTTTATTAAGGTACTTCTTCTTTCAATTTCCCCATAATTCAATATTTGCTCAAATTATTTGCTTTTGCAAAATATCAATAAAATAGCTTTAATACAGTATTAGATACAATTCGGCTAGAATTAAGGTAGTATTTTACACTGTGCATACCCTATAAGCAAGCATTACTTTTATTTTTTTATTTTATGATACTTTATAAGTCTTAAAGCTAGTTACTTTAACTGGTAGTGGTGTTATTATTGGGCGCGATTTAACTATAAATTAATTTCTTTAAGAAAAAACTTTAAAATCTATTTCTTTAGAACTATGAAGAATTAAAATTAGTTAAAGGGTAGGTAGAGATAATAGAATATAATCGAGATTTAGCCTCTTAATTTAATATTTAAATTATTTTTAATGTATACTCTTCCATCTAAACATTAAGATATTCGACTAACAAAATAATAATTTTTATTCAATTTTGTAATAAAATATTAAAATAATATATCATTTTTTTCTCAATTAAGGATTGACATCAAAATAATAAATCCTGAAAAATTAAGTTACACTCTACTATTATTACTTACAATTAAAAAGATATGTTCAAATGCATTAATTTATTATTTTATTTTAATAAAAGTATTCGTTTGGGATGAGAAAATTATAATTATGAACACTTTTTCTTGAAAGAACAGCCAGATTGTAATGTTCGATTTACTCTACAGTTATTCCCAAGAAAAGCTTTCTGTATCCAAGATGTAAATCCATTAATCTCATAAAATAGGATTGATGAACTTCGTAAAAAAGAAATAAATTATCTGTAATAATAATTCAAATAGCCAAAGTGCGAAACAATAATGAGTTAGTTAAATTAGTTTTTTGAGTAAATCAAGTAATTATCAATATTAGAAGATTTCTTGATTCCTCAGTATTTTCTTATAAGCGAGTTCAACAACTTATCATACTTAAAAATTCCTAAAATTATGCTCCTACTTTAGATTTCTTGTTTTGTTCCCCAAGATTATTTCAAATTCAAAACAAAATTAGTGGATAAAGTAGAATATAATACATTATCATCTTTGATATTTTCATAAACTCATAATTAAGTTTATCCTTTGAAGTAAGATTCTAAATAATATGCTATTTATTGTCATTCAAGTTATGGACCTAGATTTGGAGGTGGAACCGATATTTATATTGGTAGTGACTTTAATGAAGGTCAGTGTAAACTAGGTGATTCATATGAATTTAGTAATTACAAGAATCAAAGTAATGATCCCTATTTGTTTGGATAGAATAAACAAGGAATAAAAGAATGGAAATTTAGATCCAGTTCTCAAAATATTCTGGATTATACCAATATATTTCAATAGTATGCATAATTAAAATAGATATAAATAAGGTTTGGGTAAATATTTTTGTGTTTCAAAATACTTTATTAAGCAGATTTTTCTGAATATTGAGAATTTCATATATTATTTACATGCTCTAAAGACCTACTAAGTTGATATATTGAGAATTAATTAATAATCTTAGGAATAGTAAAATTTGTGTTATCTTAAATCAACTTATCATTGCGTACAGCCTACTCCCTACTTATTTGATTCTCTTTCTCAGCTAAACTTAAAAAAAATTCATACCAACATTATAATTTTAATCAAAAACTCTTTTATATTGTTAATAATCATAAATATTATAAATTTAGTTATTATCATTTTAGCAATTCAAAAAATAGAATAAAGAGTTGTAAGATTAAATTAGCCAATGCATGAAATAATAAAAAACCCTTGAACTCATCATATCATAATACTTTCCACAAATATTTATATATTCAACTTTGTTAATTATACTAGTATTATTAGTGATTTTATTTTAGTGGCACTTTTTAAGTTGATTTTAGTAATCATTAAATTTAGAAATTGAATTTTTGTAGGAATTAGTCTTACAATCACAATATTAAATTTGTTCTATATTCCTACTAACATATTCAATTTCTGAAAAAAATTATTATTTAGGATGATATAAGAATTCTTTCTATTAGATTTTGATTAATAGTATTTTCTTAATTGAATTATTAACTAAAACAGCTTTTTTAAGGCGTCTTGAAGAAAGGAGAAAATGTTCTTTAAAAAAGTAGATACAATATAACGCTTTTATGTATCCACTCATTTGACTTCGGCCTTTTAGATTTACAGTGCGAAATTCAGCATCAGTCCTGAACTAAAATGGCAATTATAACCCAAGACTAAGATGTTGAACATTAGAAATAATCCCCAGAGGGTTCATAGTATTTTCACCTTTGGAGAGACACTTACATGGGAAATTTAGCAAAATTCATGAAGGCAAAAGAATAGCAAGAAAATGATATGATTATTTATATTTATATATGATCAGATCTAAAAATTATTCAGTATTTATATTTTAATGCTTAGATTTGTAGTTGTAGCTACAAGTTATTCAAAAATTTAGTTTCATCCAAATCTAATTAATCATGCAATTTTTAGTGCTCTATTTTGTTTTCAATCTATTTTAAAATAAAAGATCCTTAGATTTTATATATTTAATTTTTGTTTCTCTTTATCATACTGAATTGAATAATATTCGAAAATAATTCTTCATTTCTTAATCCTTGGAGATTTATCTTGAATTAACAGATATCAACAGTTTGGTTATTGGTTTTGAAAATTCTGTAGTTAATTTTTCACCATTTTCATTCAGTTATAAGTTGTAATTTTTTCTAATTTAAGCAATTCATTAATTCAATTTCTCTTTTTTTCTTGCCTTTTTAACTTCAAATCATTTAAAACTTGTTCTTAATGTTATTTTGAATACTTCCATTCCTAATTTACTTTTTCAATTGTTCTATATTAACAATGAGGCTGGTCACTTATGCAATCAACGTACAAATATCAATCTTCTACCTGTTTTTCCTTTGCATCAATGTCAATCATTAGAATTTCCTTATTATGTGGGGGGCAAATTTTGTTTAAGCATCCTTAGATGCGTCAATAGTTTAGAAGTATGAAGCGTTATTAAATAAAAGTCCGAATTGTCAAAACAATTCATAAACAAATTAACTATCTTATGAAAATTGGATTTATTTATCTTGAAAATCTGATGAAAAAAATTCAGAGAATGATTTGACTGCATCTTAAAAGTTCTGCTAGGTTTATGCACATTCGAATAAAGGTAATTTTACTTTTAAACTGTATGAATTTGGGCTTTTTTTTGACTATAAATTTTTCAAATGTATTCTCAACAGTATTTTTGAAATCCATAATTTAATCAAGCACGTTTTTGAAGTAATCTAATTATATTTGGATCTCTTTAGTCTTATTCTCTTTTGTTTAAGTTTTGAAAGATGATATTCTTTCTTTTGTATGTGATTATTATTAATAAGATATATTGGAATTTCTTAACTAAAAATAATAATTCAAAATTCTATTAAAATACAGTTTATTTCTGATGATTGTTATCGCATATAAAGTCTTATTTCTTAATTGTAAAAAATTATAAATTATGAAAATAAAGATCTTATCAAATATTACACTATTTAAAATTTTAACCTATTAACCTTTTTGGTTGAAAGTTTTAAATGATGTGGATAAAAATGGAGGTAGTTTAAATTTATGGAACATTAATACTAAGATGTAAAAATTATTGTTATGATAGGGTTAGTCCATTATCATGAAAAATGAATGATAAAAAACTAATCTCTGTTAAACTCTAGTTATATGTACGTTAAGTATCATTTATTGAGGATAACCCAAAACTATCCTTTTTACTCTAAAAATGCCAATATAATTTTAAAAACTAACTTATAGTACCTAGATGAAAGTAGTAAATGATAATTTTAATTAGTACTTTAGATTCAAACAACAAGTTTATTTATTTTCTATATGCAGCACTACGCATTTTATAATTAAAAACTTAAGTATTGCTACTTTTAGAGATAATTAGCCTTTGGTTTCAGATCAAAATATTTAATTATCTAATATTGTTTGACTTTTTGAAAAATTTAGTTTGTTTAGATCTCTTATGTGCAATTAAAAAAAATAATTTCAGAGTTTTTTCTGAAAAATTAGTAGATTCTCTACCAATAAAAACTAAACTTAGGTTCCACAGCAGATATTCTATTNTCAGTTATAAGTTGTAATTTTTTCTAATTTAAGCAATTCATTAATTCAATTTCTCTTTTTTTCTTGCCTTTTTAACTTCAAATCATTTAAAACTTGTTCTTAATGTTATTTTGAATACTTCCATTCCTAATTTACTTTTTCAATTGTTCTATATTAACAATGAGGCTGGTCACTTATGCAATCAACGTACAAATATCAATCTTCTACCTGTTTTTCCTTTGCATCAATGTCAATCATTAGAATTTCCTTATTATGTGGGGGGCAAATTTTGTTTAAGCATCCTTAGATGCGTCAATAGTTTAGAAGTATGAAGCGTTATTAAATAAAAGTCCGAATTGTCAAAACAATTCATAAACAAATTAACTATCTTATGAAAATTGGATTTATTTATCTTGAAAATCTGATGAAAAAAATTCAGAGAATGATTTGACTGCATCTTAAAAGTTCTGCTAGGTTTATGCACATTCGAATAAAGGTAATTTTACTTTTAAACTGTATGAATTTGGGCTTTTTTTTGACTATAAATTTTTCAAATGTATTCTCAACAGTATTTTTGAAATCCATAATTTAATCAAGCACGTTTTTGAAGTAATCTAATTATATTTGGATCTCTTTAGTCTTATTCTCTTTTGTTTAAGTTTTGAAAGATGATATTCTTTCTTTTGTATGTGATTATTATTAATAAGATATATTGGAATTTCTTAACTAAAAATAATAATTCAAAATTCTATTAAAATACAGTTTATTTCTGATGATTGTTATCGCATATAAAGTCTTATTTCTTAATTGTAAAAAATTATAAATTATGAAAATAAAGATCTTATCAAATATTACACTATTTAAAATTTTAACCTATTAACCTTTTTGGTTGAAAGTTTTAAATGATGTGGATAAAAATGGAGGTAGTTTAAATTTATGGAACATTAATACTAAGATGTAAAAATTATTGTTATGATAGGGTTAGTCCATTATCATGAAAAATGAATGATAAAAAACTAATCTCTGTTAAACTCTAGTTATATGTACGTTAAGTATCATTTATTGAGGATAACCCAAAACTATCCTTTTTACTCTAAAAATGCCAATATAATTTTAAAAACTAACTTATAGTACCTAGATGAAAGTAGTAAATGATAATTTTAATTAGTACTTTAGATTCAAACAACAAGTTTATTTATTTTCTATATGCAGCACTACGCATTTTATAATTAAAAACTTAAGTATTGCTACTTTTAGAGATAATTAGCCTTTGGTTTCAGATCAAAATATTTAATTATCTAATATTGTTTGACTTTTTGAAAAATTTAGTTTGTTTAGATCTCTTATGTGCAATTAAAAAAAATAATTTCAGAGTTTTTTCTGAAAAATTAGTAGATTCTCTACCAATAAAAACTAAACTTAGGTTCCACAGCAGATATTCTATTATAATTAAATCCATCAATTAACTTATGCCTATTCGACAACTATTTGCAAATATGCCAAAAACTGATTGATTTCATTTAAAAAGATAAAATTATAAAAAGTTTTAAGTAAAATTAAATATTCAATTATTATTTAGAATAATGAAATTCAAATTCTAAAAATTACAGGCAATTTCTTAAGGTAGAAGTTTTCATTACTTTCACGATAAGGTCTCATACTTTTGATTCAAATAAACTTCTCATTTAATTTTTAAATTTTCAGAAACCGTTTCATTTTTACCCTAAGTCTGAACAGTTCTTTGTTTGACCTACTTCATTTTGATTCTTTACTAAAATATTTAACTGATAATTCATTCAAACCGCTCATAAGTTAGATTCACAATTAATTGCGTAAATTAGTAAATACTAAAATATTTTGAGTAACGAATAAGAATGGAATATTATCTGAATTTAACTTTCAAAACAAACTTCAGAATAATTTCTTCTAAAGCTTCCAATTCATTTGGATTGAATGGTGCACGCAAATAGAAAGAAAAACAATAACAAAAAATGATTTAAATTATGAAATCATATTATCATTTTCTAATTAGTTATAACGATTTTTTTCTATTAGTTTATTTTAATATTGAATTTTTTATTAATAAATAAGCCTAACAAACCTTTCCCATTTCTAATCAATAAATCAAAAGCGAAGCATTGTAAATAAATTTATTATTTGCAAACTGCATTTAAATCATATTATCACTAAACAACTAATATGATCATTTTAACCTATAGTTAATTAAAGATTGTTATCTTAAAGATATATTTAGAATATTTTAATCTATAAATATTAATTTTAATACTTTGTAATTAAAAGTTATAACTAAAAATCAATACTCGAGCAACACACAAAATTCTCTGCAAAAAAGTATCATACTTACTTATTTCCTTAGTATTCCTGAAATTTGGCGCTTATTATTTACACTTTATTCTTAAACAACTGATGAATAGATACTTAAGTAATAATTTACTTAATTTTAACACATATATTTTAGTAAGGTCAATTTAAAGGAATATTACTATTGCTTGGATTGAAGTTTAGGCGTCTCAAAAAATTATGATTAATCTGGGAACCCCAAGCCCTAATTTGATTAGAAAGATTCAAATAATAAAAAGAAGGACTTAAAAAAATAATCTACAGAAAACAACCAATCTTTATCTCGCTAGAATATTATTCATTTAATTTAATTTATCACTCCGTTCACGTATTTGGTAAATTAAAATGAGAAGGTCTATCAGCAGCAGTAAATATAAATTCTAAATATATTCTGATTTATATGACAATAAAACACACTAATTAGTATTTAGAAGAGAAAATGTTTATTTAGTTAAGAGTATTTTTAAAGCTTTTATTGAATTAAATATCATCAAACAAAAATATTGAACAGGATAATTTACTCCTCTTGGATAGGCCTTTTTTATTAACGATAATTTTCTTTGAGCTGCCCTAAGATGAAGTCTTTGAGTAAGTATTTGTAAAGAAAAATTTTTCTTTTGCTATCTTAATCAATTCTTCAATACAATAGATGATTTTGGTATGACAGAATAAAATGAAAAATATCAAATGTAAGAGAAAATTGCTGGAATTTTCTTTACAATCTGCAATAATCTTTTGAATAAATATCTGAAGTTAAGTAGATTGAATAACATAACACTTTGATTTATATAATCAAAGATATTATTTAGGATTATATATTAATAACATAAGTTAATATGGGGTACAAATTTTAATGATGATTGATGTCTATTATTTATCCTCTTAGGGTATCGATAGTGTATTTATATCCTAAGTTTATCGCCAAAAATTCATCATTTTCCTTAAATATAACTTAATTTCTAGATTTGATCTCAAAATATTTAGGAATACTTTTAATGGATTTAAATATCTCTAATATTATCTTTTGTGAACTAATTGGCAAGGTCAATTAATTTGGCAATATTGATAATTATAAAATAAAAAACATAAGCTATTTCCTCTATAGGATAGTATAGTTAAACTAAATTAGGGTGAGTTTTAGCGTTGGTGTTAGAAAAGCCGAAGATCTTTGTATGAGAGTATATTTTTGAAATTTAAATAAAATAGCATGATTTTAAACTTTCTATTAATTTTATTTCATGATTCCGTATAAAGAATAATAACTAATTTTATAGGAATATTGAGAAATATTAAGATCTAATATAATGCTAAGATATAGGAGCAATGGAATACGATGTTATTTTGAAATTGAGAAAAAATTTCTAATTCTTTACCGATAAAATTTTAAGTAATATAATGCTAACTAGTATGCTGATTTAATAAATATTTATCTGCCGTTTGGTTTGAAAAATTTTTACTCACATCCTAAATTTCTATTTATGGGTTTGATTCTAAATCTAATCATAAAATGGATTCCTTCTCCTATTATTAGATACAAATCTATCAAGCCATTCTTAAGGAGCCTGACAAAAAAATTACTGTCTAAGGAGTTTCTGTAAAAATTATTTTGAGAACAGTCATAATTTTCGTTTTCAGATTGAATTCATTAAAAATAAAATAATCATCAAACAACAGAAAAGGATCCTTTCTTTGAGTTACTTGTTGTGATTAGAGCCAAAAATATTTCGGTGGTTCTACTTGATAAAAAACTAGCAAAGCAACCAAATATATTTGAATCAGGACTATTATAAAAGTTATTAAAAATGAATCAAATATGAGCAATATTAATTATAGATAGTTTACAAGTATTCTACTGGCATATAATTCTTAGGCTGCGTTATATAAATTCATGGGAAGACAATAGCCCTGATAAAAGGATAATATTTATGATGCCATACTTATTATTAATTTGATTTTAAATGAGGGTTATCATTCTGCTTAATATATTTCAAGATTCTTCTAGAATTCCAAAAAAGAACTTAAACCTACTAATTTTGCATAGGTTTTAACTACTAGTTATAAGAGTTGCTATACGATGCAGATCACGTGCAACTTCAGATCTGAAGATGGATGTGGCGCATTTTGCGAAGAAGACCCTGAGGCAGAGATAAGACTACACAGATATTATGTTGACTACTCCTACCATCTGTTTTAGTAAACTCCGCCTGAAAACAGGATTGGAAATGAAACCATTTGTATTTGCGGATGCCTGAATGAAGGATTAAAAAAAATAGAATAATTTAAAATAAAATAATTACCAAATCTCCAAAAAAGTCATAATCTCCTTTTTTTCTAGCAAGTTTCATTTTCAAAGATGTTTATTAAAATTCTAATTTAATCATTCAACTTCTTAACATTTTAAGTTATAATGAAATTAATTTACCAATTAGTTGATTCTTCTTCCAAACACCAATTCCTTTTTTTCATCAGGCTAAGAAAAGAAGGGCTGATAGGAAATAAGCAACCATTAACTAAAACATAACCAAAAACGTGATGAAAAATTTGTCAATCTTGCCCTATATTTCAGGAAACCAATTTAAATCTTGCGAAAATAAGGCAGGTTTAAGAGTTCTAATTATTAAATTGTATTCTAAATAATTTGCTTTTTACGATTTATTGATATTTTGAATTCAAAATTAGTACCATTTAAAGTTGGTTTTAAATAATATGTAGATAAATCATAATTTTCCAAAGCTTCATAAAATTTTACTTAATTTTTAAAAATTCTTGGTAAACTTGATGAAAATCTGAGGCCAGTAAAGAAAGTAAACAAAAAAGAAGTTACTTAAGTAATTAAATGAGATAATATTGTTTGCAGAAAAATTGGAGAAAGTAGAATAATCTATTATTTGTCCAAGTACACTGACCAATTCTCTGGTTCCCCTTAAAGATGATCCAGAATATTATTTAGCGTCATATTCTTGTTATGAGCAGGCTTTCTCCAGTTATGTTTGAAGGGCTCAATTAATTCATACCCCAAAAATATACTATTCACTTAGGGTTGGATTTTGTTACAATCTCATCGTTTTTCAATAGCGACAACCTTTTCTTTACCTTCCATCTAATCCATTCCGCTCAAAGTATGCTATCTCTATATTGTTCAAATTAGAGTTTATGCACAATAGGTATAATAAAAAAATTCCAATTAAAAATGCATTCAATTTACAGCAAGATTTTTTGCACGCCCCTATTGAAATTTGAATATTATTCTTGAATTTTAATAAGAAATTTAACATGAAATAGAAAATTTCTATAAATTTTTTTCATCTTCCTTCAACTAATCTAACGAAATATATTCATAAATCTTCCAATCCTATAAATTCGATTGGGATTTCTGCTTTTTTTATGTTATTTAAATTTTGTTCCTTGATAATTATTCATAATAAAAATAACACTCACTTTTCCTTATAATTCCGAAATATTAATTTGATTTTATTTAATTTAAGAGTATATTTATGGGATTAATTCCCATAGTGATAAATCAAGTAAAATCTATTGTGTTGATTTTTCGAATAAGAGTTATTATCCTTAAAGTATACAACTTATACAAGCTGAAACTCTATCTACTAAAAATTTTCCTCCCATATTGCAATAAAATTTCTATACTTCAAAACACGCAAAATTAATTCTAAAAAGCATCAACAAATAAAGCTCCGACACCATAAAAATTTGGGAAATGATTCTCATTTTTCCAAATATTAATTCCTTTATACAACATATACAATTTTAACCCTGAATTTGCCTTTATGACAATGTCTTTTTGCATATATATTTAGGGTGGCTGTTTGAATTATCTTCATGTTGGATATGATTTAATAGAAAATATGTTACTATTTTTAGATTAAGAAAAGATAGCGATTGCATTAATTATGATTGGGGTTGCACCTGAAAATTTACAAATACTTTCATTCCCCACTCCTTTCAATTAAATTTGTTATTTCATTCATGTTTAAAAATAATTTCACAAACAATTTTAGATTAATTAAAGCATCATTTTTTCTATATATTATCAATTAAATAACACAATTAATTTTTACTAAAAAGATTTTTGAATGTTATAATTATAATTCAACAAAGAGCTTTAACGATAATGATATATCTATTCTAGATTGGATTGGATGAATTTACTTATTATTATTATANGTTCCCCTTAAAGATGATCCAGAATATTATTTAGCGTCATATTCTTGTTATGAGCAGGCTTTCTCCAGTTATGTTTGAAGGGCTCAATTAATTCATACCCCAAAAATATACTATTCACTTAGGGTTGGATTTTGTTACAATCTCATCGTTTTTCAATAGCGACAACCTTTTCTTTACCTTCCATCTAATCCATTCCGCTCAAAGTATGCTATCTCTATATTGTTCAAATTAGAGTTTATGCACAATAGGTATAATAAAAAAATTCCAATTAAAAATGCATTCAATTTACAGCAAGATTTTTTGCACGCCCCTATTGAAATTTGAATATTATTCTTGAATTTTAATAAGAAATTTAACATGAAATAGAAAATTTCTATAAATTTTTTTCATCTTCCTTCAACTAATCTAACGAAATATATTCATAAATCTTCCAATCCTATAAATTCGATTGGGATTTCTGCTTTTTTTATGTTATTTAAATTTTGTTCCTTGATAATTATTCATAATAAAAATAACACTCACTTTTCCTTATAATTCCGAAATATTAATTTGATTTTATTTAATTTAAGAGTATATTTATGGGATTAATTCCCATAGTGATAAATCAAGTAAAATCTATTGTGTTGATTTTTCGAATAAGAGTTATTATCCTTAAAGTATACAACTTATACAAGCTGAAACTCTATCTACTAAAAATTTTCCTCCCATATTGCAATAAAATTTCTATACTTCAAAACACGCAAAATTAATTCTAAAAAGCATCAACAAATAAAGCTCCGACACCATAAAAATTTGGGAAATGATTCTCATTTTTCCAAATATTAATTCCTTTATACAACATATACAATTTTAACCCTGAATTTGCCTTTATGACAATGTCTTTTTGCATATATATTTAGGGTGGCTGTTTGAATTATCTTCATGTTGGATATGATTTAATAGAAAATATGTTACTATTTTTAGATTAAGAAAAGATAGCGATTGCATTAATTATGATTGGGGTTGCACCTGAAAATTTACAAATACTTTCATTCCCCACTCCTTTCAATTAAATTTGTTATTTCATTCATGTTTAAAAATAATTTCACAAACAATTTTAGATTAATTAAAGCATCATTTTTTCTATATATGAGCTATTGAGGAAAAACTAAATTACAAATGACATAATTTTTTCACATCATTATTTTTATTATTTATAAAGATTTTTGTTTATTTAATTGAACTAATTAGAATAAAAAAGAAAATCTTCATATGTCATATTGTTAGTTTCTTTTAAAATAAATGCTCATTCAAATTAAAGGTTTAGTTCATATTTTCCTTTAAGGGGTTATAAAGAAAAAGGAGCAAATAAAGAACCATAAAGGAGTGATTAAATAAGTCATCATATGATAACCGTATAAAATAAACTTAAATTGCAGTGGTTGAGACAAAAATTCACCTATGGAAATCAAAGAATAATGAGTGACATATTGTGAAGAAATAAATCACTTTTAATTTAATGATGCCTAGTAGTGTTGCTAAAAAGGTATCGTAAATACTAAACTCTTCACTTAGATTCCTATTTAGGATAGACCAAACGCAGATTACAGTTTAATTGAATAAGTTGAAAAGATCTTATTGATTTAGCATAATCTAAGTCAGCCTCTGTTTAAAAAATCGAAATTAAGAACGTACTTTAATCGCCCTGTACTTTAAATCCCTTTTTCTCTTCATGCATAATTAACTGTAATTAAACTTATCACAAAATGGTAAGTCTTCTTGTCAAATTTGATTCTCTTTATTTTATAACATTCATATAATTTTAGGTTATTAAATATTCATCTAAAGAATAGAAATCTATTAATGATATAAAGATATTTTAGGTTTACTCTGCTCTTTTAATCGAGTTCATAATCTCTTTTTTGGTTAAAATAAATAAAAAATTTAGAATCTAAGAATCCTCTTAAGTTTATTATTTTAAAAAATAGTACTATGGTTAATAAATATAAGATGCTAAAATTGATCCTGATAATTCACTCTTTATTAATTTTGCCATATTTGATTTACCTTGAAACTAATTGAATAAGTTCATAAATAATATAATTCAGCTCATAAGTAACAGTATTCTTAAAGCTATAAAAGGAAAATTTATTGATTGCAGTGACAAGAAACTAAAAATTGTGAAAATACACTATTACGATTAGAAAAGTTGAAATTCCTGGGTAGTTTGATCAAAATCGACAAGAATTTAGCATAGCATACAGAAAATGCTCTTCAAACCAATCTTTACTACACTTTCCCTTTTATTTGGTTTGGTATTATCCAAAAGTATGTACATAAGTGTAATTGAACTCTCTTTTAAATGAAAATCAAATGGAAGTGGCATGCAGAAAATAATACATTATCTTCTTTTATATTTTCTTAAATTAGATAATTGATTTTTCTAATGGTAAATCTCGTTTTATGTTATTCATATCAATTTTAATTAATTCAAGGGTAGTTATGAGCCATGTGTTTTTGGATAAAATAAGTCAGAAAATTTAAGAATTATGAATTATAATTTGTTTGAAATAAAATAGTTATTTAAAATATATTTCTCTAACCATTTAATTGAGCTGTTACATAATATGAGAATATTAGTAGGCATTTTAGATTTTTGCACTTTCTCCATCAATTTTAAGAATCAAAAAATACTTTCTATATTAAATTTATCTCAAGTCTGCTTATGGAACCTAATTCTGGATTTATGTAATTAATCTTTATTTCCTAGGAAGTTGCATAATGCTCCATTCTATAAACTTGATCATGTGACTTTAGATCTTAATTATCTCATGCAGGATGTCTAAGCTATTTTTGGCACTATTTTATTCAAAGAAATTAATTAGCCTTTAGGAATCAATTTATTTCCAATTTCAATATCATAAAAATTTAGATAAATCTCATTGTTTTCTGTGCTGTCCTATTGTCAGGTCAATAAAATTGAATGATATAGCCTTGTATGCGCTCTTTTTGACATATTTATCGTCTTTCTAGATAATTTCTCTAATTCTGATTTCTTTGAGTTAGCCCGTCTCTTAACCAACCGCTTAGTCTTAGTTTCATACATTTGATCCAAGGTCAAATAATATTCCCACTTCTGTTAACTTTCCAGAAGATTTCATCATCTTCTCTATAATCTCACAAATAATCATCTTGTGGTTTTTACACATATCCATCCTTTTTCTTAAACAATATTATTATTCCTGTGGAAGTCTGTAATAAAAATAAGAATTACAAGAGGAATTTTAAAAACTGGGTAGTTTTGACCATATACGAACACGCAATTTAATGGTTCCAATTTTGATAATGGTGATATAAATGGAATTAACTTAACTGGTGCTTAATTGTTCAATTTTAAATGGAAAAATCTCAAAATACATGAGCAAAATAAATTAAATATCAGTAAATTTCTCTCCTAATACTCTATCCGTATATGGGATGTTAAGACAGGAGGATAAAAAGCCAAATTAGATGGCCATGACAAATGTGTTAATTCAGTCTGTTTTTTTTCTGATAGTAATACATTAGCATCTGGTCGTATTTATAAGTCAATTCGTTTATGGTCAAGATTTAAATAACCCAATTAGAAGGTCATATGCTAATACAGGATAATAAAATGGCAACCTAAATGGTCGCACTAAAGCTGTTAATTCAATTTGTTTCACTCTTGAGAGTGCTAAATTAGAACCTGATGGTTCAGAAAAGTCTATCTTTTATGGAATGTTAAAACAAGGTTATAAAAAGCAAAATTAGATGGACATATGAGTTATGTTCAATCAGTGTTCTTTTCTCCAGATGGTATTACTTTAGCATCAGGTAGTTAAGATAACTTTGTCCGTATTTGGGATGTGTTAACAGTATAATAAAAGTTAAAATAGATGGTCAATCAAATTGGGTTGAATCAGTCAGTTTCTCTCCAGATGGTACTATATTAGCCTTTTGGAGCTTAGATATGTATATCCGTCTATTGGATGTTAAGTCAGGAGAATAAATGGCCAAATTAGATAATCATACAGATGGTGTTTATTGAGTCTGCTCCTCTCCTAATGGTAAAAAATTAGCATCGGTCAGTGGAGATGATTCTATCGGCTTATGGGATTTGCAAAAAGCAAAGCAAATCTAACCTTCAGATTCAATTAAAAAGAAATCCCTACATAATTCCCTAGCTTTTAAAACGGCATTCGTTTAGTAAATGATATTTATATTTCATCACAAGCTTAACTCTTTAGAGGATAATTTGTAGATTTCAGAGGATATGATTTTATATCGAAAGGCAGTTTGAATTTAGATATCTAATATGTTAGAAATAATATTGATTATTACATATTTTATATAGATATATATATTATTTTTTTCATTTTTATTCATTTCATACTTCCAGTTAATTTTCCTTAAAATAATTTAATAAGCAGACAAATTAGATGGTCATAGTAATGGAATTCTATCTTTTTAATTTTTTCTCATGGTTCTATCCATCTGGTATGATAACAGTTGTAAAATAAGATGAAACATTTGTTGATCATAATAATTTTAGAATTTGTAGACTATTAAGGTTGATTTGAATTTCAGAGCTAAATTGTATTATAATTTAATTTATTATTTCTAAATAGAGAATAACTCATATAGAATTAGTATAATAATTGAAAGATTGCTTGAGAATTGAAGATATCATCAATCAAAAAACAGGGTAACTATGTATTGATTGCATAAAAAAGGATTAAATTTTTGATTATGCAGAAGCTACTATCATAAAAATGTCATTACTGTGATAAAAAAAGAATTATTAATATTTATCCTTTATTGTAGATTGAGATGACAGATTGTGAAAGGTTAAGAAATGAAAGAGGTGCCCTCTCTTAAATGATATTTTTATTACAATTAAACAACAAATATTTCTTGCTAATCCACTCTAAAAGGGAAAGTTCGTCACTTTTTTAGCTGATATAAAAATTGAAAATTAAAAATATATTTAAAATAATAATATTGTTGATAATATGATCTGATAGATGAAAAAACGTTAGTTTATTTTTCCTATGTCTTAAAATATTTTTAGCCTTTTTAAGTTGATGGGAAAATTTGATTCCTTCCTCTAGTTTAATCTGTATGTGGCAAATTTTAAATACCATCAGATGCATTACTATTAATAGTTTTGGATTTATATGTTTAATATAATCATATGAGATAAAGTAAGATATATGCATTTAGTTTACACAATCAGTGAAATACAAGATAAATAAATAAATATATATATTATATAGATTTTAGTGATTTTCCTTCTTCCGACAAAAATATTATATTAGAAAAGGCAACAAATATGTTCAAAAATGACTAATAAATTTGAATTAGGATTTTCTTTAAAATAAGATATTTTTAAGTAATTACATGCAACTCAAATTTAAACATATTAATTTAGAGTTGATAAACATTATTAATGCTCAAATTCGGAGACATTCTGAATATTCTACACAAAACATTATTTATTAAAAATTTAAGAAAATAATAAAATATATGCAAATCTAATTAAATTATTATAAATATCAGTCTTAACAACATATTATCATTCCATAAAAAGCTGTTATTGATGCTGAAATTACTTGATCATTTTACAATTTAAACTAATATAATATAATATTATTTACTCGTCCATTTTAGATTTGCTTAAGCACATTCAAAACACAAAATGGATATGGGAGGGTGAACACTAAAAATAATGTTATTTATTGTAAAAATATCCCACAAATACCAATAACTAATAATTGCGCTACTAATACATCTTAAAATTGATATATAAATATTTACAAATCATCTTTATACTGTTTTATTCAAAGCATAAATATATCAACATAATAAAATTACTAATGAAGTTTACACCTACATTCAATTAAAAAATGATAAAAACAGCCAAAGCTTATATAATAAAATAATTTTACATCCCCAATAATCATGAATTATATACATTATAACACCTAAGATTCCAAAATAAAGCATTGTGTGATTCAAAATTAATCCAAATAAGATACAAATGCTGGTGGATGTCTATAATAAATTATTTTGTATTACATTCCTAAAGTTTTCCCCAATTCCAATTTTTATGAGTATGGGAATTAAGATCACAGAAATAAAAAGGAAAGCAAAAAAAACAATTTCAAGTTTTTTGATACGAAACAAAGTGTAGCAGAAAAAAATGTATATCAATAATGCCACAATTGTCCAAAGGATGAAAATTCCTAAAATTTACATTAAAAATTTCTTTTGTTTTTTAAATTCTTAATCTTTGATCAGATTGGAAGTTGATATCGGCTACTAAGTCGCCTGATAATTTGCAAACTCTTAATAAGGAGCTATCTGATTTAAGGAAACTTAAGGTTGAACTGAAATCGATTAGGAAAATTAATCTTGATGTTGTGTCACAACAGGTATAAATTTAACATTTTAATTAGTATTCTCAAACAATTGTTATGATAGAGTTTCCTAATTTGAAGTTGATAAGTCAGGATATTTTACTTATTGCATAAATTAATTTTTAATATTTAAATATAAGCCAGTCCTAATTTATTTAAAGAAGACAATATAGAATAATTTTCCATAATCCTTGTTTGAAATTTTTATATTTTATCATAGCAATAAATTAAATTTTATTCTGCTATTAAATTCAATTTTATTGTAAATGGCTAAATAATTATTTTTTTCAACTAAATTTATTGTTTAAGATAGATGACTGAAGTAAACCTTTTAAATCGAAGATTTTATAATGAACAATAATTATAAAATGGGTCAAATAATTCTGAAGCTAGCCAACCATATCACAAATCTAATATCTAAACTTTCATTGTTATTCATATGAAATTTTACCTTTGTCGTTTGCAAGATAATTAATAATAATAATAAATGGCTCTTGTCAAAAAGCCATCATAGGAGATAATTGCAAACTTCATCTTGACCCATAGCTTAGACTACCCTTTAAATGAAAAATCATCCTAAAAAACTGGCTCGAGAATACGAATGCAGCATTAATCATTAATAATATAAGAAGAAAATATATATAATTATATAAATTAAATGTTTTAAAAATGATTTACTAATTAATCATTTATTCAAGATAAAGATATTTATTATATTTTTGTAAGATTATGAGCAATCATAGATTTTATTATAAATTTAAATAATAGTGGAAAATTATCTGGTAGCAAGAGATCTATTTAAGTGAAAAAAAAATTATATTTTATAAATTTAGTAAATAAATGGGTTAACATCCTAAACAATATTAAAATCTAGAGAAAAATGATGCAGTAACATCAAATTATTTAGAGTTTTTATTAATGATTTTTTTTAAGCATTATTTGTAATTAAGAAAATATCATTCTAGTTGAACCTAATATATATTGTAAATATGATGTAAAAGATATTGTATTCTGTCTTTTTAAACTAGTTTAAAGCAAATATATTTGATAATCTTGATTACCAGCTTATTTTGTTCTTCCTATATCTATGCTCCTTTTCTCAAACTAAAAATTTAAGAATTTGAAAGGCCACAGAGAAAATACTTGGAAAAGCTATAGAATGGTTTACCAAGACTATTCATTAGTTATTCCGAGCTTGACAACATGATATTGTTATTTTGTTAATTATAATAGATCAGTATTTATGATTTATTTTATAGATAAAGAATAGATAATGAGAATAGATAAATAAATGGTGCCTAGTATTGGAAATGGATTTATTTTAGTCGATTCATAATATAAATATACCATATTAAACATTTTAGTTAATACCATGGTAAAAGAAGAATTTTATACATTTTCTAGATGATAATATAATAAGAAACAATGGAAGTTCCAATTAAATGTGTTTGTTCCATAATTCTTTGTAAACAGATTATTAATTTTGTATCACTTCAAATCAATAAATTCAGTTAGAATGCCCATATTAAATAAAAATTTCATAAATAGCAGTCATCAAAGATTTCCTGCCTGCTAATCTTNCCCAACCCCAAACCCAAACCCAAACCCAACCCCAACCTAGAAAGCTTCTTCTCCACATCCCTTGATTTATGGTCAATGTCTTAAGTTATATAAGAACATTAGATTGCATAGAATTCACATATATCAGGTTCTTTATAAGAAGGTTTCAGAAGGTTCTTCACATACATTATAAAATAAAAATTTAATATAAGCTGTCCCCCTTAAAAGCGAAACCTTATACTAAGATCACCAACTTCAGTAGTCAAGGCAGGACAGAGATATTGTACTCTCATAAGGATTAAGTTTGAAATGATTTAATAACACCTAAGGGTAATATTGTCAATGTTCGAAAGACCACTAGAACTGTTAGTGCTCTTAATTAGACTCCACCTAAAGAGAGAAGGAAAAAAGGAAAATGATTGAGATATCATTTGTTAGAGAAAATTATTATTATAATTATAATTATAATTATTATTATTAACCCTTGTAAGTTCATGAATGTTATAATATCAAAATCAAAATTAACTTTGAATCCATTTTTCTATCTTCTTACATGTTTCTACCATGCGATTCATTTCATTTAAATGGGTTTGTTTATTTAAAACACAGAGCCCTATTTATCTGGGAAATTCAAATAACAATGAGTAAAATTGTGATTGATTTTTTGTTATAATTAGAGATGATACAGTATTCATAGTAGATAAGAGAAACGTCTCTTTTATTCGCCTCTTATTCCTATTTAGTACCTAGTCTATACCCATTGATAAAGTTTTAGATATGAGTCGTCTAGGCTAATTTATTCTTTTTTGGCTGAACTATTCTAGTCTTTCATATTCTTAATTACTGTTCATCATGCATTTCTAAAGTCTTTCCTTAAAGTGCTGAACTCTTTTTAGTTTCTTGGATATTTGTTAATTTTTTTTGAAAACAATATACCTATTTAAATTAGGTTCATCAACTTTGGCAATAGGCGTTGACTAAATAAATCAAGAGAGTTAATCAATTTAAGATATCTAGAATTAATTCTCTGTTATAAAGTTAATTCAAATTCATAATTCAAAAAACATTGTGTAAACTCAACTTATTTCTTCTAATTCTTCCTCACTTTTAATTCATTAATCGAAAAAGTACTTTTGGAATTTCATTAAGTATATCCTCTAAATAAGCCCATTAATTGACTTGTTATCCCTTATCCATACATAACTCTTTGGTAGGTCATCCCTCCAATTTCCCTAATTCAAAAGTTAAGAGTCTAATCATATCTCATAGGCCAACTTAGGTTGTTCAATCATTTCACAGTATGATTACTTGTATTATATTGCAATTCAATCTCAGAATGTGTGTGAATGTTTTATTAATTGAGAAAAACTAGATTTTAAAATGCTATTGAGATTACTTGTGAAAACTCCATAACTATTGATATAAGCTATTTTTGACCAGTCATGTCAATCATTTGTCAAGAGAAATCATCCTTTTACTCACGATCAGACCAGTATTAGCACTAGAGTTAAGGGTAAAATTTTGACTTACACGATATTATTTATTTTTCATATAAAAAATCTTTAAAAAGCAATTTTAAGTATTATATGAATAAATTTGAGTATAATTATTATTTTTATTTTATAAATTTAGTAAATAAATGGGTTAACATCCTAAACAATATTAAAATCTAGAGAAAAATGATGCAGTAACATCAAATTATTTAGAGTTTTTATTAATGATTTTTTTTAAGCATTATTTGTAATTAAGAAAATATCATTCTAGTTGAACCTAATATATATTGTAAATATGATGTAAAAGATATTGTATTCTGTCTTTTTAAACTAGTTTAAAGCAAATATATTTGATAATCTTGATTACCAGCTTATTTTGTTCTTCCTATATCTATGCTCCTTTTCTCAAACTAAAAATTTAAGAATTTGAAAGGCCACAGAGAAAATACTTGGAAAAGCTATAGAATGGTTTACCAAGACTATTCATTAGTTATTCCGAGCTTGACAACATGATATTGTTATTTTGTTAATTATAATAGATCAGNATATAATTATAATTATAATTATTATTATTAACCCTTGTAAGTTCATGAATGTTATAATATCAAAATCAAAATTAACTTTGAATCCATTTTTCTATCTTCTTACATGTTTCTACCATGCGATTCATTTCATTTAAATGGGTTTGTTTATTTAAAACACAGAGCCCTATTTATCTGGGAAATTCAAATAACAATGAGTAAAATTGTGATTGATTTTTTGTTATAATTAGAGATGATACAGTATTCATAGTAGATAAGAGAAACGTCTCTTTTATTCGCCTCTTATTCCTATTTAGTACCTAGTCTATACCCATTGATAAAGTTTTAGATATGAGTCGTCTAGGCTAATTTATTCTTTTTTGGCTGAACTATTCTAGTCTTTCATATTCTTAATTACTGTTCATCATGCATTTCTAAAGTCTTTCCTTAAAGTGCTGAACTCTTTTTAGTTTCTTGGATATTTGTTAATTTTTTTTGAAAACAATATACCTATTTAAATTAGGTTCATCAACTTTGGCAATAGGCGTTGACTAAATAAATCAAGAGAGTTAATCAATTTAAGATATCTAGAATTAATTCTCTGTTATAAAGTTAATTCAAATTCATAATTCAAAAAACATTGTGTAAACTCAACTTATTTCTTCTAATTCTTCCTCACTTTTAATTCATTAATCGAAAAAGTACTTTTGGAATTTCATTAAGTATATCCTCTAAATAAGCCCATTAATTGACTTGTTATCCCTTATCCATACATAACTCTTTGGTAGGTCATCCCTCCAATTTCCCTAATTCAAAAGTTAAGAGTCTAATCATATCTCATAGGCCAACTTAGGTTGTTCAATCATTTCACAGTATGATTACTTGTATTATATTGCAATTCAATCTCAGAATGTGTGTGAATGTTTTATTAATTGAGAAAAACTAGATTTTAAAATGCTATTGAGATTACTTGTGAAAACTCCATAACTATTGATATAAGCTATTTTTGACCAGTCATGTCAATCATTTGTCAAGAGAAATCATCCTTTTACTCACGATCAGACCAGTATTAGCACTAGAGTTAAGGGTAAAATTTTGACTTACACGATATTATTTATTTTTCATATAAAAAATCTTTAAAAAGCAATTTTAAGTATTATATGAATAAATTTGAGTATAATTATTATTTTTATTTTATAAATTTAGTAAATAAATGGGTTAACATCCTAAACAATATTAAAATCTAGAGAAAAATGATGCAGTAACATCAAATTATTTAGAGTTTTTATTAATGATTTTTTTTAAGCATTATTTGTAATTAAGAAAATATCATTCTAGTTGAACCTAATATATATTGTAAATATGATGTAAAAGATATTGTATTCTGTCTTTTTAAACTAGTTTAAAGCAAATATATTTGATAATCTTGATTACCAGCTTATTTTGTTCTTCCTATATCTATGCTCCTTTTCTCAAACTAAAAATTTAAGAATTTGAAAGGCCACAGAGAAAATACTTGGAAAAGCTATAGAATGGTTTACCAAGACTATTCATTAGTTATTCCGAGCTTGACAACATGATATTGTTATTTTGTTAATTATAATAGATCAGTATTTATGATTTATTTTATAGATAAAGAATAGATAATGAGAATAGATAAATAAATGGTGCCTAGTATTGGAAATGGATTTATTTTAGTCGATTCATAATATAAATATACCATATTAAACATTTTAGTTAATACCATGGTAAAAGAAGAATTTTATACATTTTCTAGATGATAATATAATAAGAAACAATGGAAGTTCCAATTAAATGTGTTTGTTCCATAATTCTTTGTAAACAGATTATTAATTTTGTATCACTTCAAATCAATAAATTCAGTTAGAATGCCCATATTAAATAAAAATTTCATAAATAGCAGTCATCAAAGATTTCCTGCCTGCTAATCTTAAAGATGCTTGTCTAAGTCTAATACGGACTGTTGGCTTTATTTTATTTTAACATTGCTATTGTGTAAATAATTTCAATGAGATACCCCAAGTAAGAGGCACATGGTTACTGTTATTAGGCTTGATCAGATTTTTGTTTTTATCCATGGCTACTAAGTTCACAGAATATGTGGGAGAGAACTTCGAAAGTCTCTTCGCAGATATTTTTTATTAAGGATTTTATAATTTATTAATTTATTTGACACATATGGTGAATGGTCTACATTCTTCTGAGTTAGTTTCAAGATTATCTAGACTCCTGGGTCTTGAGGATATTTCCGTTTATTTTCGTTATTACTTGATGGTTAAATCTCCATCTTCATTTCCCTTTATCAAACCAGAACTACTACTTATCCCCTGTTCTTTTGGCTCTAAAAATTAGTTGGTTCATAGGCAAAGGTTTTATTGAACTAAAAGGTTAATTTTGAAATTATGGGTAACACAGTTATAGATGGTATGATCATTCTTGCAACATTCACAAAACATTTTAAAGACGAAGACTTCTAAAGAAATAGGATTAAATTTATTTATAATTAAATTATGAATTAAACATTCTAATAGAAATTGGACCTTAAATGTAAGGAACATCCTGAAGAATCTGTAATTTTTTGGTGCAAATCTATTGATTGTTAAGAAAATAGGATTTTCTGTATTTTGTGCCAAAAATTATAAAAACACTACAACCATTTCAACGAGGATGTCGATGTGATTAATAAATTAAATTAATTTTTTATCACTAAATCGCAGAATTTACAGAGTTTATTAAGAGAATGTAAAATTTAATATTAATCAACTCTTCTTTCTGCGAAATAACTAATTTCAGGGTTAGAATACAAATTCTGTGGATTTGAAGATAAAATTAATGAATTCGACATTAATTAAGTATTAAAAGCACTTGAATCTTTTATTTTGTTTGATGATATGAATGATTATATAAGTGGTCATATAACAGGACCCTTGAAAAAAATGTAGAACATATTTGATAATCTCTTTTCTCAATTAAAACTACATCTCATAAACTATTAAATCTCTAAGTTCTAAAGAGAAATAAATAAGAATGAATATCAAAAAAGTTGTCTTTCAATTTATTTTCTTTAGCATTTTCTTTAAGTTTCTCGAAGAAAGAGGCTGAGGCAATTAAAAAATTAGATGAGCTATTGTTAATTGAACCCTATAATTTGGAAATCATGTACTAAAAAGGTTATTAATTATTTCTATATCCAGGAAATTCATTAGGTAAATTGAACGAGTCTAAAAAAGCATATGAAATATACCTTGATATAATTAAAATCAATCCTTAACACGAACTCTCCTATTTGAAATTAGGTAATTTTCATTTGTTTTCTAGGTGATCTTTTAAGAGATGAAAAGCTTTATTACTAGGCTCTATAATATTACAATAAATGTATATCAATTAATGAAAATAATTCAGCAGCCTTTTTTGGAAAAGGTTTTAATTCTGTATATTACTCAAGGTGAATGCTTAAGTGCGGATAACTAATATAATGAAGCTCTACTAGATTATGATAGAGCAATTAAGATAAGCTCGTCTAACCAAGTTTATTTAATATCAAAAGGTAAGGTTCAGTTTCAACAATTAGGACATTGTTTAAGAAAATTAGAGAGATATGAAGAAGCTTTGAATATTTATGAGAAAATTTTAAATTCTGATTCTAAAAATGCAGAGGCATATGCCGGAAAAGGTAAACTAGATTTAAATCATCTAAGGTGATTGTCTAAGATTGTAAGGCAAATATTCTGATGCCTATTAATGCTATTAGTAAACATTACATATTAATCCATATCAAAAAGATTTGTTTTGTTTGATTGGTAAATTAAATTCAATAAATTAAAGGTGAATGTCTAATATTGAGTGATTAATATTATGAAGCAATAGAATACTATGATAAAGTATTAAAAATTAATTAATATGACACAGATTCATTATATTATAAAGGTATGCTTTATTGAATATTTAGCAATCTGCTTATTTAATTTAGGTTAATATAATGAAGCATAATAATATTTGGTAACTGCAGATTAACTAATCCCTGGTAATCAACCTATTAAAGATTTACTATGTATTTTCATTTATCTAAATAAGTTAAATGCGCCAATTCACAAAAAAAATGAAAATAATCAATATATTACAATTTTTACAAATTATTCCTTCTGATTTATTCGCCAAACGAAGTTTGATTGAATTTTTATAGGAACTATATAAATTTATTTGATGCAAATAAGTTATGATTAATTGAGTTTATCAGAGGTAATGTATCTAAATAAATAAAATGTTCAATTCTAAATACTTACTATCCTAAGGGTTAACTCAAATAAAAAGAATTCTAAAATTCTATTATATTCAAAAATAATAAAAAGTTTGATCGTTCTCTCTTATAAATTCTCAAAATAGTAGCTAATTCTACTTGTATGATAATTTTTCGAATTTCATTTTTAGTGGGGTAGAAAATTTATGGCGTTTAGCTTTCGATATTTTATAATTTGATCGATTAGTAAAGTTATTCTTTTTAAATTCAAAGCGGTAATAACTATTAGTGAATTTAGGTTATAACTATGAATTTACAACTTTGTTATTGATTTAAAATGGATTTGGAATTAGCTAAGACTCCCCAAATTAAATATGTAATGAAATAGGTTTATTTTAAATTCATATCATAGATGGATCAACTTATCTAAGGAATATTAAATAATCTAATAATACTATTTCTATATTTTATTTCGTAAATAATATTTCCCTGAAAGAATAAATAAAATTAGAATAGATCATTCCAAGAAATATATTTGGTAAGGATTTCATCAAAAATCTGTAATTAATAAATACTTAAACCAAAGGTTGCTTTCTGAGTAATGATTATGTGTAATTGGTTTATAACTTCACCTATCTCCATTAACTTCTTTACTTAATGCATTGAAGTTCAGTTATTTACTTAATATTTATCATGATATTATTAGTTTCAAGTTGCAACAATAAGCATTATATTTTCTTTACTTTTTTGTTAAAAATAATTACCAAACAGTTATCCTCCATACTTCTATTTATTTGAAATTATAATGTTTCTTTTTTTAATTTTTTCATTTTTTAATAGGTTATTAATTTACTATTATAATTAATTACTTTAGAATACTGAATACTAGACTTACTTTTTATGTCCAACAACATGCTTAATCATAAATTAATATTAATATACAATTTTTTAAATCATCGATATAAATAATCTTAATTTTCTCTTCCTATTTGTACTTTATAAGAATCTTTAGTAAAAATTGAAGCTAACAGTTATTCTCAATTTTAAATTATCACTTAAAATTCGTTGGTTTATGTTAATCTTTTAATTTATGATTTTCAATAAAAATTAATTTCTTTGTTTAACTATTTTGAACTTCAATCATTAATAAACAATAAATGAAAATTTTGAATAGAGAGAATTGAATTTATTCATAAATTTTCAATTATCCAAATAATTTAACTTCTTAAATAAATTGTTTTTTAACATTATAGACTCAGATAACCTATTTAGGGTGTTTTTAGAATATAAAAAATTGATTCTTTTAAAATATTAATAAAATAAAGATTATTGTTTTTAATTAAGGAAAATTACATTACAAAACATTTTAATTGTAAATGATAAGAAATATTAATTCATTATTTCTTTGTGCATTTTTTTTTGAGATACTCACTTAATGATTTCAGCTTTTTCCAAAATGAAAACAATATTTCTTATATCAAGAGTATAAGTTACAAACCAATTGATAAATAGATACTTACTCCAACTATCCATCCCATTTAATAAATTGATTCATCTTTTACTATTTTAAACCTGTCTTAAAATGCAAAAATAATTGAGCAACCAACGATTATAAAAATGCAAAAATCAGGAACGAAATTTAGGATATATTATTTTTTGCTTTTAAAAGGGTTATTTGCCATCAATAATAGTAGATTTAAAAAAGATGATAGAAAGCATAATAATGTCTAAAAGATTGGATAGGAATATAAAGTAACAGTAGAAACAATAAACATAGTTTTCCGTATTAAGTTTATAAATGAGTATTTCATTGCAGTCGAGGATTCAGTTTTCATTTCTTCATAAAAACAACAATACCTTGAAAAAAACTGTTTATTCTCTAATTTTGCTAAATGTGCTTAAGATATTTGATATGAGATAAATATAAGATAAAAAAGAAATATGAGAAATCCATAAGCAGCAATCACATTAATTTTAACGATGAAGTTATTAGCAGTTTATTAATTAGTGATTTAGAGCATCACTGCTAAAGTAATATCTAAATAACTTAAAGAAATGGATCTTATTAAATTAGACTTTAGATTACATTTTAAGTAAAAGCACCTTTATAAAGAAGATTAAAACCATTTAGGTATCTCGAAGTCATATTATACTTCAGAAATCCTAGATTTTTCAGGTTTTACGCTATCTCCTAATTAAAAGATAGAAAACTTGGTCTATTATTTTCTATTTTTTCGGTAATTTAGCTAAGCTAATTTAATAACTATCAAGCTCAAGAGATAAGTAAATAACACTTGGAAAGCAAATATGATTGGAGTTTATATATTGTTAAATAATAAAGGATCTATTTCTTTTTCCACAAATTTTATGGGAGCTAAGAAATAGTAATCATCATTTGGTTTATTTAATAATTTCAAAGTTGGAATATTGATGATATTACTCCATTCGGCCTATAAAAAAAGCATCCTAACATTCTATGGATAATTTACATTTAAAAAATAAAAGTTATTCATCCAACTCATTATATCAAGAATAGCCAAAAACAATTAAAATCCTCCAAATATTATTGCTAGAGGTGCTAAATATATTTAAAGCGAAAATAAAGTTTAATATCCTTATGCCATATTCTCTCCTTAAAGTCTTTGTTCTTCACTGACATATACTTACCTTTAAGGAACTACTATTATTTCTTTTATAAATGTTTCATCTAATTCTCTTATTTTATAGTATTTTCTATACGATATTGAAATATGTATTAAATTATTAGGTTCTATAGTTTTAATAAAGAAAAATCTCAAGTCTAATTCACTATTGTTTTCAATCACACTATAATTGTAATCTAAATTTGAAAATCCCTCAATATCAACAACTAAACTAGATAAATTAAGTGATTCTTAATTCTAGTTTATGAAAAGTGAATAATAATTATTACTGGATAATTTTTTCTCTACTTTTATATATGGTTCAGCTTACAAGGAATGAGTAGCAAAATTGAATATATACCCTTCTTCTAATTGACAAAATTCATTACATCCATCTAAAATATCTCTATTACTATCATCACATTATTCATGCACATCTAAAACTCCATTTCCGCATTTTGAAATACATTCATAAATATCAAAATCATTAAAGATTCCTAAAATGAAATTGCATTAATGTTAATTTTATTAATTTTGAAATTGAGAATTAAAAGTAGTACAATTTTTGAAATTTTGAGTACATTCAACACAAATGAGATCACATTAGGAGCATTCCTGAAATTAGTCTATAAAATAACCTGATTGACATTCGAAACAAATTTATTATTCATCCATTAAATTACATTAAAGACAATTCAAATCCTTACATCGAGAACACCCTTAAGATATCAAATTCTAATCGTGATTACAATAGAACCCTTTTTCTAAAAGGCATTTATCACACCCATCTCTTATTTCATTATTTCCATCGTCACATTCCTCAAATTAAGGATTCAATATTCCATCTCCACAAATATTCTAATTACATAGTTCACCACATTCTTAAATACATAAACTATCGTTATCTAAGACCCATCCTGGAGACTTGCACTTATAGCATACTCCTTAAATGCACTATGAACATTCATTTTAGCATAAATTTTAGCATGTTTCACATTAACATAAATTATTTTTCAATTTCCAATTAGGACCAATACATTCATAACAAATGCCTTTTGAACATTTCAGACATTCCTTTTAACACTCATGATAACACTCATAACACCCATCATTTTTAAGATCATTTCCATCATCACATTACTCATCTCCAGCAACAATTTAATCTCCACATATAGTTATACATTTGTTATTTGATAAATTAATTTCCCACCCTTAATCGAAACATTTAGAGCAAATTCCTTAACTGCATATCTCACATAATTGATCACAAGAATAATTACAATTAAAACATCCATCAAATGGTTCTAAATTACCGTCATCACAAAATTCATTAAATGTAATAATAGAATTATTACATGATTCACTGCAACTAAATTCAATATTCTCATAACCAATTTGACATTCAATACATTTCCCAAAAAGACAATTTAAGCATTCCTATTAACATTAATATAAGCAATTATAACAGCCATCAAATTGAATCTAGTTACCATCATCGCATTGTTCTTCACCAACAATAACACTATCTCCACATATAGTTGAGCATTAATGGTTTTCTAAATGATATCCTATATCACATAATTCACAACGTCCTTTTGAACAAGATAAGCATCCAAAATTGCATATGAAGTCGGAAGATTAACATTTTAGATAAATTAACTCTATATCATTTTTGTACTCCTCCTTGTTAACTTATATACTGCATATTTCTCTACATTAATTATTAATTAATGTAAATCCAATTTGACATTTTATACACAAAATTTCATTGACACATTATGCACAATCAATATTACAATTATAATTTAAATGAATTAACCTATTTGTCTAAATATCTACGCATTCATCATTAAGGATAATGATATTATAATCACAATAAGGGATACATTTATTAATTTTGGAAATCAATTTAAATCCAAACTTGCATTCAAGACATAATCCATTCTAACATAAATCACAATATTCTGAACAAATTAATTGACATTAATCACAATTTACAAATGGATTTTTATTTTTATCATCACACTATTCTTGACCTTAAACAATAATCCCATCTCCACATTTAGGTTCACATTTTATTCCAATCAAATACCATCCATTTTTTTCATCACATTCCTTACATATTCCATTTTCGCATAATATACAATGATCAAAACAATCTTAATTTTAGCATAATTGATTCCCAATCATCAAATAATCAAGGCAACTTATTTCACATATATTTATACTAGCATCCAATATATAATTTGTTTTGCATTCATAACACCACCCATTTTAACAATCTTAGCAACTATCTTAACAGCCAAATTTGCATTAATAGCAACCATCAAAAGGATCAAAGTTTCCATCATCACAATCTTCGCCATCAACAATCATTCCATCTCCACATATTGGTAGACATTTTGGATTAGGGGAATCATCATAATATCCTTCCTAACATATGCATTCAACTTGTCGAAGTATTCTTTAAAAATCTGGAATACAACTTGAACAAACAATATTATTTCCAAAAGTGATACAAGTTTGGCATAGAGGACTACATTGCTCACATTAAACAAGGGATAACAATAAGGTAATCCATATGATACAAGCAACGAAATTCATTTTTATAATAAATTTATATGGCCATATTAGCCATAGAACAATATTAATAGTGAAGATATTTTATATAATACTTCATTAATAAATTTTTTGCTTAGTAGTTTTTATTTTAAATTTAGAATTCCGCTGATTTTAAGTTGTAAAACTTTTTTTTTCTAAAGCTTCCTACTTTTCTGTAAAATAACCATTTATGATTTTATCCTAATTACTTTTAGAAGAGACATCAATATGAATTAATTTACCTGTTTCATATACTTTTTCCAGTTAAATATCAAATCCGTATTTTATTAGAATGATATTTACTTGATATTGAAATTTCAATTTATGAAATTTTTCATTAACCTGAATTTTGTAAGCCGCCTTTCTATAATTTTGTTCATCCTCTTAAATGATTTGCTTGAAAGTCTGTGGTTATTATAAATATGAAATTAGGTTTATTTCATGAATATAATAATTCATCATTTCAATGTTTGTGTATTGAAAAAATAGAGTTTCTTAAATATCTTTTCCACAATTCATCCATATTTAAGGCATTATTATTTTTATTTCGACAAATTATAATATTTTTGTGATTTTCACTCAACTTTTTTGGCCGGTAAAGAGTCTGGTTTTTGAGATTCAAAATCTATCACTTTTGAATTATATAAGATGATATGTCATTAACAATAGCATTTTCATATTATTAATAATTTTTGATTTCGATAACTGGAAATAATATTAATGATAAACTCACTTCATTGTTTCTCTTTTTCAAGAGTTTATAAAATAAAATCAAAAAATAGTGAATTAATAATATAGTAACCTAAATTCAACCCTAATCTTTCATATCGATTTGAGATTTACAATGAAAATATTAGTTTTTTTCGCTGAAAAAAATTCTTATATTAGGTTTCGAACTTATTTTTAATCAGTTTGAATTAAAGGCTATTTTTCTAATTTATGTTTAATTCTGACATCCCCCCTCTGAAATTTTGTAATAATAGTTGCACTTTAAAAACTCATTTCATTAATTGTATAAAAAGTAATATTCGCCATAAAATGAACTAAGAATAACAGGAAGTGTAAACCAAAAAACCTGGCTTTTGGCAAAATGTTAAGTCGGGAACCTATTTAGGTGGAATTGTGGCAGGCACAGGCACTATTTTAACTAAGGCTGGATTGGCAATTTATGGTTTCTCTTCGATTGGACCAGTCGCAGGAAGTTTTGCTGCAGCCACATAAGCTAGTATTGGAAGTGTAGCAGCAGGAAGTGCATTTGCTATAGCTTAAGGAGTAGCAATGTCAGGAATAGGAGTCATTGCTTTACCAGCTGTTGGAGTTGGCGCCGCAGTTGGAGGAGGATACGTTGCTTATAAACATCTAAAAAAATGAACAATTATTTGTATGTTGAACATTTTGTTAGAATGTAAATATCTTATTATTTTATTATAAATTGCTAAATTTTCTATTATTTGTATTTTAACAATATTTCGTTGCCGTATATTTAGTATTTAGATAAAGCTCTACAATGTTATAAAGCGATGCTTAAATTAATAGAAAGCAGTAGATATAATTTATACTTCAAGAAATTACTTCTTTGCATAAAATTCGTTTTTAGAAAAATTACTTAAATATTTAATATATACTTTCATATTAAAGGAATAGAAAAGGTTAAGCAAGTTGAAGTATGTAATTAAAAATAATGCTAGAAGATTAGAATCACTTAATATTTAATGGAATTTGGTCTCCTATTGATTTAATAATATTCAAGATTAATTAAATAAACAATGACTATCGAAGTGAAGAAGTCACTTAAGGCAAGTAAGAATTGAATCATGAAATGAAATTAGATTTCAATACTCTATTCAAAAAAATTGTAATATGATTTGATTAACACATAGTGTTATACTTTCAACAACAGGAAAATGATTTCCCATTATAATCCTCCAGTGAAATTATGGACTTTTTGTTATACGGTTTATTGCATTTTTTACATTTAAGTGCTTAGAGATATTCTAGAGCATTTTCACAAATATACAACACCTAATCATTAATATTTAACTGTTTCATAATCTTTTGACAACTTCTCTTACAATAATGGCACAAATTCTTTTACCCTTAGCATTTAGATTTACAATCAATACATTAACCCAAATTTGTTAATTATTTTATCTAGTTATTAAGAGGAGTTTAGAATATATAGTAACAACATTTGCATTCTTAATTTATTTAATTATTCTACTCAGTTAAACAGAAATTGCAATTAAATTTAAACTTCTTGTCTTTCAAATTTTTAATTTAATCCATATCACCTTTAACAAATTCATCGCAATCATAACAAATTCCATTAATATTGCTAATTAATTCTTTTGGACATTTATTTTCATTAATCTTGGAATTTTAATTAATTTCTGGGAGATTTAATTTTTTACATAAATAACTGCAATCTTTATGTTATGTCAATTTAAACTCTTCAATTCCTTTATTTTTTCTATTTGTCTCATCTTTATCTAAAATCGAACTCCAACTCTGATCGGTTTAGATAGATGGATCTGAAAAGATATTATTACACCCTTGCAAATCCATAATCACCAAAATTTTATTACTAATTTAGTATGTAAAATGGCTAAATGCTGAATAAAAATATTTATCCTTTTCGATATAAGAACTGTTGGTTGTATATTTTTCAAATTTGAATTGAATCTGCAAATAAGTTTCTCCATAAACTTTTGTCATTCCAAAAAATGGTCTATCTAAGGTATACAAAATTGGGTGAGCATAAAAAATAGGTTGCATTTCATTAAGCAAATTACTTACTTTTAATTTCTAGTTGAACAAATATGCCATTTGACAAGCGTAGCCGGATGAGTAAAATCTTGTTTATGCAAGTTCTTCAGCTTCTGAGATTTCTTAATCACTGATCTTACCTTGGTTATCAACAAGTTTTTTTGGAATTTTAATAATAATCTCCCTATTATTTATGGCATCAAAAGCTTTAAATATATATGTAGATGAATTATCATTTTCTTTATTTAATTCCTTTTTATCTACTATTACTTTTAACCCTGTGATACCTTTTCTTTTCATGGATTCAATCATAGCAACATAATTTTTCCAATATTCATCATCTTATCCTTCAGAGAGAGTGTCTAATTTAAGTTTTTCAAACTCTGCTTGAAAATATTAGATTTGATTATTAATTTATGATTTTAGCTTCTTTGATTCTGTTACAGACATACGTAATGTAAATCCAACTACCTCGAATAAATCTTCAGGTTTTTTTTCTGCTGTTATTATCATCATAGGTATGACTGCTTTCATTTTTTGAAACATAATGTCTGTTCGATTGTTGATTTTAACACAACATAAAAAGTTATTCTTTTTGATTTATTTATATTTTTCCAAAACATCTTAGAAATAATGCTTAGGCATCTTATCAATTAAGTGGTCTGATTCAATGTTATGATATTCTCTACCGTGACAAGGAGCATCTGCAATTAAAAAAGTACATAGTATGCTATCAGGATTATGAGAAAAATCAAGTTTCAAAGCTAACTCAAAAGCAGAGACTATATCCTCTGCTTCATCATCTCCTCCCTTAGCTTCTAATTTTGAAATGTACTCCTAAATTTCAGGAATTTTTTTAGTAAAACTCCAATAAACAAGTTTTTCCTCATTATCCCATATATCTCTGTATCCTATAAAAGCCACTCTAACTTGATATCCATTGATAGAATTTAAAAATTAATCTATTATTTTCGCTATCGTCTACTGCATTGTCTCCTTCCAAGGCTTCATAGACCCAGTTAAATCCATAATAATAACAACATCAATCATATTTTATTCTTAAAACCACTTTTTATAATGCTCAAACTCTGATTTTTCGCATAATAATTAAATTTCGTTGAATTCAGGAGTAGTATGAATTTTTTTTTTTCTTTCTTGAGCGATGGTGATACAAGACTTTACAGCATTCTTTTAATTTATTTTTGTGTTTATTTTTTCCCAATCGGTATGATTTTTAATGCACTTTTTACGTGGACACAATCCCTTCAGATAAAGTATGCAATAATCATTTAACCAAGGAGGATGTTTACCACAATTACACTTTTCTTTCTCACATAAATCTTCTGGAGTAGTGTCCTGATTCAATGAACAAGATCTCGCTCTTTCTTTTAATGTGTTCAACTCCCATTTCACATGTTCAAAATCACATTGTTTTTTTCTACAACTGCCTTTTAGAATTTGATCAAAACACACTTTTTCAGCCCAGGCTCTGTGTAAATATCCACAATTTTCAGATCCACAGCTCTTGGGGCATAGATTGTGAGGAAATATACCATTTATCGTCTATTTAGACAAGCTAAACTTGTCATTTTTAAAGTGCCACAAATTACAATCTTTATTATTGCATCTTAATTTTTCATACTCGTCACCTCCTTCATCATAAAACTTTTGCTCATTCCTTAAATATTCTACACAAACTCCAACAAATACTCTGGAATGATTTAGTTAGCAAGAGTTATCTTTACAAAATATCGACTAGGGACAGACCTCTGTAAATACATAAGGTGTTTATTCATCTTAATCCATAATTATTAATAGAAAATCAAAATATCAATCTCATTAAAAAGAGTTTATTTCTATTAATTATTCATCTTCTCATAATCTAGAAAAATAATTGTTGAGATTTTTTATGTGAATCTTAACCTAATACGAAAATCTCATAACTATGAAATTTACAGATAGATTAAGTCAATATTATTAATATTCAAATGAGCTAAGAGATTATATTCTAATTCCCAACTACAAGGTCTCAACCTTTACAAACAAAATAAGGACAATAAAATTAAAAAAATAAGAAATTAGGATTGATGGGGTGGGAAGCGAAATATTATAATATATATTTATTCTCATTTGATGAAATAAAAACACAGTGCAACTAGAGTATAAAGACTATTATTTTTATTTTGTAATATTTAAATGAAACTATTATTTACTGAGACAAAGAAAGAGATATAAATTTTAATAATTAAAACGAATTGATTAGGCATTAGAGTGTTATCTTCCATCTAATTAATATATATAATTATAATTTTAATCCAATTTAAACATAAATTAAAATTAATATATATAAATTAATGAATAGCAATTTATTAATGCAAGGGTTTTATAATTAGGTTAAGTCATTGATGCAATCTAATCATGAGGAACCTAATTATGATGATAATTATAAATGCTTTTGTGGTTAATAGATCAGATGTGACCCATTTGATGATTTATACAATCACATTTCTAATTGCAAAAAGTTTCTTAGTGAATCAATGTTTTATAAAGAATTTGAAAAGCTTCGATTGAATATCTTTAAGTTACCATAACTTTATACATTGAAAGCAGAATTTCTGTTTATCATAAATCAAATTGACGAAATTATCAATAAAAGTAAAAATATTTTCATTTTATTAGAAGAAATTAGTTAAATTAATTCACCTAGAAGTGCTAATAGATAATTAAAATAATCAATACCACCGTAATCCAATTTCTCATAAAAATAAGTAATGTTATTTAATTGAAATTTCAGTCGTTCAATAATATTCACAAAAAATACTTTCCAACGAAGAGTCGAGAATAAGAAATCAAGCAGAAATGCTCTGCTTGTGGAAAATTAGATAATAATGAGGATGAGATGGAAACAGTTTATAATTTTTAAATTTGCCAACATGCTCATTGTCTTGGTTGTATAAGGAAATTAATTAATTAACAATACATTTTGAAATCAGGATGTGTGTAGTGTTCATATTGCTAAAAGTAATTGAGTTAATAAGAAATTGAAAAGTATATAGGTTCAGAGAGATTGCAATACTTATAAAAAAAGTTAAAAACAGGTGAATCACCTGCATAATAAAAATTATAATGTTCATTTTGTTATAGATATCTAAACAATAAGGACATAAAATCTGGTTAAAGACCTGTTTGTAATTAATAAGAATGCTAATAAAAAAATACATAAGCATGTTAAAAAATTGCTAGTTGCAAACATTTTTGTTCGGGATATAAGGATGAGAAAAAATGTTTGGGTTGTCTTGGATGCACTAACCAAAAGTTATCTGAAGAATATTGTACAATATGTTTTACAGAATCTTTATATGAAGGTCCTTGTATATAGGCAACTTGCGGTCATGTAAATAATTTTGATAATATCAATCAGCTATTTCATTACTATTGTTTAAATAAGAAATTAGACAAGAAATGGACAAGTATGTATATATCCTTTGGATTCTGTTGTTGTTCAATTTGTAAAAGATGGATGGTATTTATATATATAAATAATAAAGGAATTTCCCAATGATTCAATTTCATAGTAGAAAATGAATGAATATTAGGAATTACAACAATTAGTTCGTAAATAAGCATCTTTAAGAATGGGAAAAATGGGAGATAGTTAAATATTAAAAGTTGAAGATGCTTTAGATATTTTTGCCTTTTATCAATGTTATAAATGCAAGAAACCATATTTTGGAGGAAAGAAAGATTGTCAATTAGAATTAGAGGCGGAATCGAATAGACAAAGTCAACAAGATTTAATTTGTCCTTCATGCTGTGGACAATAAATTAATGGATGTAAGACTCATGGTACTGAATATCTTGAGTATAAATGCAGATATTGTTGCAATATTGCAACATATTTTTGTTGGTATTATAAATAGACATTATAAAAGGGGCACTACTCACTTTTGTTAAACTTGCCACACAAAATAGTCGGGAGGCAAATATTTGACTTAATTGAAAAAGGAGGAATTGCCATAGTGCTAAGGGAAGGGTAAATGTCCAATTGGTGGGAATCATGCACTCAATGGATAGGAATAATGTTTAGGATGTGGTAAATTTTTAAATAAATTTTAAGGACTTTGTAATAATTGATGAATGAGGAAAAAATATTGTACTGCTTTAATATAATATAATATTAATATAAGTATAAAAAGATATTTCAAAATTGTGTTGTTTTCAAGGAATTTATTTCAATGATTTGAGTTTTTGAATTTCCTAACATTTCTTTTCGTAAGCTAGTTAGATTTGATGATTATGATCAAGAACATTTTATAAACATTAAGATAATTTCTACTCTTCTAAGGAATATTAGGTTTTAGCAATTTCTAAGAAGGAGATTTTATCCATTAAGATTTTGGCATGAGTTTTGATTGGTTACATGATTTTCTTTTGTTTGGTTTCGATTTCAACCAATTGTTGTTCCAAATCCGTCACCTATTATTAGAGATGTGTAATGTAACATTGATCTTTCTCATGTTAATATTTATAGTTTTCAATTTTTTTGAGTTAATCATCTTCATTCTATTATTTGCAATCATTATCAAATCTTATACTGTCAAGTATGCCTCTGGTTGTTTCTTCATCTCTCGTAGTAGAGTTTACGAGTTTATCAAAAGGTTACTACTTTAAAAGAGTAGCAGATTTAACTCTCTTTTTCGTGCTCAAGGGAGGAGTGGTAGTTCTTGATTGTTTGATATGCTATGATATTTTAAGAATATTTTAATAGCTCTGTTACATCGAAGTCTTCATTAACTGCTTAAATGCAATAATAATTAATATAAATATATATATATGGATCAAGAAGAAGAGTAAGGATATTTTTTGAATATGACTTTGTTGTACGTTTATGTCTTAACACTATTAGTAAAAAGAGCTTTGTTTCAGCCTTCAAGGATCAATCGCAAGTCCATCAAATTTTATCCAATATCTAATTTAGTATACTTAAGGGATTTAAAATCAGATTGGCGTAAAATATTAATATTATAATTCTTCTAAATAGTGCGAATGAACAAATTGATGATGTGGATTTTGATAAGATAATCTTTCTATTTGATGGGTAAAAAGTTACTTCGAACTCTATGAGTCACATCCTAATCAATTCAGAGTAAAAATTAATTATAAACTAATAGAAATGCTAATTATTTATCTCCTAAAACTTATTACAAAATATTTCAACCCTTTACTTCAAATCTTAAGATGTTGTCCCTTAATATTATGGATAATGCAGGTCTTTCTATAGTTGAATGGCTAAAGCACTTATCTTTGATTATCTAATCATGTGTTCAATTAGAATAATTGTATGTCTAGATTCACAAATTTTTTACGATAATCTTGAATAAAGGTTACTTTTAAATCAAACTCAAGTAAACCTTACATTTAAATTAGATGTGGCATTACTAATGATGGTACTAGTATTGAATAATTGGCATATCTTGGCTCCAAATTGCAATTTAATAAATTTCGATTAAAAATAGATGAAGATAACGTTATTAAAAATAGTCTAGACCATTTTGGTCCAATTCTGCTGAATTGTAATAATTTGAATTACTTCTCATTAACAATAGGGTATTGATTTATTCTATTAGCACTAAGATAATCTTGTTAATTGAATTCAACCTAATTCTTATAGAGTTTGAATTTACAACCAATAACAACCTTTAAGATGAAAATTGGTAATTCTAATGAGATTGGAAATCAAGCCTTATTAACAATTTTGTAATTGGTTCAGAATTAGTTAAGATTTCTGAAGCTTTAAGTTGGGTAATTCTTTAATTAGACGATTTTAGAAGTTCAACTAAAATATTTAAACAATTTTAGTTACAATCATAATATAATGAAGTGACTATGAATCAATCTTAATTTAATAAATTAGAATAATTGAATTTTAAAATTGGTAAGAATAATGACTTTCAAAATGGAGGAGCCAAATTCTTAGCCTTATTGCTAGACTCACCACAATTGTAGATGGTAAAAATCAATATCGGAGATTCTAATTAAATGACAGATCTCTAAGCCTTATCAATCTTTATATTACTTTAAAAGTTAAGAACAGTAAATATATTGGAATTAGAATTTGAGTAATTTAATTATAATATCATATAATAGAAGGAATATCTGTGTTAATAAATTGTGCTTAGAATAATTAGAGAAACTTATCAATAAAAGTAGCAATTTAAATAGTCTCTCCTTAAATTTTGCAAAACAATAATAAAACTTGGACTTTACCAATTTATTTTAGACTCTTGGGTAGAAAAGAAATCTTGTTAATTTAGATCTCAGCATAGGTGGGCAATAAAGTTTACCTGATTTGTTTGAATTAGGTCAAAGACTTAAAGAATTAGAGTATCTGAGTGTATTCAAGATACATTTGAAGGGTAATAATAATATAGAGTATCCGAAATTATAGTAATTCTTATAATTAGTAAAATCTAATAAGACTCTTAATTTACTATCAATAAAAACAGGATCTTAGAAATCTAGTGAGTATCGATAAGAAGAAATGAATTCAAATGCACTTCTATTAAAAAGGATTTGCCTCATTGGAACACCAATAATTATATATTTTAGTCATTTAAATGATCAAATAAGTTATTAATATAATTTCGATAGATTACAATTGATCGGAAATCTGCAAGTAATTTCAAGGGATACATTAATGCCTCTTCCTTCAAATTAACTGGTAGTTTAGATAAGGGAAGTATAGCAAGTAGATAACTAATAATTGAAATAAATATATTCCTTGATTAAATAATAGGAGTACATAGATATTCAAATATCTTAATTGCTTATTAAATACTAAAAAGGAGTTTCCATAATGAAAGCAGACTTACTTAATTATCTAGTATAATTTGTAGCATTTACTTAAAGACAAATAACCGAAATTATAATGTATAATAAAAATACAATAATTTATAGATATGAGGAAAATTTTCTTTGGTAAGGAATCAGCTAATTACTCCTTGAGTTGATCAGAAGGTAAAGAACAGCAGAAATTCCAGAATTTAGATTTATTTCGAAGAAGATTAACATAATTTTAAAAAATAATTCCTTAGAAATAAAAGCGTAATATTTTATATAATTACTTTTAGTGAGAACCCTATGGAACTAAATTAAGAAGGGTTTTCTTAGTTTTGTGAATTGTTACTTTTGATTTCTTACTTTGAAGTTAGATTTCTAAAAATAGAAATTCCAATAACAAATTTCAGTTAAGATTGGAATGAATTAAGTAATGCTTTAGTTCACTTTGAATAATTACAAAAACTAGATTTGAATTTGAAAAATCTATCTAACAATGAGGGTCACTGTCGAGATTATAAATCATTCCATTAGAATTTGTTAAAGATATTTATTGAGAATAAATATCTAACAGAATATGATTAGTAAGAATTTTGAATATGTAAATTAGATTTAGCGAGAAGGCAGTGTTTCCTATTACTTTACAGTATCATTTAGGAAATCAAATAAAAGAGTTGGAAGGACAGATTACCTAATAAGAGGCTTAAGTTCAAAGGATTTTGAATGGCAATCCAATTCCTGGAGATCAGAATATTGACTTTGATCAACTCTAATAGAGTCTACATGCCAATAAGAAGGATTTAGAGGAGAGAAATAAGGCCATAAAGAAAGGCTAGGAATTCGATGGGCTAAAACAGAGAGTATTATTGAGAAGAAGGAGATTGACTTATTAGTACTTTATGGCAATAAAGAAATATTCATAAAGGCTGAACAAATAATAAATGATATCTGATATTATTGAAATGTTATGAAGTTATTGTGGTCGATTTTATATATAAATGTAGGAAATTTAAATTAATATTATTTTATGCAAAAACATCCCATCTTACCTATCAATACTCCTAGAGATGCCACTTATCCCATTCAATATTAACCTACTTTCAGGAAATAACAAGATGCTGTAACTCCAACTTTAAATACAATGAGCAAGAAAACTGAAATTCCAAGAGCGCCATCGGCTATGAATAATAAATTATATGCAGAATAAACTATGATGAGAACTAAACAATATTAACTTGATTAATAGTAATTAAACTCAATTAAAGTAGTCATTAAAAATAAAGTTCTTAGGGCAGTCTTTCTAATTGTAACAGCAATAAATCCAGGAGCTCTAAAAACTCCACTGGCTTTGAGTAAGTTGCAAACATATTTAGTGAAGCAGCATAGTAGAATCAATCATCTAACATACGTATCTCCCATTTTCATACAAACACTGCTCCAGTTAATTTGTATGAATAGAAATTCAATGACGAAATGTTCCTTCTCAAAGATCAAGACACAGGTTTCAAATTCTACTTATTACTACAGGAACTGTTTATGACATTAGATAAGTCGAGAAGATTCAAGTTAATAAAGATTACATGGCCAAGTTGAAAAAAAGACATAAATCGGCATGGTAAGGTTGGTGGCAATAAAAAAGAGAAAACAATCACTATTTAATCCTAAATGCCAAATAAAACAACATAAAGGAGGTTGAAAAACTATTAGAAATCCCTACAAAAGATTTAAAGCCAGAAATCAATATTAAGGATGACAATGGTATATCATACATGATAAAATTAGGATTTGCCTCAATTCATTATAGTTGTTTAAATTAGAACTATGACTTATCCCTTTTACTTCTCAAAAACGAAGCCGATTGTGATTCTGTCAATGCCCAAGGTTAAACACCATTAATAATTTGTGCTTAAAACGGATGTGATTCTATAGCTACTCTATTATTAACAATAGGATCAGATATCAATCATATTGATAATCATTAAAATACTGCTTTGCATTATGCTTGTTTATTTTGTATCTAATCAATGATTCATCTATTTTTAGAACATATTAGAATAGCAGAAATACTGTTGGCCAGACCTTCATTGTAACTAAATTTAAAAAATCTGGATAATAAATCCCCTGTTGAGTTAATATAAAATAACAATGCTCTTAAAAATCTTATAGAAAAACATTATAGGGTACTTAATCTTTTAAAGATATTTTTAGATGAAAAAGGAATCATTCAACCAATGTCATAAAGTCTAAATCTATGATGATTCCAAAGAACAATAGAAAGTGAATTCTCCAACAAGTAAATAATAATATTATCTAACAAACTAATATTAGTAAACATCCAAATGTTATTCACCTTATTAAACTGATAATTAATTTTCTACATCCAATCGATCAACCCTCAATCAAGTTGTAATTGTGTATAAAATATTAGTCTTAATTAAATGACAGTGAAATGATTGGGCCATCCAATATTAGAATTATATTGTAAATTGGTAAAGGATCATTTGGAGATGTTTATTTAGTTGAGAAAAGAAATTAGAGTAAAACTACATAAGGGTAAAAATACGCCATGAAGGTTTTACCTAAAAGTAAATTCTTGGGGCACAACTTAATTAGATATGCTATGGCTGAAAGGAATATCTTATCTTATTTAAATCACCCCTATATTGTTAAGCTAAGATATGCTTTTTAAACTAACACTCATTTGTGTTTGTTGATGGATTTCTGTCCTGGTGGAGACTTATCCAAGATTATTTAAAATTAAAAAAGAATTCCTGAATAAGCAGCAAAACTATATATTGCAGAAATTCTAACAGCTTTAGAACATCTTCATAAAAATGATATTATCTATAGAGATTTAAAACCAGAAAATATTGTTATTGATGCTTAGGGTCATGCGATGTTGACAGATTTTGGATTATCAAAAGAAGGAGTCAGAGATAATTATGGAGCCAAGAGCTTCTGTGGATCAATGGCATATTTAGCTCCTGAAATGTTAAAACGAGTAGGACATGGTAGAGCTGTTGATTGGTATCATTTAGGTATTGTTTTTAATTGATTTTTATTTAGGGATATTACTATATGAAATGATTAGTGGTAAGCCTCCTTATTTCTCACCCAATAGGGATGAAATGCTGAATAATATAGAATGCAATAAGATTTCATTCCCAGATAATATTTCAAAAGAATGCAAATCAATCATACAATTGCTTTTAGAAAAGAATCCAATGACAAGATTGGGTGCATCTTCAAGAGATGCTGATGAAATAAAGGATCATCCCTTTTTTAAGCAAATTAATTGGGATGATTTATTAAAAAAGTAATTATTTTTAAACTATATGAATAGAAAATATAAACCTCCTTAACCAATTATTAATTAGGAGATTTTAAATTAAAAATTTGACATCCCATTCGATTTTATTTTATCGGCTGACAAATCTAGTTCTATAAATTACATTAATGGATGGTCATTTATTAATAATGATTTCAGCTAATTTTGATTTCAATATAATTGTTAAATATATTTTTAATAATTCAAACTACATTATCATCTATGTTTAATAGATTATCATCTTATTAAAACAAACTAAAAGTATGGGAATTTGGTTGGAAAGGCATTCCCCTTGTCTCAAAATCCTTCTAATATTATTTCATCTTTTAATATAAGTTGCCTATCAACTCCATCTTGTTTTGTAGCTAAAACATCACTTTAGAGACATATTGTGACATATCTTATGGAGATTAGACTTATTATAAATTGATCATTTCCTTTGATATAATCAAACAATACATCTTTAGTGATTTCAACGATTTTGTCAATAGCTTGTTTGTGTTCATTTAAAATGTGTTGCTAGTATTAATAATCATTATTTGTGAATGATCTATTATTAAAATATTTTGACCCTTCATAATTGTTGATCTCTTGCAAGGGTCTTGTCGAACTCTGTCTTGAGGATTGGGATTCTTAGGAGTATCTTCCAGTAACACTAAAATAGTTTGGATTATTGATGCATAGTTCTTCCTCAACCATTGAATCTTGACGAATATCTATTGATTATTAATTTGATTGCTATTATTAATATCCTTAATCAAAATTATTTTCTTAAAATAGATTATTGTTATTTTAATTGAATGATAGTTATTACTAAGGAAATAAGAGTGCTTTATTTTATTAGTATGGTTGTTATTGGAATAATTAGGGTTGTTGTTGGGGAATTTCTGTCATTATGGAATTGCATGATGATTATTATTATAAGAAGGTTTATTAAGTATATTATTTGGTGTTATTTGGCATAATATTAGAGGAACTACCACCATTAATAGTAGGCAACGAACCTAAATTAAATCTATTAAGAATATTATTAGTAGAATTCTATTATGATTAATTTTTAGGTATTTAAGATAATTTTGCTTGATTTTATTATTATTATTGTTGTTGTTGTAACTAAGGCTATTATTAAGGAATAAATTATTATTATTATTGTTATTAAAATAAATATTAATTTGTCTATTAATATTATTATTATTATTATATCATATACTATTATTACTATTATTATTATTATTATTGTTATTGTTAAAACATAAACTACTGTTATTGTTATTATTATTATTAAGGAAAAAATGAATTACTCATTGAATTACATGAGATATCTTCATCATCCTCATCATCTGGATTCTTATATGCTTTCCTTACAACATTTGCTATTATAGAATAAAAATAGTATTACTATTTTGTCTAGCCAACATTAATTCCCTTTAGATGTAGTCTCCCTGAAATTATTTATCTTGAGGTTTCTTAAGCTCCTTTACTCTATCAGCATATCTCAATGTATTTAAAGTATGCTCACTGCTTGATGAACTTGGAGAAATGTTACCAATCATGACTGTTTTGCAATTTCCTGTTAAACTATCTTTTAACACCTAAAAGCATTTGAATTATAATTACTAATGTAAGTTTGGATCCTCGAAAGGGAGTGTGATTTTTGTTGAGATCCAATGCTCTTATACATTCTTTTAAAGCTAAAAGAGACTTATTAATTTCAGCACCATCTATTCTAGTTTGTTTGTTAGAATCTTAAACATCTGCTCCTCTTTCACTTCCTGCCAAATCAATAAATGATAGTTTGCCGAAAACATTTTTACCAGCTCTCAAGTTGATTTGCAAGATGGCATGAGACCTAGATGATTCATTATTGGCTCCATTTTAAGCTATAAAAAATAAAAAATTAATTTCACCTGTCACTCTCACAGTTTAACCTTATGTTATGATTTACATAAGGGATTGGACTGAGTTGACCTTCTTTTCCATCAGATTGATTAAATTGACATTGCCTTTAGCATCTTCTCTTATTTAGATTTACCCTCTTTAATTTAAAAGATCGAATAATTTGCCACAATAGATTTCAAAAAATGACACTCCGACGATCAGATGTTGGAATTCAGGCTAATAATATTATGGGATTTGAATTACTTATTGTAGCAGTTAAAATATATCATTTGCAGCTAATATGTACATTCCAGGTATTTATTTTTCCACATCTCCCAACATGGTGTGTGTTTTACCACTCCCTGTTTGCCCATAAGCAAAACAAGTGACACGAGCCTTATTAAAGGCTGCCTCTATAATTGGTCGAACTGCATTCAAATAAACTTATTAATTGGAGGCGTTCTAATCAAATGCCAAATCGAAGTTAAACATATGTTCTTCGACATATTTCGTAAGATCTACCTTTTATCTAAGTTTACAATTGAGAATTACTTCACTTCTTTAACTATCACACTTTAATCACTTTGAACATCTACAATGTCTTCATCCTTTTTTGCAAGCTCCTTTTTTCCTAATGGTCTCTTTCTGATAACTACAACAATCTTGTCAGCCAAATCAGACATTTGATCAATTAACCGGTTTAAATTTAAATAAATTAACAATCAAATATTAGTATAATTAAATATGCATGTCCTCATTATTACTATTATTATAAAATCTATAATTTAGTGAGCAATTCCTTGTTTATTCTCTTCTAATTCTCCAATTAAGAGTCCTTCTCCGTTATAATTTCTGCCATATTATTTGCAATGTGTTATAAATACTTAATATCTTTACTACTTCCAGTCATTGATTTTCCTGACTTTCCTTTCGTATATCTGACATCCTATTCATACGCTATCTTCAAACTTTATTTATATAATTATTTAATTACCTTCTCAATGTAGCTTCCAAATGCATTATCTGATTCTTCAATCGATTCACTTCACCATCACTATCTAAACTATTTTATAGAACATATTTTTTACTTTGACATACTCTAACTTATATCGATTGAATATTTCTCTGCATCATCTAATTGAATCATAGATTAAGCTACAGGCTTAATATCCTTTGAAATAGGTCTCTCAAATTATAATCTCTAAAAATCTTTTTAAATTATTTATGGTTATTTAATTCCTTTCTCCAAAGCCAAACTTTCATATTTCTTTTTTTCATGAATTAATTGATTCTAAAATCCTTCAATAACCTTCTCCAGGTCCTCTATTTTTTACTAAGCTAAAATATGGTCCTTATTTGCAGCCTCTAACATTAAATCCTTCTTTGCAATATCTTCCTTTAATTACTCAATCTATTTCTTTGCTTCATTCAAATCTTATGATTGTTATTATCTCTTCAATCTTTTTTGCAATTATGAGATCTCCTCTTTCTAATTAGAACTGGATTCTGTTAGTTCCAATAGTTAAGTTTTGTACATGTTGATATCCTGTTATAAAAATACTTTTTAATCATTTAAATTATGCATGATCTTCTTTTGATTTGTACATTCCTCCTCAAGTAAATAATAATTCTTAGTGCAATTATTTAATTACTCCGTTAGCGTTTAAATCTATTATATTTATAAATATCTTACTTGTTTCTTTTATTTTTGGATTGTTTCATTGTCCTTTTATTAGTTAACTTTATATTACTCAATGTCTTATTTTAATTTCACGTTCTCATTTATTTAAATATACAAATCCATATTATTTTTTTTCTCTTTTTTCTTAATAGGACTGGCTTTCTCCTCCTTATTATTTTCTGAGCTAATTATGACTGATTAAAACTTATGATCAACTCTTTGCTTGCCTTATTATTCTTCCTTATTTACTTAATTATTTTATTCATTTTATTTACTATTAACATTATCTAATTATTATTTATTTTCTATATCTTTAGTTTACTAGTCTTGTTAGTCAACCTACAATGATTAATTCGATGCTGCATCAATTTTCGGTTACTAAGCATCTTGTTATTATTTCTATAACTATTAATTCTATTATTGTTATTATTATTATTATTGCTATTATTACTATTACTATTACTATTACTATTATTATTCTTATTACTACTACTATTATTATTCTTTTTATTACTATTATTACTATTATTCTTATAATTACTATTCTTATTATTTTTACTATTATTCTTATTCTTATTATTCTTATTATTTTTACTATTACTAATCTTATATTTCTTAATTTTATTATTATTATACTTCTTAAAATATTTCTTTTTATTATTATTCTTAAGTTTTGTCGTTTTATTATTTTTCATCATTATTTTAATTGCTTTCTAAATCTTCGATTTTAGATTCATCAGCCTATTAAATTATTTCATCAGATTTAGTTCGAGTTATTATTGCTGTTGATTCGATAGGTTTTTTCTACTCCTCTATCACTTGAACATTTTATTATTCTTCAATATTTATCTTTTATTCTATAATTTACTGTTATTGTTATTCAACTTCTGATTTATGTTCATCTACTTAATCATCTTACTCTTTGGATTGCAATTATTCAATAGATTCTGTTGCTTATTGCAATTCAGATTATTCAATTAATTATTGATTTTAGATAATATTGATTTCTTATTATTCTCTATCCTATTTTATTATTTTAGACTCAACTGATTTATCATCTAATTGCTCTTATGCTACATCTTTTACATCGTCTTTTCCTTCTTCTTTTAAAATTTCATCCTATTGACCATATTGTAAATTTTGCTCCTATTGTTCATCTTTGGGATTTTCATCCACTTACTATTCTAATTCCTATTCTTCAGCATCATCTGATTCATCCTCATCCTCACTTTCTCCAATTTATTAAGTTTCCTAATCCTTCCATATGCCTTTGCCATAAAATCCTTTTATGACAGTCAAAATTATATCTCTTTATGAATTATCTGCTGCTTTCATTTAAAACTAATTTGTTTAATCAATTTTTAGGATGAAGCTCTCGCTAGTCCCTTGCTTAGACGAACATGATGGATACTGTGCTTGCAAGGGGACTTAAATATGATGGATAGTTTGATCATTCTTTTTTAGTTCTAATTCCATATTTTTAAGGGTTATTTTGAGTATGCAATTGATTGGCAATTCTGCTTCCTTTTTAATTAATATTTTAGTACAATTTCAAAATCTTTGCTTAATATTTATTCTAAAGTGACAAATACAGTCATTTTCTCATTGTCCAATAATTCGTCGATATCTTCTTGAATAGATTCATCTTTAAGCAATGGCCCTATTTCTAATGACTTGGGCATTCCTTCATATTGTCTACCCTCTTTAATTGGCACAACTTGGATCATGAACTTAGAGCCAACATCTTCTATACTAGGTTGATAAGAGTTTCCCGTTATTCCTAGTGTATTAAAATCATTGTTTGGTGAGATCTAAAACCATTTGATGTCAGTTTCCAACTTCTCATTATCTTCTTTTACTATAATACAATTACCAACAACAGAGATGGCTTCAATTACAATCCTATCGCTATGAATCTTTCCTCCATTAACCTGTAGATTAAAGAAATTTTCATCGAAGATGATTTTTTTTGTTTCCTTTTTCTTCTAAGATCCATTGAAGAACGAAAAGAAATCATTTTTTTTTTCATTCATTTTTATTAATTTATATTTTTATATGAATTGACATATCACTTCTGCTTTTAATTAGATATAAATAACTAAGCTATTAACAATACTAAGTTTATTATATTAAATTTAAATATGGGAAATTTTTTAGAAACACTTTCAGATAAATCATTTATGAATCTATATCATCATAATGAATATTTTACAATCAAAGATTTCAATGAATAATATTTGAAAACATTTGAGTAAATTTTAGAAATATTCTACAAGCAAAACATAAATTGATCAATTCTACACAGCATTTGACTTTCAAAATTACATACTACACAAAAAAGCTGAAAATCAAGTGTTTGTAGATCTACTCAAAGTTATTAATGCCGATTGGATATTCTAAAGTCCAAAAATAATCTTGTTAATTAAAAAGTCATTTTTCACATTCTATTTTTATGAAGTGGCCTTCCAATCAAACTTAAACGAATATAAATTATGTCTTAATACTGATGATTAACGACACTGCATTCAAATATTAAATTAAAAATAATTAGCCTTATATGAATAGCAAAGAGAAAAAATGAAATTTTCAACTGAAGAAGTAAAAAAATTATGAAAGCTAGTTGTTTATGAAAAATTATTAGTTAATTTTCAATTATCTTCCAAAAAATTATAATATTATTCAATGATCGAAGAAACAAGACGAACCAAATTAAGACTTATTTATTACATATAAATTCACAGAAAATCAATGTTTATCTTCACAGCCATTTAAAAGAATCTTTCCAGTTACTTTATTAGTTTTCTTAACTTCGTTTTAACTTATTCATTGGATAGTCCTCAATAATGGTTTTACTAAGACATGATTAAATTATTGTGAAGGCATGGGCAGAGATATATTAATTATTTTCTAAGTTTTCATCATCTATCTCCGAAATTAAGTGATTTTTGCTCATTTGGCTTAGGGGAGTTGAAAAGTAATCCTTAATATTATTCATAAAGTAAATTAATATGAAAAAGATTTTTCATTTTTACTTAATTATAAAAAAAATCAAATTTCAATTGGATTCTGATTCAAATATTTCCAAATAAAAAATCTAATAATAAATTCTCATTGATTGCCTCAATGATAAAATATATATTATTTTTTAATCAATCATAATCAATAAAAATCAGAATTTAGATTTCTTTTTTGCCTGAATCTAAAGTGGAGAAGTATTCTCCATCCCAACTTTTTCATCCTATAAATGATGAGCAGGAAGTTTAACACTTTGTTATATTTCGAGTTCATAATTCTCACCTACTTGAAATAAGTTGACTAAGCATCCAATCTTTTATTAATAAGTTTTTATTTACATTATGAAAACAACAATTCACAATAATCTCTTTTTTACATTTTGGTACTGCTATACTTTTACTATTAGCCATTATTTTCATTCAATTTATAAACTTTCAAATTTTTAGGTTAGATTATAACAGTTTATAATTCTTATCAATAATTTCTCTATATGATTTATAATTTGCAAGATTCAAATCTAGTTAAAACTTAGTTGTTATTTACTATTAAACAATTACGTTCCATTAGACTCATATTTAATTAAGTTTAATTTTACTCCAATCTGAAAAAAACAAGGATTTGTTTTCCTCCATCAATTATTTATAATCGCTCTACATGCATTTGAATCAATGAATCTATAACAATAATTTTAAAAGTTCTTCATCAATTTTCTATTGATTAGGAGTTCGCATTTACTATCGAAAAATAGTAAAATATCATGGCAAATAGTTACCCACCAATTCCTATATCCTTTGTGTTATTTATCAGACTTATTCTATGTAAGTGTATTTTAATAACAAATTTTAATGGAAAAGAAGCTCAAGTAGAGTGAAATAGTTTCCATATACTAAATTTTCCTAAATTTATAATTATTTCACTAATTTAAATGAAGAAGTTATTAAATTTTTCATAAAGATAGCCTAAGGTTAAGTTAATTAGCTTATCATCGTAAAGTTCTTAAAAAAGAATTATTATAGTATTAGACCTAGAATTAAGTGATAAAGAAGTAAGTATTTACTAAATTTATAGGATGTTTGATAAAAACAATTACAAACCCATTTGGATCACATTATTTTCAAAAACCTCTATAACTTCTTCTAACAATATATTTTTTTAAGTGATGGATAGTAAGTTAAAATCAAATTATAAATAAAATGATCTGTAAAGAACTAAAAATTCTGTTCTCTTTTCCACTGTACCTAAAAAAAATCTATTTTTCAATAATTCCAAAATAGCGAATCAATAAGAATGAATGGGAGATTATTAAAATCTAACTAGCTTAATCCTCAATTATAACAATAATAATTATAAATTATATAAATTATGGGGTGTCTTTCTTCATCTTAAAAGGAAGAGGATGTTAGCATTGCTTTGTAGAGTTAGAAGAAGTTAAAGATTGTTATCGTAGGATTAGAAGGGAGTGGAAAGACAGCAATATTATAATATTTGAGAAATGGAAAATTTGCAGAAACCTAACCTACTATAGGTTTGAATGTTGAGACAATTTAATATAAACAGAGATTCTATTTGATTTTTGATGTTGGAGGGAAAGTGCGAACACTGTGGTCTCATTATTATGATANTCACCTACTTGAAATAAGTTGACTAAGCATCCAATCTTTTATTAATAAGTTTTTATTTACATTATGAAAACAACAATTCACAATAATCTCTTTTTTACATTTTGGTACTGCTATACTTTTACTATTAGCCATTATTTTCATTCAATTTATAAACTTTCAAATTTTTAGGTTAGATTATAACAGTTTATAATTCTTATCAATAATTTCTCTATATGATTTATAATTTGCAAGATTCAAATCTAGTTAAAACTTAGTTGTTATTTACTATTAAACAATTACGTTCCATTAGACTCATATTTAATTAAGTTTAATTTTACTCCAATCTGAAAAAAACAAGGATTTGTTTTCCTCCATCAATTATTTATAATCGCTCTACATGCATTTGAATCAATGAATCTATAACAATAATTTTAAAAGTTCTTCATCAATTTTCTATTGATTAGGAGTTCGCATTTACTATCGAAAAATAGTAAAATATCATGGCAAATAGTTACCCACCAATTCCTATATCCTTTGTGTTATTTATCAGACTTATTCTATGTAAGTGTATTTTAATAACAAATTTTAATGGAAAAGAAGCTCAAGTAGAGTGAAATAGTTTCCATATACTAAATTTTCCTAAATTTATAATTATTTCACTAATTTAAATGAAGAAGTTATTAAATTTTTCATAAAGATAGCCTAAGGTTAAGTTAATTAGCTTATCATCGTAAAGTTCTTAAAAAAGAATTATTATAGTATTAGACCTAGAATTAAGTGATAAAGAAGTAAGTATTTACTAAATTTATAGGATGTTTGATAAAAACAATTACAAACCCATTTGGATCACATTATTTTCAAAAACCTCTATAACTTCTTCTAACAATATATTTTTTTAAGTGATGGATAGTAAGTTAAAATCAAATTATAAATAAAATGATCTGTAAAGAACTAAAAATTCTGTTCTCTTTTCCACTGTACCTAAAAAAAATCTATTTTTCAATAATTCCAAAATAGCGAATCAATAAGAATGAATGGGAGATTATTAAAATCTAACTAGCTTAATCCTCAATTATAACAATAATAATTATAAATTATATAAATTATGGGGTGTCTTTCTTCATCTTAAAAGGAAGAGGATGTTAGCATTGCTTTGTAGAGTTAGAAGAAGTTAAAGATTGTTATCGTAGGATTAGAAGGGAGTGGAAAGACAGCAATATTATAATATTTGAGAAATGGAAAATTTGCAGAAACCTAACCTACTATAGGTTTGAATGTTGAGACAATTTAATATAAACAGAGATTCTATTTGATTTTTGATGTTGGAGGGAAAGTGCGAACACTGTGGTCTCATTATTATGATAATTTGGATGGATTGGTTTTTGTTGTTGATAGTACTAATCAGGAGAAATAATAAGAGGTCTAAAAAGAGTTGAAAAAGTTAAACGAGGATATAAAAACAAAGGTAATTAACCAACTAATCCAGATAGCGTTATTAATTTATCTGAATAAGTCAGATTTACCAAATTCTTAGACCATCGAATTGGGAGATATTCCATCTTAAAAATTTGATGTGATAATCCAAAAATGCAGTGCTAAATCAGGTGAAGGAATCTGGGAAGGTATTGATAAAATGAATGGACTGTTGGATCATAAATTCTAATCTTGATAATTTTATTTAATTAATGTTAACGAACAACTAATATAACTAACTTCCAGTTCAATCTGTTCTATACTAATAATAGCCTTAAATTAATCAGCGACTTCCTCTTTAGCAACTTTAATAACCTGTTTAAATGAAGTTAATATAACCTCAACCTTCAATGATATTTTAGCAATAAGCAGCTTAGAGTCAACTATTTACATAATCAAATCAACAAGTTAAAACAATCCAATAACATCATATGTAAATTAACAGAACAATTCTTTTAGGCATCATACTCATGAATATAAAATCCCTCAATATTAGTAAGCAATAGTTACTGCTCCATAATAATCTATTGTTGCTACTGCTCCTCCTCCTTAATAACCTGAAATTAATGAGATGTATCATGTGGAAAGAGAATTGTAAGTTCTTTCAGTAGAGGACGTAGAGGAACCTTGGAAAAAGAAATGTGTCGAATTAGAAATTAAAATATTTGATTTGTAAACTGAATTAGGAAGATTTAAAAATTAAGGATAAGAATTGAAAGTTACATCAAATGAAGAATTTCAAGTAAGAGAATTGGAAGCTAAAATCAAAATGATGAAGGATATTGAGGATGCCTTAAGAAAAGAGATAGAGAGTTAATAAAGTGAAATTGATTCATGGAGATAGAGATATTCAAAATTGCAATTAGAATTCTAATAATTGTTATAAGGAGGTGAAGAAGTCAGATAGTTAAGAGATGCTTTAGCCGAAAAAGAAAGACAAATTTTGAAATTAGAGAATGCATTAAATTCTTAAAATGTGGAAATGCAAAATTATATGAGATTAGTTTAGTAAAATTTGTATTGATTATATTAGAAATAAAGACTAAGAAATTGCATAGTATAAATAAATGATTCATCAATTAGAATAAGAATTGAGTGAGTATTAATAAATTACTGAAAAAATGAAATATTATTCTAATGAAGCTGAAATTTGGAAAGAGAGATTTATGAAAGCCAATCAAGATTTTCACACAGCCCAAGAATAATGGATGATGGCTTAAGCTGAATTAGATTCTTTGAAAAAACAAAAAACTATTACTACTACTGAGAAAACCACTACTGTTTAATAAACTAATACAAGATAAAGCAAGGCTGCTGCCAAATAAAATTGAAAATTATAATTTTATTATTATTTTTTCGAATCAACTTTCTAGTCATAATACATTAATCTAATTCTTATATATTCTCATTCCTTTATCAAAGTTAATTTTAAGCTATGTCTCAAGTAATTGTTACAAAGGATTAAATATATCTTACATATTTCTTATTTTATGATTTTCAATCCTATATCAAATAAATTAAATTTTTACACTCGTTAAACCTTTATTCGTAAAATCACTAATATTTTACTCAAACGTATTCACGATTTAAGAGTCATTTTCTTCAATATAGTTTAATTACGTTTTTAATAAGAAATTAAATTAATTACTTTTATTGCATACTATTGGAAATTGTAGAAAATAAAATAAATTTCTAAAATATCATCATAATGTATGAAATCCTTTGCCGTTTCTATAGTATTACCTATAATATTGATCCATTTTATCCAAGTTAATATTAAGTTAAATTAACATTTTATCTCAAGCCCACAGTAACGAAATTTATTAATTTATAAACCATGCTTCTTCAATATATATAGTTTTTGTCTTAAGCTTCCTATTTAAGCTGTAATATTTAAGAATTAAAATATTCCGAATTAGAAGAGTTAATATGTAATCATATGAGATCATATCTTAAATCTTCAGTTAGCATTTTACAATACAATAATATGAAATTTTATTAGCATTTTATGATTTCCTTTGTTCTTCTTTTTTTTACATTACAAAAAGCATCTGCTGTTTGTGACTCCACTGATTTAGCAGTTTGTGAGGCAGAAACAGGTTGTGCTTGGTGGTCTGATGGAGGATGTTATTAATGTTCAGATTGGGATTAAGCTGATTGTAGAAATATGTGTGGGTGGTATAACTCAGCTTGCACAAAATGCTCTAGTGTACCAATTTCTTCATGCATTTCAACAGGATGTGGTCTTTCCACTAGCAATTAGTGTATAAATTGTGGGGCATTAAGCACTTCAATCTGTTCTAACTACTTTGGATGCTATGCATAAAGTGGAGCTTGCTATGCAACTTTATTTAGGAGCTAATCTGATTGCATTTCACCATATGAATGGGTTGATTCAAAATGTTAAACTACAGCTTGTTCTTCTTCAAAAAAATCAAACTGCATATGTGGAACATCTACCTTAGTGACTTGTGGCTCATCAGAAGTATGCAGTGATGTATCAGCCTCAACTGGAGTATGTAAATAAAAATGTTCTTAAAATTTAAACTCAAATTCATGCTTGTGTGGAACAGATTAAGTAGAATGCCTGAGCTCTACATACTGTGTGGACATCGCTGCTACATCTGGATCATGTAAATAAGCTTGTTCAGTATCAACGGTATCAGATTGTATATGTGGAAGTTCGAGTAAATCCTATTGTGATTCAACTAAATAATGTTAGAGTGATACTTGTGTCTCCTTAACAGTAAATTGTGCTTCTGCATTTGATGCAAGCTGTTCTTGCGGAAGTTCAACTAAGCAAAGTTGCACTTCAACAACTTTTTGTGTTGATCCAACTGCATCGTCTGGATAATGTAAATAAGCTTGTTCGGGATCAACAGTATCTGATTGCATATGTGGAACGACTAGTAAGTCTTATTGTGATTCAACTAAATAATGTTAGAGCAATGTTTGTATAGCTTTAACTGTAAATTGTGCTTCTGCTTTTGATGCAAGCTGTTCTTGTGGAAGTTCAACCAAATAAAGCTGTACGTCGACAACCTTTTGCGTTGATCCAACTGCATCCTCTGGATCATGTAAAGAGGCTTGTTCGTTATCAACGGTTTCAGATTGTATATGTGGTACTTCAAGCAAATCCTATTGTGATTCATCTAAACAATGCTAGAGTAATTCATGTGTATCTGTTACCAATTGTTCATCAATTAATTAAAATAACTGTTCTTGTGGAAGCTCATCAAAGCAAAATTGTAGTTCAACAACTTATTGCAAAGATCCAAGTGCAACAAATGGAGTTTGCGTTAATAAATGCTCAGGATCAACTGTAAATAATTGTATTTGTGGAACATCAACACTATCATATTGTAGTTCAACTTAAAGATGCGAAGATAATATGGCTAGTTCAGGTAATTGTTTGGATATATGTACTACTAATTTTTAAAGTAATTGTTCATGTGGTTAAAGTCAATTTAGCTATTGTAATAATTCTAAATATTGTTTAAATGCTACTGCTACTAATGGATAATGCTATGATAATTGTACGGATAGTGTTAAATCTTCTTGCATTTGTGGTACTGTTTCCAAACAAGTTTGTTCTAGTTAACAAAAATGTGAAGATACAACTGCTAATAATGGTAATTGCATTACTATACCAAACTGTATTAATAATTTTGATAACTCTTGTTTATGTGGTATAACTTAAGTTTCTTAGTGTTCCTAATCTACTTATTGCACTAATGTAACTGATTCAACAGGTGTTTGCTTATATAATTGCAACCAAAATTTAACATCTAGTTGTATATGTGGCACAAATAATAAACTTATCTGTTCTAAAACTTAAGTATGTTAGAATCCTAATGATATGAATGGATATTGTATAGAAAAATGTGTTACGAATTTATAAACAAATTGCTTATGTGGTAACTCAATTATTCCATTTTGTGGTTCAAATGAACATTGCCATGATTTTTAATAACTTATAGGTACCTGTGTTAAATAATGTAATTTATTTGAAAATAATTGTGTTTGTGGAATATCATAATATTCTGAATGCTCATCGACTACATATTGTTCATCAAAATAATCAGGAGTTTGTTTAGAATATTGTTCTTACTAATCCTCCAATTGTATTTGTGGAAATAAGGTCAAATAGGTATGTTCAAATGAAGAAAAATGCGTTGATCCATATTCAGATAACGGCATTTGTAATTAAGGAACTTGCACAGAACAATTTTAATCAAATTGTACTTGTGGTACAACTAATCCAGCTTATTGCAATAAGAATTAATATTGCTTCGATTAGACAGCACTTAGGGGAGTCTGTTACGAAAAATGTCAGTAAAATTAAAATAATTGTTTATGTGGAATAGATTCAATTGACATCTGTTATGCATCGTCGTATTGTTTATTGTAATCCAAAGGAGTTTGTATGCCACAATGTAATGAAAGTAATTATCAAAATTGTTTGATATTATCTGAAAACCTAGCTTGCCTTGATTAATTTGATACTATTTATGATGTTCACACTGAAAAATGTGTACCAACTTGCAAAGAAAATGGCTAAAACAATTGTTTTTGTGGCAGCAGAGAGAATGGTTTAGATGTAAAATTAATTTGTTAATCTGGCTATGAATGCTAAAATCTTGGAACAAAATAAAGTGTTTGTTTAGAGAAATGTACAATTAAGAAGACTACAAGTTGTTATTGCGGATAGGAAAAGTCCCAATATTGTAATGAAAATTAGACGTGTTAAGATGTTACTTAATAGATAGGCTTATGCAAATCATCTTTAACTAATTCAGCAGATGATTTTACTATCAGATTACAAATAGGGCTTTTTGTTATAATCAGCCTATTAACTATTATTTGAAATTATATGAATCAATTATATATATATATATTATGAAAATCGAAAAAGAATTTGATTGTTATTTAATCTAGTTTGCAATTAAGAATTCGAATTAGTAAAATTTCAATAATATATTTTTATGTTTATTCCTAAATATTGTTTTTGAGTATTTTACAAATAATAAATTGTTATATTATTTTTTTAAAACATTGAGATATCAAAAGTCATTTGCTTATAGGTTATTTGCTTAAATATATTTGTAGATTATCAGTTTTAATTTAATAAATTTTCCAGTTTTTGATCAATGTCAGATTATCAGTAGGGAGGAATAGTGATCTTTTAAGATTTCTATAAGTTAAAATTTATGACAGTTCAGGGAAGACAATTTCTATAAATTTGAATAATATAGAAATTAGACTGGAGTAGATTCAGCTTGAAAATAAAAAAGAATGAAGAGAAAAATATTTATTTATGTATTTATCGTATTGAAAAAATCAAGATTTAGTGTTTCAGAGCTGAAACCAATTGTAATAATTATCTTATGTTAGATGCCTATCAAATACTTTTTGGCCAAAAATAACGACTTAATTTTTATCAACTTTTTTATAGTAATATATCTAATGAATTGATTTGTAATTCATATATTTCTCATAGTTACTTAATCTTCTTTCCCTAAAACCTTTTAATTTGCATCTAAAACAGTAGCTTGTGATAATTCATACTTTTACTCTTCTATTAAAATATCTATTTTTCCATTTTCTAACTTTAGGTTCTTCAATTTTATTGATAGATTCTAATGAAAGAATTCCATCATTCTTAAGGGATTTTTGCACCTAAATAATTATTGAATATTAAATATTTTATTATCCTCATTTTATTTCAAAAAAAAAATAATATATTAGCAATAAAAATTATTTTATATGAATTTTTTTTTCTAAATATTTTACATAATATGTACTGACTAAGTCCACTTGTAAATTATTGACCTTTAAGACACTTTAAAATTATCAATTAAAAATAGTTATATTCATTATTCTATCTTTAATATCTTTAGTTATAATGAGTTAAATCCTAAACATTGCATATAAACATGAATACGAAATAATTAATTAATTACAACTTTGGATAGAGGAATATATTAACCACTAAGAAATTACTGAGTAAATTTTTATGCCAGAAATTGTGATATATTTTTGACGAGTAAATTCTAATCTCATTTCATTATACTATAATTGTTCAAGGCTTTGCTCCAATTTTGACTTAATATAGAATTTTACTGTTCAAAACTTTGAATCTTTTTTGAGTTATGGCCACTATTCAATATTTATAAATATAGCTTACTCATTTTTAGCAAAAGTAGGCTAATTCTAACCCAAAATATTATGAATCCTATTGAAACATGTTTAAAAGTTTATCCTCTATTTTATTGGATTAAAAATATTGACCAAAATGATAATAGGTTCTTAAAATTATTATGCCTTAGATGACTCAGATCAAATTAATTTATCACTAAATAGACATAAGCCTAAGATTTTTAATTTCGCAAAATTAAAGGTTACCTCAGATTATATTATGAAGAAATTAAAAATATATAATGCGTTTTTATCACTGTTTTGTTAAGATCATTGTGATTTATTAAAAAAGGAGTATTGACCTGTATTTCCTTGATTCTAAAAGAGTATTGAATGGCTGGATACTGTGATTTTTTCGGATAAATTTTCAATTCATCAAGAGATACTATATTCTATTTCCTTCTTTATTGGTTGAAATAACCAGAACTCTGTATAAGAGATTATGGGAAAAAGAGAATTTATGAAAGCTGATAAATAATTGAACCAAAATATTTGAAAAAATAATAGAAATTCAACCAAATGGGAATGATATAATGAAGCAATAAATGAAAAAAAATAATATGTGATATGGTATAAATGTTAAATAAATTTAATATAATAATAAAAATAATAAATAATGGAGAAGAGATTTTACAAAACCTGTTCAAAACATGCTTATTATTAGTATATTAACAGATTTGATCCAAAATTGTTAGCTACATACTAAACTGGGTATTACCATGGAATTGGCAGACAGTATATTTTCTTATTTAAGTTAAAGAGGATTATTCAAAACATTGGTTTTGAGATAAGCAGGTGATAGCATTGGAATGGAAGAAGATCACAGTTATACATATAAGATGCATGTTATGGCTATGAACTTGATGTACAGAAGTGGTTGGGTATTATTTGCTTACATTTTAATTTGGAATACATTTTTATTGGGAGATCCTTGTTAAGTATATAGTAGTATCTAATGAATAGGTTTTTAATACCTCATACTGGGACTTGGCATGCAAACCATCAGGAGATATGGATTACAATACAAGATATGAAATGTTGTATGTTCAAGACAGAGTATTAAGATTCTGATCCATTAAATATAAAATGTTATTATTATTATTTTAACCAATTGCTCATTTCTTTTAGGTTCCACTGGATCCTGGAGGCCAAGTTAATTGTTCTCCTCCAATTATATGTAGATGAAGATGCCAAACACTCTGACCTCCATTCTCTCCATCATTAATGACGATTCTGAATCCTTGCTTCAATTCATCAACCAACTCAACGATCTTAGTGACGGTGAACAATAGATGGCCTAAGACTTCTTTATTGTGTTCTTGAGCCTTCGATAATTATGTCAATCCATTTCGTTATTTTGGAATCAATAGAATATGGACAGGAGCTTATGGATTGACATCATGGAAGGCAAGGCACTAAATATAGTTAATTTATACTAGATCATCCTAATAAACAATGTTTGCTTTTATCTATCCAGATACGATTTTATCAAAGATTGTGACTTCAGCGTCCATTTATAATTAAATTATATTAATCAAAGCTTAATTTAATATTAATCATTATACTCTTTTATTTATTAATACAAGCTATCCTAACTTTATTCTTCAACAAATTATTTTCTTTGGCAAAAAAATAAAAAATCTCCAGGTATTTGTAAATTAAATCTTCTTAAAAGATATGGAAATGCTCCGTTGACAATAAATCCTGCTCCGAAGCACAATGGAAGTATCTAAAGATCATAATAATTATACTTTGCAAATCAGCTGTAAAACCACAGAATTAGATGATATAAATAGGAAAGGTATTAAAATTACAAAAGGAATTATTAATAAGAAGAATCTCTTTAAATGGTACTCTGTTGAAAGCTTTTTCTTCCATTTATTAAAGAGCCCTTCTTCATAAGAACCCTAAGCTAACACAGCGCCAACTAATAATCCTGTAATTAGGGCTCCTACTCCTGTAAACTAAAAACAGGAATTATATAATATTTAAGGGGATTCCTTCGTGTAATGAGTTGAATTGCATTCATTGATTCTGGCTACCCATTTACTCATATCATTTTAATCATAATAGTATAATGAATTCAGTTTTAATAATCCCAAGGCTAATCCCAATAAAATTATCAATAGGAAAAATGCCATAGGAATAATATGATTCATTTCCTCTAATCTACTCCTTCTGGGATTGACCAAATTTAATATGTATCTATAAAGGTATTTTATTTATAAATACTCTCTCAATGATGCATGAATTACGAAAATATACATTAAAGTTATATATAGGCCCCAAACCCATCCAAGGAGCACTTATCCTAAAGAATGAACTCCAAGAAATATTCTAGAAATTCCAGTCAAAACTATGCTTAAAAAGATGAATATAATTAGGATCACTTTCATTGCAATTTTACATTTAGATTAAAGATTGGTATTTACTTAGTATTAACTATTCTTAACTAAATATTCTTATAGTTGTTACTCCTAGCTCTGAATTTTTCTCACTGTATATTGTATACCCTGTTTGCTGTTCTTTTTTCTCATTATCTAATGTAATCTAAATGGATAATTACTATCTTAAAATTCAACTTAAATTCTATGTCTTCTTAGTTATCTAATTGATGGGAAAAGCAACACAGGCATAAGCATAAGCATAACAATTGAGTTTTGAGAGTGTCCCGAAGGTTTCCCATAATCTGAGTTGCATTTTAAACTACAATGATATTTTTAGGTACCTCCTAATTTCAGGTTCAATCATGTATGGTCTTGCTTAATGGTAAATGTTTTTTAAAATCTCATTTGTGGTTACACTTGTTATTACAACACTTAAATAAAGCAATGCATTTAATTTATTGTCGTCATACACGAAGCAATAAAATGCTGCTATTGGTGGAATGATGACAATGTCTGAGAAGAATTCGTAAAATAGCTGCTCGAAAAGAGGAATAGTTTTTTGCATTGATATTGCAAACGACTTGCTAATATCCCAGAGTTCATCATTAAAGGCTATGTCTATCACTATGTAAGCAATCAACAGAGTAGTAAACACTATTGACAATATTATTTTATTCATTTAATTATTACGTGCAAAATTACATATTGCTATTTATAATATGAAATAGCATCATATTGCATAATGTGTAACTTTCTAATTAATTAATTGTTGTTTGGTTGAAATTCATTTTCAAGACAAGCATCTTTATGAAAAATAATAGAATTATTTATATTTGAAATTAGTAATATCATAGTTACATTACTTAAACACTCTTTAAGAAGATACTTTTTATTAAAATAATATTAATTTATATTTATTATCCTGAAGTTAATAATATTTGATGCTATAAAAATTTGTATTCGTATGACATTTTAATTATTATATAAACAAAAAATAAATGACTAAAGAAGAAATCAAAGAAGTGGTTGAAGTTATCTTAAAAGATAAGTTAGGTTAAATTTGGTAGAAAATAGCTAATCTTGAAGAAAGATTTTAAAGTTATGAGAGATAATTAACCTAATAGCAAGGGGACATTTAAAAAAATGCCAATATTTAGAATAGCTAAATTCTACATTTGGGGAAAAATTTTCATGAGTTGATCAAACAATTATAAACAGCCTAGAGTGCAGCAAACTAGGTTGTAGAAATGACTGAAAGAAAAATATAGGAAACTTAAAAAGTTAAAAGGAATTAGCAGAAAAAATTGGAAGAGTTATCTAAGAATTAGAATTTACAACAATAAATAAATTCTGGCTTTTCATAATTAATTCAAAGTTAACAATAATAATAGCAATAATAATAATAATAGCAATAATAACAATAATAATAATAACAATAATAACAATAATAATAATAACAATAATAATAGCAATAATAATAATAATAGTAATTATAATAATAATAGTAATAATAATAACAATAACAATAACAATAACAGTAATAGTAATTGTAGTAATAATAATATTAATTTTAAACTCTATAACGAGTACCAGAAGGCATGGTATTTAGAACAAGAAATGGTACTAAATATCATCTTAGAAATTGTGAGCATGTCCAAAAAAATTTAACCTTAATGATAACGAGAGAATAGGCTCTAGAATAAAATTTGAATGGCTGTATGAATTGTAAATCATGACTTAAATTATTTTTTAATTCTATTAAAGATGACTTATTAAAATTTAGTTAAATAGACTTCATTCCATATATTGAGGTTTTTGTTTTCCAGTTCTAAGAGTGCATCCAGCACAATGCAATAATGCAACAGCTGCATAGATTGGCCCTTTTTTAAGTAAATCTGATCTAAAAGCTATGCCCATATATTCGCCATTTAATGCAAAGGAGAGTGTACCTAAATTAATCATAGTTAAGAGTACCATTAAGCATGTTTAAGCAAACTCCAAGAATTCCTTCTTTTTTGAATCTTTTACCATAAGTTTAGCCTGATGCATTGCTTCCATTTCTTAATTATGCTAATCCATAATAAGCGAAGCCTTGATTTAAGTCACAGAAAGCAGCATTCAAATTAATGGCATTTCCTTAACAAACTCCAATTTTTAATTCATTTTCTGTTTTAGAATCTGCTTCAATTTCCCAATAATGAACTCCCGTTTCAAATCCCTAAAAACATTAAAAATTGTATAAATACTTGATCTCCTAAAACTGTTCTGAAAATGTATGAGCTTTCTTTAAGAAAGACGCTAGTATCACCATTTGACAATTAAATGCCTGTGCCACATTTGTTTTTATCCCATCTAAAATTTGGACTTCCATCAACATTGATGACTGGTTGTATTGCAGGTTATTTATTTTAGGATAGAAAGCCTGATACTTATCCAGATCCTGTTAACTTCTGTTGAAGCTTCTTAATAATATCGTATTATTTTTTAGGATCTGCTACATTTTCAAATAATTGTACTGTCAACTCACACAACATGCTACAGTATGATGTTTACCTAAAAAATGATTAATAACATTACTATTTCTCTTCAGCAGATAAAAACTCTTTACAATTTTCATGATTTAAACATTTAACTTTAATACATTGATTTTGATGTTATTCGATATCTATAATAGAACACAATTTTTTGCACTCAGGATTTGAGCAGTATAATTACAAGTTCTTATAAACCTTAAGCATTGCTCCTTAAATTTTAACATACTGTGGTGTATTATCTGAAGAATTTGGTGGATATCCACAATCTGAGCTTTTGCATGGAGGCTTAGCTGCCACACAATCACTGCAGTACATTTAACCACAAAAATTGCATTCTAATGGTTCTTTTACTACTTTATTGCAAATCAAACACATCAGATGTTGTTGAGGTTGAGGCTAGAATCGATTAATGTCGTACCCAGACATAATTTATTTTGTTGAAATTAATTAAAATTTGTATTCAATAATTCATTTAAATTTCGAATGTTTGTAATTCTGATAAAAGCAATTTCTATATAACATTAACTTTAATGAAATTTTATATAAAGCCTTCTCTTGAGTTTTCAGCACTTCAAATATCGATATATGATAATAAAACTCAATTGAAAGCTTTATTTAAAGTTATTTTGGGTTTCATTCTTGCTAGCACCTTTCTCATTTTGATGAATAAATTACTTAGTTATCCTTGTATTAGGTTAAGATAGTATTAAAATGAAACTAATATGATTTGATTTATAAATTACTCCTGTAGTAATTTAAAACAAACAAACTAATTTATTAATGGATATATAAAATTAGAAAAGAAAGAGCAAATTTTCATTCTCTCGTGCTCCTACCAATGAAAATTCTGGTGCTCTGCAATAATTGAAAAATAGGTTCAAAGGTAAAATGAGTTTCTATCTGTAGGACAAATGCTCTAATTAATTAATAAAAATGAGAATAAGGATTAAGATAAGCAAATTTAAGAGTTTTTGATTCGAATAAACGTAGAATTAGAGGAGGAAGATCTAAAATATATAAAATTTGATATGAGTTTGTATCATGAAAATTATATTGATGGTGAAATATTGGGAGAAGGATGTATTGGGTTAGTAAGAAGTGTTACAAGAAAATAAGATGGGTGTGAATTTGCATGTAAAATTGTTAAGACAGATGCTGAAGAGATTGTTAAAAATGTTATATTTTGAATATTAATGTGATAGATGATTTTAGAATTTAAGAATCTTAAAAAATTAAGTCATCCTTACATTGTTGCTATGAAGGAACTGTTCATACAATGGAATGAAGGTTTCCAGAGCACAGGGACAGTTTTAGTAATAATGGAAAAAGTGAAGGGTAGGGAAATGTTTGAAGTAATACAAAAGTAAAAGAATTATAGTGGTAATTTATGATACAAGTTTAGAGTGGACTGCAAGAATTTTATTTGAGTAAATCTTGGTCGCGATAAAATATATGCATGATAATTATTGTTGTCATAGAGATTTGAAACCAAATAACATTCTATGCGCTGAGGATGGTACATCAATTAAGATTACAGACTTTAATGTAAATAATAATTAATACATAAGGTTTCAAAATTTACTGACGGCTATAAAGAATTCACTAATCTAAATGACCATGGCAAAATCGAAATGTGGACATACACCGGTACTGTTGCATTTTCTGCGCCTGAAATATTTTCAGGGGGATTGTACAAGTAAATTATATTTTGTAATCAGTGAATAAGTTGATCTATGGAGTGCAGGAGTAATATTGTATGTGATGTTAAGTGGTGAATTACCGTTCAATTCAGATTATCTAAATGATCTTATTGATTAAATTTCAAAATGCAAATACTAAATGATTGGTCCAATTTGGGATTAAATCTCCCCTTAAGCCAAAGATTTAATATAAAATTTGCTATAATTAGATCCACTTCAAAGATTAACACCTGAATAAGCTTTAGATCATCCTTGGATTAAAAATGTGCAAAATAAATCAGAGATTCCAAGGGATGCTTTGGAAAAGAATATGGCACGATTCTTAAATCAAAAAATAAATAATGAATCTGAATTAAGTGCCAAGAAAATTAAATAAATCTGTTTCTTATTTGGAGCTGGAGAAATTTGGAAGCGTCACTCTTTGAAAAATTCATCAGTTTCCAAAATTTCAGAGGATCTCAAGAAATTTAAATCTATTGATATTTCAACATATAAAAAGGAAATACAAGTGACAAAGGATTAGAATTCGAATCATGTATATCATATAGATTATCCATTTAGTGATGATTCAGATTGAATTATTATTTTTATAATTATTTTATATTTTCAAATGTGGAAATTTGCAAATTACTCCATCTCCTTTCTATATTACTCTTGCAAATATTAATCCAAATCGTTTGGACTTATTGATCCCTACATTTTGATATCACTTTCCTTAATCTCGAATCCACTTTCGCTATCATATGATGAATAAGGTAAACTATTATCAGCTGGAGCAAATGGAGAAACAACTCCCTTTTAATCAGGAATTGGATCCTTTTAAATTACTGGAGTAAGTTAATGTTCAACCACATCAACAGGCATTTCACTTTCAGGATCATATTGAGTATTTTCTTTTCTTTCATTCTCTTGACTCGACATATAAGAGTCTTCGTCATTTAAATGCTATTCTTCAAGTCTTTATCTCTTCATTCTCTCGTATTCTTCTTATTCTTTTCTGTCCAACTCTTCCATTTATTCTGGAGTCAATGTTTGTTCTTCATCAATTTATATTACTGCTTCTTCTTCTATTTGAACCTACTTTTACTCATGAACATTGATTTCTTAGAAGCCTTCTTATTATACATCTTGTTCCTGATTCAATGAAACATCATCATCAATATATTGCACCTATTTTTGAATCAAAGCTTATTTTTATCCATTCAAAATATGGCTCTTCTTTTGTCTCAAATGTTGAGCTGATTGAGCCATACATATCAGAATAACTATCAGAATCACTGTTCTCATTAAAACGGATTATTATAATATTGTTAATATTCCAAAAAATTAAAAAATACCATGTCTATTATTCAATAAAAATGCAGTAAATTTTCGTCAAGCACTAATAAACTAATCGTAAAATAGACAACATTCTAAACACGAGTGGTTATTCATAAAATTATATGATAATAATTCATTATTAAGCAAATCTATGAGGAAATTAATTAATTTTTATACTTTCTTTTCTAAAAGAATGAATAGTATAACTAAAAGGCAAAAATATAGAAACTAAGAATCTATATTTATTAATGGAGATACTATCTGAATTCAGTAATTTATTTTTATGTAATTGTACTCATAATGAAGATATAATTAATTATTATTTGCGAATTTCATAGAAGACTAATATAAAGGGATTTGGTATAAAATAATAATAAATAATTATAAAATTCTTAAAAACACTTGATATTCATTAAAATTATTTAGGTGAATTTGAATTTAAACATATCAATTTAATTTAACATCTTTAAAATTTGAATCTCAAATTGTATTTATTATTTAGATAGCAGTTTAATAAATTAAAACCAGAATATATTAAATATGTAGAATTGACATACTAGTATTGCGTTAATAAGATATTTTTAATTAAAATGATTTTTTAGGAGCATTTTCGCATCCACTTTGAAGTATATTCATATAAGATAAAAGATTAGAATTATAATTTGTATTCGTTTTTAATAATAATATAAAAATGAGAATATTGATTTTAGTTCTATTGAGCATGGTAGTATTGATATAGGATGTTAGGCATTATGCAAAATGGGCACAGATCCAAAGATTGTATTGGCAGAAATTGATGATCATCATATGGGGAAAACATTCTTGAATGCAATCCAAATCAGTTTGGCAACAGGCTCACCTGTACATGAGATTTAGAGCTATATAAACAATATAAGGTATATATTAGGCTTGATAGTAGATTCATGTTGGAATAAGAATAAAAGGATGCTGATCTTTATATCCAAAACACATAAGCATCATGCAATAGATTGTTACACGATTTTTCAACTAATTTGGCCTATCATTAGAGCCAATTGAAAGCTCATTAGAAAATAGTAGAGGTTAATGTTTTATATATAAATTAGGAAAACACAAATAATCTCTAAAGATCTCTAAACAAGATTGCAGAAGTCTCAGTTGAAATTGAGGAGAACACCAAGAAAACAAACGCAGGTTAGAGCGAAAGAGATTTGCAATACGCCGAATTTTAATCAAAGATTAAAGATCACACAGAAGCTATCGCTGCTATTGATGAAGCATATGCTCTAATCGAACATTTATCTAGTGGTTCATCTTTCATTCAAGTCAAAGGAAGATTCAACAAAGTCTTGTAGAGATTATAGAAGTAAAGCTCTATTGCGATTTCTTAGTTAATCAACTGGATTATTATTCTAGCCAATTCTTACAATGATGACCTAATTATCATCAAAATCAGATTCAGACACTGCAAAGAAAGTCTTATAGTTATTGGCCAATTTGAGAGTTCAAATTGTTGAAAGCAAAGGAAATGACGAATCAATTGAGAAATAATAAAGTCTGAATTGGTAATAATTCTTATCAGATTTGACAAACGAGAAAAACACATTGTAATTATTAATATTTACATCGATAATAGATCAGATTAAAGATAGAATTTAGAATAAGCAATTTTAAATTATTAGAGTATAATTGAGGAATCTGAAGGCAAGGTTGAGTATCATGCAGCTGAGGTTGAAAGAAATTAGGTAATAAAATAATCTAAATAACAAGAGCAACTTAGAAGGATAAGATTAATGGTGTAGATAATAATAAGACATTTATTAGATGGAAACCTAATCAAGAGTTTAGAGTTAGGATCTAATTTCAAGAATATCAGATCACATTTAAGATAAGATAGTAACTCTTAAAGAATATTTAAGAGAAAGACTTCAGTTAAATTGAGTATCTAATCATCCAAAATATAAAAACCCATTTTCAAACAATTTCAAATATTGATAATTTATTAGAAATGTCACTGACAAGAACAGTGTTATTTCCGATACTTTCTATCCAATTAGGCTTATTTTTTATTTTTGCTCTTAACACTTAAACTGATTGATTCCAAATAGCGAATGTCTGATCATTTGAAATTGTAACTATTTTATCATTTAAATAAGTGGTTCTCATCACTTTGCTTTTATGAGCATCTATGACAAATTCAGGAATTGGGGGTTTCTTATTTTTCTTTCTTTTCAGCTGTTGTACTTTGAAACAATACACTTGTCCAGTTTCAGTTGAAATTAGGATTGAATTATCTTTAGAAGTTGCAGAGTAAATCACAGGAGGTGAAACAGTTAAAGGTGCATATTACAAATGGATTGTGCCTTTGATCAAATTTAAAATATACTTAAATCAAATTTGAAGAGTATCTTTGCTTGAGATGTCTATTAGAGTATTGGTTGTTCTTCAATTTAGTGCTTATATTAATAATCCCATAGAATAATTTTATAGTCGAATCCTGTAGATACATAGAGTTACTCTCCCTCATCCTGAATGAAATCTCCGCTAAAACAAATCTGAAATTAGAAGTGATAAATACGTTTTCATGTCCTTCTTTGAGAGTGGATTTAACATTGAGTTGCCTATCAAAAATGGATGTACAACCACTAATAATAGAGAAGTATAATAATAATACGAGTCAAAGTTGGCAGAAATTAATTGCTATTGAGAATCAAAGGTGATTTAGTTGATTTCGCTATCGTTTTCAGACTTTAAGGTACATGCTTTAACAATAATGTCTTATCTTATGTCAAATAATTGAATCTGAAAAGTATACAATAACAATTACTTCATTATTCCTAGCTCCGTAGACTTGAGTGTCTGAGAGTAAACAATTGGCAGTTTGAGATTCTTCTAGTTTACCAAGATTGAATAATTTGACAGATGATTACAATCTCAGATCATATAATCTCAATGTTGAATCTTCGGAAATGGTGAGGAAAAGGTTATCGTTTTGTTTGGATGCACTAATACCTGTGATTGGCTGTTGGTGAACTGGTATGAAATTCAAAAATACTATTTTTCTCTGAGAAGACAAGTGTAGATTTCTCTGTTATCATGAATTTAATAATTATGTTTAATAAAGTATTTTAAAATATTTATAGTATATTATGCTAATATAAATGGAAAATAAATAGATGTTATTCTACTTGTAAATAAGTGGATAAATAATTAATTTTGATGAGAAGAGTATTAATAATAATTCACAAACTGCATTATTATTTCTAACTTTAAATAAGTTTGATAACACTGCTTTGTTGTATATATATCTAGGGATTGATTTGCTTAAATTTCTTATGCTATATTTTGGCATATTTTAAATAGCAAGGCTAAATGCGATAATGAAATGGAGTTACTTTATTTTATGGATTGGTCTTCCATTTTCTGCCATTAAAATAATTATAGAAGTCTTTAAGATATGACTTTGATTTAAGATTGATAAATGCATAACCAGGATTAACAGTGCCATCAAATGGTAAATTGAAATAATCAAATTTATTTTTGAATTTTGAATCAATTTCCAAAATCAGCATTTCCTTTGTATAATTCTGGGGAATGTTTCTCATCATCAGAGTTGTTCTATTGTCTCCTTCAATCTATTATTGGTTTGATTACTTACATTAGTGATGTTGAAATCAAAAGATTGCTCACTCTCCTCGGATTTATCAAATACTCCTTGTATGAATTGCAATTGTTCGGAATGTATAGGTGTTTGATTGCTGCTTATAAATATTTGAGACTCTAAGTCTAATCATCAAAAGTTGTTACCATATGCTTCGAATGTGGTATTCAAAAAGTCATCAGATGTAGAGGAATCATCACTCTAATGTCCATCACTATCCTTTTGGTTGAACTCATCTATCTCCTTAAACAATGACAATTTGTAAAGTTTTCTCTTCATAATTTAAATTAATTAACTACTTATTAATAATAAAACATTTAAATTATTTTTTTAACTATTATCAAATTCATGTAAAATAATAGTTGTATTTTAAATATCAATATTGGAATGAGGAAACATCACTACACTCTTGATTTAGAACACTATAAGAAAATCATATTATTATTATTATTTATAATAATTAATTATCTAAATGAATTCAGAGCGTCGTTCATTATTGGAATTTGATAATAAATAATAAGAGTAGATCAAATAGATAGAAATTCAGACCCAATAATAATTGAACCCTATACTAGAATCTAATCTACAAAATTAATAAGAGAATCCATCCGATAAATTGAAAGACATTCACAAAGAATATCGCAAAAACCAGGCATTTAGTAACTTTATCAAATGTCATGTCCCACTATTCTCTTAAGTGGAAAAGGGAGTGACTGTCAAAATGATCAACAATAATATTGAAGCATAAAATTCAGATAATAATAAATTAAGTAAAGTGAAAACTGTGCAATTCAATCTACAAAACAACTATCTCCATTCAATTGTAAAACATCCTAGTGAATATCTAACTTTCAATGAGAAGTTTAATTTACAGAGAAGTATTCAACAATATGCAATGCAAAATAGATTTGATTCTACTTCAGAAGAAGAAGATGATGATGTCGAAGATTAACACTCTGTCATTGAAGTAGTCGTCAAAGAATTAACCTAACAGCCTAAGAGCATTTTGAAGAAATAGCCTAAGGAATTTAAACATGAAACAGATGATGATGAAGACTATTATTAAAACAAAGGCTTGAGTTATAAGGAAATAAGGAACCTAGAGAAGAAGGTTAAAGAGCATGATTATGGTGTAGGGTTGGAATTACTCTAAAAATTGGGATTCAAATATGGTGAAGGTTTAGGAATAAATAGATAAGGCATTTTAGAACCTGTGATTCCTGTAAAAAAATAAGTATTTACAGGTTCCTAATCAAATCAAAATAAGGCTAATGAAGAAGATTAGGTTTGGTTGTATGATCAGCCCTATGAAACTAAAAATACAAAAAAGTAGGATAAAATGTGGAGAAAAAGAAATTAGATGGACAAACTAAATAATTCATAATCATACTAATTAAATTCTAAAGACAATATTATTCAGGAATATTTGGATGAAGTTAAAGAATTGGCTTAATCAGTCTAACATCTACTATTCACTAAATTAAGCAAATATGAAATCAGCGAATAAATCATATAATAAAAAAGAGATCAAACTATTAAATTAGAGATTGAAAAGGAAAAGTTACTCAGCAATTTGGAAAAGCAAAAAGAAAGCGTAAGAAAAAAGGAATCATTTTAAAAATATCTTCTCTTTTTTTAAGATGATGAAGTCTAAATATCTAATGAACCTTTCCCACTATATGAAAAATTTCTAGAATGCTTTATTAAACATCCTGATTTGTTCATTTAATTCAATCTGATCGATGTATTAATTAAACAAGGAGTATAGGATATCACAGAAAATATTAGAAATTGGGAAGGACCACAAATAGATATACTTGAAAATGAATTTAAATTCATCAACAAAATTGTGTATTTAGGAAAAGATGTTTTCATTTAATAAAAATAAATGGCTACTACTTCAAATAGTAAAGATTAAAAAATTCTGATAATTGATAACGTAATTTCAGAAACCGATTTCCTAAACCTAGAGACTATTGTTGATATACTCATTAATCCTATTAAGTAAAAATTGCTCAATTATATACGTACCCAATATGATCCATGTTCAGATAATTTATTATTCGAAATGCTTAAATTGTGGACCACTGACATATAATCTATAGAGATTGAAGAATTATAAGGGTAAAAAGTTGAACAACTTAAATTGTTTAATGCAAGAATTATTGAAAATATTAGTAATCTACTTGTTCCAAAATTACTATAAACAATTTCTAATTGGAGTATTAATGACGCCCTTTAACTTGACAAAATTATACTTCCTTGGATGTCTTCACGATTTAACAACTAAGAATTATCAGATCAACTGGTTCAAAAACTACTAACTATTGATTTAGAGAATTAACCTGATTTTGGTTTAAGTGTTCTATCTCCATGGTCTAAACTTCATGATATCTAATGGACTCAGGTTCTTGAAAATTAAGTAATACCAAAAATGATTAGTTATATATCAAATTTAGAAGCTCCTAATTTTGAGGATATTAAGAGAATTCTTTAGCATTTTGAATATATTCAAGATTACGCTGAGACTCTGTTTGAACCCCTGATGGATTAATTAAACTAACACGTAAATTTGAGAATGTAAGAAAATGTGAGTTGCAGAGATCCAGGAATTCATCAATCAATTTTAGAGTATGATATTTAAATTAACTTATTTAGATGGCTGAATGGATGGGAATTGATTCTCTAAAATCAGGTATTGAGCAAATCCAGTCTTCTGTCTGCAAAATTTAATTTGATGAAAGAGAAGTTAATTTGATGATCATTTACTAATTAAATTATAAATTACTGAAGTTCTGATATTACATCATAAAATATATATAAAAGTAATCAATCTAACTGAATCTCAAATTCTTTGAAGCATGATTTCCTTTTATTTTAAAAACTTGAGTAACACAAAGATGGATTTAAATATTAAGGCTCCATTTGCTTTTATTATATTTGAGCTTTTAGTCTTGATCTGAAATTGAATATTTCTTCATCTTAGTAATGTAAAAATATTATAGAGGAATCTGCAAAACTTACTTTTCTCTCTCCATGCTATTACACTAAATCTATCTAATCTTCATCATAGGTTTAACTAAAGGAGTCCATTTTTTATTGCATTAATTCAAACTTAATTTTGGGACCTCTGCATGTAGTCATATTTTATAAAAGATAATAAATTTTTAATTTGAAACAAAATTATATATTATAATATTCTCTATTGTTAAATAGAAATTTAAGAGAAATCTCCATTTAGAGTGCTATTACTTAATCTTTAAGAGTTGATCAAAATTGATGATATTATATACTATTTTAATTTGGAGTTTAAGTGAGAGTGTTACAATAATTGGATTCATATTTACAAATGAATTTTAAATAATATTTATTATAATAATAATATATATATTATTATATATTATTATAAATAATTAATGCCAATAACATTATTCAAACTGAAATTTAAAATAATGGTCAATCTTCAATCAATTGACTTGTAATTACATATTAGACTCAATGCTTCTACTTCAGATAGTTGGACAATCTCTAAATAAATATGTCAGCAAATATTTAATATTGACTGGTTATTATTGTTATTTTTCATTTAATTAATATAAATTCATTTCAAGTACTTCTCTAATGACCTCATTCGATTAATTATTAAGTAATTAAAGAAATATTATGTAAAAGGAGATTCATCAACTGCTTAGCCAATGAAGTGAACATGATAACGAATCAATTGGATTCATACTCTAATTTTATTAATATAGAATAGTGTTTAAATAACGATTATTAGGATATGAACTATGTTAAATTTTGATATTTAAATTTTGATGTATCCTTTAACTATGTATTATTAGTGTCAAATTTATAAGATTTAAGAATAATAGAAATTATTAATTCAGATATTATGATTATTTAGTGAGCCTTTTTTGGATATTGCAGATAATATCTCCTAATTTTGATTAAATTATGACTTTAAAATGCAATTCAAGATTTGATATAAATAATATTAATCTTAAAATATTCGTAATGAACTCTTCACAAAGCTCATTTACAGATCTAAATGATTGGGCTTTAATTTATTAGAATCTCTAACAAATCAAACCAGAATAATTATCTTCAAAACTCAATTTACATTTCAAAAATCTACCCGACTTTAATGACTTTATTAAACTTTATGAGTCTTCTAAAATAGACACAGGAGATCTTTGGAATCTAAATGAGGAACATTTATTACAGTTAATAGTTCTGAGTCTCAACCCAAAATGTATGAAGGTATTACAAATTATAAATTTAGAATCGATTCAATTGGGAGAGAGTGCAAAAGCTTATGCCTAAATTTCGGAGTCTGCCTGAATTGTACTTTAAATTCTAATCTTTCTATAAACCACTTTTTCCAAGATAACCATGGTCAACCTTCGAAGAAAGGACGTTGTTATAGATTATTATGTATATAAATCTCATTCATAATAGAAACAATTCTAGTCGCCGCAAAATGAAATGGAGTACTATCGCATATTAATACAATCGCACCTGCAAGTCTTAGGTATTACGAAATGCAAAATAATGTCGAGAACGATGGAATAATAAGTTGGATCCACAAATTAATAGGTAATCATATTAATAAAACATTACAGAGAACCATGGTCGAAGTCTGAAGAGTTAAACTTTCTATAATTGCTCCTTCAGAATGGACGTAAATGGACTGACATATCAATGAAATTGTCTATGATCACTAATTAAAGAAGAAGAACCGAATTTGCTTTGAAACATAAATTCAAACAACTTAGGAAATACTATGGTAGATAATTTAGTATATTTTTAAGGATAGAGAGCCAAAAGGAAATGTGATTTAAAAGTAAGTCCACATTGGAATATTTTGGAGGCTGACATGATTTTGTATAAAATAGAGTCACTTGAAGAGATTACTAAAAAGGGTCAGACTCAAAAATATTCTTTTTGTGAATTTTGGAGTTTTGATCAAGAGTTGGGCTTAGTCTTCATTAAAAATGGTAGTCTGATATAATTGTGATATCTGGGCAATAACATATTTATTATTTAAAATGAATTAAAAAATTTGAAAGATATTCAAGTTTGTGGGTTTTATATTCTCGCATCGCATAGCGATAAATTTGATTATTGAAATATTATTTGGAATATGAACTTCCTCCATATTCAATCTTCTTAACAATCGACTGATGAATCATCTCATCCCCTAAATTCCAAACTAAACTTTGGGCAAATTCAAGCCATAGATTTAAAACCATACAAGAAAAAATGGAGGCTACTTTTTCACCATGTTCCAAGTGCCAAAATTATAGAATCTATTTACTATGATTTATAGAGTCAATCTGTTGAAGAGCGTGAGAGCAAAGAGATGATCTTATTGCAATTCATTCTGTTAAATATGCATGCTCCTTTTGACTTGAAATTGGTAATTTCAACGTAATAAGTCTTAGAGTGAAGATAAATGGATTCATATTAGTGAACTGATGCCAACCCATAAATCTCCACATGAATGGGCTTAAATTTGCCAGCAGTTTGTTCACCAATCGGCATACAAGAACCCATGGTCTGAGAGTGAAGATTAATTGCTTTTAGAGATTATTTTGTAATGAAATTACACTCATTCTAGATAATACCAGAGGATGAGGAAGGGGAACAAATGGAGCAAAATCGCACGAGAACTAAATGAATAGAGTCTCAATAAGTGTATTCGTACACCCAAATAATGTAGAGAACGTTGGGGGAACAAGTTAGATCCATCCATAAATCGGTATGATTTTTAATTCATAATTTTAGTGATGAATGGACTGATGTGGAGGATCTACATTTACTCTAGCTTCTCTTGCAAAATGGAAAAAGATGGGCTGATCTATCTATTCAATTATCACCATTTACCAACAATAAAAAAAGAACTGAATTTTCTTTAAAACATAGATTCAAAAAATTAATATCCAATTCAAATTGCATTGGTATTAATGTATTTTATCAATTCTAGAATCCAAATCAATCAGAGGAACCAATTATTAAATTTCCTCCGATTGGGACAATAAGGAAATCAATAGATTACTTTGTAAGATTTCTCAATTAGAAATGTACACCAATAAAAGAGAGGTTGAAAACTTCTATTATCACCCTCTAACGAAGTAAATCCTACTCAATGAGTCAAACAAGATTGTTATCATAAAAGGGAGATCCAAAGTAGAATTGGATTTGTCAATTCTTTTTAATTCGACAAATTCAGAATCAAATGATTGAATAATTGAATAGCATTCATCATAAATATTAAATGTATTATCTATTTTGATATAATAATCATCTTCTATTTGAACGGACTTTATTCTGCTTTTCCTCTGGTTATTGGAATGTGTAATAGATGGAAATCCCAGAAATCAACAAACAAAGGGTTGCCACACATGCAGCCCCAACAAAATACGCATAAGAATAATTCTAGGTGGAATTTCTTGCATCAGCTGCCTTACAAATCACTTTCGATTCCACACATTAGATCTATCCCAATTTATTTTTTATGAAATTACCAAACACATACAGGCTTGATCCAAACTATTTCTATAAGAAAATCTTATACCGCTATTCCGTTCTCTGAAACGTTCACGCTAAATGCTTCCTTAACATTTTCAATTGAGCCCTCTTCTTTTGAAGGTGGCAATACTTTTTAAAATATTGAAGGCATAAATGAGTCTTTGTTATTTACATGGACAATGACATGGTGATTATTTTGATCTTTCAAATTAAATGCTTTGACCCATTAAGTCTGAATAATATCTTTGTTGTACTCGTGTAGTGTTCCTTTGACACAAATAAATTTCTATATTTTATTGACTTTTGAATGCACAAAGGTTGTTGGGGAAATCGTTCTTTGGATAGATTAATATTTTACTCAGAAGTTCCAATGAAAGAGATGTCATTGACTTGAACTATTTGGCCTTCTTTGCCCTCCTTATTGAAAGCATCAATCAAATATTAATAATCAGATTATCCGCCATCTGCCAATCTTTTCGACTCCTTTTTGAATTTTAAGTAATTGGCATAGAGCATTTTATAAACCAAGTAGCCTCCTGTTAATAAGAGAGCATTTCCTAGTATCACTCCAGTCTTTATTATACCTTGATAACTCATTAATCTTTAAAATTATTATTAATCCAATAATCAAAGATCCTGTTTTATAAATTAGTAAATTATAATACCGAATGCAAATCAATAACATATAGCAATGATTGCGTAATTAGAACAATTATTATTTTAAGTATTAAATTTATGGAATCTTCATTAAAAACCTCAAGCAGAAGCAAAAAAGGCTTGAATAAAGCACTTTCGAAAAATTATGCCACGAAAAGTAAGAATTTCAAATGAATTAGTCATTGATCTGCTCTCAACTCAAACTTAGCTATGTCTCTTTGGTTCTATTGGTTAAAGCGACTCTCCCACCAGTCGAATGAGGATTCTAAGAAGCCTGAGAATACGAACTCAAGAGGATTAATAAAATAGAGTAAGTAAAAGCTTCGATCTAAAAATCATTCGCCACACAAGATAATAGCAGAGACGCAAGAGTGGTATTGAGCCATTGTCTGAGAAACAAGTATCCATCTCCATAGATTATGTTCTTAGATGCATCTTGATTGTTTGTATCCAAAGACTCGGGTGTCGTAATAGCAAATACTATTAAATGAGATTTAGAAGACAAAGGAAAGAAAGAAAACCATATTCAAACGTATGTCGAGCATCTTAATCAAACATCAGACAACTCTACGCACCATTGGCAATTAGAACAGCACTAATAACCAAAGGAACAGTGAGATGCAATTATTCATGCTTCAAGAATCCCAATAGCCAATTGATGAACCTGTCCTTTTGCAATCTCAGGAAGTGAAAAAGAATAAGATTCGACAATTGGTAATTGACTCAGAACTCCCGAAGGTAGTTTTAAATATATCTCGAAAATGCAAGAAGCCCTTTGCTTCGATTCAGAGTTATGTGAATCAAAAAACAGAGAAGCACCAATCTTAAAAAGAATTGGGAAGCAGCAACCCTTTTCTAAGTTATACATCTTGTCAAAGTCTTACAGAGATGAACTCTTAATTTCACTCTAATTCTCCTTAGACTTAGAGAAAATTAATATCTTTGAAAGCAGCTTGTCCTCTTCCAGAAATCAAGTTGATCTCTTCTGCTCGCAATTATACCAATACAAATGATATCAATTTTCTAAAGCAGAAGTGTAAGAATAGTATTTATTGTGCAGATTCACATAGAAAGAGGAGAATTGAGACTAAAGTATGATAAAATTTAAATTACAATTTTTCATTTTTTTCATGTTAATTATTGATTTAGAGATTACAAAAATATTGTATAAAATAAAAGAATAAATATTTAATGAGCACGAATCCCTAAAAGTATCAACCATGTGACTTGCCAGATCATGATGCCGAGTACCTCAATATGGTGTGCATAGATGAGAAATGCAACAAGCGACAAATGTTGTGTTGCTATTGCTAATCGGAGCATCAAAAATGCAAGACAATCCCACTGAGAAAATTCACCAAACAATTTCAAGATCAACTAAATTAGCTTACCTAGGAGACTTCCAAAGTAAAATACACTGAGTACTCTGATTCTCTCATTATTTTAGTCTGATACTCTACTTTGATTAAATTCAAGCCACATTAGAATAGTCTCAGAAATTAATTAATGAAATATTCAATAAGACAAAATCAGCCATTCAGGAGTACTTTTTCATCCATATTGATTTAGTGTCAAGAACTCAATATCATAAATGACTGCTTCTGATAACTAACCATAGAGTCAAGGCCTAATACTACAAAAATTCGAATCAGAACCAACCAAAGAAAACTTCTGTAAACTCCTGATTGAAATTGAGTCCTTCAAACCCAATTCTGATAAGTACTCATTTACACTCAAGAAAAATGCATCCAAATAATTGCCTCAATCTAATGAAAGTGTTGCAAATGGTAAGATCTATGCCTAGCAATACTAAAGTGCAGCCAACACATTTACTGAATAATTCTTAAATCTCCATGAAGTTCTTAAGAGGAATATCACTAACTTTTTTACAAATGCTCCCACCAGAGTAACAGAAGCAGACAATGATGGCAAACGCTTTGATAAATTCAAGTCCGACAACATCTTTACACAAGTCTCTCTCCCCAATCAATAGTAATAACAACCTAAACCAGTAATCTCAATTGAAGATGATGCAGATCCTCCTAAACCAACCAAAGAATAGAAACCAAGTTAAAAAAAGAAGCAGCATGATTTTGTCTCTCTGCCAGCCGAAGAAGATGGATGCACTCTAAATTAATTCAAGTAATTTCTGGAAAAATCAACCGCCAATAAAAAGGAATTAGCCAACAAATAAAATACTCATTCTATACCATAATAAAAATAATAACAGTAGGATGTGATACAACCCAAACAATCCGAAATACCTAGTAATAAAGGTAATGGAGTTAATAATAAACAACTAGCAATGTCTTAAGATGACAATGCTGTGGAGGGAGAGACTATCCTGAATGTTTCTGAATCCAAGGAATTTCAATTTATGGTTGAAGGCTAAGAGATTACTAAGTTGATCTATTTAAATAAAAATCTGATTGGAGGAATAGGTGGAACCAAGTGCATGATCTTTGATATCTCAACTAAGGATTAGGAAAAGCCAAATAGAATCCAAACACTCTAATACGATGCTGAATTTACTGACATAGCTTATTTGGAAATGGACGAGGAGAACGGATAACTCTATTTGGCTACCAAGAAAGGCAATATGCTTACATATATAAAAGAAGGATCTAGGAATATATAATTTAGACAGTCCTCCCCTTAAACCCACAGTTTGGATAAGCCTGGGAACTTGTTCCTTTAGGTGAATGTGGGAGATAGGTTTTTATACAGTGTGGGCGAGGAGAAGATTATCAAGATTTGGTCTATGAAGACAATTAAAGAGTTGAAAAGAGCGACAATACAAGATCTGCCAACTGCTTTTCACTTAGACTACAAGGTTGCTTTCGTTGGAGGAAGCAACTTCATTTAGATCTGGGAGCCAACCACTGGAGCTATTACTCACATGAAAGGGTTGGAGTCAAAGGTCACTAAAATATTGACCAATGAATCGAAAATGTTCGTGAGTATGATGCTCAAAATTAAGATCTATGACAAAGTCGGATTGGGAGAGTATCAACTATCTAATGATGTATATTTCGGATAAATCTTTTCTATGTAATTGCTGAAAACGTGGCCGATGTTGGTGATCTCATATATGGAGGTATAATCAAATTTATAATGCGTTAGAAATCAGTTGGCAAAGTAAGCTTGTATAATTATGTTGAATAACAACTTCCTGAAACTCTTGTGGATAGATTGGCATTGAGTTGTGCTGTGAAAGAGCAGGAAAAAGTTAATTATTTGGCATTTGGTCTGAGTAATGGAGTTTGCTTAATATATAAGATAGAATAGACATTTTAGTAGTCACAATGATTTATGAATTAAATTATGATACATCATATTTTCTTATCTAAGTATTCTCTGTCTTCCTTGAGCAGTGTCTTTTTGTACACTTCGTTGATGTTGTGGAATTGCTTAAGGATATCTTTGTTGCTCCTGATTTACTATCTCACTTGCATTTCTTATTTGTATCTTTCCTCAAATGACTTGTGGAATGAAATCAGAATATTTTTATATTCTTGCTTCCTCTAATCTATGAGATTGAGGATGTCTTCATTGATAGAGGTCTCTAAGAGATTCTCACTCTATCCCTTCACAAACACTTTGTCCATTTCAAAAATATACAAGGATGTTTTTCTGTATAGATCTTCCAAAGCCAAAGCTTTCCTGTATACAAGTTTCCTTTTCTTCCTTTCAAATGCCAATAATTACAATATCTTATTTATGGTAGACTGACTTTGATCAGCCTTTTGATTGAGTTCGGTTATCTCAATTCTTGTATTCTCAAGATCCTAATCCATCTTCAGTTTCCCAATATCAATTTACTCTTGCAATTTCTCAGCCTTCTATTCAAGCAATTGGGAATTCTACTACAATTGTTTCAAATCCTTCTCTTTCTCGCCAATAGTTCTCTTCTATTCCAAAATGATCTTTTCAGCCTCATCAAATACTAAAGTCAAAGTTGGAACAGTGACAGTTTTGTTCTCCTTCTTCAATTCTCTATAGGTATCATATTTGTTCTTCTCCTTCTCATCTTTCTCATCCCAAGCTTCTCTTGCCTCCATGTCCAACTCATGCAACACATATATGCACTAATCTACTGTCCCATCATTCAGTCTCCCTCCTAATAACATGATTTCACCATGAACTTCATTCTGATTGCATGACATCACATAACCAAACCTAGGAGCTGGAATATAACCACCAGCAACAGGCTTAGACCAATACCCTTCATTCAAATTCAATAAGTATAAATCATTCAAAGGTTCTGAATTCTTTAACTAATTCTCATTCACATTGTATCCTCCATACAAACACAATAAGTTCTCCTTAACAACCAATAATTCCTTAAATATTATCATAATTTACATGAAATGCTCTCTAACCGGGTGATTATCCTTTCAATTCTAATTAACTTATATCGTAAGTCTCTATATCCAGTAATAGACAACGGTCCTAACATTATTTTTATTTATTGAATCCTCCATAGACCAACAACTCTTTATCTGATACTTGTATCATTGTGTGTGCTTTGATAGCTGGCATATCATCAAATGGCAGTTTCTCCCAAGTAATTCCTGGCAATTCCAAAGACTGAGTTTCCCATGCCACATTTTCAAACTAATTTATTTACAAATTATAACTTACAGACAATTACCATACATCATCCATCAATAGATTCTCTGGCATACTTGCTCCACCCATCAAATATTTCTTCATTCCCTATGTTGAGAATCCAAAATGCAATCTACCTGGAGGACCTTCCAAATAAAAAAATCGTTTCCACACAAACTTCTCTGTATTCAATATGTACAAATCGCTAACAGTTTTATTCTCATATGTTATCCCTCCGTACACATATAACAGTGGTGCTTCATACCAAACCTATGCACTCGTTCTTCTAGTTGGGGGTTTACCTGTACATTTCTTGATACTCCATGAATACGTAGCTGGATCCAAAATGTACACATAATCCTAGCATTCTTGATTACTAAATGGACTACTCACTCTTGTCTACTTTGGAGCACCTATTTTAAAGGATATTCCATCACTTTTTGGAGGAGATGGCTACTTCTCTAGGCTGTAAATTTAATTGCATACCTTCCTATTACAAATCCTTAATATTGAATGGGTTCTTGCCTCCAAAGTATAGATATCGATTCTGATCAATCAAATACACCAAATTAACGCACTCCTCTAACTTAGGTGGACGACCATGTTTCTCTATAAAATTTGAATTAATCACTTACTGTTGTCAATTTCAATTTTCTTCCAAAATAACTATTACATAAATTAATGAACTAAACCAAACACTTTCAAGATTGTGAAAAAGCTATGAAAGATTGGTAACTATGGGCAGAGAACCAACAAATGTAATTCAACCTTTATCACACCCCTAGTCTCAATCCTGAAGAATTGCCGCCCTTGCACTTTACACCCAAAGACCAAAAGAACAAGAGTGCTTTCAAACTGTTCAAGCTCGATCATATTGTTGAAGTCAAGAAATAACATCCTGAATATGGCTTCAAGGAGAGATTGGAAACACTCAAACACATGTGGCGTAACCTCACTAAAGATGAAAAATTCATTTATGTTCAGAAAAGTAAACAATTGAAATTTTGAATTGATTATATATAATTTTATTGTTATTTGCTACACCAATTGTTATTAAATAACCAGAATTCTGGAATAAGAAAAACTTATGAGATGATTGACAATAAAATTGATGAAGGCAATTCAGATATTGATGATCCTGAGTGAAAACTAGATATCCAAAAAAAGAGAAAAAAACCTTATTTGATGTGGATGGTTATATCAATTATAAGAAATAGATGAGAAACAACATAAATAATAGTATGACTTAATTCTAATCAACCCTTAGGGAAGAAGACCTCTCTAAAAGAAATTAGTGATATAAAATAATATTTTTTCGATATTTTAAATTGATAAATTAACGCAAATCAATGATGGTTTTATCTCTTTAATCAATTACTAACTCAAAGGAATAAAAACAAAAATTCTATTTTATAAAAATGGGCTTTTTTAACAATTTTAAAAAGCAAAATAGGAATGATTTATTTAGAATAATTAGAATAATTAAATGATAATACTTTGCTTTCGTATTGCAAAAATTGATATTATATCAATATATTAATTATTAAATGATATAATGAATTTGATTAAAGCGTAATTTAAAATTAAATAAAACATTACACAAGAGAACTGATTCATGAATTATATATAAGAATAAGATAATCATTGTTAAAACTTAAAATATTAAGACTATTAATTATATTTATTTTCTCAAATATAAGTATAATTAAGTTGAAATGGATAATATTGAATAATTTTAAATAATAACATTCATATAATTAAAGCTCAAGATGTGTTGCTACTCAAAATTCAATTTGAAAACTTATTGTAATAGTTGCTATAAATAAATCATTAAAAAATACTAATAAACTATTTTTGATGGCTTATTTTAGTTATTTTGTATTTTTAATATTTTATTCTAGTTTTATATATTTCTATTTATAAATTGGATAATTATTTAATTGAATCTCTTTTATACAGAATTTTATTTTAAGAACAAAAAAAGTTGAAAAAAACATGATTTTTAAACAGACTTCTTTGTTGATTTGATTTAATGAAAAAATGATTTCTTTGAGAATTGAGTGAAAGTCTCAAGGCATAAAGTTTTTAATTTTTTTATTAGACATATTTTAGTGAAAGACAAGTCAAAAATACATTAAATTACATGTGAATATTTAAAAGTATAAATTAACTTCTTTAAACGAGAATTCAATATTAATGTGTTTGAAGTTATCAATTAATGAGTTAGGTTCATTCCCAGTACAGTATTTGAATATACGTATTTGATAATTTTAAAGATTTGGGCATTTATTTTAATTATTTTATTATCGTTCAGGCTCTATGATCTAAATTTCTTCCCCAAGGAATGAACAAATTTCGTTGTACATATTTATCATAACGAAGAAAAACAATCTCAGAAAAATCTAAAAAAAGCAAATTAAACTATCCATTTTAACCAAATGACAACTGCTCTGGCTTTGAAATAAACTCTTTGTCTTTTGATCAAAGCGAACTGGAATCACAAAAACCATCAAGGAATACTCTAAAGTAATTAAAAATTTAATAATCATAAATCAATTGTCAGTCCATTAATACTACCAGAAAAAATTGTTATTATTCAGATATTGTGTAATAGGTGAAGAAGAACGTTATTCAAGAGTTATCTAAACAATTAGACAGCACATTTTTGTAAGATAATGGCAATTTTACCTCTGTGATATAGTAACAACTATTGAATAAAAATTTATCTGATGTGTAATTTGCAAAATAGAGAAATATTAAGAAAAAGATTTAATTAGATGAAAATTCGTTGTATAAATTAACTCAAGTATTAATCCTGCTCCTAATCGGAATCTTGAGTCCAACTTAGTTGGTACTAGAGAATACCACATTTACAACATATGGAAATTTGTTTTAAATAACTCTACTTATATCTTTTATATTACTACATCTATTTATAAAGAGTAAATCTACAGTGTCTTCCAGAACTAAAATTAAAGATGTCTTGATGTGCTTAGTCAAAAATCTATGTTATGAGTTGTTTATATTACTGTTATCAATCATCTTATTTTTAAGCCATTTATTACAAATAAATAAACTGGAAGTACTGAATATCATTTAGACAATTGCTTGTATTATTTGTTTGGCTAAAAATATTTCATTATCAAATCATTTTACACAAGCAGGCTTGAAAATTTTATTAGGAAATTTGATTTTTTTCCATCTTTTGGAATGTTATAAACTTAGTCTAACTAATCTCTAATCTCTTAATTTATAGTCCTTTTGCAGGAAGTATATTTTGACTATAGTTTAATTGAACTCATTTCAGGAAAGTGAGGGTAATGTTAGTCTGGCTTTATTGGAAATTGTTTAGATAATCTTTAAATATCTTTTGATCTCTTAAATCTTCATTTATCTCATAAATTTATGGAATACATATTTTAGTCTGGAATTTCTATTGGCTAACAAATATAAACAATATGAGAGATTGATGAGAGATTTAGATGTTGATTCGTAAACATCAAAAGCAATTCTGAAATAAACCAAGAATTATGAATTAGAAGAAATCAAGTATTTATAACTGTTCGATCACCTTACATCAAGTCAACAATTCATTTTGTAGTTGAAGAAACTGTTATTTTAATAATCATAATTATTTGAATAGTTTTCTGATCAAACTTAGGAGTAACTTATATAAATGATGGAATTGCATTTGATACATCCACAACAGATTATTTCGAGTGATTCTCTAAATGAAGATGAGTCTCTTAACTTTTTGATACACGGAAAATTAGAAGTTGGAATAAAAAATAAATAAAATTATAATTTCGAAAAAATCTAGGAATTAGAATAAGGTTTGCATTTTGGATAATTAACATTTTTTACGGGTTAAAAGGATTGCCTTTCCTATAAAAGCAATCATTACACTTTATTATTCAAATTAAAAAGATAGAACATGTTAACTCATTTAGAAGCTAATCGAACCGATAAGGAGATACTCTCTATAATCATAAATTCGGTCATTAATAAATAAAACTATTCATTATTGAAATTGTATTGCCAATGTTGTAATTCGAGTGATCATATTCTCAGTAGTTGTCCCTAATTACACATATAAATTGATAAAAAGGATGTTATTCATGAATTTCTATCCCCTAAAAATCATGACCGAATAAAATGTATTAATATCATATATTTAGATATAAGATAATAAATTAAGAAAAGGAATAACATGCTAAAATTTAAGTGGCCAAAAAGCAATTTTTCATCTGATATCTCAAAGAATTTTTAAAGAAAAGAGAAGAATATTTAAAATTTAGAAGGGAAGAGTTCAGCATTTAATTTTGAAATTAATAGTATTTATATTTATTAAATCCCCATAGGTGATATTCCTAAGGAATTTACAAGTGAGAAAATAATAGATCAGTAAATAGTATCGCATTAGTTAAATTCCATCAATAGTGAACATTTCATATAAGAATTTTAGAATGATACACATAAGAGAAGCAAGGGGTTTGTTACTCTAGATTAGAATTTTGAGCACAACTAAATCAATGTTGGGTCATTGAATTTGGATTGTTAAGATAATTTTATATGTCCCTATTAATTTGTAATTTCAGAAAGCAAACCTTAATTGGAGGATTGTGATTCAAGCAATATGATTAACAATCTCAATAGCTACAAATCTAAGTAGATGTCAGCCTAGAACTCACTGCAGCATCACTAATTTATATCATTAACTGGATAAGTATAAATCACATGCTATCTTTACTAGGTGACTTCGGTATTAAACAACGAAGTGTATAATCAATTTACGAATCTGAATATAGATAAATGGTGGAACTATGAGTATTTCGATGTAGAATACAATTTGCAGACCATAGTATAAAAGATAACTTAAGGGAAAGGGGATTAAAATGTAGTAAAGTAGACTTAAGACTACAATTTGATTATAAGAATAAATGACGATATAATGATAGAGGAAGATTGATATTCTTTTATGTTTAATCAATGGATAATATATATATGAATTATATAAACATATAACATCACAATTTTGTACATACAGATATAAATCAATCTTTAAATTTGGAATTGAATTTTCTACGTGTCTATCCAGCTTTATTTATTTTCTAAGTTGAATACGAAATAAATGTTACTTTCAAATCCATTTTAATTTAGGCAATTTATAATGACAGTTGGACAACCAATGAGACTAGATTTTGATAATCAGGATTAGTTGATAGGTTAGTCATAACCTTAACACAGATTTTGCTTAGATATATATGTATTAAGAATACCATGCGGGATCTCTGTCAACATCAGAGATATAGATGATATGAATAGACTTTTCATTTGCATTAAGCAGTTTTATAATTTCAGGAGTACAAATTGATTGGGCAATTTCATCGTATTCTGTGAGGATTTAAAGAGAATTATCTAATTCTGGTATTGTCAGAGTCTCTAGATATATTTGATCGATATACATGACAGATATTCTTGAGATCCTCATATCCTTCCTGTTTGATTCTCTTGATCTGGTTTTATTTCACAATTCCAAAACAGATGTACTATCTGAATTATGGTTGCACACCTATTTCTATAACCAATCTCTCTTTGGATGGGAATACAAATTAATAGCCATAATAATTGAACAAGTTTTCTCTTCTGTGTAGCTGATGGTTAATTTTATACATATACATATAATCCAACTAAGCAAAACTTCAATGAGGGATGATTTGAGGCGTAGAGTTTGTAAGTATGAGGATTATCCTATTCATAGAGTATGTTCTATTCCTTATCACCAACATTTTTAAAATATTTCTGTAGCTCAAGGCTGATTTGATTCATATGAATTTTGGCTAATCTTTTGTTAAGCTTTGATCCTCTGATGTATTAGAAAGCAAAGATGGTGATAGTGACCATGAAGATCGTTTCATAGAAATAGAATTTATACCAAAACAATGGATTAAGGTACATAACCAGTTTTAACAAGACTTATTCTGCTGTCATATTTGATATTTATTTATATAATAAATCACTAGCACAAATAAAATTTATTATTTTTATAGTATATCTTTTATCCTGAAGCCGAGCGATATATTTTATCCTAGATTGAAAGGACATTTTCATCGTTTTAGACCTTGTGATTAATTTGAGTATCAAAATCATACAACAAAATCTATTTGGCTCCTTGTTGCAATTCAGCCCATCTCAATGAATCATATAAATTGAACATGGCCTCCTTGGCATCATAATTCTCTGATAAACTCTTATACTTGGTTTCTACAATGATTACAATCAAGACATACCATCGAGATTAGCAATTCTATTTCTCAACTCTGAGCCAAAATCAATGATCACTGATTCTTTTAAATCCAAATCAATCTATTGTCCAATGGAGTTCTATTAGAAACTAACAATGAACGAATTGATCCTGGCAGAATAATGCTTCAAAAATTAACCAGGTGCTTCCATTGAACTCTTACGTTCCAAAACATTTAATTCAACCAATTCCTTCTCAATGTCCTCTTCGCTTTCTTCTATCTGCATGTACTTGTTTTCATATTTAATTGCAAAGTGCTTCAATTAATCACTCTAACCGATCTTCTTCATTATTGTTTCCTTAGCCAAACTGCCTAATCTCAATATATGCAACTCATTTCCCAATGGCTTAATCACTGTACTTTCAATACCATTGTCACTTCGACCTGCATCAATGATGTGGACTCTTTAATCATAGAAATCATTGAAGACATGAGCAGCACTTGTAGGTGATATGTGAGTAAATAGGTTTGCAGAAGGGGCAGCAACAGGAAGATTTGCTTTCTCTAGCAATTCCAAGGCCACTTTATGATTTGGAATTCTACATGAATATCATCAAATCTAAACCTTATTCCGATGGATCCAGTGCCTGCTGATAAAATTTCAGTTGTCTCCAATTAAGTTGATCTGAATAACATTAAACTGTTACTTCAAAACTATTGTGAAGGGTCCTGGCCAGAATAGTTCCGCAAAAGAATCCAAAAAATCTGGCTTATCTGTGTAGATGTTGTTCTTATCATGCACATGTACAATAAGTGGATCACTTAAGGGTCTTTTTTTGGCTTTGAAGATGTTCAATATAGCCTAGGCATTTTTAGCATTCGCACCCAAGCCATACACGGTTTCAGTTGGAAATGCTACCAATTCGCCTTGATGTAGAAGTTAGGCTGCGATTATACAATTTGCATATACCTGCTATATGTAATTCATCCAAGTGAATAATTCCGCAATGTATTTCTTTGTGGGGATCCACTTAGATCAAATCCTAGTATTTTGTAATAAATGAGTGCAATCTCTCTTTGGAATAGAGTTGAGCAAAGTTTTCCATCTCTTAAATAATATAATTTAAAATAATTCTTACATATTTTTAATTTAAATTTCTATTCGAATTGGCATGCATTATTATTAATCTATGATTCTGATGATTCCCATAGGAAATTCAAGTCTATTCTATAAGGATGATATCATCTCCACTCATTTTTCTATTTACGAATGTGATATATATATTCATTCATAAATTCTATATTAATAAATATGCAAGTTGACGAAACTAATGATACGGTAACACAGATTAATGATAGCGATGTGCAATAACAGTTGAAGGAGGCAGAGAACAACCAACAAGACAATTAGCAAGAGGTTTTAGAATAACAGAGTCTTGGATAATAATAGGAATCAAATGAATATCTCTTGAGACAAATCGATGATGATGAACCTGTATCACAAATATATGAGATAGATATTCATCCTAGTGAGCAATCCTTCAGAAGTTAAGTCTTCTTCGATGAATAAATACCTTGTTTACACAGTGAAGGGCAAAGATGCCATGGGGAATTTTGAAGTCCAGAGGAGATTCAATGAGTTCTACACATTGAGAGAAACATTATTACAAATTTGGCCAGGTTTGTACATACCACCTTTGCCAGATAAATTAGTAAATCCAACAGGGGATCAATTATTAGAGAGAGTTAGATTATTGAATATCTTTGTGATGAAGATGGCACAGATAAAGTATTTATACTATTCGGAGGAATTTGTATAAGTATTTCTGAGATCATCATAAGTGGATGTTTGTAAAGTACTCATAAACTATATATCTAGTAAATTCAAAGTTTACCTAAGCCTAACATCAGATCACAGATTGAGAAATTCAAGCATATTTTTGAGTTGGACCAAGTTCAAGAACCAGATGCCAATTCGATTAATAAGATTAATCAGATGCAAAGATTTTGTAAATAATCTCAACAATTGTTGATCAAATTATTTGATTAAGCCAAAGGTTTGAGTGGAAGTAAAAGGTGTTTGAAGGAACTATTCCATTCATTTTTTGGATATGGATTGCAGGAATTCGAATAACAAGTATTGCGACCTTGTCTAGACAATGAGAAACAACTCATCTTAACAAATCCTGATGCTCAGGAGTTGAAATCCACTTTGGATTATTTAGTAATTCAATGATGTATCCTAATTTTAGAAAGACCAAAATCAAATATCTTTGGATAAAATTTAAGACTTGATATCAACAGAATAAAGAGACATGGAAGCATTTTTATAAGGCTTTTAATCGAGAGAATCCTTGTTGCTCACAAAGTCAAAGGTCGAGAGCAAATTAAGGGAGTAACAGGAATAACTAACTAAAGTGATGATTGCAAAAGGAGGTAGTTTTGGTAAAACCTAGGAGGAACAACGTTAGAAGATTGAATTACAGATAATTGAAGTAAGCCTTTATACTTATGTATATAAGAGTTAAAACGATGTGGACTCGTACAAATATTATTATCAATTGGTAACCCATGTTTTGACCACGAAAGCCATTGACAAGTTCAAGAAGGACAAACATGAATCATACAGGAGAATCATTAGAGATTTAGCATAATTGGAAATTGAGAACAATTAAGTTATGTAAGAGGTCTGGACCAGAATTATTAGTCTGGCCGAGTCACTCAGAGTGAAGGAATGATGAGTAGTATTAAAATAATAATCAATCATCACCTAATCTCGAATATTATAGAAAAAAATCGTCCCACCGAGGAATTGAACCTCGAACTCGAGAGCCGGAATCTCACGTGTTACCTTTACACTAATAGGACTTGCCTTGACAACAAAAGAATTATTGTTTATTAATAATAATAATAAAATTATAATACACTACTCAACTTAACAACTTAGTTAAAATGTTGCTTCCATATTCAATGCTTTGCAAATTTAGATCTTTAATTTTCTGATAACTCTATTAAAACATCACTGGATGATCTAGTTGATCTCTGAGACCTTCAATTATTTACTCTCTATTTTCATAGACTGTGGCATCGATGTTCCTTATTATTTTGATTTCACTTTTTGGATTGAACTTAACATATTTTTGTAGTTCCTTCTCAAATTCAAATTTCCCTTAGGACAATAGAGAACAATGGAAGGCTGCTGAGACTTCTAAGAATAAGGAATTGACCTTCTACTTCTTCAATTCGGCTTGCATCAATTTCAAAGATTCCTTGTCTCCTGAATAGACCAATTGATTTTAGGAATTGTATAAAGCAGGTTCGATGATCTGATTTTTCAACAAGACCTTCTATATGATTTAAGTGAAATCCTAGGTGCTTGCCACTGCCAACATACCCATTTATCTTCCTTTACTGCAATCTCTCATTATACATCCTCTTTTGTATAGTAATTGAACAGTCTCCTCTGGATCCAGATGGCCTGCTATTGTCAAGGCTGCGTATTCTCCAACTGAATGTCCTATGGCGTATTATATTTCAGCATCAGGGATTTACTAATATCGAAGGTATGAACAGATGAAGATGGCTGGTTGAGTGAATTCAGTTTAATTGAGAATTGATTGAGGTCCTTCCTCAATGCATTTTTATAAGCCTGGCACATATTTAACTAGATTCAGATATTGATGAGAATCAAGAGATGCATGCATACCCACTTTTTAAATGCCTTGGCCTGGAAAGAGATGCAAAATTCTTCTCATTAATTTTTAATAAACAATCACAACAATTATTGTAATCCACCAACTAGTCTAGTCAGATTCCTTTAACTAAAGATATTTCTGTATTCCTCATTGTATTTTCGAGCAGTCTGAATTTTGGGGAGAGGAGCAGGCAGTTTATTATAATCACTGATGGTTTTCCGTTGACGAACAAAACCCTCATGAGTAAGCGATGTGCTTTATTGCACCTTGTATTTTTGTGAAGGTTCTGAACTCAGCTCTTCCAATTTCACTTCATAATATGACACTCGAGGATCGATGGGCTGGGTTTTCAACCTAGGGGGTAATTTATATTTCAATTTATATCTATTCATATTTATATATATATATTTCTAATTCTCTAAAATTAATTATCTCTCCATTTATTGATATGAAGATCTATTAAACCAAAACATAAAACAATTAATCTTAAAATATAGATACATACATAAGTCAACTGCAATACTAAATCTTGCCTGATGGAGCATTCCACTTCCGATAATTGGAGTACCCTTGATTATTAACATTAGCTAGACGAGATAACTCATTCGGCACTTCATTTTGTGATTCTCTAAGCACTCCAACCAAATCTCCTGCTAATTTCGCATCTTCATAGGAATCAAACAATGAAATCGATACTCCTTGAGCTCCTGCTCTCCCTAACATAATTATTAATCAATAGCAATACCTGTCCTGCCAATTCTATGAACATAGTCCTCAATCAACTTTGGCATGTCAAAATTAATCACAAATTCAATATCCTTAATATCTAATCCTCTTGATGCCACATCAGTTGCCACCAACACTGTGGTGTCTCCTCTTTTGAAACTATTCATCACGAAGTCTCTCTCTGATTGTCTCTTGTCTCCATGCAACGATTTGCATCGCATACCTTCTTAAATCAAGTAAAGTTATAACTAATCACATTTCACCTTAGTCTAACAAAATATTAGGATCTTTTTAGGTCCCAAAGATTTGAGGATTTCTCTTAGCTTTTCTTCCTTTTGTTCCTTACTCAATATGAGCACCTTCTATTAAATTTGTCTATTGCTAGTCAGATCCAGACTCCCAATCTGGATATGAATTGGTTATTGAGTACAGAAGTCTAAGGCTAATGATTAGACTTCCTTTGGCCAAGTGGCTGAAAACAACATAGTCTATCTTTCAGCCCTAGTTTAAGCCACTATTTTCCTTATTGATGGTTCAAATCCCATATCCAACATTCTATCAGCTTCATCCAACACCAAAAAGGTAATTCCCTTCAATGTTGTGCTTCCTGATTCAACCAAATCTATCAATCTCCCTGGACAAGCAATCAATATATGAGGACGTTAACTCAATTAATTTTTTTATATAAATTTCTCTTAACCTCCAAATAAACATGCTGCTTTCAATCCAGAACCAACTGAAAACTTGATGAATTGCTCATAAATTTAGTGGGTAAGTTCTCTTGTCGGAGCCATAATCAAACATTATGGGTCTGAATTTTGTTTCAACTAAGCTAAAATGTGGATTATGGCTGGCAAGAGAAATGCCAAAGTTTTGCCAGATCCAGTTTGAGCTATCCCTATTAGATCGTGGCCTGTCAAACCGATGGACCAACTTTAGGCCTGGATAGGAGTTGGACCTGGAAATCCAGCCTTCACTATTAATTCTTGCAATGGTCTGGGGAAGCAGTATACGTCCTCGAATCTAAGTATCGGATCAGGAACAAAGGAATGGGCTGATTTGATGAAGATTCTATTGGTTTGGCGATATTGTCGAACATCCTCTGGGTTGGTATTTGGTCTACCCTAATAGGATATTCGATTGTATTCTTACATCCATAAAAACCTTCTTGATTTGTTGCAAATTATGTTGGCATGTCTCCTAGGGTCTCAATTACTTCTCATTGCTTCGACTGCGACTTCTGCTGTGTGAACGAATCATAAAAATATTATTAAAGTGAGAAGGCTAAAATTTTAGTTGAAATATTTGGTTTTTATTATAAATTCCTCAATATTATTGTCCACCAATAATGATTGTTAATAATAGCAATTATACATTAGAGATTAAATAAATATAATTTTATATTATTAACAATGTTTAGCAGTGAAAGTATGTAAGAGCATATTTTGTATGACAAAATCTATTAATACCTATGGGTTAAATCAGAAACTGCCAACCCTCCTGCCATTCTCATTCCTGATACTGTCATTCTTATTCGTTCTATGCCAATCTATTGGTATTACACAGACAAAGAAACTGGAGAAATCAAAAAGAAGATGAGGAAGAATGTCACCAAACAAAATATCAAGCAAACTTGGAATCAGCAAGTGGGCAGAGGCGGTGTTGTAGCATACCTTTTACATTTTATGTATGCGTTGTTCCCTACTAATTTGCAAGTGATAACTTAGATCTCAACTACCCTCCAGAAAAGCTTCAAATCAGTGGCTAAATCCAAGTGATATACTTTGATGTTGAAGGATTCAATAAATTTATGGATGGGCACTTTGAATTGCCATTTGGTATTCTATAACAATTCATCGAACCAGCTGATGATCGCAATTGTAACTTAACTAATCATATTTCATAGCCCAAATCCAAGCCTTCTGGAGTAAATCAGTCACTCTCTTCACCAAAAGAGTTTGCAAGAAATCTTTCACCAATAAGTCCATGAACATCTATGAACGACATTGTACTTTCGAAGGCCCTGAATATTTCAGTGAAGCAAGTATCATTATCTCCTTCATAGTTCACTCAAAGCTTAAGTGAAGGATTTCTAATCCCAAAGAATCTCAGAACAAATCGATAAAATGATCTCTCATCTGGATGCCATTTCCTATGGCAAACTCAATATTTCGCAAGGAACTTTCTATTTCAAAGTAGACAAAAAGGCCAGGTGCTGGTTCCTCTTTTGTGGTAATCTCAAATTTGAAGACGACAAACAACTCAAGAATCTACCCAAAGATCTATACACACAATCTCAAATCAAAGTAAAATCCTATCCCATCCTTAAAAGATTCCAAAATCAATTGATAATTTGATGTCCGTCTACAATTCAAGACCTCTCCAATTGAATAGGGAACACAAATGTATCAGATGCGGTCAATTGGAAAAGGGATCAAACTTTGTGGAAGTCCCCTATCATTTCTTGATCGATTTACCTGAAAGTCCACTCCCTGTCGAACAATGGCCTCTCGAAGTTAAGAAACAAGCCAAACAAGTCAAACTAAGTGGAGCCAACCAAGAAAAGGTGGCATATGTCAATACAGTCTCTTAAATCCCCTTGACCTTTCAGAAAATCCATGAACAATTAAACATTCAAAACTACAAAGAATTCAAGCAGTCTCAAGGATTCAAATACAAAACAATAGCAGTTTGCTTAGATTGCTACTTCATTATGGGTATATTGAAATGCGCTATCTTTTTTAGTCGAAAATCAAGAGAAGATTGCGATGCAAGAAGTCACGACTAAAGAGAAGAGCAGCATGCCAAGAGTGAAATCTAAGCAATTTCAAAGAAAAGAACAGAGTCTTAATCAATTTCTCAACTCAACTCAATTGGCAAAACAAATAAAATCTGTGAAGAACTTACAAATGAAGTAGGTGTGTTCAGAGACACCCACTCCAAAACAAAATACTATTCAGAAGTATGTTAGTCTTAGATTGACTAATTGCAAATCAATAACTCCTATCAAATATTCAATTGAAGTGCCATCGACCGCTGATTACTTGTCAAGGAAGACCAAATCTACATACTAAGATATGAGTTCGACCTACAAATTCAAGAATAGCAGGGATAACTACAATCAGTCATTGCAAGAAAGACAATAAAATAGATTGATAGAAATAAAAGATGAATAAGAATAATGATATTTAATTTAGTGACTGTTATTTTATTAAAAAGGAATGTTTATTTAGGCTTCCATTCCCAGAACTCGTTTCGCCATCACTCCAACCAATGTGAGATATGTTTGCTTGGATTCCACTCCCAACAGGTAGAAGTTAGATATGACACAAAGAATAGATGAAAAATTACCAATCAGATAACCAAATGATCGCCATCAGATCCTCGTCAATTAGCATAAGGAGAATCTTACTAGGATCCCTGGCAATTCATTTTCCCTTAGTTCAACTTCGAAGGAACTCTAAATTTAAATCCAAGAACTAACCAAATAAAGAGATAGCATGCAATACACACTTTAAGAGGCTATTCGAAAAAGCAATCTTATGGAATAATAATTAGATGTACTCGATTGAATATTAGACTAGTAATTGCAAAGCTAGAAAATTGAACAGGCCATACAATTCTAAGTCAATATGGATCAATTTCAAGACCAAATTAATATTTTAACAAAGAAATTGCAAGACCTCATCAATGACAACAACTATCTCCAGGAACAGTACTAGAGCCAATAGTTTTACATTGAGGAACTAGGATTCCAAGAAGACGACCAATTTAATATTACTCATAACTTTGGATAAATGTGAATAGTAATTATTAGTTATATTTAATTTATTAATTAATGTTTTCACAGTAATTAGATTAATCAAACTCTCAAAATTCTTCATAATAATCATAGACCTTTTTGACAGTTCCTCGTCTTATTCAATAGGAATCTCCAGCTTATCTTATTGGAGCCCATAAATAAATAGATTTCGAAGATCCAAATTCATTGTAAAAAAGCGAACATAGGGAAAGCCTTGAAGAAGGCGATATTTTAGGCTCAAAAATCTCCATCGAGAAACGTGAAATCAATAGGATTGATGAAGTCGAATAACATTATAAATCATTAAAACTATTTCAAATCGAAATGTAAAATGTCAGCGGCAGGAAGCTCATAATAAATACCAGAAAAATTAGTGATCAAAGTGAAATTGGAATTCAAAAGCAAACTGAATAAATCAGAAAACCCTCTTCGCCATCTATTAAATTTAAAGAGTGTCCCTTGTATGAATAATTTACTGTGGCTAAATGGCCTAAAAGATGGTTCTACATCATTAAGTTTTTAAGTAAGTTGATGTCGGTTTAACCAAAAATCCTTAAACAATCTCATTTAATGCTAATTGATGATAAGGCTTTTGTTATAAATCAAAAGATATTTCTTTTTAATCCATTTTCTCCATTCATTGTTTGGAGTCGCTATATTTTTCTAGTATTATACATCTTGGGATTTGCACTTATCTACTTAGAATTCGCTTTTGCTGCGACCAATAGTGTCTTTATTATTTTTTGTATATTTATAATTTAATCAAGTTGGATTCACAATTATAGAAACGCTGACCAATTACTTCATAGGAGTTTACATCCAAGAACTATACACAGAAAATAGATGGCAGATAGCAAAATAATATCTAATCTATGACTTTTTACATATCATAATTTGTCTACTTACACTCTTTTATTCACAATATTTCAGTAATTTTATTATTTATACTAGTCATATTTCTATTACTTAGGATATAAAGATTATATGTTATTAAAACTAATATATTGAATTACACGATTCCAATTTTGATAATACATGTAATTACAACCATTCATACAAAGTTCTTTGAAGATTAGTAAATTTTAATATATAATTAGATTCTTAGATCACAACTATCTATCTAAATATATAATCTCCTTGCAATGGACAATATACCAGATCACTAATAGTGGCAATACCATTGAAATAGAAGGTTCTGATTAGTCAATACAATTATAGATTTTATCTATTTTAACAACCATTTTTGGTTACCTCATCACTATCCTTTTGATAACAAATGTGGTTAATTTTGGGAAACAGTCCCATAAATACAAAGTGAGTGCTGAGTTGAATGAGAATGTATAAAGATATCTTCATCGAGATAAGATTGAATTAATCAACATTCACGAATTCTAACAAGAGTTGCAACAAGAACTAAGAGAAGAACTTTTTATGCCTTTATTAAATAAATTACCGTTTTCCAAATAATTTTTATAAAATCTATGTTAGAAACTCAAAAGTGATGTTTATTCAAATGGAACAATTTTGTAACTGTAAAATCAAATGATGGATAGATTAATGTTTCTAATGAAAGGGAATGTGGCTTAATGTATAGGTAACAAGGTGTTAGCCAATAATTAAATTCCAATTCAATATTTTTATTGCTAAATGTAATGTCCAATTCAATTGAAATGTTTGAGTGAATCCTTAATAGCCTACATAGAATTAAATGAATTTTTACAGTTGATCAAATTGTATAACTCTGATTTTCAAAAGTATTGTATGTTGAAAGATAACTACAAGATTGCTTGTCATTGCTGTGGTTATAGAAATCACACTTTCCACCAATGTAATCATGTATTTTATGTGCCAAATTTTAAAGAACTCATACTTTTAAACAACACTTCTGAGCCTAACAATAGAATGGGTTTTTGCAGAGACAATGGCAAGAATAGGATTAATGCTCTAATGAACAAAAACCTTATTTGTATCACAGCTATTAGTTTCGCCATAATCAATTAAATAGCTATGGAAGTTGACTTAACAAATGAAGTGATGGGAAGATTTCAAGGAACTCTAAACAATTTTGAAGATTCTATATTGAATGATTATTAGGAGGATAAGTCTTCTCGTTAGTCGATATAATAGAAAATTGGAACCTTTGATGTTCCTAAAAGCTACAATTAGGGAGATAGTTATAGCAGTCAGACTTACTTTTAGAGCAGTATTCCAGTTCTGAAAGTGGAGGAGAGGGAAGCGTCTCAGAATAGTCGGAGATATATTCATAAACATTTGGATTATAGTGCAACAAATAATTCGATTAAGGCGAATTTGGTTAAGTCATCGAATTCAAATGAATTGTAAGTGAAGCGAACTCAGAAGGTTAAATAATCGAATTCAAGTTGTTCGTTGAACAAGAAGTCAGGATTGGGAGGTTCAGGAATATCTTAAGTAGGTTCAATAATTCCATAATAGGAAGTTTATGAGGACGATTTGGATCAAGTGTGCAATTATGAGTATTATTATCCTTCATATAATATCGAATATATAGCAAATGCTTTAAATCATAAATAAATGAGCAAATACATGCAGTTTGTCAATTGATTATATAAATGTACTTTAACAGAAAATATAAATAATCATATGATTACAAAATTAAAACAATTGATTCAAGATAACACTGCTGGATAGACAAATAACCCAGTTCTGACAGCTTTGAGAGACTTGAAATTAATCAGCAATGACACTCATTTTACATAATAAGTAGAGATAAGCAAGAGATTAAAACATTTTTTTGCGAATGACCAATCAAAAGTAAATGATTAAATCACTATGTGATAGTCTTAGTTCTTAAAATAATTATTGGTAGTGGTGGGAGATTATTTGCAATAAGAGAAAAATTTCTGGATTAAGTTAAAAATGCTTTTGTTAGTTCATATTATCATTAGTTCTTAAGTGGCTAGAGCTGAATTCTCAAAAATGATTATCAACACACGACTTAGCATAAACATCAAGAGTAAGGATGACATTGAGAATGTGCATGGCTAATTGTGCCAATCCTATTATTGTTACATTTACAAATTGGCTGCTTAAACAACTTTAATCAACGAAGAATTCAATAAACCTTAGGATGATCTTATGATCTACTTTACATTGTCGAATTAATGCTACATCGGGATGAATATGCAATTGTTGATTGAGAAAATCAATCAAGATCACGAACCCAATCCTGTGATGGCTCATTTAGTTAAGTTCTTATATTTTGACATTCAGGATATTTATATTTTTATACTCAAAGACGTTAAGTATCTAATCGAGAAGAATCCCACTCTGATAGGCAACAGACAACAACTATTGGAGTTGTATAAGGAAGTAAAATAAAACAACAAAATTAGTGCCAATCTTTGTAATCCAAGATGTTGAGTTTTTACAAATTCAATAGATTCTTTCCTCATTTCAATCAGATCATGCCTCCCCATTCCATTCAGATCAAAGCCTCAGTTCTAAACGCAACTGTCGAAGAGAAACCTCTCATAAAACAATCTTCTATCAAATCAGGCCCACAAGAAATCAGAGAACCATTGTCTGTCAAAAATTCAGATAGAAAATTTCAGGAATATAATAGACCCTTCTCCCCCAAATAGAAGTTGAATTAATGATCTTAAATTGCAATTTTAAAATACTCAAATTCCCTCATGAATTAAAATAATTAATAACTAGTGCACTTATATCAACTATGGCCATCCAACAATAGGTTCTTTTGTCATGGTCGTTTGATGACTGGACCAAGTTCAGACAATACCACCAATTTGATTACATGGTTATTGATACTCCTTATCGGTGCTCCATTTAATTTCTACATCTCCCCTCAGATTTGGATTGTCTTGCATCCCTCTCTACCAATCATCTCATATGTCATGTACCTCAGCTGTGTGCTTTTCCTCTTTTTAACTTAGTTCACCGACCCAGTAATATCCACTATCTATATTTAGGGTATCATACCTAGGAAGGAAATCATTGAGAAAATGAAGGATGAGAATCTATTGCGTCTGATACCAACTGAAGCTGACAATGCCGATTATCAAGTTAGAATTTGCGTCACTTGCATGATTAAAAGGCCTCCTCGTTCAAATCATTGTGCAGAATGTGATAATTGCGTAGATGTATTTGATCATCATTGTCCCTTCGTTAACAATTGCATTGGAAAACGTAATTATGCCTACTTTATTTCCTTCATATCGACACTTACTATGGCATCCATTTCCTTTGGAATTGAATTCCTATCTTTCGTTATACTCATTGCTACAACTGATGAAAAAGTTCAGCAAATTTTAATCATTGTTTTGATGATCCCTTTTGGAATTTGCACACTCCTGGTATTTGGTCTGCTTGTATTTCATATCTTTCTCATGATCACTGGGAAAACTACTAAGGAACAACTCAAAAACTTGGAAAAGAGTTCCGCCAGTAGAAAATGCGAAAGAACCCAGAGTCTATTCAATTGTAGAACTATTGTGGAGAAACAATAATTTGATCAAATTAGATATGATTAAGATTTAATTAAAATCAACCCCATTGTTATTCCAACTTGATCATAACTAATTATTTTATATACCTATCACATTCATATTATACTTTAACCAATTCCAATTTATTAAAATAATGCTTATCATACTATTAAAACAATAAATTATTCAGTCTAGTCAGACAAACATATCATAAATTAGTATATCAAAATTTTATTAAATAAACATTGTTTTTTTTCTATTAGTAATTAATAATCTAATTGAATAAAACACAAAAATATGATAGTATATGACTAGTATTTATGATTAATTGAATAATACTTATAAGTTTAAGACTTATTCTCTTCTATTAATTTCCAAATTAACAGGTTTTCTCATTATTTAATATAGATAGTTTTTGATGATATCTTGATACTTCAAGCTTATATGATTAAGATAACAGCAGACTTAATAAGAATTATAATAACTTATTACGTTTTAAGTTCATACACTTCCTCCATTAATAAATCTTCATATGTTATTTATTATATCTATTATTGTGAATTCTATCTTTAGTAAATTATAGTGAATCATATCTTTAGAAAAATCATACATTTTAATTTAACAAAATATCTGATAATTTACTACATTTCAGTAATATAATCTTTCTGAGATAAGAGGGAATTGCTTAACAAAAAATTGATTTATTCAACTCATAATAGACAATAATTTGATTATCCACGTGCGGTAAAAATATTTCAAACGATTATCGAAATTGTGATAACAAAATCCAATTAGAATAGTATTATCTTTGGTTCAAGATTCAAACTATGAAACTTTGGTAAAAATTGCATTACTAACTAAAATAAATTAATTAGAATTATCACTTATAAAAATGAGATTATACTATTATATGATTTTGAAAAAAAATCGTGTGTTTGTTCAAACATTAATATCATATTTTTAATGCAATATTTTCACCTATTATTGGTGGCAATAGCTTGTAAGGAAATCTAAAATAAGAATTAATAATTCTTAACAGATGATGGATATGAAGATGATGATGATGACAATACAGTATCACTGTTCTTTCTCTTTATTCTGGGGTTTTTTCTGATAATTTTCTCAGCAGCTTTATTATGGTACAATGAAAGAAGGGAAGCAATAACAGAATATCGATTAGTCAATATGAGAAAAATATGTAAAATTGGTGATTGTAATGAAATCCATCATGAATTGAATGGAGAACTAGTTCATATGCAAGGTAAAAGAATTGAGAATTTTTAATAGGACAAACAACTACAGATGTAATCCTTGAAGATACTGAATTTGGAATATCTTTATCATCTTGCATTAAGTTAAAACGGCATGTTGAATAGCTTCAATTTGTCAGAATAGAGCATAAGCATAAAAAAAGTGCTACAACATATACATATGAATTAAAGTGGAAAGCTGAATAGGTGTGCAGTGCTGGATATCCCTCTGAATATTAAAATAAACCGTAGTTGTGGTTAGTCAAATCTTAGGATAAACTAAATCCAGATGTACGGTTAGGAGCATTCACCTTATCTGAATCATTGAAGCAAGGGTGTTAGAACTTTTAATTTTTGGTTCCTGACGATGCTTAATTGTAAGCTGCCGCAAAATTATTTGGAAAAGAATTTCCTCATATGTATTTCTTTAATTTTAATAACATAGAACAATTAATCAACGTGATCTTTATTTTTAACAACATGAATATCAAAGAACTGTAGGTGACTTAAGAGTGTGCTTTGAATATGTTCTATGTGGTAATGCAACAGTTATTTCAAAACAAATGAATAATACTTTTATTCCATTTGTGATAGAAGATAAATGGCTATCTGAAAAGAGTGCCCATCCAGATGAAATGGACGAAGATGAAGGTTGCTGTGGAGATTGTTGCTTAAAAGTGGCTGAATTAGCAAAGGCAGCTGAAGAACCTTTAAAATAAATTGATTGGATAAGAGAAAAATAATGGTCTATGAAGAAGGTCTTCTTAATGGAACTAAGTAAAAATGCTGCCTTAACATATAAAACCAGATTCTTAGGCTATATATTGATGGTATTCAGTTTTTAATAAACAAGGTTATGGGAATATTATTCTTGTTTTACCCGGTGATTTGGCTATTTTCACTATTGCCCTGGATCGGCCAATTCACAGCCGCATTATTGTTTTTTATTTTCTTGGGAGTTAGCATGGTGATATCTTTACCAGTTTGTTTACTTATTGCCCTGGTTGCTTGGATGAGATACCACATAATCTACGCCATAATCAACTTCTTTGGACTAATACTAGTAATATACATAGTGTCCATGTTTGCTGGTGGCATTTATTATTGATGAAATTGAAATGAAATCAATATAATTATTATTAAGTGCTGCTTGATTTATCTAAATTTCAAGTAGCACTTAAGATATTTTAAAATATCAATAACAATTTATTTAGTTTATATTTATTAATTGATTCAATTATTGATATTAATTTTTTAATAATATAATTTATCTTCAATGGGTATCTGTTCTAATCGACAGAAAGAAAATTTGCATACAGACTTTGATAACATTCCTTTGTTAACGCGAGGGGAACTTGGATTTGATATAATTGTCGAAAATATAAAAGTAAAAATGGATGATTTAGTATAATGTTTATTAATTATATTAAGTAAAGTTGCAAAGTGAAGGTGATAATTTCGAATTATTCAACCTTTGAAACTGAAATTGAGAGTGAAATTTCAGGATAATTTTATGTAATTAAATCATAATCTTTAGTTTAAACATGTTCACAAGTTTTAATTGAAAACCACTGAGGAATAACTAAAATAACAATATGTTATTGTAGAACTTAAGAGTGACAAGGATGAGTAGATTTCATCATTTAATCTGAACTTGTATTAGATCGCTACAGGTCCATTTCATTTTGATTACGAATTCTCTTAATAAGGAAATAAAAAGCATGGAAAAGTGAGTTTTGATTTTAGGATGGCACAAATTCTTATTGTTAGATTTATTCCAAAACTCATTGATTTCAACATGGAGGAGCCTTTAAATAAGAATGAATATTGTTTCTAATTGAGGATGCTGACATCACAATTACAATTTCATTCTGAATACTCGCCTGTCTTTCAAAATCAATTATTCTATAAATCATAATAAATATAATCCAATAAATAAATATTATGGAAAGACTCAAAAGTTGAAATGGAAGTAGAAGTACCTTTAATTGAAATAACCTCATCCTCTATTTAAATTGCTTTGTGCTATATTGCAAAGGATGGCACAAAAGAAATAGAATCTGAGGCATATGTTAATTTAAATTATGCATTAAATTAAAAAGCTGAATGCGTAATTATTAAGAAATAATTCTTAGATTATTGATAAGGGCATTAAATCTTATAAGATAGACTGGAAATAAAACAATAGAAGAGTGTGGAACCATGGAGTTTTAGAAGGCGTGCTTAATTACCATTTAGAAATCAGACTGCCATTTCACCTAAAATAGCAAATAGTTGGAGTTCGTACTGACAAAGGAGTATCCTAAGGAACCAGAGTGATCAATTAAGCCAAAGCAAGTCTAAGGGAGATTCAATAATTAAGTTCTGCTGGATAAGGTTTATTAGATACTTAATACATTATATTTAGTAAAGTAATTAAATGATTAAATTGTTTAATAGGCTGAACCTGACTCTTAATTGATACAATAATAGAATGATTTTATCACTCAGATCATTGAAAATTTAAAGTTAAGTCATAAACAATCTATGATTTGTTTTGAATACAAAACTCAATAGGATCTCTTCAACTCCCAAAAACTATTAGTTGATTTAGCCATTAAATTATTAGAAACTGCAGATTAATAATAAGAACTATTAAGAGAATAATACTACACAATACTTAAATTAATAATGAATAGAGGGGAACTAAGTTTGGCTTAACTGGGATTTTCTGATTAAACACAAAAAACAAATGACAAACTTCTAAAGTTTAAAATGGAAATTGGTTTAAATTATTAGATATTTTTATAAAAAGGTTTATCAATCACTTTAGAAAAGTTGAAGCAAAGGTCTTTGGCACAAAATGAAAGATCCTTTGTTGAAAACTTCTTTGCAAATGCATATTTTAGAATACCAGAATTCAGAAATACTATAATTGTAAGTGTATAACGATCAAATGACGAATAAATTCCAGAATGGAGATCATTAACTAAATCAAGTGGAGGGATTTCTAATTAAGAATTTATTGATATTTTTGATTGGAACAAGCATTTTTATGAGTATCTAATGAAAGAACCGAAATATTATGGCAATAATCATAAAATGAATGAAATTATCAATCAACCTTAGTGGTAAAAATAATTCGGAAAAAGAGGAAGTGTTTTCTTTTTATTTATCAAAGAATGGTGTGATTTGTTAAATACTTACATAGTTAATAGTAAAAATGTACCATATCATTAATTACCTGGATATTTTCAACTCATTAAGGCGTTTTTCTCAGAATTAAAATCAAGAGAAATATGCAATTACCCAGAAGCTCTTAAAATAGCTTTATGTTCTTTGCTTAAAAACACCAATTTACTAAATACAATAATAATCATCTTATTCAACAAAGTTAGTTTATACAACTCTGATGATGTAATTCATTGTTTAGACCTATTAAATAAATGTTTTTAAAAGATAAGCCAATTCAATTTATGTATGCCATCATTCTTGGATTAAAAATACTTTTTAAATGGAATTAAACTTATCCTTACTTAGAGTGAACATGCATAAAGCATAGCAAAATGCTTAGAATTGATCTACTCCAACTATATATTATTTCCAGGTATATTTAAATAACTAAATATCTTTAGTGGATCTCAAGAAAGAATTGACTGACATGATATTTGAAAACTTAGCAATCAAATTTTTCATTCATTGGTCTTATAATGTCAGATTGATATTTCGCTAGTTTCTGATATATCGCATATTTCATTTGCATAAGCCTCTTAAAGATAGAGAATTTAATGAAGAGTATAAAATTAAGTTTATTTTAGAGATCTAATTGAAAAATATTAGGAGTAATTAAAACCAAAGAAACAACACAGTTATTTTGACTAAAGAAATTCCTCCAAATAGATTATAGTATATATTGTAATTAATTTAATAGTCTTAATATATCTACTTAAAGTACATTAGATTTATGTAGCAAATAGAAGAAGGCAAACACCTATCCAAACTAAAATCAAGTCATTTTATTTTGGACAATGTTACTAGAATTGAAGAACTAAAATATAAGCTTAAGAAATTATAATCAAAAGTTTAGAATAGATAAAAAGATGATAGTTTTGTTTAGTATTCTTTTAAAATTATCCCTGATGATTAACTCGATGATACAGTGTTACCAAATCAATCAATAGAACAAAACTCAGAAAAACCTGTTTTATATAAAGGGAAGTAGCCTTTATAAAAAATTACATTGACCGAAACTTAATTGAAATACTTAATTTAAGCCTGTTCAGAATATGAAGATTCCATCCTATAATATTAAAAATGGAGATAAACTAACATACCTGATAATTATAATACTTTAACAGAAGAATGTAAGGAGTTTTTATAATCTATAGAAATATTAACTGTAATCGAATCATTCGTCGTACCTGTTGTAAGAATTCTAGAAATTTAAGATTAAAATGAAGGAAATCTTATACAGAGAGATGATTGGTGATATTCAAATGATTTAATTCAATATGTTCAACATATTAACAGTTTCCAAGAATCGATGGTCCTCAATATTCCATTTGTTTTTAGGTTTGTTCTGTAAAGCTAATATTTGTTGTTTTATTTGGTCTATGTTTTTCCGTTCAAACTTGACTGATTTCTATTCTTAGCCGTTCTTCCCAGATACCTTTTAATCTATATGTTATATCTTGTTATATATCTATAGACAGTATTATTAAACAAACTCACACTTAGGAGGATCTACTAAGTTTGGTGAATGATTTTAATATAATTATATAAATTGATGTATGCTCTTATTCTTTTTTACAGTGTTTACATTATATCTAAATTAAATGCAATATTTTATACAAATTTTCAAATATGAATCTACAATTTATGATTGATACTGTTTTACTCCAACTGCATTAAATTTTAATCGGAATATAGTGTTATTTATTTAAAAAATGATACTAGATTAATATAATGAAGACTGTTACGTCAATATATTAGATAAACTTATTGGATTTAAAGTTATTGCATTGCCCTGTCATAAAGATTTTATTAGACTCTGATAAGAATAATGTACCTCTATAAGATGCTGAGAGAGATTAGATATTTTCATTCATAGGATAGATTAAGCATTAAGGAGAATTATAACATTTTTTAGGTAATCCTAACTATCCGTATTTATTATTTCCGACTCCAAAGCATTTTTTAAAAGTCTTTAATACTGCATGTGTCTAACCACACTCTATCCAAATTACGTTTTCAATTTATGCTTAACTTGGTGTATTCCTATCCTGAGTTAATTTTCATATTTACATTGTAATCTCCCAACCCTAATTATCCATACTTATTAGAACCGACTGACCACAATTACCCCTTTGTAAGATATAGGATAAAATTATGTCCACAGGATATTTAATCAATTGGCTTCTTAAATTCTAATGTACTATTTTTTAATGCTTAATTTGTTGAATATATAAAACTATCAATACAATTATCTTTGTAACCAAACATGTGATTGCTCTTTATATACATTGATGAATAATTAGAAATATTATTTTGCTTAGTTTGTTTCTCATCAAGGCTTAAACAATTCCATTTATCATTTTAATAAATTGCTAAATTCTCACCTGCTTAAAAATACTTTACATTGCTCTTAACTAATATTTCATCTACTAATCCCCATTGATACACTTTGCCTACTGCATCAACCGCAAAGGTCTAGGTCTCAGATACCTCCAAAAATTATATTGGTTTATTTTTATGAAAACATTTTGACCAATATAAACTGTAATTTTATAACCAACAAAAGCAAACATCTGATAAATCAACCAAAAATTCAAGATTAAGAATTATTTAAAATATCCTAATCTTTTAATCATCAAACTACTAATTTAGCAATTTTTCATAATCTAATAAATTTTTATTATTGTTTTTTAGGAATTCATTGAATTAGATTTTCTGCTTCTTCTCAAAGTTTAAAAATTCTTTATGTCTCACTAAGGATTTAAGAATAATTGGTTTAAATTATCTCTAGATAAAAATAATTTAATTCTTGATCTTCAAGTAATTTTTTCTAGATTTTAACATTCTCCATTAACTTTAAACTGATATGATCTTATTTAATTATTATTTATAATGTTTTCTACACAAATATTTTCGGATGTTTTTTTGGATAAAAATTGTTTTTTTTAACCTTATGAATTCAATCATTTTTTATTTTACTTGACTTATTATTTCATTATTTTAAGATCTAATCTTATTGCCTCTAAAAATCTTTTGTAATTTAACTGCCATCAAGTTTTCAACTTTCACCCATACTTAATCAATTACAGATCTCAAAATCGATCTAGCAAACATCTATTTCTTAAATGCCTGCTTTTATAAATATTTTCTGCTTGAGTATTATATGAATTATATATCCTAAATCATATGATTCCATTATAAAATCGCCCCTGTCTTTAGAATAGCTTATTATAATTAAACAATGGCATTCATAATCTTTATTTTTCTAATCTTGGGTTTTAATTTTTTTCTTAAAATATATGAACGATAGTTTTTCTTTAATAAATTCTTGAAATTGATAAATTTATTAACACAATTGTCGTTGATAGTCTCGATTTTTAGTTATTACTCTAATGTAAGAAAGAGCAGATTATTAGCACAGACAAGATGATCAATTTAATAAATCTTCTTTTAACAATAAGCTAACTTTTCTTATAGAGTAAACTAGGGAGGTACAAAATAGATTTAATTTATTGTATCTACAAAATCCTATATTTCATATCTATATGGGTAGATTTAATAATAATAACTTAGATAGTTTGGGATATTGTACTATTCTAATTATTTGAGAATATCTTAATAATTTGAATTTTTCATTTGATAAACCATAATCTAATTACATTTTTCTTATTCGTCATTAATTTTAGTCATGTAATTCTGATACTATTCAATATTGGTTTTATATTGCACATTTAATGTTTAAGCATTTAAAGATATTACTTAATCTTTTGAACTTTAAATGAATTCTGCTACTTTAGATAAAGATTCAAATTTATTTTATACTTTAAACTCAGCAACGCTATAATTAATCTAGCCATATGAATGATTGATTGTAAACAGTTGTGGATTCTATGGTTAAATTTTCATCTATTTAACATATGTCCTCTAAAGAGACTTAATCTTTTCGATAAGTTTGCCTTCATCTGTATTATTCAGGGTATGCTCTTCAATCAATCCAATTAAACCAACTGTCTTTTTATCAAATAGCTCAATGATCTATAGATTTGTCGTTAGATTAATTTGAGCAAATTGAATTTAGAGTCCCTTCAAATCTCGTTCCCTTTCGATTTTAATTCTATTATAAAATTGGTAATTGAGTTTTTCAATGGAATAATTTTCAATTAGGGATTCTAAATTAGTTTAGATTGTATTGAATGTAGAATAAAACAATAGATTAATAAAGGTTTAATTATCGTTATTATCCACTTAGTTTGTATTAAAGGTGATCTGCCTGGCTAGATAATATAAGAAGGTCGAAATTTAATCCTTGATTATTTCCATTTCTTATTGATTCATTTATTATTCAATAAATTTGTTTCCCATTTTTCTCTTTTTGATAGTCAATTCTGTGAGTAATGATTAAGCACTTAAATCAAGGTTGGATTCAATTTTATTGATTAAGTCTGATTGCTACTGGAGTTGATCGAATTTAATTATTTGAAGCAGTAATATAGAGGAGAATAATTTGGATAGAACTTGAAAGATTGAAATCTGATTAATTGATTTTAAAAGATCCTATAAAATGTAATTGTTGTATTCTTCAATTTACTAAAAGGGACATTGATATTAGGTTTAGGTATTTGAATTGGTTATATAGTTATTATTTTCATTTGTAAGTTAATTATAAAATAAATTCAAAATAGGAAATTTAAAATTTTTAGCAAAAATTCGATTTGAAATATTAAAATATTTATACTTAAAACAGTTGTTATTAAAAATGGTAATTAAGTTGTTATCATTTGAATTAAATTTGAAAAGTTCATTCAAAATAATTAAACTCTATAATAATTTAGATTATTTATGATGGATTTATTCTATTAGATGATTAAATGAGAGAATATTTGAATTTGAAATTTAAAAGCAGTAACTTTCATTGCAATTAAATTAAAATTAAATTGCTGAATTGTTAAGCATAAGGAATAAGCAGTCGTTGATATTGATGGATTTGTTGTTTAACAATTAGTATATAATCTGATGTATGTTGGTGTTCGGTATGGTATTGTCAATGATTGAATTGGTCAAAACAATTTAACCATCATCCAATTGGACCTTGTCTTTTGCAACAAGGATGCCAGGTTGATAGTTGTCTTTGAGTTGAACAAGCACTTTTTAATTAATCATTAATTTTAATATCTTGAGCGATTAAATAAATTAAATTATGAGTGCATTTTCGGAGGAACATAATAGGTAAAGCAAATTAAATATCGTAATTTAAAGGGATAATTCAAATGAGCCCCCGAGGAAATAGGAGAACAACAAGAAAGTTCACGAGTATCCAGAGGATTGGCCTATGAATCATTCGCCTAGATTTACTCCTATGCAATATTCGTAATTGTTTCCTCATATTCCTCCTCCCTTGGATCTTGAAAACAAAGGTATTTCGGGAATTTAATGAGGTTTCAATGACTATGATCCCTAGAAATATCTGAATAGCGATAAAAAGGGTCAAAGCAGCTATGCATTTCGAAAACATTCATAGGGAGAAGTTCCGCAAATCGATCATATGGATGACGACCCACATCGAAACCCGTATGCTTTCGGTTACTATCCGATGAAATACCCTCCATAACCTATGATGATGAAATACCCCCCAGGTCAACAGTTCATGGTCTCACCATGGTATCCACCGAGACCTCCTTAATAAATGATGCCGCCTTATTGTTACTACCCTCCTATGTATGATGGTCTTCAATGTCAGAATACTGTTTCAAAGGAACTTCAATCTAAAGTCTTTCAATTAGTCTCATATCAAAAGGTTTCTGATTTTCAGTGCAATTGTAAAAAAAGTAAATGCCTCAAACTTTATTGTGAGTGTTTTGCCAATAATGGGGTATGATATAACTTCCTAAATTTTTACAACAAGGTGTGTTCACAGAGTTGTAATTGCCAAGATTGTAAAAATAGAATAGATAATCCTCAAGAGAGATCAAAAGCAATAGAAGAAGCCTTGTTACGAAATGCTGATGCATTTGTGCAATGTTTTTCAACCAAGGGAGGTGCGCAATTCGTTCAATAAGGTATATTGTTTTGTAATCGAAGATAAACCACTTAAAGAGCCATCAAAGGACAACTCCAGTGTCATTCGGAAAGGATGTAATTGCAAAAAGTCTGGATGCAAAAAAAAGTATTGTGAATGTTACAGTCAAAACATCAGATGTAACGAACTTTGTAAATGTGAACATTGTTTAAATAAGACTGATGCTGAAATATAGGCTCAACAAGATCTAGGTCAAGAGGGTCTCTATAATTTGAGCAAAGGCAATCAAAAATAAAAAAAAGTAAAATTGGAGAAACATGAGGAAAAAAGCGATTCTCCTATTGTTCAATTGGAAATCAATCTAAAGAAGAATAATCAACATAAGGTGAAGAAACAAGAGAACAATTGAACCGATATATAATTCATTAATAATTATTATAAATATCATCAAGAGTTCAAAGTCAATATTTCATATGCTTTTCAGCATCGTATACTAAAATCCCTGTCAATCTTGAATTCATCAAAGTATTGAGATATGCCTTATGAATATAAGCCTACTATTTACCATGTTATCTATGATAATTAAATCATCATCCTAATATGTTACTTGAAACAATATTTTGTATTGTTTCCTTTCACAATAGACCTTGATATCAATCAACTCGAATTGGCTAGAATATTTGTTGATGTCACTCAATGAATAGATCCTTATATTTTTATTGTACAAATGATTTGGATTATAGTAGATAAATCCTATATTAGAAATATTGTACTACTTGAAATTCAAACCAAATAGCCTAATATTAATGAGTATTCATACTTCCATCCATATTGCAATGAGTACTAACTGTCTGCTCTTGTTTCCTCTTTGAATTCTCGATTGTTCCAAGGGTCAATATCACTTAATTCGCATCCAACATACTTTATCAATGGCTACGAGTTACAACTGACGAATCCAAGCTTCCCATTCAAAACCGTATTGATATGCGAAATGATTGCACTCCTATTCGATTGCATCTTTTTGATGATGAAGGATAACACCAAATTTTAGTTTTACTGAGAAATTGATAAAAATTAGATCTAGATTAAATTATTAAATTGTTTTTCTTACATCTTTTCCTATAGTTTCTTTTATTTCGTTTAGAAATCTCAGCAAGTCTTGATTTGAATTCGTCAATTTCTTGTATTAAACAATAGATTAGGTGAACTCAATAGAAAAAATCTAAATGTGTTGAGTGGCCAAAATTATTGGGAATAAACTTATATCTACAAACACTAATAAAATTGATCTAGTTGTTACATTTATTGTAATGCAATTATGTTGAATTGAGAGTATAATCATTCTAAAGAATTAATTCTAATTTGCTAAATTTTATTGCTTCTCTAATTATATGAAAGATTCCATATTCATTTATATATTTTTCAGAGATTAATAAATTTTAGAGAAAACTATCCTATGATCTAGTTAATATATCCTTGAATTCATCTTAATGTTCAATAGTGAAATGATAATCATTAGTGACTCGGTATAACAAATCCAAATATTCCTTGTTTTCGTTTAGATGCAACAGAATCATAGTGTGTTCATTTATACTTTTCAAGCGTTTATATTTTGGATTGGTGTAGATTGTGTAACACACATGACTATCGTCCTCTTCATACAGATCTTGCGAGATTTCTTTGCGTTATACTACTGTTCCACCCTTAACACTCATTGATGGATCTCTCATGTCAATAGTAAGTCTCTCAAGTTTAACAGATTGGTTTTCTACCTAATAAGATCCTAATACTTAGTTCATTTTCAATGTATTTTGATATGATGGACATATCTCTACTTGAATAACGTTTCTTATTCAAATCGATTGAATTTTGAGCAACATCAATTTTAGTATATTTTTGTTCCTTGTTTTCTTCCTCCACCTCTAAAGAGTTTCTTTGTTTCTTATCCAACAGATTTTAGAAATCGTGTTAATTTTACACCGCTTGGGCAGGCTATTGAGGATGCTGTTTAGCACAAGGGATTCCCATTAAATAATTAAAATTTATGCAAATATTTCATCTCTCCCTATATTACAATTACATCATTGGCAAATAAACTTAAAACTTAATAACAATGTTATGACTTCTTTTATTAGGAATTCCATTATAGAATCAAAATTTAAAACAAAATTTCAAAAAGCACACAAAGCTTCTCACATTAATCACATAGAATGGCATAATTGCATCCCTTCTTCATTGGAATGATCCCTCATTGATTCATAAGCAAATATTGATTGCCTATTAAAAAATCCATTTCAATCTAAATTTATCGTATTTTTACTTGATTTGAAGGACTTTAACTCTATTTGGTGATAGATTAAATGCTAGTATCACATTATTAACATCAAGCACTCTCAATATATTACCTAAGTGCTCTTACATTTCAAATATTAATATGAATATTCTAACTCCAATTGAATGATAAGAAGTAGGATCCAGATTTCAGATTTAATTAATTTATTTCATGAAGCTATTTATCGTTTTTCTGATCATGATCATAATGATAAATTGTTAAGGATAATCTTTTGACTATACGATAAAATAAAGATATTAAAAGAAGCAGCTTGTCAATTCAAAGTCATTGGCATAAAATTAGTATAAAACCCGACTATTATAATAAGATCAAGATGATTTAGTTGAACATTAGGAAAATGTATAAAGTAGTCGAAACCTTGAAAATCAAGCAAATGAGAGGATCAAAGTTAAGAAAATTGTAAAAATGAGAAGGATTATCCTTAAGCCTATACCAGCTCCAAAGAATGAGAAGGAAGTACACAGAAAAAAAAGAAAGGTCCATTAAAAAATTAAAAAGTGCAAAAAAATCATACAGGATTGAAAATTCATAATCAATAAAACACATTTCAAATTTTTTTTTCGTTTCACTTAGATATTATACTAACTATATTTCTTTATTATTATATTGTTCTTGGATATTGAGAATCTAAACATACCAACGCAGTTATACAATCTCATAAGATTTATCAAATGAGTGGATTACTATCGATCTAAGAATAGTAATTATATTAAAATAAAAGTCATAAAATTGATTATAAAATAATTCGATATAGCTTATCAAACTTATTTAATTTAATTTAGATATATATTGAATTTGTGCAGGAATAGAATTTAGTATCTTCTCAAACTAAGAGCAAATCAAAATATATATATATAAACAAGATTATATTCATTTTATTATATAAAATTATTCATTGTCCCTTCGTTCATTTAATCACTAAATTTGTAAGAATAATGATATTGTATAAATTAAGCAAAGGGAATATTCTCTTTATTCATTAGGAATATCTAAGCAGAATGAATTAAAAAAAACTAATATAACAGTTTGACTTAAGCTGAATATATAATTAGGCTAGCAAATAAATAAATTCGAATTATTAAACAATAATAACAATGGAATTATTATAACACAAAAAATATTTAAATTTGTTAGAAATTATTTGGCTGAAAAAAGGTTCAAAAAAATAGCTATTAGACTTAAGAAAGTCTCCTAGCAAGTTGTAGGTGTTTTGATCATCCTATTTAATGCATATAAATATGTATTCATATTAATTGAATTAAGAATTATAAGAATTAAAGCATACCTAAATTAATGTTGGATAAAAGAAAATTATAAATAATAAGACTTGATTAAGATGCAAATAGACTATATATAAAAGTAACAAGTATGTAAAAAGAGTGAGAAATTAAATGAGCAGCAAAGAATAGACATCTAACAGAAATAGACCTATACTAAATTAAATACAAAAATTGAGTGTAACTCTACATCTGAAAAGGACAATTTAGAGATATATTAGATTAGAAAAATAGTAATTTAAAAATTAAATTCTAAAAGAAAATGATGTATTAAGAGTAGATTAAAAGAAACAGTTTGAGACGAAATCGAATATCTAAAATATAATGTTAGGCAAAAACAGAATTCTTGATTGAGAATTAGATAAATTAAATGTTTATTGAAAATCCAATCTCCTGCAATAGGACCACATTAGTTATAAAATCAGAAAATTAAATGCAATCTAAAGAAAAATAAAAAACAAAAAATTAGACATAACATATTTGTTAGAATTTGAAACAGAATAGTTTTAGAAAAATAAATGATGATTGATGAATATAAGAAGCATAATACAAGAAAAAAAGAATAAGATCTTGATTAATTTTAGTTTAAATTACAAGATACAAAAATTGATCTATCAAATTCATTGGAACAGTAAAACATTGAACTGATTTATCAATTTACTTATTTCAGTGAAGAATTAACAAATAACTAAAAGAAGATTTGTTAAAAAATATTTTTTTTTTTTACTCAAAATTAGTTCAATTTTAAAGTGAACTACAAACTCAGTAAAATTGAAATTAAGAATTGAACAAAAAGGATGTTTGACTACTATTAGACTAGTTGGAACCTTACAGTAATAGGTTGATATGGATGTTAATAATTCAGATGACATTAAAAAGTATTTGGTATTATCTGTGATTAATCTTACAAATAGGCTTCAGAAAATTGAGAATTTATAATATAATTATTAATTTAACTAAACAATGAGCATAAAAAAAATATCAATACGAAACCTCTTGTCATACAAGGCAATCGATTTAGAATTAGGAGGGAATTTAAATATATTTGTGGGTAAGAATGGCAGCGGAAAGTCAAATTTTGTGAATGCATTGCTATTTGCATTAACAGATAAGTTTGGGAGTTTTGACAGGAAGATGATTGAAAATGTATGTATTTATAAACGAAAACATATTAAAGAATCTAATTTCAGATGAACAGCTACCAATTTAGGTTTCCATAACTTTAGACAATGCAAATTAGAGATTGCCTTACAGCACAGAGGAAGTGACCATAATGAGACAAATGACTACAAAGGATGAGTTCTTTTTGAATGGAAAAGCTGCTACGGTCTCTCAGTTTAGCAATTTACTGCAATGTATTAATCTCTCCCGCTAAAATTATTACAATATAGTCAGACAAGGTAAGATAAGTAAGATTTCTTAAATGCGTGATGTTGAAGTGTTTGAGCTTTTAGAAGAAGTGAGTGGTGTGGCATTATATGAGGAAAAGAAGCAAGAGACAATGAATAATATAAAGTAAGCATAATAGGAGAAAGAGGAGATAGTTAAAATTTTGAATGAGCTGGGTGCTTAAATTAAATAGTTACATGATGAGAAGGAGGCCTTTAATCAATTGAAGGACATTTAGAAACAAATTTAATTACATGAAGTTTAGCTTTCACTAATTTCAGCTAAAAGCTTTTAACATTAATTGTTGGATCTCAACACAGAGCAAAGCAGATTGCATAACCAACTACAAAGTCTGATATAATAGTAATAGGATTACAGCAATGCCTAATTCAAGGCAAATAAGGAGATAGAATTGTTTGATCAGTTTCTTAATGAAAACAAATAGAAAATATCAGAATTTGAAAAGGAGGAGTAGAATATGTTAAAATAATATTCGGATTTATCCATTTAATTGAATGAAGTTAGAGAAAGATTACACGCTTTAAAGAGTGTTAACAAATCAGCTATTGAAGAGGAATTCAAAACAACTGAATAAAATCTTGACAAAGAAATGTTGAAAATCTAAGAATAACAAGTCAAAGTGGATAAACAAATTCAATATTTCTAAATCCTGTAAACCGACGATCCAGTTAAATGTTTCAAAGATGAAATGTAATCTCTTACAAAATAGCTAGAAGGGTATCAGAAAGAATTTAAGAATGTTGAATTCAAGGTATCTCAAATTAACAAGGATTTGAATTAATTGAAACAGTAGAAATAGAATCAAATTAATGTTGGGGAAGTGTAGAGCAACATCAAAAAGACAGAGGATAATCTATTGTAATTGAGAAAAAAGCTGGAGTCTACTCAACTAGATAATATGGAACTGTAAAAAACTAAAACACATTAGTAATAGAAGTTATGTAAACTTTAAAATGAATAAGATATTGAGTGTAATCAACTTGATAAATAATTGAGAGATATCTTCACTGCATCTATTATTAAAATTATGGAGTTCGCTGAAGAAAAAGGGTTGACTGTTTATGGAGTGTTCGCTTAATTAATGAATGTCAAATAAAAAAGATTATTGCCTCTCATAGAAACTGCCAGTGGTCCTCGTTTGTTCAGTTTAATTGTGCCAGATACACAAACTGCTAAATAAATTATTGATTTTAACAAAGATTAGTAAGGATCTGTCTTGAGGATATACCCCCTTGATTTAATTGATGATAGAGTAACTTCATTTGATGCTCCAAAAGATACTATCAATCTGTAAGATCAAGTCACCTTAAATGGGGATTTTGGCAAAAAAAAGTCCTTGATTGCTAAGGTCATTGGAAAATGGATTGCTGTTAAGGATTATCAGACTGCCTTAGATATTTCTTCAAAGCATGAGATCAACTGCATTACTTAAGATAATGAAGTAGTTTACGCAGATAGTTTCTTAACTAAGGTTGGAGCAACCAGAGTTTAATAAAGCAAGACTATTTCATTACAAAAAATATTAGCAATGCATTAAGAAATTAAGATGCTGACTAAATAGGATCAAGAGATGGAACAACAGATGGAAGAGGATTAAAATAAATTATTAGAAATTTAAAGAGAAATACAAAACAGTAAAAATAACTTAAATAACTTAATTTAATAATTATAATCTTAAGATACTTCTGCTATAGAAAAAAAACAAAGGGAACTGGATGCACTTGAATAACTTGCAAAATAATTGGATATTCCTATTTAAGACACAAACAACAGAATCAAGGATATTTAGTAAAAATTAAAAAATCCAAAGCAAATTAAGAAAGGATTAACTGATGAAGATATTAACACCCTACAGTAGTTAGTAAAAGAGAAATAGTAGTTATCCTAATAAATCACAACTTTGATGAATAAAAAGAATGAAATTAAGATGAAATAGTAAAAAAAGGTTGATGTAAATAAGATTCAATAATTGGAATAATAATAATCTGAATTAAAGTAATAAACAGACTAATTGAATATGTAATTAAAAGGAAAGTAGAAGTTTCACTAAGAAATAATTGAAGTATAGAATGAAAACAAAAAGAATTTGGCTCAAGCCATAAAAGAAAGAGATAATGCTAAGTTAGAAAAGAGTAAAATAGATTTAAAAATTGATTCTATAAAAAATCAACAGACTGAATTTGAGATGCAAGCTCAATAGTGTGTCAATTAATTAGAAACCATTGAAAAAGATAAAAGATTGATTGATGCATTCAGTGAATTAGATGAGTAACAATCTAAGAATTAAATTATTAAGAAGATTAAAGAACTTAAGACCAAATTTAACCATAAATTTACTTAAAAAGATTAAAGTTTATTTGAAAAATTAAATGAAATTGAAACAAGATTCTCAGATTACTAACAGAAACTATAAAATTTAAAGTAAATTTAATAAGATTTTGATAATCTTTGTGAAATAATGGACAAAAAAGCAGAAAGTCTATTATAGGATTAATTGTATAAAAGATTTGCTGAATACTTTAGACATTACTTTTTATAAATAGTAACTACTGGAGATTGTCAAATTAAGTTGATTAAAGGTTTAAGGAAGAACAATAAGAAAAATTGGGGTATCGACATTAAAGTTTCATTCAAAAATAAAGAAGTTTAGAATTGGACATCATTTTCAAGTGGAGAGAAAACAATAGTTGCCTTTGTCATTCTAATATCCTTATAAAAATGCGATCCCGCTCCATTTTACATTTTAGATGAATTCGATGCTGCTCTTGATGACAATTACAGAAATCAAGTAGCTCAAATTATATTGAATTTATCAAAAGAATCTCAATACATTATTATTACGTTTAGACCTGAACTCATAAGCTTAACTAGTGATTTAGTGACATTTTACAAAGTATCACATCATAATTAGTAAAGTTCAGTAATCAAAACAACTTAACAAGAAGCAAAGAAAATTCTCAGAGCATGAAACTTATAAATTTAATTTTATATTAATATCCTTTTAAATTTTCAATTCCTTTTATTCTTTTCTTTTAATTATTCTAAGTCGTAAAATCAATTTGTAATTTTCTAAAAACTCTCTTTTTTTGCCAATGAATTCCTTTATCAAACAATTTTCAGAATTATTATTTGATGATCTTTTAAAATAATTATAGATGAACTACCTTTTTGGTATAGGATTGATATAATATTTAAATTTGATTGTATACTCAATTTTATTTTTTCATTTTGCTACAACCTAATTTTATAACATTTCAATCTCTTCTTATATGTTTTTTCTTGCCTTTTCTTCGCTTCTTAGGTTAAAAATTTTAGACTTTTAAAACTTTTATAGAACAGCAGTTCTCCCTGTTTTATAATCCTTATCTGGAAAGTGCTAATATTCCTTTCTTATATCTTGAGCATAGATAGAATATGCATCAGACTCCAAAATAGACATATCAGCATCTAAAAATACCATCAAATCTTATAAATCATCCTCTGGTAGGAATGACACATCAGTTTGATGGCTTTTTGTTTACAAGATAAAAGTTGATATAAGTTATGAATCCATATTGCATTCTTAGGCGTATTATTAAAACAACAAAATACTTTTTTCTTCATTATCATTGTTTCTAGGATAGTATATAGCATCGTGAAAGAAGGTTGCCAATTTTACATTCTTTATATTTTTGGCTCCATTTAATTATTTTAACATATCATATATGTGTCTTAAAGTGTGATAATGCCTTTGAGGTTAGGAATAATAATCAACTAATATAGATTCAAACCAATAGAGATTATCACTAACTGACAACCATTCAGATTTAAGTTCCAAATACTCTTATTCACTTAATCTATTTTTTTCTTAGATTTGTTCTCTAATTTATGAGGAAGACAGCTTAACATCTCCTTAATTATTCGAGTTTTCTATAATGCCAATTATGTAGCCTTCTAATTCATTTAAGCCTCCTTCTTTCCTAAGATTATTAATGTACTCTAAAGATTTTTGAGTCTCTTAGGTGGCAATTAGTACTTCAAATTATCCATTTTTTGTTGGTCCTGCTGGGTCGACTAATTCAGAGAAATTCAATTCAATATCAGGTCTGAAGAGCGAACAGAACTCTTTTACACATTTACAACGAGTCTCATAGGATTATAAGAAGCCTTTTAATTTCTTTTTTTATAATAATATATCTCCAGTTATTCCTATGGTCAAGTGTTCATTGACAGCCAACAAACTTAAACTTAAAAGTACTTTGTGTCCAATGTGTAAATGATCAAAAGTTCCACCGTTGGCACCTCTTTTGAATTAATTTGCTAGTGGTCCTTCTTAGGAAAATTAGATATTTTAATGTGGTTGATTTAGCTTAGTTTGAATATTGATTTCGGTATCTAAATTGATGACGAATTGGTAGTGGTTTTTGAATTTAGTATTAAATATATCAAAGATCACATTAAATTTGGTTGGGTAGTTTTGTGCTTTTTCATAAAGATGGAATAAAATGAGTTCATAAACTTTTAGATGTGTAATTGGTGTTCTTTTCAGATAGAGAATGATTTCTTCTTGATCAGTTTAAAGATACTCTTCTAATTTTTGATCTAGCATCTAAGTTCCTACAGAATCGAATGAACATACGATGAGTAATTTTTCGTGATGTTTCATTATTAAAATGAATAAAAATCAATCAGCACATTATATTACAAATAACTAATCGTATGGTGATGGGTGGTTGTTGCACAGTGGGTAACAATAGGTGGACATGACATCATGTCCTGTACCTACTTACGCTGAAATAGTACGTCAAATGCAAGTGATGATTCTATTATTATCTAGTTTAGGACTTTAGAAGAGCAGAGAAATTACTCAAAAATAAACTGGTTGCTCAGACTATCGGACTTGAGTTGTCTTAACCTATTTCTGAAGAAGAAAAACAACGCAGGAAATTAGATAACAAGGTCCCTTCAAAGAAGTTTCATGTCACTGAATAGGAATACAAGGCTCCTCCGTAAGGAATTAATGTTGGTATAGATAAATGATTGATGGTAGGATTACCAATCTATGAGACATCTAATATGTAATATGGGCAATTGAATCCAACCTCATTTGAGTTGATTGAGAAATATTATCCTAGAGATGCTAGATTCACTTAAGCCTTTTTGGGAGACACCTACAAGTTTGATGGACTGAACACTAGCACTGGCTTCTCAAAAGTTCATAAGAAATTAGATGAATATTGACAATTAAAGATCATATTTGCGATTGTTTTCTCAATTAATTCATTCTCCTAATGACGCTTTGTTTCCAATTTTTCATTTGATTCACTTCTCCGAGTTTCGTTCTCTAAAAATCACTGATTTAAATTCACAAAAAATAATACTTTTTAGTAGTAGAGACGTACTGATTCTGATATGTAGGAGTTTAAGAATATGGAGCAGTTCTACAGACTGGATCAACAGGTAATTTTGTGTAGACCTCTCGTTATTTATCGAAGAAGATACCAGAAGATTAAATTGGATTTCTATTTCAAAATAACGACAATATTTACAATTTTGAATGATTGTTTTTACAATTAGCAGGCTGTTCTATTGATTAAGGCCATTGATATTCAGTTTTATAAAGAGTGTAACTAGACAGTGATAGTCCTCCAGTTGTCAAATTTTTAGATGCAGTTACCTTCTCTGGTCTGTAGTTTGTTTAGAAATCATAATGATTGGCCTAATCTACGTGATTGTTATACTTTATATGTTGTCATTGTTGCAAATTGTAACTCACTTTTCTCATACTTCCTCCTTTCCAACCTTGGATTGTAGTCATTTTGTGGATATGCAGAAAAGTGACTTTAATAACTTGTCTTTGAAAACTCTGAAGTTTGAGGAGACTTATAATCTTGGTAGATAGTATTTTTGATAATCTCTTATCTTTCTTTCTGCTTGAGTGGAAAATCACGTCCATATTGACTTTACCACTTGGTTGGCAATATAAATTTGTTCATGTTAAAATCACCATGCATTTATTCCTGGAGATACAATCCAAGCAAATAATAGAAGTAATCTTTATTGTCTTCGAGAAGTTACTCTACCGATGACCCTTGCAACACTTCCTGAGGAATAATCTCAAGCCAAATTGGATCAGATGCAGGAATGTCAGGAAGTTGTTCATCAAATAGAGATGTGTTTGTTTGACAACTAACTGAATTGCTTTATTGTGGAGTTGCTATCGGAGTTGGGGGATTGTGTTATGATTCAGATCTAGCTATTTGCTACTTCGATTAAGGTTATTATTATAAGCTTTTTTATTATGTCAATGCTGCTATGTCTTCTATGCTACAAGTGGAAAGTGCTTTATTTCTCTTCTTAAGCAAGGTAGTTTTTCGAGAGAACTTAGGAGCGAGAAAAGATGAAGTCTTTGTTGACAACACCTATTTTATTTGATCAGATAACATATATTGTAATTATGTAATATTTTATTATATCTACAAGGCAATCAATAATCACTAAATTTAATAAAACTTCACTTTTTTCATTTAAATGCAATGGTTATCTCGTTATTTTCTTATAATTATAATGATATACTGTATTTCACATAATATTTCAAAATAAAAGATCAATTCACTGAACATTTGATTATTGTTATTGTCTCTAATAGAATAGCTATTTCTCGTCAATTTAAATTTCATCTTGATCTAGGTATTTACATACTTTTTGTAAGATAATGTACCTAATTCACTGAACGAAATTTAATTATAATAAAGAATCAAGAATTCTCTGGTAAAGAAAGATTTATTGGAAACAATAGAGAGGGTTAAATTTATGATGAAATAAATGTCGAGAAATTAGTTATGTATTTGATGTGTATATTTTCAATAGTAATTTATGTTCAATCAATTTTAATTTCTTTTTAAGATGATCCTATTTATAAGATTTTTTAATATTTTCTCCATGTTTGTCTTTTGAGTCTCATGATTTTAGATTTAATTTATCGAGATTCCTTATAGAAATTGTTGCATGTCTTATACAAGTCCTCAAACCTCTAAGCACTAGAATTGTTATTGTTGTCAGAATCCTAAAAGGACTTTAAGCCTGTAGATTTAAGAGTAATAAGATTGATTTTATTATTGGCAATGAGTTTGGACTGTCTGGGCTTTTCTATTTTGTCTTCCACAGTAAATTCTTTAATAATGTGAATATTTTTATCAATTGGTTCAGTGTGGAATTTTTGAGATGCCTTCATATTTTGTTGGAATATATATTATTTGATTGAGTTGTTGCCTTGATATTTCAATTGACTATCAAATATTCTCCTCTGAATCATGTCTTTGCGAAAAATCTCCTTCTCGTATTCTTCATTAATTTTATTTTTGTATTATTGAGTAAATTCGTCTCCTTCTATTTCTATTGCCCTCAAATCTGTTATAGATTATCTGGTTTTTAGCATTTCTTGAAGCGGATCCGAAAGTAAATACAATTTGTCCTCTCTCGTTAGAGACTTACGACTATGAAAAAATGAGGAGTGATTATCGAGATTCGTCCTACTGTACAGTTTTTCTGCAGTTACAGGTTCCACCAATGATATTTGTTTGGTGTGTTGAGAACTTATTGACTTATACATTGAATTATTCTTCTATGGTAGTTTCCTTGAATCCACATCTGCCTCCTCTAATTTCAATCGATGATTGATAATGTCAACATAATCATTGACCATCTTCTGATTGTAGATCACTTTATCAGTTTTTCGAGGCGATATTCTTGGTTGAAGCATAATATTTGTTTTATATTTGTGGTACGACTTCATATCTAGTTTGATGGGCTTTTCATGAGAATCGAAGATGACCTAGTGCTTGTAGTTTGTGGTTTTCATTCCTTTGCTTGAATTATAAATAAACTAATTTTAATATCACTCATGAATTCACAACTCATTTTTATTGGATAAGACCTTCTAATATATTTAGGAGATGTCTCAATATATTCGAATGTCTGACCTGATGCAACAACCACACAAAGAAATACACCTAGAACCTCATAACTTAAGTCTCCTCTGATTTCTTTTTCAAGGTCAATAAATCAAAGTTTTTTTGTATTATTAAATCACTGTTTAAAAATCTGTAAAACTCAACACAACCCAGATTATTTCTATTAATTTATTTCGTAGTTTAAGTTGATTGATGAGATTACTTTCACAGCATTCAATTAGAAATAATGCATATTAAATATTAGTTGTAAGTTGATATAAAACTTGTATTCATAACAATATTGTTGGATACAATAATTAATTATATAACTCTAAATTTACACATGTCGAAAATATCAACAAATTGTTATATCAATTATGTTTTAATTAGATTATAATTTTCTGCATTTTACATTCCAAACATCAGAATGACCAGTCTTATCAAACTTACTTGGATGAGACTATTAAATTGAGACATATGACACGAAATGACAAAGAATTATGCTCTCAATCTTCTTAGTTTCTACAAATTGGTCGATTGAATATTGAATGGAGAAAGAAACCCTTCTGTATATCAAACGAATAGCAATTCAAAATAACCCTGTAATTATGTAAATTCTATATTTAATACTCTATAAGTGTTAGTATCTTGAATTAATTCATTATATATACTTCAATACAAGAAGATATGATTTTTAATAATTATATTAACATACAATGTCTTGGGATGCTTATGTAACAAATTTGACAGCCAATGGCGCACTTGAATATGCAGCCATCATTGGAACAGACGGAAACATCTGGGCTAGCAATTTTGGTGTTGCTGCTCTCCCATCCTATTAAACCGAAGTACCAGATGAGAAAAATCCAGACATCACAACCAAAGTTGCTTATGATGAAAAGGCTGCTTTTGTTCACGCTCTTACTCACAAAGGAGAGTCAGGAAATGCTGCCGGAGTTAGAATCAACAATCAAAAGTATTATTCAGTTAATTTCGATGGAGAGTCCAAGTCCTGGTACTTAAAGAAGGTATTTCAAACATTCATTATCTTAGAATAAAGGAGGAGCTTGTGTTGCTTGGTCTAATACAGTTGCTGTCTTTGCTTCATTCTCCCAAACCCTCAATGCTGAAAATGGAGCTCCTTAGAATGCTAGCGATTGCAACAAGAGAGTCCTGGATATGGCAAAGTACCTTGCTGAATCTGGATATTGAGTAGTTATGTTAACACATACAATTATAAATACATTCCTATATAATTCATTCTCCTTCTAGAATTTACTTTACGAAACGTGGCCATTTAAACCTTCCCAAAACCTCAACAATTCTTCCCACTCTCTATAGTACCGCTAGAGCTTTAAAGAATCAAAAAATAATCATTAAGAAATCATATACATTCTGTTTAAATCAGATATGTCACCTCACAATAATTTCATTCAAAAAGTCAATTGATAACTTTTAACTCAATTCTATTTCTTCTTGAAAAATTTAAGAATCAACAGAACCTAAGCTGCCAAGATTTTACAATTACGAAGTTAAAAACCTCTTGATCTAGCCTATTTTAAGTTAATTAACTGCTTGATTGCGACACTTCTAAAATGATGAATCATCATTTCAGAAACTAAATAGTTTTTATGTTAATTTCATGACTATTTTTTTTATTCAAGTTTATTTGGAACTATGACTGATTATAATTAACTGGATAATTAAACTAGATATTATTTCTTAATAGAATCTATTAAAAGCATGATTATACTTGACTAATTACATTCTTACTTTACAATTTATATTTCATATTTTATAACATCGTTTAAATCAAACAAAAATTGAGATTAGCTGCAGACAACTGTTCTCAATTAAATATAATATTTTATCTTATAAATTTTATCAAAATCTCACAAAATTTATTAGCTATTTTTCTATATGGAAAATTGAAATGTTAAATGAATATTAATAATAAATTACAATTCTAATAAATAGTATTATAAAGAAAATAATTATTGAAACATAAGACTTATAAAAAATATGTAAATTAATATATTAATTATATTATATTAATAAATGCTTGATGATTGTTAATTTTTCAAATATGTATAAATAAAATGATTGATCTTATCTCAAAATTACAATCTAATCTATCTATTTCTATGTAATTTATGTCCCTTTGCTTTTTTGTAGTTTTAACTCATACATTTGTTGAATAATTTAATACTGGCAAATTTATCTAACAATATATATTAAGCAATTACTGATAATTAACATATAATCTGCTTAAAATAATGAATTTGAGTATTATAAGTTGTAATCTCTATGTAATAAGTCTTCAATTACAATACTTGATAAATATTAGATTGGTATTTGAAACCTAGTATTTTTGAATGGATTGGCATTTATTCAATTTATTTGCTTCATTTGAAAAGCTGTTAAAAGGTACGAATATAGTTAATAAATGTTGATGGATAATGCAAATATGTATGATAAATCATTTGACTTCAACAATGTCTGCTCTAGTACTTTCAGCAACAGCTGCAGCTTCAGCAATGACCTCAGCTGGAACACCCATCTCTTTCAAAGTGTCTCCAAGATGTTTAACGATGGTATCAAAGGCTGCGGTGGTAATTCCAAGTCCAGCATGGCCTGCTTTCATATCCTAGATTATATAAATATGAATCGATTACTCTTCCTGTATAATGATTTGGTCCTCCGAAGGCCATACCAAGGAACTTTTATTGCATTTCTGTTTATTTCTTCATGTCTGTGTTTTTGAAATAGTGGCTGACTGATGGATCAGAGAGAACTTTTTGATAAAACTTGACGACTGCAGCATCAATGTTGGCTTATCCTCCCAATTTGTCAAAGACTGATTTATTTTGCATTGCTAAATTTAATTAATGATTAGAAAACAAAAATGTGTTCGCTTAAAAATAGCAAAATAAAATAAAAATAAGATATTTTTGGATAACCAAAATTATTTATATAATTAATTTATATATCACTATTCATCATATTATGTAAAATCATGTATATGAGTTGTATGTGACTTGCGAAGCACTGCATTTTACACTTTCAGGCATTTATTATCTGATTGCAACTCTATTGGAGCAATGGCAGTATTGAACAGACTTTTTCGAGCAGCACCCTTAATTGTCATATCCTATATTGTATATCCTTCATCTCCATCACTCGAACCCGCATAATGTCCTCTCTTCAAGAGAATGGTCCTTTATTTCAATTTGTTAGAATTCCTAGATGAAAGATGAGAGATGTTTTTATTTATAGTAAGATGTCTTAAACTTTTTCTCACAATGGTTTCTGAAAACCAAGGATGATTGAGAGCCTCATCAGGATGTGGTCTCATAGCTGGATCCTTTTGAAGCAATTACTAAATTAGATCTTTGGCTTCACTTGAGACTTCCTAGAAGATTTCTTCAGGGAACTCATATTTGGCCAATTTTATAGATTCAATTAGATCGTTCAAACTTAAAAATATCGAATCAATATATATACTAATCTGCATTGAATGGCAATTGACCAGACAACATTGAGTACAATATACATCCAGCACTCCACATATCAACCATTTGACTAATAATGAATTCAATGCTTTACTTGTATCCTTCTCCTGTGAATATCTCTGGAGCTGAAAATGCCACAGTTCCTGTATAAGTCCACATTTCAATTTTCTCGGTATCCTAAAGATTACCAAATTCTTTGTAAGAATCACTGAATTTACTAACATTAAAATCTGTGACCTTTATCAACTTCTTATCTATGGAAATGATTAGCTAGCATATTACCTGAGAGACAGAGGATATTATTAGGTTTCAAATCCCTATGACAAATCCCATTTCTATGCATGTATTCAATTGCACTTAGCAACTGCTTGAATAGTTCCTTTGCATCATGCTCACTGTAATGTCCAGCCTCATTTATTACTTCGAACATTTCTTTCCCTTTTATGAGCTCCATTATCACGTAAGCTTGACTTTCAGATTAGAATCCATTATCAAAATCCAAAAACATTTTGTATGCTTTAACTATGTTGCCATGTGATAATTTTATCAATCTCTTAAACTCATTGATCATCTAATCATTTTCAAGATATCATTTACATTTCTAATAATCTCATCATCTTAGGTAGCCACAATTTTTACTGCGAATTCCTGTCCTGTCTTTTTTTACACCACTCTCTTCACTAATCCCAAACAACCTTCACCCAGTCTTTCATGCATCTCATATTCTTCAAAAAACTCCTTTGTATTTGGTACAATGTTTTCAACATCACTAGGTGTTATTTCAATGTCCAATTTCTTACCCAACTCAAATAGTTGTTCTTCCCTTATCTAGAGAGGTTGGATGGGCTTGTTTATTATGGAGTTGAGTTAACCTAGGCTCAATACCAATTATATACATCTAAATTGCTATTTTATTCGATTCATATTGTTTTGAACTGCTTCCTTCTGTTCCTCAGCTTAAGTCTTCACAAATGTAAAACGACCGCTACATTTCCTATCCATCATTGATAATCGTGGTGGGATTCTTAATGTATCTTAAGGACTACGCTCTAGAACTCGATCGTCTTACATTTTTACTTGGTAATTATATAATATATGATTGTATTAGAATTGTATAATCAAATAAATCCTATTTAGTTCGACCCTCCCAAGAAATTTCAAATTTATACCAAAACAATATTTCCTTAATTTTTGTTATATGATCCATTAAATATCATTATTAGGTTACTAAAATTTATATACAGATATATTATCCATCCTATTTCATTTATTAAATAATTAATACATTTCAACTTATATTTACATTTTCTTAATTTGTTTTCTATACAACTTAAATTTGCAATTTTCTAATTTCCTTTCTTTAGACCATAACTAATAAAATTAACTATTATCTTAGTTCACATCAAATGTTATGTAATTTGAGTGTTAGGGTATTTTCTTAGTTTATATTTATGTTAATAAAAGTAATGATTTAATAATAATAATTTCTAATAAAAGAGTTAGTTCTGATTTGATTTTATCTCAAATAAAATGCCATAGATTCAATATTGTATTAAAAATTGGTTATTATTTTAATTTCCTAAAGAACATAACTATGATATTAATTGATTTATTAGTATAACTTAGCTATAATCATTTTTTCAAATATTTTGTATATATGACATTTTAACTTATATATAGAAATTAGATTCCAAGAAATGCAGGATTGAAGCATATACTATAAAGTTAATATTTAGGACTTGAAGTTTATATTATATATATTTAATGAGTAAATGCTAAACTTGATTAAGTAATAATAAATCATCTCCTTTGTCCTTCAAACCACTCTCCTGAAATTTATTTGCCATTTTTATCGATATAAATTCCTTCACCATGTTACAATCCATTTTGCCATTAACCTTTATATATCCTACCATCAGACCAATAGAATTCTCCGTAACCATCCTTTTTGTTATCCTTATAACTCCCCTAATGAAATAGAGAAGATACCTATATATTTCCTGCCATCTACCCAGATCATCTCACCTTGGCCGTTCATTTTGTTGTTCTACCAGTATCCTTCATATTTGCTGCCATCAGGCCAAACATAAACTCCTTAACCTTAAAATTAATTATTTCTAAATCCTCCTGCATAATTCGATCCATCACCCCATTTATAAATTCCATATCCTTCTTTCACTCCCATGTAAAAGCTACCATCGTAAATAGCAGAATTATCAGCCCATGTTTCCGTTCCTTGCCCATGTCTGTTATCATCCTTCCAAAATCCTTCATATTTAGACTTATCAGAATGCACATAAACTCCGTATCCATCATTTTTATCATTTTTCCATTCTCCTTAATAGTAGTCTCCACTATTAACTATGAGTCTCCCGTACCCATTAGCTTTATCATCGACCCAAAAGCCTTCATAAAGTGACCCATCAGGAAAAATGTATTTCCCTTTGCCATTTCTTTGGTGATTTTTCCATTGCCCTATGTAAATACCTCCTTTGTCTAGAAATTAATAAGGGGGGAGAGTCTTAGCTCCAACCATGGTCGAACATTTGGAGTAATCGAAAGGACCTAATTGCAAGAGTACTTTTGAAACAGCATGATGAAAGATCTCAGGAACTTGCTCAATTGGAACAGCCACACTTTACAAAGGAGGGTAGGATTCTTCGACTTCTCTTTTCTGTCCTGTTATCATCAACATATTACTTGTTTTCGAACTGAATGGCCTCGATATAAAGCTTAGATTTTTGTAGCACACATTTCTTGCACTTCTGGGAGATTACTTTTGATTTCGTAAGGTTTAGTTTCTACAGGTTGTTCGAATTCAAATCCACCTGTCTCCACAACTTAAGTTCTGTGAATTGTCTAGCAAACAGTACCCATAAAATAATATGTTATAAAAATTAAATATAAGAAATTATCATTTCTTTTTTCCCTTTACCCATTCTCCTTCAATGACTCTTCCGCTGGGCTCTGTGAGTTATCCTTTTCCGTGCATCTTATTGTTTTTCCATTCTCCAACGTATTTTTATCTGTTGGGCCAAATTTACTCTCCCTTCCCATTTCTCTTATCATTTTCAAATTCACCTTAAATTACAATCATATATCTCACCCTTATACGTCTTACCATCAGAAAAGAATTGCCCTTCCCCTTGCATATTCCCATCAACCCATTATCCTTTGTACCATTTGCCATTGCTCCAATAGAATTCGCCATAACCATTAAATGCATCATTCAAAAATTCCCCATCATAATAAGAATTATCGCTCCATCTGTAAACACCTTTGCCATTTTTCACCCCATTCTCGAAGTGTCCTTCAAAGGATGATCCATTATCAAAAGAAATTGCTCCAACACCATGCTAAAATTGATCATCACTCATACTGGCAATCCATCCTTCAGCTCTCCAGTATACACACCTCCATCTGGGAATAAATACTAATCCCGAGGTACTTGACTACTTTAACAGCAAGAACCCATTTAACTTTAATTAATTTTATTTCAGTTGATATATTTCATTTTAAAGAGCAAATCTCTACCAACGGACTTCCTCCTTTTATAAGATACCCTACATCCATTGACCCCACTCTATTTTAATAAAAGATCGCCCTCCTTTTTTGTTCACTCCATTATTACTTAAATGTCGTCATTCATAATTGATTATAACCCATCATCAAATGTTTCTAATAATTTACATTATTAATTCTATTATTCTTATTTTATCTGCTTATTTTCTATTTCAATCTTTCCTCATTATAGCATATCATTCATTGATGCTATTTCTTTTTTTTAATTCAATAAATAAGCAAACTATCTTCATTTATTAATTCCAGTTAATAAAATCTTTTAGTACTTTACCAATAACCTCTCATAGCCATTTATTTAAGGTATTTTAAATAAGCTTTCTAATCAATAAATAAATTACCATTTGAGCCAAATATTGCAACACTTCTTGTAAATTTTTGCTTACTTATCAAATTAACTTGTATCCAAATAAAGTTCCCCTTATTTTTACATTAATTAATTTCAATAATGAAAATTCGTTAACCATTTTACCATCCTGTAGTACAACAATTTCAAGGTCCCACCTAATATGTTTCTTTTGCATCTCCAAGTCAAAGGTTTTCACAGGGATAACGACTTGCCTCTCCAACTTCTTAATAAATTGATTACCAAAGATTACGAAATGCCTAGTCAATATAACAAAGCGCTTATACCAATAAAATAAATGAAGAGACACCATAGCACATGATCACAAAGAGACCTCATATCAAAATGCCTTAATAAGGAGTGTAGGTTTCTCAATCTCAATCATTTTCATATAACCCTTAGATGATGGTAGGTCTAATTAAAGAGAATTAGGAGATAAAGGCCAAGATAAATGAGAAGGAGAAGTAACTCATTCTTTTACAATAAGAAATAGCTTTGTATGAAAAATAATGATGATTATAAAATTTTATAAATTAATATGTACTCGAAAAACATATATATATATATGAAAGTATTATAAATTTATATCTATCTTAGAATCATTCATGAAATGGGTTTTTTAGAACTGTCTAAGAGGCTATCGTCATTAAGAAAATCAAATCCATTCTTATCAAACTCCTCTTAATCGAATTGTGAATTAAATGTTTGAATAACCTCCTTGTTTGTCATCATTTCTTATTTAAAAGTTTCAAGATTAAATTTCAATTTCTCATTTTCCCATTAGAGAGCAGCCAATTAGGCTTGCAATTGTAAAACCTAGTCGTTATCTTAACTCTCTTAAATTTACTGAGTTAATTTTTAAATTTTGTTTTATAAATTTTAATTTTATTATTTTAGCTCCCTCTTTTCATCTTCCAATTACTTTAAATTCCCTTAGATTTTCAACTTTCTTTGTGGATGAGCTGATTAGAACAATTACAAAGGCACTTAACCAAACTCAGTCACTTAGATCTCTAGAGCCTACCTTTCAATGTCAGTTTTGCATTTGTCCCAATTCACATTCTCGGCATAAGTGTAAGGATAGAATAGATTATCATTTTAAAGTGCTTCATTTCCAGAAGCCTTGTTTCCAAAAATCAAATCAATCCACTAAGGGAGATTGGCTTAAACATATGGACTCTCCAAGGCAATCCTCATTTTGGCTAAGAAGTCTGGAGCATTATCTGCCCATGGAGGGATGACTGCATCATCAATCACTTCCCCATCCTAAGTTATGCCCAACTCTAATTTATCGCAATTAACTAAAAAGTCACTATCCAATCCATAAAATCTTAGATATCAATAATTCAAATACTCTGGTATAAGTTCTTTAGAATCAGCATGGAGATTGAGAGTGGTGAACCAAGTAGAATCGATGCCTCTGAATATTCTGTCGGTGGGTCCAAAGACTCCATTTTATAGTTTAATTACAAATTCAGGGATCTTTCTGATCATATAGTAAACAACAGTTCCGGGACTGGAATAATGTGTAGGGTACAGATATGGTTTGGGATCCTGCTTTTTATCCTTCAATTGATCTTTATAGAATGCCTATTTGATGATTACAATGAGATTACTTTATATTTTTAGAGTCTATGTTTATTGAGGGCACCCATGGGTTTGGACAGATCCCGAAAAAAAGTGGGAGAGTTAACATTAAAGTCTTTCTCATTGTATTCAGCAATGACCCATGGGAATACTGGATAGGCAGAGAGATCATTAAAACTTCTATTGGCTAGAGTGTTTAAGGCCATCAAATAATCAAAATTAGACATGTTACCATTAGTCCATTCTTCGGCGATTTTCTCTTTAGTCAAGGCTGAAAGACAATGCTTTGATGCTTTTTTCTGGAAGTATTTAAACACAGATTCTTACGTAGTTTGATCATCAAAGACAAAAAGGTAGGACCTCTTTTTATTGTACATCCAGAATTCGATTCCATTGTTTTTAAACATATACCTATACTTGAGAAAATATTTGATATCAGTGAACATGAATTATAGGATTTTGCCTGATGGTGAATTAATCAAAGGGATGAATTGCAAGATTTCTTCTCTTTGAATACTGAATAGTCCAAAGATTGCTCCTTCCGGTTTGATAAGTTTGACTAATCATTTGAAAAAATACACTTACCTTTATGAACAAACTCTATTTTGTGGCCTTCAGATCCAACATTTTGTTTGTGTTCTACTAGACTATCATTCAAGGTTTGTTGGATTGTTTGATTAATGAATGTGAATTCGTCTTCGGCTTAATTGATTCCCTGGTACAATTTGAGGAATCGGATAAGGATCTGTTTGGAATTGGATTTGGAGATGGTGAACACTATGTTATCATCGCACTATGTAGAGAGAATAGGGTATTGTTTTTTACAGTTTCTGTGATGTATGGACTTATGGGATTGCGATTAACGATGAAGAGTTTGTCGACTTTGATGAAGAAGCAGTTGCATAAGGTTTATTGAGTGTTCTTGCGGTTTCTATTGTATAGCTTTTCTAAGAGTTCATTCGATTTCTAATTTAGTAATCAATAATAGTAGAAACTTATTCTCCCTTCTATTAATTTAAAATTGATGCTAAATCGAGTTGATCTATATCCTCCTGCATTAATTGATGGCCCCAACGAATGCTGAGTAGAAGACCAAGTGATTTGGGTTCGAAATTTTTGAGGACTTTCATAAAGAGTCCATTGCTGTACTTCATTTTCATTAATGGCAACTAGGATGATTTGGGCTCGAAAACCAATGAACGTGAACAGAGATGCAATTTGCCTCGAATTCTGAATTGGGAATCGACATATATACAAATATGTTACTCATCACTTCTCGCACTGGGTATTAGTGCCACTTTGAGGGAGAGGAAATATTGTTCTTGTGTCTCAAGATGCAGCAGATTGAAACTCTTCTTGGGCTTCTTGATTGAGTTGATGGAGGGGAACATTTTAAATTAATTAAAATAATTGGTTAAATTATGTGTGAATAGATGATGGTCATATGTATGTCATTAAATTGAATGTGAATTCAGGAGTGCTCAACCCTAAATCAGGTGTTGATATTGGCTAATTTATTGCTGAATATTTTTTAATAATTATTATTCTAATAGCAAATGTCTAATGATTATGAAAAAAAGAGGTCTGCCCTAACAGTATCCACAGCGTCTATCGATGCGTATTCTGATGAGTTGAAAAGGATTGAAAACAAAAATGATGTACAACCCATGAAAGGATGGATGAAGAAGAAAAGCCCTGCCCTCCTCAAAGGTTGGCAAAAGCGTTACTTCATGCTCATTGAGAACATGCAGGAAGGACCCTGGAAATTGGTGTATTTTGACAATGATGTAAATCAATAACTTGAATGTAGAAAACCGACACTAAGCCTAATGGTGCCTTTGATTTATCAACCATTACCTCCATTAATTAGATCTCGAAAAAAGAATTCACTATTTAATTTCCTGGCCGAAATCTAGAATTAAAAGTTAAAACTCCTGAATTGTGTCAATAATGGATTACCACTCTTAATGGTCTCAGAACAGCACCTTCCCCTCAGAGAACAAAGAGATAAGTCAGCATGGATTCAGTAGTAAAGATGGCAGACGAGAGTCCCACCAAGGGTATGAATTTTCTCATCTTGTAGCATAAAACCATAAGATTGTGGATACGTACACAGCCCAATAGGCACAAGTGTATAAGGAGAAGCAACGCAATTCTCTACTCATAGACTTATCCAAGGGAGATAAGAAGATTAAGGAGAAGCAAAACACTCAGCAATTATCAAATGAGAAGATGCTCGAACTAATTGGTTTGAAGGAATTCATAAAAAATATGAATGAGCAGTTCATCTATCAAAGAATGATTTACGGCTATTTGGGGAAAAGAAGCAAAGGAAAAGTAAAGTACTTTTAAAAAAGATGGTTTATCCTTGTATCAGCCAAACCTTTGGTATTTATTATTTAGATTCCTAGTATTCAGATTACAATGATGAAAAGATATTGCAGGAATCCCAACTGCCTCCCTGGCTAGAATTAGATACTATCACTTATTTCAAACAGAAGGAAGAAGGGAAACCTCCAAAAGCCAAGGGTGATGTGAAGATGTTGGATTGCTAAGAAATTATAATCAAAAACATGTCCAAATCAAAGGAAAGTGGATACACCTTCAAATTAAACATGGGGGACAGATTATATCATCTCATGGCTGATTCTGAATTAGAACGTACTAAGTGGCAAACTGCCTTAAGTGCATCTATCAGGATAACAAAAGAAATTAATAATCCATTAAAAATTAAAATTAAAAAGAATATTGACCCCTTAATCCAATTATATGACGAAGAAACTCAATTAATCGCAAGAAGAGAAAAGATTAGACAGAAATTAGAGTAGGACATTGCAGTCATCTTGAAGGAAGAAGCCGTTGATCTAAATAAGCTGATTAGTTAATTGACTGATTTGAGATAAGACATGTTGGAATCAATGTAAGCAAGCATTGTGAAAGATCCTCAAAGAAAGGACATTGTAAAGGAATACACTGACATTTATCATGAAAGGATATGTGAAAGGATTACTAAGTTTTGGGATCAGAATTACATGAAGTTACAAGTACTTATGAATTCTCATTTTTATAGTCTCCAGAATTATTACTCTTAGGATAATGGTTACATGATTATTTGTTACAGATGAAGGATTTCTTTAATGATGATCGTATTCTCCTGGGAGTTGGAGTGCTCCTGAACATCTATGTGAATCGATCACTTGAAAGTATGGAATCAGTCATCTATTAAATAATTGAACAGGAAAGAATTCAAGAACCATTCTTGAATGATTAAGAATAATTGGTTACCTAAACTCCTGTTGATTTGTTCAAGATTATAAACGAAGGCTTCGATATGGCATATAAATTATGTTCATGTAAAGAAACTGTACTTAGATTCGGAGGTTTTGGCAAAGTTATCCTATAATAGTATTAAGGAGGGATTCAAGAAATCATTGATGAATATTAACTCTCCGTTGCTAAGTTTGTTGCCATATGTAACAATACAATGGCTCTGTATGATAATACTAAACAATATTCAAAACGACTTCAAACTTTTGGCAATTTAAGTGACGAAGAGGTTGAAAAAGTATTTGATGGACAAAAAATCACTAAGAACTTTGTTTAAATAGCCAACAATTGCAGAGAAAGAATCTTCATATTTTATTTCAGTCGTGTTGGTACTCATTTTAAAAAGCCTTATCTCGAAATTAAGATCATAGACACTCTGAAATCCATTATAGAGCCAGCCACAGAAGCTTTATCCTAATTGCACGACAGTTTTAATAGAAAACTCTGGAAATAACTCACTGATTCCATTATACTCTACTATTTTAACTAGTTCATCATTTCTTGTAGCAAGGCCAAAAAGGAATAATAAAATGAATTCATTAGAAAATTAGAAAATGATAAAGAAATCTTATTCTAAGAATTAGAAACATTTATATTTGAAAAGTAATTATAAGCAACTCTGAAGCCTTTTGATGACATGATATCATTCTTGAATGAAGAATCTCTAAGTATCTTAGATCCATGCAAAAGCTTAAGGTAGTATTTTGGTAGGGCATTTTCTGAAAAAACAATCAAATCCATTATGACTCTAAGGTTTGATTTGGACAAGGAACAGAAGAAAGATACTATTGAAATCTGTAAGAATTTAATTGATGATATCAATAAAACTTAACCTATTGAAGAAGACACTGTTAGAATTATGGATTTTCTAGGTTAAGAGGATGAAGAGTAAAATAACACTTAAACGCAATAGCAAGAATAAGTTTAGAGAAGAGCAGACATCCGATTAGATTTTAATGACAGTGAAATTTAATAAGTATACATATCAACTAATATTGTAGATCCCTTAGCAATAGTAAAAGCGAGCTTCAATTGAAAAAGAAGAATTCATAGATGAAGGTTATTTATATAAGAAGAAACCCAAATCAAAGGCTTGGGATTATAGATTTGTTAGAATCAGAAAAGGGTTTATGTACTGGTATATCAATTCAAATTCAAGAGAAGCATAGAACAAAATCAATCTTTAAAGTGTAGATGAAGTCATTCCCAACCCTAAAAAGTCTACTAATTTTAAGATCTAGTTAGAAGATTCTAAGATATATAAGTTTAAAACACAAACAAAGGAAGAATGTGAATTGTGGATCAAAACTATATTGAGAGAGCAGAATCAAACTGAAGTGGCAATTATCACTCTAGAAGCTATTGTACTAATTGTTATAATGTTAGTAAATTGGAAATGGGAAATTGCCAATCATCAAAGACTATGATGAAATAGCCAGGAAGGAAAGATAAAGATAGAAATAAGAAGAAAGAAAAAGGAAAAGAATTGAGAAGGAAAACGAGTAAATATCACACTTATAATAATAGATTTAAAAAGAAATAAATGGAATTGAAATTACTGTAATAGCAGTAATTGAAAGAACTAGGAGATAAGCCATAACCTCATTAAGTAGATGTATTTGAATAACAAATGGGAACGGTATAGAATTGATGTGATGTATTATTAGGGTGATTCCACCAAAAAAACTACTTCTTGTTGGACTTCATTTTTGATAGCTTTAGGAGTTGAAAGACCTAAGTGATTATTATCATAACTATTGATAATAACTATTTTACATAAACTTAGAAATTTATACTTTTTTATTTCTATTATTTTGTCATTTAAATGAAGGTCTTTTTATTTGATAATAAAATAAAAATGAATCCAACATATATATGCTAAGAACCTTAATGCGATCTACAAACATATCATTCTGATCACACTTGTTTCAATGTACAAAATTTAGAATGCTATTACAATGAATTGTTTCGTTCGAATATCATTTTGGATCTTAACTTTTATATCTCTCAAATATAACTACTCAAAGAGGTTCTTGATAAAATCAAAACTACTTTCTAAGATAAATTGCAGACTCAATAATAATAATATAATTTATTGTTTAATGAATGTCAAAAACACAATCCAAATTGGAAAGTATTAGCCCAGAATTTGGAAATGGGAGCAGATGGGCTGAAATAAAAGATTGATTGTGCAGAAATACTCTACAAGATTGGCAATCTATTGAGATTTTGCTAAAATTTTTATAATTAAAATACGGGAACAAAAAAATCTGAGGGTAGAATCAAAATCAAAATCAATACTCCCACATAATCCTAAACGATAGAAGAGGAAATCAAGTCCATTGAAGTTAAGGCTAAATTACAAGAAATAATATCTGTAAGAAATGCATCAGAAAAAACAATCATCTAACTCGAATAAATATAATCAGATTCAGCTCTAATTTTATTTGAAAACAATTTGTTGCTTAACTTTAATCTAAAATCGCAGTGTATTAGGTAAGAAATCCCATGCAAATAATTTGATTACTTGGACAAAAAACTTGTAATCCAATATAATAATCTGCTTCAATTCTATCTCTTTGATCCTACAAAGAAGATGCTTGTTGAGGTTAGAGATTTGTAAGTCTTAGATGCCATTTGGTTCAAGTTAATATAATTTGATTTGATTTATCAAAGATCCAATTTAAATTTTTATAAAAAATCACTCCAAAACAATGAAGAAGTTCTAATACTGTAATGGAACTCGAATATTAAGACAATTAATTTTATATTTCAAAATAAATTAGCCTTATTCTATCAAAAATCATTTAATGTCTATAGTCTCAATAATTTAACTTAAATAGAATGGCATTTAAACATCAATGAGAATGTCTAAGAAATCAAATAGAATAGTAACGATTATTTAGTATTGATTTGTATGACTCAGTTATATATGGTATCAATTGAGAAGAAATCTATTGTGAAAAGGTTCAACTTCGAACAACCAAATTGCTTGATCATTCCTAGTCCTGTTATTCCATATTTGTTCCTGATTGCAAGTAGCGGAAGCGTCTATTAATCAAAAATCTATTTTCACAACACAAAATAAATCTTATCAAATATTGTAAGTCAACACCCTACTGCTATTTTCATGGATGATCAAACTATATTGGTAGGTGATGATTTGGGATTCCTCTAAAGATTTAAATACTCGTTAGGAGGATGAGCAATTTTCATTTTATTCTTAAAATATAACATATTAAAAATTGATTAAATTATGTTTAATTTTCCTTTAATTAACTTCAAGTAGGATGACTTTTCAAATGCTTTTTATAAGGAAGCTTAAGCCTTAAATACTGGTTAATGGATAGAACACTATAAACTTAAGTCCGGAAAAGATTTTAGTCTAATTGCCCTACAATAGATTTGTAGATTATACTAATATTATTAGACAATTCGGAACTTTGGACAGGGCTCTTTAAAATTACCTCACTTTTTAATTTAGATTAACGAATTTATTAAAAGTTTTGCAAATATGAAGGAAAATAACAATATTGTAAGATATCAAAAAAGTTGGAAGATTTTTTCTTAGTAATGAATTCAAATTTAAGTTTAATTCATTACAACATTCCCAATAATGAAGAACTTGAGATTAAAGCCAAATAAGACTATTTAATTGAAGGATTAAAGCTTATCGATAATTAGTCAATCATTGTGTTACTTTCGAGAAGCAAAAAAAAAAAGGATATTGAAATAGAATTAAGAAGTATCTAGAATTCAAAAGTGTTATTGCAAGTCTATAGTTTATGTTCTGATTGGAATATAGAACACCTCTCTCTTTAAAAGATTGATCTAAACAATATGATGGCAGTTACTATGGAACAACACTTTATCTAGGATTATTTAATATATATCAAACACATAATCAATAAAAAATTCGTAAAGATTCAGATAATTAACACCTTTAATAATCATTTTGTTAATAGCAAAATTTATACATTACAAGGCGTAGATTGTATGTTCTCATTCAATAACTATTCAAAAGTGTTTAAATTGTAAATTATGATGCATCAAAAAATATTGAGATAATTAAGTATGAGATATTGTGAATTTTACCACGTTTTTGATAAGAGAATAATTATAATAGGTGAAAAAGTAGGTTTTGCTAGATATAGAGTATTTCGATATGATATAAAAACAGGAAATTAATTTGATTTTTGTTAAAATGATGATATTATTAGAAATATTTAAAAGTTAAAGTTGGAAATGAATATATTATCTCTATGTAAATATATTTGGTAACAAAAAAATTAAGTTTAAGATTCAATGATTAATTTGCAGGAGAATAATAAAAATTGAATTTAAAATAAATTAATTTTATTATTAATGTAAATTCTTCTCATCAATTCAATATGAGGTATTATTATGTATTAATAAATTTATATTCAAATCATTATTCTAGATGATTGAGATATGATGTTACAAGTATTTTATAATAAATTTAAATAATTATTATGTTCCAAAGTAACTCTTTAAAAGATAGACTGAAATGCAAAATTGAGTTTGATTAAGAGGAAGAGAAGCCAGAAATAACTAGTTTGAGTCTAGTGGATGATGTGATTAAATTTGAAGATAGATATGAAATTTTATAAGTACTGGGTAATAATGTCATTTATCTTCAGGCGAGGGAGCACATGCCATAGTAAAATTGGCAAGGAGGAAAGAAACCAATGAGTTGTATGCAGTGAAAATAACAAGAATGAATAATGAAGAAATATATAATAATGTGAAGAGAACATTTTATAATGCTCGCTGTTTGAGACATCAAAACATTATTCAGGAAATTGAATTATTTATAAATGAAAAATATTGCAGTGCATGTTTGGTTATGGAATATTGTCCTTTTCCAACATTATAGTAAATCCTAATAGAGAGAGGAACTTTGAGAGAGGATGAAACTAGATAAATCATCAAGCAGCTGTTAACAACCATTCAATACATACATAATAAGGGAATAAGTCACAGAGATATTAAACCTGATAATATCTTGGTAAATTTAGAAGGCGATTGCGAATTAAAATTACTCGATTTCGGTGTTTCAAGACGGTTTTTATCAAAAAATAATCACATCGAAATGCTAACCAAAACAGGCAACATCTATTACTGTGCTCCTGAAATTTATCATCAACCACACTACTCAAAAGAAATTGACATTTGGAGTATTGGGGTCGTTATGTTTTAATGTATGACTGGTCAATTGCCATTGCATGAAAATACGATGAGCGATCAAATTTAATTGTTAAAAACCCCAGAATTATGGAATTTCAAGAATAAGGTCAAGGATGAATCGCTTAGTGCTTAGAATCTATTATTTAGACTTTTATCGGCAGATCCAAAAAAACGGATTACTCCAATGGAAGCATTAACGCATCCATTCATAGAAAAAAATCATATTTATACAACGTTGGCTATGTTGTCATCAACAAAGATATTTGAAGACGATGACGGATTCGCAAATAAGTGCAAGTCTTTATAGACCAGTTTATCGATTAATCAGAAATAGAATCTGCATCGAGCATTAAAGACCTTGCATCTTGGAATAGAATATTAAGACATAGTTATAGAAGACTTAATTTAGGAGCTTGGCAATATTCATGTAGTTTAAAAAAGGAATGGAGAACATTATTCAGGTCTGATTTAATTAATTAATTCTCTTGGTAATAGTTCAGGCAACAATCAAACAGAAGTCTAAAACAGCAGTGGACAATGCAATTTAGAGATAGGATCTTCACAAAGCATATGTATTGAAATATCCTATAGAATTAGTATCTACTGAAAATTATACATAAGATTGTTTTGGAGAGCTTTGTAATATGTAATCTAGTGTCGATCTTGGTATTACAGGAAATACAAGCAACAATATTCAAAATGAGGACAAGAAGAAATAATCATCAATAAATTAATTTGCAACCGAAATTGGTAGCAAGATTGAATGCAGTATCGACATTAATTTGGTTGAGTAAGAATTTGGATCAAACAATAAATAAAATCAATTTATTTCAACTCTAGATGTTTTGGGAATAAAAGAATGTAAAGAGGAAGTAGAAAATACAATATGATATGATTAATAATTCATTTTTTCTTCATTTCTTGGTTTGTTACTAAATTAATAATAAATTTGTATTTATACGTTAACGAAAAATTCAGAGAATATTTATTTCATCTAAACACCTTCTCCAAACCTAGGGGAAATTATAGTGATTGGTTTATTCCTGGGACTGTTCTAATCCAAGGTGTTCACAAACCCTTGTGAAGAATTAGCCTATTTAAATATTTTTATGCCATTTTTATTTTACTTTTTTGGTACCTTATCAAATTACGTTTTCTTAGTCTAAATTTAAAAAATGAGTATTACAGGTTTGTATTTTTTGCCAGATGAGGGTGATAATATTGGATTCCTTGATTGTTAGCAAATTTTTGGTTTCTAATTCATAGGGGGTGAGACTGATTTTTGAGTGATTTCTGTATGATATGTACGAATGGATGATTTCCATTCTTTTTCAATGGATTCTCCTCTTGGGTAATACTTTTTCAAATGGAAATCATTTCTGTGCATCATAGTTTCGTAGTTTTATGGGCCTCTTGAGCTATGGATATTCTTTTTAGGATCATTGATAGTATCGATATAACTATAGATGGTTTTTTTGAGAGAAGTCTTGTGTTGAGATTGATTTCCAATTTGCTCATTGCTATTAACTAGAACTTTTTAATTCAACAGTTGTGAACTATTGATTTTATGATGTCCTTTCATTGACTTGCTGGATTCTTTAGGTTAATGATTGCAATAAACACTGTCAGTGATGTGTTTCAAACCAGAAATGTGAAGTGAATACACTGACATATAATTAATATAATAAGTGAATGGATTTTAAAACTCGATTCTAAGGCAGAACTACTACAATGGATAAAAATGGTGTCATAGGGATAGTATCAAGGGCTTCATAGCCAATCAACAAGTAAAGCGAGGCTCCCATCATCACAAGCAACGTGAATACGTATTAAAATCCTCCATCATACTATTTTCAGAAGTTCCAAAAGAATGCTCAGAAAGTGTTATAATCGGATACGGATATTGATTTAACACCCTCAACGAGATCTGATTATCCCTCTTATAAATTTAGACATGACTTCCAAAAATTGAATATGGATGAATATGAAATTGTTGCAATACCAAAAAAGGTTTTGGAAGGTGAGAAATATTCAATGACTCACTCCTTTGTTCCACTCATGAGTAAGGGAATGAATTACATGCCGAATTCTTATGTGGCTCAGAGTTAGCAGCTGATGAAAACTCACTCAAATAACAGTTATTCAAGATAGTTGAAGAATGCTAATCCAATTCAGAATGCAAATCCTTTCATTCAGGCAGGATACGGAGCACTGAAACAAAAATAGTTATATTTACAGAATCTAAAAAAGTGATTTTGACTCAGACTATTTATTGTTATAAATATCAAAACAGTTATAAGTTACATATCTCCTTGTTTTCAATCCTCGCTTTTTGTATAATTGCATAATATTAATAATTAATGTAATCTGTTGATTTTGCAAAGCAAGTCCTTGGAGAACCGCTGCGTTGCATTGTCAGAATAAAGCCGCCTTCCAATTTTCAGAAGGAGGATGTGCGAATCAACAATTAGCAAATTCTACTTACTGACAACAATAGAAGTATTATCCATCATTGATTATCAATCCTCTAGTTTTGGAAGAATTCGAATGTCCTGAAGCTTATGGGCCTGAATTCTCGATGCATCAAATCTACGAGTAGTTCCTGCAATAATTTACGGGTCCCTTCATCCAAGGATTGAACGTAAACATATTCGCATATGGGTAGTGAAATTAAAAATAACACTTAGATCTACAGGAGCAGGCAAAACGTAAACTATCGAAGGGAACAAGAAAGAACATGGACTTATATTGAACTATGCATCCTCAATATTCTCGTTATTAGAAAACAAGAAATTTCATACCAATCAATCTTAAGCATCCTAACTTGTTAATTATTCATACGGACTCAGAGCCAGATACGTTGAAATCATAGATGAGGAAGTGTCTGATCTATTTGCCCCTCCCAATAAACGATTGAATGATCAATTACAAATCTTAGATCATGCATGGGAAGGCCCCACAATTGCCAATGCCACTTGGGTGACTGTCAACAATGAAATCCAATTATAAGAAGCCCTTAACAGTGGACAAAGAAACCGCAATCAAACTACCAATGAATTTGGTAAAGTGTCTAACAAGGCAACATCCTTCTTTACGTTGGAACTACTACAAAGTTCACTCTAAAAAGACACCAATGAACCATTGATTATGTTATCCAGACTATGTTTCTTTGATTTAGCAGGATCTGAAGTTCTGATTGACGACCCAGAAACCATAAGAATCAAACAGGGATCCACCTTGAACAAATCCATAATTTCATTTACTCAATTACTCAAAGAACTGGGATAGCCATAAACTGCAGATCATGCTGCTTATGATACTTCTGCTCTTACTTCAATTGTGAAGGAGCTCGTCGGTAGTAATTCACTTTCTATTGGTATCTTTTGTGTATAGCATGGTGATCCAAAAGGAACCAGTTTGACTCTAAACATTTACAAATACTGCAAGAATATCAAAAACTTCCCAATAGTCAATGATAGCAAGGTGCTAGGTCTATTGCATAAATTTCGATTGGAATGCTAAGCAGCTAGATTGTCTGGGAGAGGAGGGTATGGAGATACTGGAAACAATAAGATGTTGGAGTTGGAGAAGAAATTGATTGAGGATAATTTGGATAAAATGAGGAATGCAGATGAAAAACAGAGAATGGCTTAGAAATTATCAACAATGAGGGAGAAGTATAATGAAATTGTGAGATAGAAGGCAGAATTGTAGTAGGAGTTGATTAGGAGTGAAGAGGAGAAATTAGAAGTCTCTAAGGCTTTGGTGGAGTTACAAATTGAGAATACAAGGTTGATGGAAATTATATAGAATGAGAAGTATGATATGAATAATAAATTGTTGAATGCAGAATCAGACTTATTATCCTTGAATATAAGGGAGGAGAAAGCCTTGAAGTCTATTTAGGAGTTGTAAGATAATTTGAAAGAAACCAAGGATGACAAAAGAGCCTTGGAGATCGAATTTGTTGCTCTCAAAAAGAATTACATCAACATCTCTACTGCTTTGGAAACTGAGAAAGCCAAAAGCGAGAACATAGGATTAGAATTAATTAATGTAGTTAATGAAAACAAATCTCTTCATCAAGAATTAAATGATATCTACAAGAAATCTGGAAATACAAACGAAGAAAATGCTAGATTTATGAAGAAGTATACTTATCATTTAGTTTAGAATTGAAAAATTGGAGCAAGAAAACCGAGAACAGAGAGAAGCTCTCATTTATACCAAGGCTGAAATTGAGAGATTGAAAACAGAAATGCTTAAATACGAAATCCTAGATTAACAACATAGAATCGATCTAGATAACAAGAAGTTGGAAATTGAAAAAGGATTTCTTGAAGCAAACAGAGAAAAACAGAATGAAGTCTATAAAATGAATAGAGAATAAGACGATGCTGTCAAAAAAATGAGAGATGAAAAATTACTATGGGAAAGTCAAAAAATGGAGTTGACTCATAAAATCAAAAGCATGTAAAGGAGAGTCAATGATGAAGAAGAAAGAGTTAAAGAATTAGAAAGATAAGTATAAGAATTGCAATCAGAAAACTAAAAAATGGATCTACAAATGAATGAAATGAGATCACTCTATCGAAATAAACTTATGCAATTTGCTACAGATGGTAAACCAGATAAAGCAAGCAGAATCGGATATGATTTCAATGCCAGAGAAGATCTCATAAGGACATATACTGAAAAAGAAATTGAATTGAATGAAAGATTGGAAAGAGAAAAGAAAAACTCAAAATAAGCCTCATTACAAGTCCGATAACTCAAAAGCTATGCCAGGAATCTAAAATATCTTTGTGAAGATTGGGCTCCAGTAGGAATTCCTTTACCAGATATACTCACAAAAGATGTTACCTTCCTAGATGATGAAACCTATGGCACTTTACAAGGAGATCATATGGCTGAAATTGAAAGATTGAGAATGAGGAATAAAAAACTGGAAAATGAAGTTAGAGTTCTATAGGAAAATATCATGAATGGAGTTGGAGGAGGTAGTATGGATTTAAGCAAAAGAATATCTAATGAAATGGAAATGTTAAAATAAAATAGAAATAAGCAATCAATTGACGGAGACTTTTAGATTGATCAATTGAGAAAAGAAAGAAATGATTTACAAGAAGAAAATAGAAGATTAGTGACATTATTGAAAGATAATAAAAAGTGGGATGTTTACATCTTATAGAGAGAAAATGAAAGGTTAATGAGACAAATGAAAGAATAAGAAGTAGGATTAAATTCAGTTGGACCTATGTCTGGAGAAGCAAAAGGGGTGTAATAAAAGGTATAATATATTCCTTCTAAATTCTAGTTACAATTGTATGAAAGATCACTTAAACAATTAGAAAAAGAGAGGTCTGAACTGATCGTTAGAGCTACAATGGCTGAAGAGCAGCTTAAAGCATTACAGGAACATCTAGCTAAATAAAGCTAAGATTATTAGAGAAAGCTTTTGGAAATTAAAAGAGGTGGTAACATATTCTGATCAAATTATAATTATTTTATTATAACAAATGGACTTAAATATAAACATTAAGTATAAAAATATGTCAATTCTACTTGTAGTAGCCTAAATTAATAGGATGACCACTTTCCCTCAAATTCTCAATAATTTAATATTTTCTATTTACATTGATGAACAGAAGTGATAATTCATAATTATTATTCTTACATCAATATTTTTATTAAGAAATTGTCTTTATAATTTTATGAAGTAATAAGTTAATTAATATTTTTAATTCTGAATTATCAACAAAATATCATAAAAATTTATTATCAAAGCAGATTGAAAAATGCGAGGGTTGCATTTAATAAACCTGAACATTTGATTAATTCTTTTATGTTAGTCTTTTTCAAAAAAATTACTAATAGTATTAGCTATATTCTTACATGATGGTTTTGTTTTAAATTACTGAATTCATATATTGAGTTGCTTCATCAAGTCAATCATCTATGTCTTAAACACAATTACGCATGTATGAACAGAATTATGAAAACTTAAATAAGTAACATTAATTTCTATTTGAAATAATATTCATTATCTAAGTCTATAATAAAATGAGATCTCATAATGAAGATGGTAACTATTAGTCTATAATTAGTACTACACAAACTAGATTTCGAGAAAATTATTAAAAATCCTCCTAAAACCAATATTGAAGAATGCTTAAATCCTCCCTCTTTAGATGATAGCTCTTCGTTAGTTAAATCAAACTTATTCGATCTTAACTTGAAAGAAATTACGTAATAATAATAAATTAATCAATTCCTCATTGAGAATTGCGAGAAATGGATAGAAACTTAAGAATCCACTTAATAGCCAGCATCGCTTAAATAAAAATATATCAAAGAAAAATTTTCACCGTTTTCTCAACTTATTAAGATTCTCGTTTTTCTTAAATATCTGATAGATTTTTTTAGCATTTTACTCAATATTTTTTGCGGATTATGTATCCCTCTTCTTAATCTCATTGAAGACTATGAAAATATTAGAATTACACTGTATTTCCTAATAGCTTTTCATTTTTTCACCATAATAATTTAAAATCAATTCTCCTACTTATAACTTATCAAAACAAAACGATCACTTTGTGAATAAAAATTCTGTTTTTTAAATGAAATTACTCTAAAAAATATAGCAGTTATAATTTTGATATTAATTTACCTTATAGAAAAAGTCGATTTGGTGCTTGAAATAATTTCACTGTATTATTTTAATTAGGCATATAATATGATTGAAATATTTACTATTTTGTTAATTATTTAGAGAAGTAAATTATGAATATTAAATAGATTAGAAAAATGTTATAAAACACTGAGTATTTAGAAAGCAATCGTTTATTATATTTACTTTCTACATCTATTTTCAAGTTTTTTTCAAAAATCTAAATGCGACGGGAACTTTTTACTTAAATATCAATAGTCCTTAAATATCAACATTAACTTTTTGACCTTCTAATCTAATTATGATCTCTAAGATTCTACATAGAATTTCGATGTGATAGTTAATTAGTTAATGGCGCTACTGTTAATGTTTTATGCAATAAATAATTTAATTTCGATTAAATCTAATCAAGGTTATATTCAAAATTAAATTAAATTTGATGTTCATGTATTACAATATTACTTTTGGCACCATAAAGGATAAATCTTAAAAAAATTGCAACGTTACTCATAAATTTCGAATAGAGAAATTAAGAAGGCATAAGTATTTCATTATTTTAATATAAGTTGCCACAATAAGCAATAATTAATAAAATATATTTTTAAATTTTGAAAGATAATTTAAAGGTCTTAGCATTATTTTCAAAATAATTTAAGATAAGTTTGTCTTAGAAAGTGCAATCAATTCGAAGAAACAAAGAGAAACCAATAGAGGGTAAAAATGGATTGTATCTCATTTTGAAAGGGAAAGGATACTAGAATCTCAGAACAAAATTTAAATGCTAACAATAAATAGAATCAAAATAACCCTTATTTGGGCTAATTAATTGCTTCTAGAAGAACATTTCTGATGTTGAATTAGAATTGGACGATCATTTTTTATTGCTCTATATCAAACAAGAAGACTTTTAATCAAGTCTATCACTTAATTAAGATATTGTATAATATTCAAATAAGGTTAGGAATCGTTTCATCTGATAAAAAATAAAATCATTTTTGAAGGAGAGACAAGTCTATTAGATTATAGATGTTTGATCTGTAATCAATATCATTTAGAAAGAAGATGTAAAGTTCTAAAATTAGAAGTGGATCCTAGAGTGCTTAATGAACAAAATATTCGAATGAATTTTAAGAAGAGATTGATGAAGAAAAGACAAAAAGCCTTTAAGACATATGTAAAATTCAATTTGAATAGCATTTTAGGCGATTCACAAATAGAATAAAGATACCATAGATTGGAGTGAGAGCAGTGTGAATGATAGTTGTGAGTAATTTGAAATACATCCTGAAGATGGTAGCACAAGTCAAAAAGTTACAGATAAAATGTGTAATTCTATTACAAGTAAAGGAAATGTACAATTTTCTGTTATTTAAAAAGGATGGATTTGCAGATTTTAATAAACTTTATGAAAAATTTAGGAATAACCATACATAACAATAGGCGTCTATTCACTCAAGTTAATATATCGGAGAAATGATTCGTTCTGATTTTCGAAGCATTCCTTTACAATCCTCTTAATATAAATTCTAAGATATATAAACTGTTGATGACATTGATTGTCTTAAAGAGTATACATATTTTTATCCAGAATTCAATATCGGCTATATCATATCGCTTTTTGAAAATTGAAATTATTAAATATTCTAATATTTCTTTAATATCTTAATAGTTTTGTTATATTTTGAATGTAGTTATATACGTATATTCTTTGAAAGATTGAAAGAAACTAAATTAAAGAAAGGCTTTTAATTGACTCATATATTTTTAAGAGAAAATTTATCACAAAAGCAATTTTAATGCTATACTCATCTTTTGAGTCTTCAATATATGTTAATCCAGTTAATTTATTTAAGGTAATTATAACTAGTCTTAAGTCAAATTAGTAGAATGCAACTCAATACAATTTAATTCCTTAATTATTTGTTGCTTTGGAATAGTAGTCTTACATTTTTTGGAATATTTTGAATTTGTAATTGTAGTTGATTCTTTATAAAAATATTATTTATATTCAGTTATGAAAAAAGACGATGCTCTAATAATTTTGAAGAAATACACTACATAGGAGGATTGTCTATTTTGTTAGAAATATGGAAGAGTAACAACTGATAAAATTAATTTTGCTCCTCTTCTCAATCGAGTAAGAAACTATCAATAGCAATTAGGCTTTGTACACTAAATATTCTTAATCTTAATGGAATGGAAAAAAATATGAGGATTTATTTTCTACGAAGCCAGTATCATGGGTCATTCAATTCAAGGATCAATTAACATTTGAAGATCTTGATGAATTTCTCAAAAGGTATAGAAGAAAAAAATATGTGTGTTTATTAGGTTTTATCCGAAGAGCGATCAATAATCTAAATTTGATTAATTGTTAGAATACTATAAGTATCACAAGGATGTTCCAAGAATGTTTTTACCAAGGGTTTCTGATTTGGCAATCTATTTTTATGAAAAAAAGAAGTAAATTAATTTTAGATTAGCACTTTAGATAGATAGAATACAGAAAGATAAAATTCATGCTGGGCATTCCTGTTGAAGACGCTAGTAATTGTACCTGTAATCATATAGAAATAATTAGAATATGAGAAATTGAAAGAAGATATCAAAGTATTAAATAGCATAACTCAGCAGACTTAAGTTTCTAGTCTTTCCCTATTAAGAGAAATTTTGAAATCCAAGGCCAGCGATGAAATAATTGTAACCATATATATAAATATCCATAGAATATCGATGCCACATGGATGACTATGAATTAGTAACAGCAGTAAAAGTGTTAACATCCCCCTAACTTACAATTGCTTAAATAACTAATTTCCAAAAATACTCAATACTACAAAGACAAATAAAATATTTATGTTGCTGGAATAAGCAAGAAGGCCATTCAAAATTCACCTTAACAAAAAGGGCATCTTAAGACTTTAAGTAAGGAGACATCCCAAAAATCATTACTTTCTACCAATAAAATAATTAACAATAGTAATGGAGATACGGACTTATAGAAATTCTTAAAGCAACAGATTTTAACCATCAATCATGCAAATCCATGCATATCTAGTTCAAAATAATCATCTGCTAAAGCAAATCACATATCCAATTACCAATCTAAACAAAACAGCATCCATTACATTACTAGCACTCGGAGTATATCTTCAGAGTAATTAAAATTAATACAATCATAATAACCATTGAAACAAAGCAATAGTCCTAATTTAGTTATTCCATCACACAAGAAAAGTTAGACACAAACTCACTACACTGAGATAAATTCACCTAATAAGCATTAGAAATAAATCTCTATGAAAATGCATACAAATATGGGATAAGACCTTAAATAATAATTAACTCACACAAAATCTTCTGAAAAGCTTTTTAAAATATATACTACCCAATCCTCTGTACCTTTATCGGCAAACATCAATATCAATATTAATCAACTTAATATGAACAATTTAAATATTAAGACTCCCTTTCAACAATACAAAGCTCTGCTTGATAGTCCCAAAATGAATACTAAATAAAAAACACAATCTAACTTTGAAACTCAACGGATTACTAGTGCTCAAAAGAGTTTGAGTTCTTAGAAAAAAACCTAAATCTCCGTTTAATAGTTATATGTTTAAAAAATAAAATCTAAAAATAAAACAATGAAAAAATGATTTACTTTTTGTAGAATTTAAAAATAATTAATATTATTCTTCCTTTATAATTATTAGATAATTGGATTTATCCATTTAGGATATTTGAGATTCATTTTAATTTAAATCAAATATTCTTAGAGATTCTTAAAATGAAGTACTTTCTTATCTAAAATACTCTGATTCAATTTATGCTCCTTTTAGAATATTTTCTTATTCTCATAAACAAAGAAAAAGTAAGCATCAAATATATTGATTCATCTTAACCTTCTATAATATTGAGAATACTTAAAATGTTTATCTATAAAATCAAATATGAGCAGATCAATTAAGATACAAAAAAGTATTCAATAAATTAGAAATGAAACTCTAATATGAATTTCATATAATGTAAATAGTATATCGAAATATTAAATAATAATTAGAGTATGTATTTACAATCTTGTTATTTTTGTAACATCTGATATGGAATTAATAAGAAAATAGACCAGAACAATAGGAAAAACTATATTTTATCTATATAAAATCAGGATTAATACTAACATATGTAATTAAATGTAGTATTAAATGAATCACTTCCATACAGGTTTACTGTTGATGATTGATTGTATGAAAGTCTCATCAGTTTTCAATTATCCAGGGGAGGGGTGTCTAAATCCTTTGGTTTTGTTTGTTTGAATTAATTAGGTCAATTTAGGAGCATTGTTACCTGAGAAATAGAATAATGAAACTACCTTTTACAACAGGTGAGAATTGACGATATGGAAAGGGCATTGGTTTTGGTATATTTATCGGAGGTTGAATTTCAGGCTATCTAGAATAGAGAGTATTTGTACACATATGCAGATCGAGGTCTGTCTGTAGGATCTCTTTTTTGTTACTTCAGAGATTGAGATTTTCCTGATTATTTCAGTTTCTGTTCTTAATGTTTTTTTAGACTATCATTTTATTGTCGTTTGATAAGACTATTACTTGGTTTGGTTAACTAATGGTTTTCCCTGGAATTCAGAATGGAATTACATTTTTCAAGTTCTTCTTTTAGAGTGACATAATTATTAACTGTAACATGATAGATATTTCCATCAATATTATTTTGACTATTTAATTTAACAGCATGTTTTGGATTTGTCTATTTCATTTTTTTAAATGATTTTTTAGCTACAGATTCATCTGCCCAAGAGATAGCTCTAATTCTATTTTCATTGAGATATTAGTTGAATATTCTTCTATCTAACCAGCAAGAATCAGCTGGACTAGACTTAGCATTCATAAATGTATTCCTGAGAAGTAGTTCATCCTCTTCTAGTGGTAGATCCTGCTCTTCATTAGGTTACCACGAACTGGATAGACCTCCTTGCCCCTTCTTACTTAATTTGGATTCCAATTAGGATAATTAATGGTAGAAATTAGCCCTAATTTCAAGATCTGGCCTTCTAGAGTTGAGAAACTCCAAAGTCTTATATAGTTTCCATTTATATTTTCTCATAAAGTAGGCAGTAAGTGCACAACAAGAACGAGATTGACCTCTCACTGAGTGAACCAGAACTGATTCTCCATTGTTATGTGCTTATTCAATAAATTGATAGATTTCATTAGCAGTATCATTTGGAAAAAGTATTTACTTATTCATGATATATAGGATGTACTTGTTCATTCTCTAGCCAATTAAATTTAAGATAGATAACACCGTAGTTTTCGAATACGCATGGTAATTGTTTGGCTGCACAGTTAATGATTCGAGTTACTTTGTTCTGGATGACAAATTCAAGATCCTTTTATGTTATAATGATATTATACTTTAGAGGCTAATTCGTCTCCTATGAATAAACCATCCTTCAATTTAATTGCTCCAATTAACATTATTTTTTTAATTAGTAATAAATTTTGAAATTTGAAAAATGGAATCGATGCCTAAATTGTCAGAAATTCAAAAAGAATTGCAATATTACACGAGATTCTTCTAAGAAAATAAGCTCTATAATTCTAGCAAGTGGACAGGTGAGTTACTATTGGGATTAACTCAAGAAGAAGATTTGCAATAATCTTAATTTGCAATGCAATTTATCCAAAATAATACAGATTACAATTATCATTTTATAAGAGAGTTTGTTCCTGAATACAATGATATCATTTTGGTAGCTAGAAATCTATTTGATTTAAGAGAGTTCAAGAAATGTGCATCATTATTATAAAATCTAATTCATAAAAATGAATCAGCAATGTTCCTCTATTATTACTCTCAATATATGTATGGAGAGTTGAGAAAGGAGGAAGAAATGTTTGAGAATGAAAACTCAAAAACAGCCACAAATCCAGAGCTTAAATTATTGGAAAGGGAATTATCGAAACTATACAATCAAAAGCACTTAAATTCATTGAACCTTTATTTGTATGGTCTAATACTAAAGGATACAATGCGATTAAGAGAAGCAAGAGAAGTTTTCATTCAAGTTTTGCACTAATTGCCATGTTTTTGGAGTGTTTGGTTAGAATTATGTAAATTGTTAACAGAAGAAGACTCTTTAGATGAATTACCGAATCATTGGATGAAATCCTTTTGGAGTTCTAACTTTAATTTGGAAAAGTTTAAAAATGCAAATTGTGTTGAATAATTTTAGACTCTACTATACTACTTTAGAAATTCAAATTTTATAATAAACTAAATTGCTAATGCTTATTATAACAATCAAGAATTCGAGTTATCACTTGAATGGTTTGAAAGATTGTTGAGTATTGATCCGTACAGATTTGAGAGTTTAGACACATATTCGAATATATTGTATATAAAAGAAAATTAAGGTGAATTAGCAAATTTAGCATTACAATCCTTTACTAACAATAAGTATGTACCAGAAACTTGTTGTGTAGTTGGAAATTATTATTCTCTAATGAATGAACATGCAAAAGCAATTAATTACTTCCAAAGAGCACTCAAACTAGACAAAGATTGTTTGGCAGCCTGGACTCTGATGGGACATGAATATTTAGAAATGAAAAACGTTGCATCTGCTATTTAATCATATCGAAATGCTGTTGAAATTGATCCTAAGGATTTCAGAGCCTGGTATGGGTTGGGTTAAACGTATGCCTTATAAGGAATGAATCAATATGCTCTGTATTACTTTAGTAGGGCTGTAATTAGTAGACCGAAAGATGCAAGAATGTGGAATGCTATGGCGGAGTGCTATGACAAGATGGATAAGAAAAATGAATCGATGAAATGTTACGAAAGGGCGAATCAATGTAAAGATAAGGAGGGCATTGCTATTCATCAACTGGCAAAATTGTATGATGCAGTGGTAAGCCTATGCATTTCTTATGGGTTAGGGTAAAACAGAGAAGGCTTTGTCAGCATTTGAGGAGAGTTTGAGGAGGAAGGACGAGGAATAAATAGTGGACAAAGAATTGTCAGAATCCTTGGTGTATTTGGCAAGAGCTTTCTTGAGGAGGGGAGATAAGGAGAGGGCTATGCAGATGGCTAAAAGATTGTATGATTTCAATGGACCAGAGAGAGACGAAGCCAATTTAATAATGAGTTAGTTAAATAAATGAAAATAAATATTATTATTGATGAATTAGATTTATCATGATTCTCTTCTATTGGCTCTGAAAACTTAAATCTTAGTTCCCATCACCTTAGACTGCAGATATCTCAAAGAAGCTCTAAGTGAAATTTCTAACGAAAAACAGTTTTTATAAATAGAAGACTATGTCTTAAACTAGGAATTGATCGATAAAGTTAATGGACGAACAATTAACTTGTTGATAGAGTGTATTAAAATTCTTCGAAAGTATTTGTTCATAGGGTGGAATGTTAGCCCTTAATTTATAGAGGTATTTTACAATTCTAAAAATAGGACATAGTGTATGAATTCATTGATAAAAGTACAGAGGACTGGGCAGAACCGCTCTTTTTTGTGCAAAGACTCCCAGAAATCAGAGTACAAATAAAAGCATATTATAAGACATTTTAAGAAAACGCATTCGAGTAATTTATGTTTGTCATTCTATAGATTGTGCGATACTTTAATTGCTGAACTTTGTGATGATTTCTTAAATAGTGCATAAATAAATGTGCTATTAAATGAAATTTTGGAATCTCAATTAAAAAGGGTTGCATTTGATCTTTTTGAGTTTGCCTATCTTGATACCCAAATCACGAATGAATTTTTGGACACCCTGCAAAAATTGTTTATTGATTTGGTAACTGATTTCTTCAACTATCTTATCGATGTTGCTTGTCATGCCAACTATAAAATGCAACAATTGGATAAATTACTGAAGGTATACGGAAGCTTAGCAAATCAAGAGAATTACAAATATATGTAGAAGGAAATTTCATAAAATATCATTGATTATGGTGATATCACATTAGTAGGTCAATCATTTTAAGTGAATCCAGAGAAACATTCTGTTATTGTCAGACAAACAATCAAACATTTCTATTATGTAATGGATGAATGCAAACATTATTTTACAGCCAAACAACATAAGAATTTTGATGAATTGATTAATAATGCTCAATTTAATATCATCAAACCTCTCCCCTAAAATATTCAAGTTCTTCAAGATTCAGATGACCTCCCCCTGATGGAATTATGTAAAGAAATTAAAGTAATCAAATCAGTGAAAGTACAAAAAAATGATTTGAAAGGATTAAAAATAGTTGTTAAATGGGAGAAAACTAATAAAGTTCAATAATTTATTTTGAGTTTATCATATCATTATTTGATGTTTCATTAATTTGAAGAAGGTTGGGAGCCATTTGATGACGAAAGAGAATTAAACATCATCTTAGCAAAGTTTCTAAATGAATAATTTGATTATCTTCATTGTGGACATCCTGAATTTAAAAAGCGAGTCGCTAGTGAAAAATCTATTGATAGGACTACTGATGATGTTTCTGGATTCAAAAATGCTGTGATTAAATTCAAAAAAATTAGTGCTCCTAAAAAACCAATTAGATATGGGACATCTAATAGAGTAATAGGTGGTAAAGCACTTGGAATGGGTATCGGTGTTCTTATTGTTGATTGTCTTGATGAAGATATTCCTTGGGATGATAAATTAAAAAATGCTGGATTTACAGCCATTTCTTTTGGTGTTCTTGGCATCCTTGCTTCCAGATTACCAATTGTTGGTATTATCATTTAACAAGTCATTTTTGCCTTGGCTGTCAAATCTATTCTAGCCAATAAGGTCATTAATGATACATAAACTGCTAAAAATCTTGGGCATCTTGGTCTCATTATTACTATTGGTGTAGGCATGACAATAGCGGGTAGCATCATGTTTCCAGTTGCCTTTTGGGGAGCCTTTTTTGGAGGTCTCCTCGGTGGTGTGGGGATGGGTTTGTATTAAAAGTTTTTGATTCCTTACTATATGGATAATATTGTCGAGATGATGAACAAGGCAAGTAGACTGATTAGGAAAAATGGAGCTGTAAGATACAAATAATATGCATTACAAAAATTATAAATCGATGAGAAATTTTTAGGTACTCACAAACCGTCTAATATGGAAGATGATTAATATTTCACATTGCTTATGTTTTGTCTTAGCAATGAAATAAGATTGATAAGCAATGCTTCATATTCAAAGTAATTGGAAAAATTGATTTAAAAAAAAGCCAATGAGGAGGAGAAAGCAAATTTATTATAAAGATAATGTTAGATTGAGGTTTCATTGAAAATTTGGAATGAAACTTATGATTATCTAAAATCGCATAATATAAGTTTGGTAGAGAATGCTAAGACTTGTGCTGAATTCGTTGATGGTATGCTCACAAATTACAAAGTTGAATGAAGGGATATTTATATATATATATATTTATTGGTGATATTAAATTATTGATATAATTATTATTTAATGATTAAAGTATAAATTAAATACATTATAATTTAAAGTCACTAAATTATAGGACTGCCTAAGCAATGGATGAGAGACTGAAGAATATGAGCCAATTTGAAAGGGTTACATAGATTAGTTTTTTCATAAGTGTATAATAGTTTAAAAAATGTTTACATTTACTTCACTTTGGAAAAGTGATAATTGATATTTTAGAAAAATTAAGAAAATTTAATAATTAAGTCATTGGAAATAAAAATAAGTTTTAAAAATAAAAGAAGAATTGAAAAATAGGAGGATTAAGATTTAATTGCTGATAGTTATATAATAAGATATAGGGCATATTTTAGTATTTGCTGAGGTTTAATTTTTAATTAAATTTAATGTTCAATAATTCCAGAGATCCTCCAAGTTAAATTCTTCTACTCATTCTAACTTAATTGCCTCCTTCCTTCCCATTGACGAATGAGTACTTGCACAAGAAGTTTAATGAGTTTGGAGACATTAAGAAAATACTTATTTTCGAAAGAGGAAAGACAAACAAGGCTTTTGTGGAATTTCATAATTTAAAGAGTGCAATAGCAGCCAGAAAACAACTGAATGGGTTGAACATTCAAGGGGGAAAGTATAAACTTAATTTGTATGTAGAATGATAATCCATTACTCTCGACTTAAAAATCTAAATCTCGAAATCGTGGATAATTCAAGAGGAACGGATTATACTTAAGCTAGCAGCAATAGTCAAAATTCAGATTCAATACTTCATTCTAAAACAGACGACAACATCCGAGTCAACTTAACTAATCATATTAGCCAGAGTTCATCTTCAAGAGCGAACTCAAGTCCTGTTAGAAATGAGGAGATCAATCGGTTACTTGATTATGATGATGATGACTTTGATATTTGGAAACAAGAAATTCAACTTAATTTGACTGACATGCATCCAGAAATACAAACCCTACTAAGATAGAAACAATCTAAATTGCTCAGAATTGCATCAATAGACACTAAAGTAACTGCAAAGATGATTTACAACGTCTTTACCAAATTTGGAAATATTGAGGAGATTCTGTATTAGAAACAATTGCAGAAGGCATATGTGAAATTCCAGACCATTAATTAAGCAACCATAGCTAAAGAATATCTCAATAACACTCAATTCTTTGATTCAATTGTAACTATCCTCCATATTACATGTAGTTGCGCATCTATTTTGAACCCTTACAACCGTTATAGCCAACTTCGTTGTAAGATGAATACATGATTTATTACAATGAAAACTGTACATAGAAAATTATGCCACTCTCACCTAATCTCATAATCACAGGAGTCTAAGATCCTACGGAAATCTCGGAATTAATCAAAATGTTTGCCAAAATTAAAGGTAACCTCTATAAAAATAACTCATAGACATCAAAATTCATGTAAATAGTCTTTAACTATCAATGTGTTCCATTGCAGATACGCTTAAGATAATGGCAGTGTTTTCAGATTATGAATTTAAGAATTAGAAGTTAAACATCATTCTCAAATGATGATTTATTATAATATTATATAAAACAGAATGGAAAATTTATTAATAAGTTCCTAAATTCACTTCTAAGCAATCTTTGTCTTCTCTCTCTACTATGAAATTATTTGATTTAACAAGTTCTGTTCTTTGATAGCCTCCAATCCAGACAGTTATTGCACTCTCTTGAGCATTGAAATATTCAGCTTATTTGCAGTAGGTTTATCTTTGGCAATTTGAGGATTATTATATTCTTGTGATATAAATTATCTTGGCAATTCAACTGAGTGATTTAGATGCTGCAATTGTTGTTTTTATTGTTTTAACAATTTTTATTTAATTTAATTTGAGTTAAGCTATTACAAGGAGATGAAATTATTATTCTCGTTAGACTCTGGATTGTTGGTTGTTGTTTTAAATTTGAGTATTTTTCCTTAAATTTCAAAATCATTTATTCTTTCAATTGAATGTTATTTATATCTTTGAACTTGTGTAATTTGTTTGTGATCAGAAACAGATCTTTTTTATTTCTCATTTTGATATCCCTGCACACTGTAATATCTATTACTTTTTACGATTTTCAAGGGGGAATTATTCAAAAGCCTTTGCTCCTAATATTCTTTTAAATATAAATCATCTTCTTCTTCTTATTCTTATTCTTCCATCAAATCTTAAAGGAAATCTGTTCCTACAGGTAATTGATTTAAGCTTTCCCATGTCAAACCAGATTATCTTTATTGTAAAGAACTCAAACTCTAATCCTATTCCTTTATTGAACAGCTTTTTGGTTTTGATGGATCAGGTAATTTCTCAATCAGTTCTTTTAAGGCTGGGTATTTTATTAACAGTTATGATTTAGTAAAATGTTTCAATTCAAATTACAATTTATAAAAGGCTTTCTTTTTTCTTTCTATGAGTTTCAATTATTCATTTTATTGTTTCCTTTATAATAAAATTTATTTGATTTATTCATCATTTTTGACCTCTGGATGATATATTTTAAATTGATATTTGATATCTTTAATTCTTTCAGCTTAATCTTTCATTTAAAATGGTCTTTGAAATGTTTTCATTTTTAAAACACAAACCTTCCAGTTATCCAATCCTAAATTTGTTTAATATTGCCCACAATTTGTCCCTTCTTCGCCTGCCAAGATATTCAACAATTAAACAAACTAATCAAAATGGAGTTCCTTTGAATTTCTAGCTTGCTTTTTGAATAAGTCCAATAGTTTAGAAGTATTTATTTTCACTTAAAAATCCCTACAAAAATGCATCCAGTTACCAACAGTAAATACAGTTGCTTCATATTATTATCTATCAAAGGTAGCAAATTATCCTGGAACATACTACTGTTTGCAATAGAAGTCAAAAACTCTGCGTAAAACTTCTTTGTTTTGCATAATCATTATTTTTATATATATAATTGCTAAAATTCTTCAATATTTTCATCCTCCTCTATCCATCTAACCCTTTTTCCCATATTCCATTCCCCTCTCTTAGTAATTCCATCCTTAGTAAATAAGCCATAACCATGTTGCTTCCCCTGATGCCAAAATCCAACATACACTCTACCATCCGGCCAAACAAATCTTCCTATTCCCTCTTTTAATTCATCTTCATACCGTCCTTCATAAATACGACCATCTGGCCATTTCATAACTCCATTAACAAACTGATTCTTTACCCATTCTCCTCTGAATTCACTCCCATCAGCCCATTTAAAAATGCCTTATCCATGGATATCGCCCTCAAAAAAGTCTCCTCTATAATAAGATGAGTCCACGAATTCGATATAGCCTTTGCCATGTCTCTTGCCATCTTTATAATTTCCCTTATATACAGCCTCATCAGAAAATCGCTCAGAACCACTGCCATTTTACAAATTATGTTCCCATTTCCCTTCATAAATCGATGTATTTGTCTTCAATTAGCCCTGTCCATGACATTCCCCCTGTTAAAAGGTGCCAATATAGAGATAGTTTTCAGCTGATAATTTGCCTTATCCATGAAAAAGGTTATTCTCAAAGAAGCCTTCGTATCTCCTGCCATCATCCATAACCAAAATACCCCAACCATGCATTCTGCTATCCTCCATTTAACCATGATATCGTCCACCCTCCACTATAATCCAATCTCTCTATGTTTATTCATCATCCTCCTCTGTTCTATAGAGGTGATGCAAATTTAAATAAGTCTCATGCAACACCAATTCTCTTTAATTAACAGACTAAGATGTGCAACAACCCATTCAGTTAATTTAAATAATTAAAAAATGGAACAAAATTTAGATGAAAAGATGCATGCCATCGATCTAAAATAAAAAGATAAATTTCCACTCACGAATTAGATATCTTAGGATTTTGAAGATGATACACACATATATAGAATAATAAGACTGGGAAAAGAGTCTGTGAGACTCATGCAGGAGTTTAAATGGGAAAGTAACATTTTTATAATTCATTTCTAGAAAAGCTTCTCAAAGAAGAAGAATGGAGACGACTGAGAGTGTATTAACGTCGAGGATGGTTACATTATGCTATCTTTGAGAAGGAACCATACGTGTTGTTGTTTAAAAGAAAGATTACCAAAAATAAGAGATCCTGAAAACTCTGATTTTAGATGTTTGTATCATTAAGTATTTCTAATTTTATTAAGTTTCATATAATCACTATTTGATTTAATAAATTATTATTATTTAATATTTAAATATAACAATGTCTAAAATATTAAGACTCTGTCCAAAATGCTAAGCAAGTCCTGCCACAATCTAGTGCATTGATTGCGAAGAAAAGATGTGTTATACTTGTGATCAGAAGGTACATACAAAATTGAAATAACACAAAACTGATATCATCCCCTATTCATGTACAATATATATTAAAAAAGAGATGAAATAGATTAAATCAGCCTAATTTATCATTAGTGGCATCAAAGACCACTCAAATGTATCCTTAGAATTGCAACAAGAACTTAATGAATTAGAAGCCATGATCGAAGCCAAAAAATCATTCCTAAGCAAATAAGAGGAGAAGTGGAGCACATAAATCAGTTCACTTGAAACCTAATATGAAAAGAAATTATTATAATTTGAAAAAGAAATTGAAAATAATGAAACCTAATTTAAGAATTATTAGTCAAGTGGAAATACATCTTTTACAATTGCTGACATCAAATAATAAATGGAAGCATAAAAGCAGTAAATATTTATATTTTATGATTAGATAAGCATGGAAAGAACTAAATGAGAGGAAAGCTGCACTATAAGATAAAGAAAATCTACTTTAAGACATGATTGAAGCTGAGAAGATTTGCTTAAAAGAAATTGCATAGAAGGAGAAATTGATCAATTAGTTTAAGGATTTAATATCTTAGTAATAAGCAGAAAGAGATCTGATAAAATAAGAAAATTTAAAAATACTTGCATAATTAGAATCCATAAAAGGCTTATGTAAGAAAAGTTTGCCTGAATTCGGAATCAATGTTGACTTTTTGGATAAATTGGGAAAAGGGAATACAATTAGGAATAATGAATAAGTAGATGAACAAGATGAAGAATATGAGGAGGATGAATAATAAGATTAAAATGGAGAAGAAGATGAAGACTAAAATGATAATGATTAATAGGAAGAATAATAATGATTTTATATTCATTTTTAAAACAAAATTAAATTTATAAATTATTACAATCATTTATAACCAACAAATAAATTAAATGCTACAACAATTAAACCAATCGAATAATTTCTCAAAAGTACTGAGATACTGTGATAATCTTAATTTGACTAATTAATGAATTAATTAATTAAATTAATTATCAGACCATATATAATACCTTCAATTTATTATAACACCTATTTAATAGGCTTAACCATAATAAAAACATGTTTGCTAAATAGTAATCCTATATAGACATCTTAAACTGACTTAAAATATCCATAATAATAAGCAACCAGTAATTCAACAATTAAAATAGAATGCAATTTATATAGTTTCCTCGTAGTGTTCCTATCTATGATTCTACCTTATTTCATATATGGACCTCGGTGCATCACATAGGTTTGCACATCCGAATTGCATTGTTTTTGCACTTAATGTGAAAAGTGATTCAGAGCTAAATAGAAGATGATGAAGGTTGGAATTGGCATAATGAAAATGTTATCAGATAAAATGGCAGAGGCAATTGCAAATATCATAATAGTTTATGAAGTACAAGCCTAGGCATAAGAGTACGACAAAATATAGAAGTACACTGCCCTTCCTTAACTTATACACTCATACATGGAGGATATGTAACTATAATCAGTTTACTCGAGATGATTAAATAATTTGATGCAGGATCTAGACTCATGTGGTCCAATACTAACATGAGCCATTTCCATGGCTTTTCCATCATTTTCTTCTCCTTTGATAAATATTATCTTGTCATAGAGTTTAAGCAAATTTATCAATTGCTCTTTTCTATCAGCATTTCCTCCAATGATGATGTTTTTATTTTTGATTTCCTCATATAGCTTTTATTAATCAATGATTCCTTGGAATTGGAATTTCTACTTTTATTATTCCAACCATTCCAAAGTCTTGCTCGATTGAATCTTTTCTAATTTCAAATGATCCAGAGTGGGACAAGCAAGTCTTCTACTCAAAAATACAAATTTGTTCTTCTATTCAAAACTACTACTGAGCAATGTGCCTTCTACATATCTATCATCAATTTCATCTTCCTTCACAAGACCTGTTTGAATTGCTGTTTTTTAAGCTTCTTCCAATTATAATTGAGTGAAGTATCTAATATTTATCTATGATTTACTAAACATAGTCACTTTATTATCTATCTTATCAATTATCATCTCATTTACCTACCCCAACCAATATAATGAAAGATAATCCTATATATAAATACTTCTTTGTCTGCATCTCTTTATCACATAGATCATAAACAAATTGATCAATGAAAGCAATTAAGAGGGAATAGTAATAATTGATAATTATGATAAATACAATAGGATTTGTGTAATGTTGATCAAATAAGTATTTCTGAACAGTAATATTATTAATAAAATTAGTAAGCTTATGATACATTGTATTCCAATTTTATTCATAAGGGATTCGATCTTAAAAGCAAAAGGATTATACATAGAATTCTATTTCAAATATGTTGTTCTTTATTTTTCTGTCTTTGTATCCTCTAAAAACGACTATTTGTACTAAATGTAATCCGATGATTGTTAACCAACACTGCACACCAGCAATTATCCAGATCCCTTTATTATTTGAGAACCCGCAAAAATGAAATTGTCAACCAAACTTAGATTGGATTACAATTACTCATCATGTGAACCATTTGATTCTTTAACTTCATCTATGCTTTTGACTTCATGAGTGTTAAAAAGATTAGGAAATGGTTACAATACTTCAATTCCATTACAATTCGATAATTTAGTTATAATACCATCGCATTATATAAAATCTCCTTGTTTGAAAATCAAGATATCTCCAACTACCAACTAACTATTATGAATTTACATTGTGTCATCTCCATTTCTTAATACATTACAACGCTTTATTAGATGCTTACTCCTCTCTTTTATATCATTCTAATGTTACACTATCTCTTTGTTGTATTATTATTTGATCACTCCCTTATAGACAACCATAATTATCAACATTATTATATAAAACAAGTAGATCTACATGTTCTCGTGGAAATATATTATGATATTGATAGTTGTTATTATCAATAATAATTAAAATAATCTTTCCTTTTGAAATTGCTCAATTATAATTTACAGTACACTTTTAATTGCTATCTAAGGCTTTTCATTCTTTCCGAAGTACTTTTCTCTCATTTTCAAGTCCTAATCATTCGTATCATCCAAACCTTACTTTATGCAAGTCTTCAAAAAGTTCTACAAACCATAAATGCCTCCCAGTTAATTGAGTTTTTCTATTTGAATTTTTAATTTTTTCTCTTTCAAATCCTTCTCTTTATCATGTTTGGTTAAAGTACTTTAAGCTTCGTTTATTATTTAATTCATATCAAATATTTCTAATAACTTCTTATATTAAAATCCAAAATAATTATCATCACTTTGCTATTGTTTATTTTCATTTTTCTTCCATCCTTTTAGAAGTGTTTTCCATTAACCCTTTGCTTCCAATATCTATTACAATTTATTGGATTCTATTTCTAAAATTTCATCCTTTTTTTAATGCTTATCGAAATCATTCAAATGTAAGCTTTTAAAAACTTACATCTCTATCATTTAAGCTCTTTGTTCCGATTCTCGATGGAGTTTTAGTAATGGACTGTGTAATTAATCTGTCTCATTTTACATACTTACTTAATTTATTATATTATATCAAGTGCAATAATTAAATTAATATACATAATAGATTATAGTCTTGATTGTAAGTCCAATCTTCTCGCTATATCTATATATAAGATTTTCAATAAACCTTAAAAAGTGAGACTCAATTTCTAAAACTGTTGAAAAGTTACAGTCTAAAAAACTAATTAATTGTGCATCTACTTCGATTTTTGGAATTATGATATATTATATTTAAAAAAGATTAAATAAAACAAAGCTTGTTTATTGTAATAAATCAAAGTTGATAAACTCATTATTATAGTACTAAAACTACCGAATATTATATAATCAACATAACACTTGTAAAAATAAATAAAGCGAAAGTAAAGATGGCTAAAGTTGTAAAATAATTAGATATTTTTCTTATTCATTATAAATATTTATTAGATATAATCATAATTCACTTAATTTTAAAAGTTTATCTATATTTTTCTTTTCCTTTTTCACTTTATATGTATTTTCATTAACAATTTCTGACGCATGATAGTCTGAGACTTATTGTTTTGTTTCAACAACTTTATAGGCATTGGCTGAATCAACATGAAATTTTAGTTTATGATTCAGCCAATGATATTTATCATTTTGAATTTTCTCATCTTTAAGTCTTTCTTGAAAATTTCTAACTTTGTCCTCAAATGCCTCATTATGGGATTGTTCTTTCATGTTCTGAATAAAACGGGCTCTCCTTTGTTCCACTGTAGATTGTAACATTTTTTCATGTTTTAACATATCTTTAATCATAGGATTATTTGTTCCAAATTTATTCTCTTTAAATTACAATAAGTTTGCTTTTAATTTTTCATATTCTTCCAACTATTTTTCTCTTTATAATCTTTATTCTTCATCTTCAATTTTTGAAGATTCAGAATTTGAAGATTCGGATTCTGATTCCTCGAAAATGTATTGAACCTCTCCTTTTGCATTCTTTTTAATTTTGTAATTCAATAATTGTTTGTCTTCCTAGGGGATATTATCTAAGAATTTTTCATTCATTGATATATTTTTATTAGCATGCTAAACAATCTATTCTTTGTTGGTTTCAGTGTTACTCTATTGAGTAATCTTTTATTTGAGTTAGAGAATCTTATTTTCTTCTTCTAACTTCTTTTGTTTTTTAATCCTATATAAATAATGAGTAATAAATACTCTAATTCTTCTTGAGATACAGCATATTCCTTCTTCAATTTAGGGTCATTGAGTACATCATGACTATTGAAGATCTTATTTGGCTATGGTTCCTCAATATCTTCTTCATCTCCAAAGGATAGGACATTGATATTTTTTTACTTCTATTTTGGTTTTTAAATTGGCTTCTAGTTTATTTTTTCTTAGACTTAGTTAATTTCCTTTTCTGGAGATTTTGGCTTAATACCCTCCGTGATTGTCAAATTAAATGGATCTATAACTACTTATGTACTCTTTATAAAGATTGGCGTCACTGGCTTATCATTTTCATCAGTGTCGACTCCATTCATAGCCATCAAATTAAAAATTGTCTTTCCTACTACCATGCCAAATATTGTATGTCTCTTTTACAACCATGGACAAGAATCCAAAGTTATAAAAAATTATGACTCATTGGTATTAGGACCTTCATTACTATATGCTAGAATTCCTCTTGTGCAAAAGGTGAGTCTGGAATGAAATTCGTCTTCAAAGGGTTTGCCATATATTGATTTTCCTCCCTCACCTGTTCCTGTGGGATCTCCTCCTTGAATCATGAAATTGGGAAACATTCTATGAAAGTGACAATTATCATAATATCCATTCAAACACAATTGAATAAAGTTCCTACATCCCTTAGGCACTTCCTTGCACCATAATTCTATTTCTAATTCTCCATGGGACGTATCCATAATAATCTTGCCTGAAGTTTATGGGAATTACATTAAAAATTTCAATAAATTAATAATAACAATTTAATAACAATCAATAATAGCAGAGAGGCCCCAGAGAAAATTAAGGTTTGTTTCATAGTTTATTGGCCAAAAATATTCACAAAGGGCTTTAGACAATATGCTATAATTATACAATAACATATCTGAATAAGGTATTGATTAAAGTACATTCCCAAAAACATTGAAGCTGTAAAAGTTAGGTAAAAGATAAGTAAGCATGTTCCCATTGTGGTTTTTGCAACTGAAATAGTGAATGATAATTACTGAATTGCATCAAGTCATCAAACAGATCTATAATTAGGCATTGGGATAGCATAATGAACAAGACTGAAAGGATTGACTTTTCTTAGACACCAGCAGTATATCCGAGTATGATCTGTAAGATAATCAATTCACCAATTATTAATCTTATTCTCCTCTAAATATGAGTGTCTACTTTGCTTTGATTTTCAAGAGAGAATGAATTTTCATTTAAGACTTGAGAATGAATTGTTTTCAAATACCCTGGTTTTTATTCAGATTCTTCAATTACTCCCAAGTGTCTTGCATTTGCTAATTATTTATTGCTATACTATGAATACAATATTTTTTCAGGCTTTTTACTATCGATTGTCTAAATTAATAGATTATGATACAAATTATAATTTATTTAGAAGATCTGATTAATTATTTAAATAGCTGTTCTTAATTTCATCGATAGACTTCCTTTTTTCTATGTTATTATTGCGAATATAGCTTTCAATTCTCAGAATCTCCTCATTTTTATCAGTTATGTATTCTGATACATTTTTTGGTTGAAAAATAATAGGATGAGCAGGGTATTCATTGGAAACAGCCAAATTATTATTGATTTCCTTTCCCTAAGACTCTTGGCAATTGATCTATGCAATCAGATAGATCTCTTTGATCAGTAAAACAATAGGAACTAACAACATCAGTTTGTATTTCACAGAAAATTCCTGATTTACGTAAGCAGAAAGAGTTTCTCGTTGGGCAGTTGAAAGTTAATCTATCAAATGAACTACTCGCAAATATTAGTGGTCTTCTAAAAATAAATTATGCTGTAATTCTAATCCATTAGGAATCAGCAAGGGAAAAATTATCAGAATGGATGAATAAAAAAGCAGCCTTCTGGCAAAGATTAAGATCTAATCTGATATCTATTCATGCTTAAACTACTTTATTGAATAAACCAAATAGGTAATCCAAATGAAAGCCAAACTAGCAACTAAGTTTATAATATAATTCATTATTTAAAATTATATTTAATTAGCTTATGTTAATATTAAGAATCAACAAATAACGAAAGAATTATATTGAGTCTCTAAACAAAGTCTTTTTTGATGGTTGAAAAATACTGTATATTCTTACAATCACCTTAGCTCTCTGTCAGTACTACTTCATGTTTGTCAATTTAAATAATCGAATGAATTTATGAATAAGTTTATATAAATTAAAAATACAAAATATGAGGTTATCTACTGAGGATAGTCAAGAGAATGAGGATATATAGGAGGATCTCAAAAAGAAGTTCATTTATTAAACTGAAAAAATGAGACTATTACTCGAAGTACCTATGGAAAAGCGAAATAAAGCAATTTGCTAGGATATCGCTTAAATCGCAGGAGTAAGAGATGTTATGAGTATTTAAGGAAATCCAATTTCTCAAACAGTATAGAGATAAACCCAATTTTTTAGATTTGTGCAAGCATCTGTTTCTAAAGACTTATAATAAAAGAGATTATATTTTTTAATAAGGTGAAACAGGTGATGCTTTTTATGTTATTTTAAGTGGAAGTGTGAAGGTGTTTATTGAAGAGCCGACAGAATTCAGGAATTTTATGTAGTTGGTAACGTATACATTATGATATAGAAAGAAATTGCAATTTTATAAAAAGGTGATGCTTTCGGAGAAATTTCTTTGCTTTACAATTCCAAGCGAACAGCTGCTGTTATGGCTGCGGAGAAAAGTGACTTGATTATTTTGACTAAAGAAAGCTTTGAGGAATATTTAAAGAATGATAACAAATAAGAAATGTAAACAGCAAATTTAAATAAATTAATTCAATTCTTAGAAAAAGTTCCAATTTTTAAAATGTTCTCAAAATCCTTATTAGTATAAATTTGTACCAAATGTACAATGGAACATTTCCCCTCCCAATAGATTTTGATTAAGTAAGGAACTGAACCATCTAATATGTACATAATTAAGCAGGGATGCGTTAAAGTGATTAGAAAAATTAAAATAAATTATGGTAGTATGACTTCAAGAGAGGAATTGAGTCAAAAAAAGTAGGACTTATTTTATGACATCGATGAACTTAGTGATTACAGTGTATTTGGAGATTATGCAATTTTAAATGAAGTGGAATCCGATTGTTCTTACATTACAGCTATTCCGTGTTAAATAATATCAATAAGTTCATTTAATGTGAGGAAACTTCTCCCAATGGACATCGTACAAATTTACAAATCGTAACTTAAACGCTATCCTGATGATGAAGATATTTAGTATTTATTTGAGGAGAAGGAGAGATGGAATCATTATAAGAGGAAACTCATTCGAAACATCAAGATCGAGAAGTAGAATAAAAAGGGATTTGATCTGAGACTGAGATTGCCAGAACTCAAGACCAAAGAACTGTCCCCACCAATCAATATCGTTGACATCAAAACGAGTGACAGCAGAATCTATTTTAAATTTTTGGAATCTAAAATTAGTCCTACGGCAGACAGCAAAAAGAAGGTTTCTTAGTTAACTTAAGTTGGGTTCAATTCACAGATCATTAAGGATTTGGAATTCTCTTAGGCGCAGTAAGCCTTTCAAAGAAAACTCAAAAAATTATAATATAAAAAGTATTGAATCAGAATGCATTCATTTCAACAATATTTTAAATTCAATTATATTATTTTTGTAGTTATATTTTTATTCATTAACACTATCAAATTATTTTTTGTCATTATTCTTAAAATATATTAGTCTAATTAATGATACATCGGTTAATTAATAACAGATTTTCCAATAGAAAGATTGAAATAATGATTAGTGTAGTTTAAGTTTCCTTTTTATTTCAATTAATTTATTTATCAAGATGGGAAGCAATTGTGCAACATGTTAGAGTTGTTAGAAAAAGGAAGAAGTTATAATGAGTCAGGAAGAATAACAATCATCTAGATAAATGCATGAATATTCATAATAGCCAAATGAGGAAGATGATGATAATGATCGTATCACTTTTACCATAAACACTTAGATCTTGAAGATAAAAACCTAGATGGGTCAAGCCAAATTGTGCAAAAATATTTGAACTTGGATTTAAAACCAAAAAAAGAAGTTGCTCCAATTTAATCGGTTCCTGCCTAAATTATAGAAATTCCATAAGCATAAATTGTCATGACAAATGGTAAATGAATTTTGTACATCATTAGAATCAAACTAAGATAGTAAAAAACGAAAAAATGAAATGATGTTGAGAAATTAGGAAGACATGCACGAAACTAACATAAGCAAATGGGAAAATTCAGTTAGAGAGAGGAGACCTAGACATATATTTAAAGTATTATGGTTCTTTCATAAAAATATTAGAGTGGAGCCTACTATGATGGTGAGTGGATTGGTTAAAGTAGAGATGGGTATGGAATTTAAATTTGGAGTGATGGAGCAAAGTATGAAGGCGATTGGAAGAATAACAGAGCTAATGGCAGAGGTAAATTTTGGCATGTTGATGGGGATTTCTTTGACGGTGAATGGAAAGATGATAAGGCTTATGGAAAAGGCGTTTATACTCACCTCAATGGAGCAAAATATGAAGGTGATTGGATGGATGATCTTCAACATGGATTTGGAGTAGAGATATGGGCTGATGGTGCCAAGTTTGAAGGATAATATTAGAATGGAAAAAAGGAAGGATTTGGAAAGTACTTCTGGTCAGATGGTTCTTCTTATATAGGGAATTGGAGTGAAAATAAGTTATTTGGATTTGGTATATATACATGGCCTGATGGAAGAGTATATATATAACTTATTTTAGAAATATTTAGGGGAGTGGGCAAATAATCAAATGAATGGAAGAGGCATATACTTATGGAAGGACGGTCGAAAATATGAAGGCTTTTATTTGAATGACAAAAAGCATGGCTATGGAATCTACATTTGGCCTGATGGAAGGGTATAGCTATTATTTAATTCTAGAAATACGAGGGGTATTGGAATAATGGTAAATAATCCGGAAAAGGTAGGTATGTGTTACAGAATGGCAAGAGTTAATTAGGACTTTGGGAAGATGGAAAAAGAGTTAAATGGGTGGACTAATCAGAGTAAAATGCAGACATAAGTCCCAAAGATTGGAATTAATATGTATATCCAACCTTGGTTTAATGATTTTATGCTTATTACTATAAAATTAAACTATTATATTAATAATTTTTAAAGAAAATGTAAAGAAATAGGAGCAAAAATTAGTTTGCAATAACAAAACTATTATATAAATTTAAGGTTAGTTTTTATCTATGGGGATAAAAATCAATTTCATTTATGAAGAAGGCTGTCTTGTAAAACAAAGGAAATAAATAGATTATGATTTAAAAAATTAATAATTTTTATTGGATTAACGAAATAATTAATAATTACTAATTGATTTATTATGCTTAGCATATAATTAGATCTTCTATGCTAAATACATAGTATGAGTTCATATTAAAAAATCAAGTTAAAATCTCTAAGAACCTAAAAGTATTCACTGACACAATCGAAATAGTAACTACATTCTAATATATGGGGTGGTTTGGAGATTTAAGGTATGCTTGAAGGTTCCAAGATTAGTTAATATCTAATTATAGAAATTTTGGATACAAAAGTGATTCATATTTTAATGAAGAGCTATTTGAAGTATTGATAAATTTAGTTTAATGTTGCCATTTAATTAAATCAATGAGTGATGACGATTCCAATCAAGTTATTCTTGCAGTCACTAAAGTTGGATGTATGATTGCGTTTTTCTTGTTAATCCTCATCGTAGGCAGTCTGCCGATCAGACTCAAAGCATTCAAATCAAATAAGGTAAAAGTCACTTATGAAAGGGTCAGAAACTTTTAGCTTACATGGGGGCATTTTCTGGAGGTCTATTTCTTGCAGTAGGCTTAGTTCATTTGTTACCAGAGGCAGCCGATAATTTTGATTCGTCTTTCGAGGATGAAGAAGAGCATTTTCCATTTGCTTATGCAATATCAATATTAAGTTTTGCGCTAATACTTTTTATTGAAAAAATAATAACAGATCATCACCACGATCATGGACATGATGATGACCATCACCATCATGAAAGCAATTCCAAAAATACTTAGGTTTAAGATTAAAATCAACTTTTCGTGAATGGAAGTGTAGATACTGAAGCACTTTTGGAGAAACACAATACGGAAGAAACTTTTAAGGATGCCCTAAATACATAAGTATAAAACTTGTTAAATTTGTAGTTAATAGTAGCAAAGAAAGCATCATTTGTATAAATGGTAAAAAAATCAATAGCACAGGATCCAAAAAACTCAATTGTATATTAGGACGTGAACACATGGGCTCCTTACATCTTATAGATAGCTGTTGGGATCCATGCTGTTTTTGAGGGATTGTCAATAGGTATTCAGGAGGAGGTTTCTTTGTGCGTAGGGATAGCAGTAGTGGTGTGTTGTCATAAATGGGTAATGAATATCTATATAGTATAAATTATAGGCTGAAGGGATGACTTTGGGTCTTGCATTTAGGAAGGCAGGAGTGAATAAGACGACCTCTACCTATATGATATTGATTTAGTCGATCATGAATCCAATCGGAATAGGAATTGGGTGGATTATGGCTGATAAAGGGCCATTGTATACAGGAATATTTGTGTCAATATCAGTGGGGACATTCATTTACATTTCCACAATGGAGACATTGACGGAAGAATTTTCAATTGCTCAATATAAGTGGGAGAAGTACATAATCTTTTTGGTGGCCATAGCATTTGTATCAAGTTTGTGGTTTGTAGAGTAGGCAGTAGGAGGAGATTGAATTGTTATCCATATTAATTATATATTTAAATATAGTGTCATAAATGGTAATTAAGTCGGAAAATCTAAGTGCAATTTATTTGAATAATTTATTTAATTATGGATTAGAAACTTAATGATGCTGAAATAGCACTTGAACAATTCAGACTGAAGAAACTCATTAAAACTTTGAGCCAGGAAAGAACTGCCGGCACAAGTGTTGTGTCTGTCTATATTCCTCCTAAAAGGATCATTTCAGATATCACAAACAGACTCAATACGTAGTATGCAGAAGCAGCCTCTATTAAGGACAAAGCAAACAGAATATCTGTGCAAGAAGCTATTTAAGCAGCCATCCTAAGTATTTAAATGAATTTATTCAAGGGTTAAGACCATACAACAAGGCTCCAAACAATGGATTGGTGGTTTTTTGCGGTATCGTGTAATAGGCAGATGGCAAAGGAGAGAAGAAAATTTCAGTTGTCATTGAACCATATAGACCCTTGGATCTGTCTCTGTATTTTTGTGATCCCCAGTTCCACGTGGAAGAACTGAGAGCACTCCTAAACATAGATCCACCTTTTGGATTCATTATTATGGACGGTAATGGATCATTGTTTGCTACAATCCAAGGAAACAGCAAATAAATTATAAAGTCATTCGATGTTGATTTGCCAAAGAAACACAACAAGGGAGGTCAATCTTCAGTCAGATTTGCACGTCTCCGTATGGAAAAAAGACATAATTACTTAAGAAAGGTATGCGAAACAGCAACAACATGTTTCATTGCTGAGGACAGACCAAATGTCAAGGGTTTGGTCTTAGCAGGTTCAGCTGATTTCAAAAACGATTTGGCTGGAAGTCAGTTCTTTGATAAGAGATTATAGCCCTTGATTATTTCAGTGGTGGATATTAATTATGGAGGAGAATAGGGATTGAATCAAGCAGTGTAGTTGAGTTAAGAATCTTTGTTGGAAGTCAAGTACATCAGAGAAAAGAATTTGGTTGGTCAATTCTTTGAGAATATCGACAAGGACACTGGTTTGGTAGTGTATGGTGTTTAGGACACAATGAGAGCAGTTGAATCATAAACAATAAAGACTTTAATTTGTGTGGACACTCTTCAATACTTACGTTTGGAATGTTAGAGCAAATAAACTGAATGTATGATATCACATGTTATTCTTTAGAAAAAGCAATCAAATATGTGAAAGGCAATGAAGGATATGAGACTGGTTCATTGATTGAAGAGAAAAATGGAGAATAATTTGTCGTCCTTGTAAAAGAGGACTTAGTTGAACATCTGTCTGAGAAATTTAAAGATTATGGATTAGATTTTCAATTAATTACAGATCACAGTGTTGAGGGTAATCAATTTATGAAGGGTTTCAGTGGATTAGGAGGATTCTTAAGATTTAAAATGGACATGGATTATTTGGTCTAATAAGAAGATTGGAAGGATGAAGATGAAGATTTTATTTGATAATCATTATATTTTGTTAAATAAATTTGAAATATGTCTAAGTGATTCAAGTAATTTTTTTAGATTTTCTAACCAGTTATTCCATCGTCTACTAAAATTTCTTTAATTCAGCAGCATTCCTATTTTATTTACTGTCTCTCCATGAATTCACAGTATTATTGAACATTAAGATAGGAGACTTGGTCTCTGTTTAAGTTGGCGTACTCTGTCTAACACTTGTGGAAGGACTTTAGGGTCTGGTTGTAGAGATGAAGGGATTTGAAGTATGAACCTTAGCAGTGGCAAATTTGGATGATATGGTTGGTTCCTTGTAGAATTGAAAGGAGGACTCGGTTCTGTTCATTAAGATTTTATTAATGTCCATCAAATTAGTAAGTTTGGGTTCAGGCAAGTAAAGTTTTCTGATCTCCCTTTCACATTTCTTGATCTCCTCTTGCAGTTTTTGTCTCTATTTCTTACAAGAATCTAATTCGTGTTAGAGCTTGGCATTAGAGTCTAATAAGTGCTGGATTTAAGAGACTAATTCGGAGTTCTTTCGTTGTAACTACTGAACCTGGGTTTCAAGGTTCTGTTGATGAATGCGATCACTGTTACTTAACATTTGGTAATCTCGTCCATTAACCTTATATTACTTGCCATCACTTATTAAAGGATGACTTCATAATTTTGTTCTTCCAGGAAGGATTCCCTTATACTTCTTTCAGTCACCGTTTTGCTATTGAGTCTGGCAAATGAAGTGGATGAATCAACCAGATTCTATCCAACTAAAAATTATTTAAAGTATTCTGATTGTTGTACATCACCAAAAGAAGCCGCATTCGATTCTGTTTTCATTTATTAAATAACTGAATTTATTTTTTTGAATGAGTGAAATCAATGAATCCCTAATTGAGGCACCTTTGAAGGCCCTGCTTGAAGATGTAACAATCTCTCATCATCCAAGGTGTTGTTCTAATTGGAAGGCTATCTGGAAGGCTAAAATGATTTGAAGATGATCGAACATTAATTGAAGGACTATGACACTTTGCCTGGACTAGTTAAAATAATCGGCAATGTCTTTAAGACACTCATGAAGAAGATTGATAAAAAGATCACTCAACTCAAAATGAATCAGCATGACAATAGTTCTTATAGAAGTTATCAACCTGAGGAAGAGTATGAGAAATTAGAGTAAATTATCTAAAAACATGAAGCTGAAATCAGAGGACATATCAGTGTAAAAGTCTCCATTCTTATCTAAGATTGAATAGCAACTCAAATTGTATAATGAAAGTCTACAACAAAAGATTGAGGATATGGAGAAACAACACAAAGATGCCTTAGAATAAATGCACAAATAAATGAATCTATTGAAGAAGGATTTGGGCAAATCTAATCAGAGTTATCGATAACTCATCAAAGAAAATGAACAACTAAGGGAATCAGCTGAACATCCCCTTAATCCGAAGGCTATCATCCACACTGAAGGGGAAGTCAACGGCAGAATCAAAGACAAAAAGTACACAGTCATAAATTTATTAGTTTTGTCATTCAGATCACAGATTAAAGAAGGTCGATTATAGTAGTGAGTATCCTACATCTAGTGTTAATCTGCAATCCTAAAATTCCATGAGACACTCCACTCCCTTGAAATCTCAGTCTTAACATCATAAGTCTGCCAAACTCAATAATCAGATACAACATCGCAACTCTCAAGAATAAGATTTATTTACCAAATATAACCAACTCCTAAAATAACATGCTTAATCCATCACTCAAAGATCTCAAATCATCTAAGCAAGTCAGTACCTACTCAAAGGTGGCTTTGGAAATCAGAAGAATTAGAGAAGCACGCTTAATGTTATCTCCGATATTTGCAATGCTTAATTATTGAGATCTTCCCTAAGAACCAAAAGCCAAGGAAATAGTGCCAAAGCAGGGAATACTAATTCTCAAAACAATATCAACTCTACCAACAAAAATACTACCCAAAAAATTATATCAGAAACCTCCAAAACCAATGAAGCCATTCAGAGACTACTCAAACTTAAATGACTTATTTATCTATTTTTGGATTTTCAAATTTAATAATACACCAAAAATATTATAATCAATAGTTATCATCTGAAGAATAGTCGAGTGCTTCCTTCAATTCGTTGAATCCCTATGGAACCAAATCATCCGCCAATTTATTTATGTAAATCAATCTTGTATCATTGTCTATTATTCTATAAGATATCCAAATACTCTGTCTCTTATCTTCACAAGTTAAAGCCTAAATTTATTCACCACAATTACTTACTTTATCTAACTTTTTTATGACACTCAGACAATATTCTATCTCCTCTTCAACCGCATATTACACTCTCTTTTCTAACCTTACTTTCACATCACTCCAATTCCTGTACAAATCTTCTATCGTTTTTATAGGATCCTATTCAACTACACTATTTGCAAAATTCGTAAATTTATCTTCGGAAAATAAATTCTACTCTATTGAAAATGTTAAGAATCTATCAAATGACATCGCCTTCTCTCCCTCATTATTGGCTGTTAAGTCACATCGAGACAAAAATTCTCTTTCAATTACACTAATCGAAGTTTGATTACCTTGTTTAACCTCAAAATAATAATATAATTTCTTAAATTCTTGATACTCCATCATATTATCAAGATCCATGTCTGCCGAGTTAAATACTTCTTAATAATGTTTCATGTGCATCTTCTTGATGATTTCATAGCCTTTTTATTTATTCAATTCATTTACCTGTCAAAATCCTACTTATATAATAATCATAGTCAATATATGGTCTCATATTTCTCTCTATGTAGTTCAACTTAATGTCGTAAATTATGTTGCTCCTATATTCTTATGGGATCTGGGAATGAATTGTCTCCAAAATTAAAATCGCCTTTTCAACCAGTATATAATAACCCTAAAATTATAATTTTGCTTTACCTTATCTGTATTGAGTGTCTAATTATCCTCATCTAATTACTTAAGAGTCTTGATATATATATCTAAATCATCAAGTGTTAATGAACTAAACAACTATAAGAATCTTCCAAATAAATTAACTCTAATGTTATCTCGATGAACAAATATTGATTCATAAAAATTGATCAATTTCTATTCAGCAATATTCTTAAATCCGTATGTGTTAAAAAAGTATTCGTAACATAAAATGTGCAAGGAAGTTTTATTTTGATTCTATTTTAATTTTTCCCCATAAAATTATTGTATTAATTTTAGCACTGCCCCCTTTTTCATCTTTGCTACAATATCTTTTTAATTAGTAGAGGCAAATTTTGTAGCAAGCTATTTTATTAGATTTGCCTTTAGATAACTCAGACCTGGGCTATCAAGCGATTATTTATTTTAAAATTCTAGATATCTTATAAATTTTTACTTGGAACTTAAGAAAATTAGAATTTTTTAGTCTGGTTAATTTTTTTTTTTCTTTATTTAATTTCTTCCAATTTTAGAGTATATTCTGAATCTTCACTATCCGAGTCTGATGATGAAAAATTTGAATATATAAAATTAGAAATTGTATCTTAAAGATATTGCATTTATTCGTTTTGTTATGGCATCATAGATCCTCTTTTCTACATTTTCGATTCTTTTTTCTTTGCTTAATTGATTGGGGTTTGCTTAAATAACTAAAATATTTTTACCATTCTTTAACTAGGTCTGGGTTTATTCAAGTTTTTGTTTCTTGCTGAATTTTATTAAAGTTCATTTGTATCCTAAATTAATATTGAGTAATTATACATCTTCGCTTAAAAATTAGTTAGACTGTTGTTGTTAAGAAAATTATTAAGCAGTCTAATTATCTTATAATGGAAGAATAGAAATATTATATTAACAATTTTAATTTTTTTCATTTTAAAGTTGTTGTTATTATTATTATTATTATTATTATTAAGGCATTACACTTTTTCTAAAGGATTTTTGTTATACAAGATTCCTTTCAGTATATTAATTAATATTTTCCTATTAATTTTAAGAATCCACTTATTCATTTATTATAATTTGAGGTGGAATTATTGATAAATTCTATTGTATTATTTAAGGCTAAACATGTGAAAACCGAGATTTAGGAGTGCTTTGCATAGGAGTTATTGAACTCATTCTCTTATCTTATATTTTTTTTTTCATAATCTCAGCAAATTTATGTGTTTATGTTAATTAAACAACTAGAGTTTTAGTTTTATCAACTAAAATTGACTTAACAGACTTTATTCTTTGATATTTTTTTTCTATTTTCTCATTAATCTATCAATAGATAACAGTTTAACCTTTTCATATAAATCTAACTGCGCTTCTAACTCAACCATTTCTTGATTGACTAAATCGTTATTCTTTTCAAGTTCTGACACTCGTTTTTACTATAAGTATTAACATCATATATACATATTACTAAAGTTACTGTTCCTTTCTCGTGTTCTCATCTTTAAATGTACTATTAACTAATATCAAATTTGTCCTCATTTCTTTTTATTGATGAAGATTTTCTTTTAATTTGCTTTAAAATTCTTCAAAAGGATCAAAGATGGCTTGAATTTATGGCTGTTCACAATTTTGAGTTTGATCAAAGATTTTTAAGTAATGATCTCTTGCCTTTTGAATAGCTGCCTGTAATTATTCAATATGATATTCTTCCATCTTAATAGATTCCTGTAATTCTTCAGTTAGATCGGTCTAAACACTCCTTGATATCCTATTTAAAAATGAGATTTCTGTTTAAATGATTTATTATCTCCTGTCTTTTAATTCAAATCTATTAAACTAATTAAAATTTTTACTTAGGGATTTGAATAGATAAATTCTTTCTTTCTATGGTTTAAATTTCTGCTTCCTTTGTTAACTATAATATCTAAATGAGATCATAAGTGTCTGTAGCCTTTTCCTCTAATAGAATTTCAATATCTCCAACAGATAGACTATCATTTAACACTTTTTTAAGCTTCTCTTAATCTGAATCTACTTTATCAAATTGCAAGCCACTAGCCCTTTAGATAGGTTTTATTTCAGGTAGTTTATATTATGGAATTTGATGGATGGTTATCCTTCTTTCAGTACCAGCTCTTACTAATTTTGATTTTATTTAATTTTCATGATCAAAATTAGTTTCATTTCTTTATTATTTCTGAGCTTAAATAGAAAATTGTTCAAATTGTAATTGAACATTCCTTTAGTAATCATTTAATTCATCAGTAATTTTTTCGATTTGATCTAGAAATTATTTATTCTCAGATTTTAGTTCTTAGATTTCATTTTTTTAATTTCGTATTTAAGTATTTAAATATCTATTATTTTTTTTCAAATATTTTGCATTAGCCTTCAATTTAACAAATCTTTCCAAAACTGAATCCATATCAGCCTTTTACTTTTTTTGGATAATCAAATATTTGTCGATTTCTGCTTAGTACAATTAATGTGTTCTCATTACTTCTGATAGATGGTCTTTTTCTAAAATATTATTTTAATTTAAAATTGATTAGTAAACTGACGTATTAATATCTATATACTATGTCCATATTTTTTCTAATAGAACACTACAAATAATGAATTTAAACTTAATACCTTTTTTCAATACAATCAAACGAAATCTAACGAATTAGTTCTTTCAAGCAAAGCGAAAATATTTACTACAAATCTTCATATATATTTGCTGATTGTCCTTGGTTTTTCTCAATAGCCTATTCAAGCATGAGATCAGTCCACTCAGCTAGGGCTTTTACATCGTGTCTGAATGATATTATAACAATAGAATACTTTAATGGAATACCCCTGTGAATTTTATCTTTGACTACTCTCTTTGTTAAATTTGAAGAAAATTTAGTTAGTTAGATGGTTCTATCTGTCAGTTCAATTGGCAAAATGACCTGGGCTTAGGAGATTTCTACCTTTTCTATAGATAAACTTTACTATTGGAGGTAATAAATTAAAGGCCTTCTAATTTTTTGGGGTATTTGTAAGGGTCCTAACTATTCAATTGAGCAAAAAAATCGTTTTTATCCATTTTTTTTAATCTATCAATGTAATCGAGCTGTATATCCTTTAAAATAGGAGATTAGTAATAAGACTGAATTAATATGAATTTAGATGAATACAGATTATGATATGGTTTTGGATTTTTCAATTCTTTCTTTAATACTTGGTTAATTAGTATCCGTCTACATTCTCTGGGATTATGGTAAATTGGTGGGTTTGAGCTAAATGATTCTTTCTGAATTTTGGTGTGAATGTTTTGGTGTCTAGGAGTTTCGAAATTAATGAAATTTTGTCCCTTCCATACTTATTAATATAATAAATAATCTGAAGTAAAAAAATGAAATATGATGATTTTTAGAGACTGATTTCAGAGGAAGATGAATTAGTTTAAATATCCAAGGCTTAGTTGGAACAATTAATTCTAAAAAATTAGCAATCTGAAGTACTTCCAACTCAAAAATAATCCAGCAAAATAATTGTCATAAAATAAGCCCCAAAAAAACCAAAACATTATCAGTTTGCTGATGTTCACTATTGGACAATTACATAATTTGATTGGGATAAAAAAGTACTAGATGCCTTGAAGGGAGCATTCGGTAAAGAATAATTTAAAGCAAATTAAAAAGCCATAATAAATTGTGTACTAGCAGGAGAGGATGTTTTTGTTTGTATGCCGACGGGTTATGGAAAAAGCATAACTTTTCAAATTCCTGCTTTTGTTGAAAATGGTACAATTCGACCTGATATTTAGGGGTTTCGATTATTGTAATGCCATTGATCTCATTGATATTTGATTAAGTGCAATATCTTACAAGTCTTGGTATTCCAACTCTCAATATGAGTGGCTAAAACAGACTTTTAACAGCATAATAAATTCTGGATTAAAGAATAAAATTAATTTATACTACTCCTGGTATTAAATAATTTCAATTTAGAAAAAATTGAGAAATCAGAAGCATTTAAACAAATTTTAGGAGATCTCTTTAATAGAAAACTAATTAAAAGATTTGTTATCGATGAAGCTCATTGTGTAAGTAAATGGGGAAGAGATTTTAGACCAGATTACTTGAAATTGAGCAATGTTAGAAATGAATATCCGGGTGTGCCTATTGTTGCCTTGACTGCAACTGCTCCAGAAGAGGTTAAAGAAGATATTATAGACGTACTTCAAATTAAAGGATGCTTATATTTATAATCTTCTTTCAATAGACCAAATCTTATCTATGAAGTGAAATTAAGAGAAGAATTCAAGAGGACTGTTTAAGAAATTAAGGAATTTATCAACTTAACCTATCCTAAGCAATCTGGTATCATATATTGCCTAACTTAATCTGAATGTTAAACCTTATCATAAAGCCTAATACATCATGGCATAGGATCAGATTACTATCATGCTGGTCTTACTGAAAACGAAAGACATAAGATTCATAAGAATTGGCTCATGAATGAAGTACAAGTAATAGTTGCAACTGTAGCATTTGGCATGGGAATTGATAAAAAGGATTGTAGATTTGTCATTCATTTTCAAATGCCAAAATCCATTGAGAATTATTATTAGGAGAGTGGGAGAGCAGGAAGAGACGGAAAACAAGCACATTGCCTTTTATTTTATAATAATAATGACTATAAAACTAATTTAGTATTCTTTATCATTTATTTATTTTATAGTGTCTAATGGATTTAAACACAGAAATGACTGCACAAATGAAAAAATACAATGTTAAAAAGTTAGATCAAATGCAACAATTCTGTTATGATAGAGTTTAGTGCAGAAGAGTTTTACAACTATCTTATTTAGGCGAAAATTTTGATAAAACATTATGTAACAAAAAATGCGATAATTGTCAAAGAGAGGATGAGAAAGCAGAGAAAATTGATCTAACTAAGGAAGCTCTTAAAATTCTTGATTGTTTGGATAAATTGCAATTGACAGAAAATCAATTAATTTAATGTTTAAAAGGTGCACAAGACAAAAAGAAATCCCATAATTCATTAAAGAGTTTTGAATAGATCTTTGGACTATTTAAAAATAACCCTCGCTACATAAATCCTTTATTAGATTAATTAAGAGCATAAAATGCCTTAAGCTAAAAGGTATAAGAATACAATCTCAAAGGCAATTTCAAAACAAAAGTTGTCTATATAATGCCTAATTATGAGACATCAATAACTAGTCTAATAATATCTCTTCCCAAAGACAAAAGGCTATCGTTTTTGGATTGCAAATCTAATGATCTTTTTAAAAAGTACTTATCTAAAGATAATAAAAATTAAAATAATAATGGATCTAATTCGAATGTTTTAAAAAAAGATTTACTTTGGTAAAGTGAAAACAAAATTGAAACTGAATAGAAGAAGTTATAATATGATAAATAATATGGTTATTGTTTAGAAAACCAATTTAATGATTTACGTGAAAGATTGATGTTAGTTCGTAAGAATATATATAAAGAAATGACCAATAATGCATCGAATTAAATTATCAATATTGATTTGGTTTTATCTAATGATGATATTGAAGAATTATGCAAGAAACTTCCAATCACTATGAGTGAATTAAATGATCCATTCATTTGTATAGCCAAAGAAATCAAGAAATTGTAATATATGAGGCATTTTATTGAAGAAGTTGCTCATTTTGTTGATATTGAAGATATTAATAAGTTATTATTTGAAAAGCGTAAGAATATTTTCTATTCTAGCTTAATAGGTCGAAACCTAAATTGATTAAGTATTTGAGTTTTAAAAGCATATCAGACAAGATGATGATGTTATTGATATTACAAATCAAGAACTTATTGGTAAAATACAAAATATAATATTTAGCTAAATAAAAAGAGATTGAAGAATTATTGTTAAATGGTTAAGAAAATGACGAATACTTAGATTAAGTATCAATTTGTTTTAAATTAGCTATTAAATCTTTTTGAAGAAGAAGATAAAAATAAATCTCCTCAACCTGTTATCAAAGATAAAGATAATGCTTAAAATCAAAAATCAAATTTATAGAAGGTGTAAACTTTTGAACCTGCAAAATAAGAATAGCCATATTAATAAGATCTAAAGCAAACTTGTAAAATTGAAAGTAATTAATAACCCAAAAAGCTCAAATTAAATCTCAAAAGATCATTTTTGTGATTGTTTATGTAATATTTTAATTTATTATCTTTTATTTATTATACATTTTGGAAGGTAGTTTATTAAACTTCTCAAAAATTTGTCATAAATCACCTGATTTCACTAAATTTTAATTTTTTGCTATAATAATATTAATATTTATATTATATAAATTCGGTAGATCATAAGCTAAAATAATTAAGTGAATATGAGTAAAGAATAAATCTGAAAGCGCGATCATATGAAATTTTTTAAATATGAAAATAATTCATTGATTTTCAAAATTGTTCTGTGTAAATTCTCCTACAGTATAATTTATAAAGGTAAGCATTTCAATTCTGAATTTTTAATGGTTTTGTTATTTTCAATCCAAAATTATTTCCAATTATTCATAGTTTAAGAAATGCAAAATAAAATCAGGGATTTTTGATTCTGCAATTTTGTTCAAATGCAATATCAGAGAGATCAAGAAATACAATGTAATAATAAAAAATTTAGAAGCTTCAGAGTATAAAAATTATTAAATTCATAAAACATGAAATTTATTGTATTATTCTCAAGAGACTATCACTGTTTCGCTCTCATTCTTATATTTTTCATTTTGAAATTTATATATATGAATAATTTAAATTGATAAAGTATTTGATGAATAATATATTATATTATTATTTTAATTGTGAGATTTCATGAAATTAGAAAGAGTAATCACATACATCTTTTTTGCTTTGATTGCATACGATATTTTTAGAGCTCAGCCAAAGCCTTAATAGCAGGCTCAAGAATAATAATAAGATAACTAATCTGAATAAGGATAAACAAATTAAGACATGAATTAGTAAAAAGAAAGACCATTTTAAGAAGATATTGATTTAGAGAATGCTGAATACATTGAATCAACACTACCAATAAATGTTGAAATACTTTATTGTAATCGTACTGGATTACATACACAATATTTAGAATTGGAAAGAAATATCTATCTCACATTTCCAAAAAATAAAAATTTAATAGTAAACCCGGGAGAATATCCAGTGCCAGAAATAAATTCACAATTATCAAAGGTTATCAAATAACATTAATATTGTAGTTTGTTAATTATGGTCAATATGCTTTGATGGCAGCTATGTTTTTCCATAAATAATTATTTGCTATGCTATCCATGCCTGTGCCAGGAATTGTTGAGAAAATAGTGGAAAAGAAAATATTCGTGTTGATAGGAGCTATTTTCCTGGTGCAATAATTGCAAAACTCATTGCTCACAACAGGTAAAATGATGGTGTATGTGGATTCAAAATTAATATTGGATTAAGCAGCCCCAATATAAGCAGATAAAGTGTTTTAATTAATAAAAACTGAGTTATTATAATTATAATGAAACCAATATTTCGTGGAGTCTTAATTATGAAATACACGGATAATTAAGAAGAATTCACTCTTGATCAACTCAAAGAGTATCTGAAAGACTAAGGAATTTACAACGAAGAAACATTCTCTCAAAAAATGTAGACATTTTCCAATAGTTGATCGATGATCTGATCTAAAATGATTCAGAGCAAACCTATGAACAATATGTATCTAATAGCCATTTAATTTTAGGGGATATCAGCCTAAGAATTGCATTAGACTTGGTTAACTGAAAAAGATAGAGTGTTGTCGTATTATATAAAAAAGAGGACGCAGGGTTAAAAAGTATTAGTCTACGTAATTAATATTAGATTGAAAAATTTCAATGGTCAGTAAACAATCAATTCTATTCAAAAAAAGCTAAAAATATTAATAAACCTGTTTGCATAATGAATCTGAAGGTATGACTTGTAAAAATGAGCAATAGTCAAAAGATGTTGTCAACAAAACTTATAAATTTCACAGGTTCGAAATAAATGAGGATGATTTAAATTACATAGAGGATCAAATGAAAAAAATTGAGTAAACTATAAATGCATTGTTTTGTGATGATTCATAAATCAATATTAATAATTTATAATCATTTTATTTTGACACTCGACTTAAATTTGGCACTCAGTAATGAACTAATGAAACTATAAAATTTGTTCATCTTTTTTCTAACAAATTTCTATATTTTTTTGGCTGCAATTTGTTATCCCATTTCTACTTTCTTTCTCGTTAAATCTTTAGAGTCAAAATAATTTGCTAGGTGTTACAGACAATCCAATTAACTTTTGATTAATTCAACTTCATGAGTAAAATCATCCTTTTTAACGTATTGTCTATTAAAGTTCTCTGAACTAATGATCACAGCATCTCTATTTTATTATAACTATTGTTTCTGCTTCTCATCATGAAGCTTCTAGAATGTAGAACCTTAAGGAATACTATAATCATTAATAACTCATACATGTCTTATATGTACAATCTACAATTGAGAAGATGATTCACATTCCTAATAATACTCATATATTTGTCAGTCATTTACACAAAACTCAATTAACTACTTTGGAGAGATGAAAATTTGGTTTCTATGAAGTTATCTAACTCTTCGAATTCATTAAACAATATCTCAAGACCGATTTCTACTAAAAGTTCCTTTACTGGTTTTTATTAATTGATTAACTAATATATAAATAGTAAGGGATACTCTTTTATAGGCTTCAGACACAAGGATGAATGGTTATTGGGATGGGTCAAAAGCAAACTATTCCTCAACCAAATGAGGCAATTAAGTCAGGTTTTGTATTTTTAAATTTTTAGTGAAGAATCCATTTTCACTTGCAATAGTATAGAAAGAGTCTATTGAAACTCCTGTTCCAGTAAAAGAATAAGCCTCCCTGTAAAGAGTGGCCAATTCCAAATCTGTAATTTTAGGATAATTACTGATTAATACAATTCTAAATTATTTGAAACTGATATTTGTTGCCCTACTTCCAAATGCGATCTTGAACATTTTGTATCTATTTCTTCTCTCCACTCTATAAAATTCAAGCAAAATTCTCAAAACAAAAGCCGCTTCAATAATATATATGTTTTTGTTCTGTATTTTTCGGACTGCTCTCTCCTTTAATACTCGTTTAACTTACTGAATAGTAGAGACTTCATATTAAGAGAATAGATGAGTGACTACAAAATCAGCTTACAACAATGGAATATAATGATGAGGCTCATAGAAGGCTTGATGATTTTAGCATTGAGGACCTCTAAACAGTAAATTTCTTGCATACAAAAAGAAGTAAATTTCATCATGAGATGAGAAATCATTCAAAAACTCCTAAAATGAAACGCATTCCCAATTCTTCTCTAAAACAGGATTAGAGAAATCAACTATAAATTTGACTATTTAATCATCCACTCTTTGATTGTCATATTCAATCTTTTTAATACATTTATGATTATAATCAACTTTAAAGTTCATTAACCAAGAATACACAAATTCTGGAAATCTAGATTATTGATTCATTTAAATCTCATTCCATTTGGCATCCAAAATATGTCTCATTATCACTAATAATTAGAGACTTGGTCTTTTATATTACAAACCTGCAAATTCACTTTCTAAGGTTTTTTTGTGATGTTCAATAAAAATAACAAAAGGTGAGTAACCAATAGTGAATTTATCTAATTAAATATCTTAAGAATTGAAGTGAGATTCCATTTAAATAATACTATGTCCAGTTCTCTACACTATTCTACCCTTATCCTGCAATAGTGATGAATGAGTCAGTCTAAAGAAGGTCTTGTCAGTAGAGAATAAACTGGCAAACTTTTCTAATCCAGTTTTCTCTTTTTCATGTTATTAGTTGGGTTAAGGTTCAACTTCCTTGGATTTTTCAATTTAAAATCTATCCAATTTATTCTATAATTAAGATAGTTTCTCTCTTGCCTTAGCAGCAATGGCCAGTTCTTCCTTGTAATAGTAGAGTCTTTGTTCGAAGTCTTCTCTTTGCATATTGGCGATTTCCCTGTATCTATTCATCAAATTGGTATGGTTCTCATTTTCTAGAATTAACTTATCTAATTAGTATTTGTTGGCTTCAAAAACAGTTTGATATGCTTTAGATTCGTTTTCCAATTTAGTATACTAAGACTTAATATTCTGGTAATGTAGATTGAGTTTTTGGAGTTGTTTCTCTTTGATTTCGTTTTCTTTCAGCAATTCATTGATTTTCAATTAGGCATTTTATTTGATGTTGATGATGTCCTACTATAGTTTTTGAACATCGGATAGTTATTCAAGGATTTACAATCTCTCTTGTATTTTTTCAATTTCATTCTTTAGCCTGAAATTTTCCATATACAACTCACTCTATTTTTTGTAGTCGCCTTTCCTCGATTTAATTGGTCTATCCGTATGTGAGGATTTATTGAACATTTATTGCAATTCTTCAAATTTCACAGTTAAGTCATTGATTTAGATTTCTTTTTCTTTTGCTTATTGTTCAGCAAACTCAGTTTTGGATTTATATTCTTCAATATTATTTATAACATTTCTCATAAATTTTTGCATAATCTATTGATAACTATTGTACTTATCAACTAAATGCTATAGATTTAATTTCGTATTCATTTAATATAATTCAGTTTCAAATTACTATTATATAATATCAAACAATTCTCTTTTTACATTAGCATTGGTTTTAGAAAAGACTTCATCTACTAATTGTTTCTTGTTCGAAGTGTCATTAGATATGGAGTATTGTCCACAAACTAATTCCTTCCTGAACGTATCCAGTGAATTATAATTACTAACAAATCCAACATATTTAGGTGACAATACACCCTAACGATTCTTAAAGCTCCCCAAATAGGGATGATTACTTTATTGACTCTAGGCCTATCTCCTAGCTTCGAGTTGTCTTTAAATTTCTCTCTTGGCTTATTATTTCAACACAGTAGACATTTATGTATATAATTATTAAAAAATAATTCATTCTGATTTAGATTAGAACATATCAAATCCCCCTTAAGCCATTCCATCTACAATAACCAAAATCAAACTTGATAGGAAAGGTGCTGCTGATCAACAATTCAAGTCAATTTAGGGTAATGGAATAGTATTAATTGGAATAACTGATCATAAGTGGGAATAATGTGCAATAGACAATATCTGAGAGGTAGATTACGAAATATAATGAAAAATCTAGGATTGCTTGTATATAATTTAAGATTAATAATAAATGTTATAATTTGTTCCTCAATATTATGTGGAGGTCTTGAAGTAGAATCTTCTGACCAACCAACCCAAAATCTATGAAGCCATTGAACAACAGCAATTAGATTAGGCATTGAAATTGTTGAATCAACAGCAGTCTCCATCTATTTGGATTAGCTCTATCTATCTCATTTTGTACAAATAAGACTTAGAACAGAATTCAGTGAATCGATTTGTCAAAGTAATTGAAGACTCTAACATCTTTGAGATGTCTGAACACGAATTATTAGCATTCACATAAATATGCCAACAAATCATGAATATTGATTTGATCAAACTCTTACATAAATATAACCTAAGTGGCTGGATCCAACTATCTCATAAAATACATCTACATCTGAGAAAATCTATCCACCCAAAAGTGCCCTCCATATTTATTAATTACTTTATTAATCAAAATATAGAATTACTAGAATAACATGAAAAATCGTATGATGAAGATCTAGTTTGGACTTTGCATGATTTTAGAACCTTCTATTAAATGATGCCAACAGACATCGATCATCCTTATTATTAACTTCTCAAAATATCAATCTATGTCAGAATGCTGGATTTAGAAAAAGTGCCTTGTCCAATCTCACCGCAAACCATACCCATTCAATATCAATCCAAATTAGAAAACATACTCAAATAAGTCATACCTACTCCGCATAAAGAATGCTTGGATCTGTATGTCTTTTGTCTCATCGAAGTAGGTCTATTCAAAATGGTAATTTAACATTTACGAAATTAATTGGCTCCTGAATAAATCTATTAAATTAGAACTTCGTTCATCAAACATGCCATCCAAAATAACTATACTGTAGATGTGGAAATCTATCAATACTTGGAAGAACTGGAGAAATTCGATGAAGAATTCAAGTAACTTATCTATTTCAACAATCCTGCTATTTATGAGAAAATGAGCACTTTTAATGAGATTTGGATTTTAAATGGACTTATTCATAATTTTAACAACATCCAAAGCCAACAAGTATTTATTACTTTTTACTAATTTATAGAGAATAATCAAAAAATTAGCTCTTGATAATACTCAATAATCTCTAAAGGCTCTTTGGATTTTACATTTAGATGGAGCCAATTCTGATTTGAATGCAGACCATCAAAAACATTTTAAAATCAAGAATTTTAAATTTCTTAACATACTCCATCTTATCAAATTCAAAAATGATTCAGATTTTCAACACTTAATAGAAGCCTTAAAAGTTATTGCAATCTGCATTTGGACAGATAGAGATGTCAAACAAGAAGACTTTGAATCCAAACTCTTCCTTGTTTCAGCTAGAAAATGCATAACTGTTCAAAATTGTTCATAAATCTTCCAATTACTTTTCGGAATCTCCAGTGGAGTCTTCGAGAATCAATATGAAACTCACTACATTAAAATACAAATCCCATACTTCTTAGAACTCATCATAATCTTGTTATTTGAGCAGAATATTGATCTCAATTTGAAAGAGTTTTACTTAAATCAATTCATAATATTAACACAAAATTTAGAAAATGTCCTCATAATTTTGAAAGGCTAAATTATAGAAAGATTAATAGTGTATTTAAGAATTGAAAATCAATTCCAAGAAAAGATAATCCAAATATTAATCAATTGCATTAAAGTCAGATTCTAACTTCAGTATTTATAATCCATTGCATTATTCATGTCCCCCTATTAATCATTAATCATGGTGCCATATTTCGATGATTAATAGAAATATGAATCAT